ACTCAAAATGTAACGATCTGATTGAGACAACAACTGCCTCAGGTTTTCGTATAGTTGATAATTATAGATTAAAACTAATAATTATTGATTATCTATTTGAAGATAAATATATTATTAGATCAATTGAAATATAAATAAATTAATTAATAACTAAATTGAATATAAAGTTTCTAAACTATAAAACTATTCTAATTATATATTAATAAATATAAAGAAGCTTTATAAAACTTTAAAACTTCAAAAAGCTTTTAAAGTTTTAAAAGCTTTCAAAGTTTTTAGAATTCTTCATTATATAATTAGAATCAGATTATATATCCAAGTTTGTTAAAGATAAAGAGATTATATAAAACGATTATTATATAAATTTATATACAAATCGCCTTATTTTTCGATAAGGCCTAAGCTTATATAAACACATTGACTGTTGCCTCTCAACATATCCTTATCTTAATCGTAAATCGTGACAATAAATCTTATACAAATTGAAAATAGAAATTTCAACCTTCAAAATATCGATGAATAAAATTTTGAAAAATCTGAAACTTTCAAAATTTATTAATATCTATATAATAATATTATAATTAAAATTTCAATTTATTTCATATATTCGTTGTTGAAGTATTAATAAATGAAAATGGTGATTTTTGGTGTGAAAGGATGATCCAAAAAAGGGGTGGCCCAAAAGTAAGGTACTAGATTTAAGACTTACCTCTTTTATCTCTTAAATGATCATCAAGTACTTTGTAAAAGGATCTTTAAATTTATATATGAAATATATTATATATACAGATTTACTAGATAATTATCCAAAAACTAAACTTGTAAATATTAAAGAATAATATATATAGAAAACACAAATCGGATATTTTAAATTCAATAAAAGTAAAGCTATTGTTAGAATCACACTACAAAGAATCGATTATATTCAAAATAGACCAATAGGAACTCAAGAAGATTCAAAAGAGATATAAAGCTTTTCATTGCCTTTCTCATACTATTCAAGAGCCTCTTTATATAAGTGAAAACACTTTCATTTAACATGAAACCTTCAAAACCACCGGCCCCCCTTTCGGCTAGCCGAGGTTCTGCCTTTGAAGATTGTAACAGTTATATTCATTTCGATTATTAATTATATTTATATTCAATTTATTAATCATTTTTAATTATCAATTATCTTCAATTATTAATTATTAGTTATTTTTATTATCAATTCTTTTGAAAATTATTTATTTTATTATTATACTATAAAAATATTTAATATATAATAAATATATTATTTTAAATATATAATTATTTGAAAGAAATTTAATTTCCAATTAGTGATTATAATTCAAAATTAGTTCAGTATTAATAACTTTAGTTTAGAATTAAAACTTTTCATTTAAAATTATCCTTCTAGAAAATATTTAAATTGATTTTTGATTAAATTTGGATTTATTTATTTTTCTAAGACTAATAATTAAATGAAATACTTTCCCGATGTATTTTTTGCTTTCTTACGGATCTTGAAAATGATGAAATAATACTCTAAGAATAAACCATGATTGAAAAGGTTTTGCTGTAGGATATACAACTGCATTTGAAGGATGATTCATGAAATCCCATTTTCTCTGCTCAAGGCATTTTTCGGCAAGTTGCTTCGTTTAATCGTGTTTCGTCGCCAATACATCGAAGAACTTTCTTCTGAATTAGGAAGTAACCAAGTACAGTACTTGCGCACAGCTATTCGTCGTTAATCAAAATCACACCAAAAATCATCATTTTGTTATATTTTCAATTAAAGCAAAATCCTATATAAAATCACTATAATTAATTAGAAAATTAAAATATATAATTATATATTAAATAATTAATATTTTTAATTTTTATATTTTATATTATCAAAAATATTATTTTAAAAAATTCACGATTTTTGTTTATTTACTAGTAAATTTTTATATTTTGAAATTCTTATAATTCAATTTGAAAAATGATAAAAATTTCAAAAATTTCAAAAATAGATTGTATAATTTTTTATAAAATTAAAATGAAAATAAATGAATTGATAAAAAAAAAATTTATATTTTATTAATTTTAAAAATAAAACAGTTTAAGTGTTTTGCATGAGCTTTGGTGTGATTTTAATGAACGACGAACAGCTGTGCACGGTTACTGTACATTGGGAAAACAGTTGATGCAAATGAGATGTCGGAGAACAATACCGAAGTAAGTCACGATTTTTAGGTGAGCATGTGAACGTTTAGCTTAAGACTAATTCTAGCCAAAAGATACTCTACTTGGAATCAAGAAGTATTTTGGTTTTTCCTTCTTGTAAATGGTATGTAGGGTTTGCTTTTTCATACTCATTCTTGTATAATACATCGATTGTTCAAACAATTTCATATCATTCAAGAATTTGTCAGGCCCGCGATGAAAACCAACACGGAGGCAAAGTGGCAAACAAGCTTGAGAGCTATGCATAAAAGCCAAGACTACTTATGATGCTAAGACTCCCGTATGTAAATAATGTAAGTGACTGAAAGCACTAGCGAGATATGAATATTTCATTCCGTCACTGCACCCATGGTCCCCCGACCTCCTCCTGTTGATTCCAATCCAAGCATGAAGCATAATAGTCGGACACCATACTGCTGGCCTTCGGTCCACTGCCTGTGCAGCTTTTTTGCGTGCGGGCTTCTGGTTTTCCCAGAAAGTTCGCCATCTCCAAAAATGCCACTTTCCGGAATTATTTTCGCCTATCTCCACATATTATAGTTCCTCATTAGGTACTTCCATCTTCATTTACCGCCTCAACCTTTCGAGCCGGCTGGCTCATACTGTATCTTTTATTCTTCAGTACATAAAAGGCTACCTGTACATGTGCATGTGCAATACCTCCAGCTTCGGATTCCAGGTCAACGCTCATGAGTCCTTCCTTTATGCGCGAACTATTCTCATCGAATGACCTGTTGGACTCGATTAGAAACGATGGTGCACTGCAATTCGGCTTGGATTCCGCTATGGACCTTTTTGTCCTTCTTCACTAGTACGATCGAGTCCCTGAATATAATATCTATGCCTTAAAAAAAGACAAATCTCACCTCCTTCAAACATGGGAGTGTCTTGTATCCGGAAATAGCTTATTGGGAGCTAATCTGGCTCACAAGGCTTATTGAGACTGACCTGGATAGCACTTTCAAGTGCACAGTAAATATTTGATCAATCTTAGTATTTCCCGGAGTATGCCTCATCAAGAAGCCGATTATTTTGCCACTGAGATGATTGACTGCTTCGTCTACCACTTGCGTTCGATCTGTTAATTGTAGCCTTGGTTCTCCAAACCTATTTTTATTAACACCAATTCACGTAGCCGTCATCGAATTCTAGATAGTTTAAGCAGTCCCAAAAAGGCATGTCAATATGCCAGTGTGTCTTACATGACTATAACCAGAATTTCCGAGAGTCAAACTCACGACATGGTATCGACCCGGCGTGTTGTTCTAGCAACTAGCTAAAATAGGAAACAGTCATGCATTAGTGCACTCGTCCGGCATTTGTCTGCTGGTACAGCAACCCTGCACAGCGGTTTGTCGTTAAACAAAATCACACCAGAAATAGTACTTTTAGAACCTCCTTCGGAACCAGGTTGAAGGTGCAGAAAAATACCAATTAACGATAAATTCCTGTTTCCGTAAGAAGATTTTGATTGAAGTCAAAAGGAGTAATTGTGAGTGGACTCGAGTCTGACAGCTCTTAAGCTCAAATCGTGTTTGGGTCCAGTTGAATCAATAACTCCCCGTCGATATAGAAGCCGATCTGGTCATTCGAAGACGTATGATGACGAAGTGGAACCCAGCTACAAACGCATTATGTGGAATTCTATCTAAATGAAATCACCAAAAAATGTAGAATACACTATCTAGCTTTTGGAAAGTACCTTATGTAGAGATTATAAAACTGGATTAGGAAATTTCGACATACAAAGTCCAAAAATACCACTACATGACAAACCGAGGAGCATAAATCTGCATTATCTGAATTTTCGCCGTTATCCTATATGATTGAGTTTAAACTCTTCAAGCAGATATTTTTGCACTCATGATGTAGTTATTGTGTGATCGACATTCGAAAAGGACAATTTCGAGAGGTTTGGCTAGCCTATACCTAGTGAAGTCTAGATCTGGAAGAAAGTTCAATGGTTCCGCCACTGGTTATAAGACTAATAGACTAACTTGGTACTTTTTTCTAAGCCAGCGTCTACTATAATAGCTCGGGAAACTTTAGCATGCCATTTTCTGGCACAAGGTGGTGATTTTACCATTTCGATTCCTCGAAATTGAGTTCAACAAAGTAATCAAATGTTGAAATCCCATCCATTAAAAAGATTCAATTTTATTATTCTTATCCTTGAATCCTATCTCTTCTTTTGAGTATAATCACTATTTAAACTATCAATGAGAAGCACATTGAAATGCTAGTTTCAATTACCTTTTTTGCCGATCACAAAGCAGTCCCCCCTGACAACTGCATCTAACTCGCCAAAGCTACAGGGATGTGTCTTTAGTCTCTAATAAGTCTGCAAAAATCATCTATGGTTTAGATAGTTCAATTCCTAGGTCACATATTTCTTCTGAAATCATGATATTCGAGTAGGTCTTAATTCTACAAGTCCATCAGTCAAATATCGCGCTGGACTAGCGTATTATTACTCACATTCGTACTTAAAGAATTGCCTTTTCCTTCAATTTAGAAATTCAATCTGTTTCCACTTGTTCTTTTCTGACTCAGCATTTATTTACCATTTTCTGTTTAAAGGAGAAATTCCAACAAGCTTTGAATTGAACTGCTACATTCAGACTGTGTTTGACATTACCTCGAAGAAGAGGCAAAATAGTTTGACAGCTCCGTGTCACTATTTGATACGTTGGAAACCATTAACAAAGTTTCGTCTTTCCTCCTCTATCTCTAAAACTCGCCATCCACTTAAAACACACCTCTGGGACTTGCAAGATAGGACTACGATGACGAGGATTCCCGAGGCGAACTATATCGCCGACCCCGATGGGGATTTATTGATACTGCTCGGTCCAACAACACCACCAATCTCCCAAACGGGAGAATCGACTTTACACGAGCGAAACTCAACCTGGGATTATGATTCCCGAGTCCTAGTATCTTCGAAGCGCATGTCGCTGGCTTCTCCAGTCTTTAAGATAATGTTAGAGGGATCTTTCAAGGAGAGTCTCGAGTTAAAGACTTTGGGAAGACTTACCCTTCCACTTCCGGAGGATGATCCAGTCGCAATGCGAATATTGATTGACGTTATTCATGGGCATAGCAAATATATTCCAAAAGTAGTTCACATACATGCTTTCGCAAGATTTGCCATCCTAGCGGATTACTATCAGTGCTCTGCAGTGGCAGAAGCATGTGTTAATCTCTGGAAGCAAAAGATTGTAGAGCTATCCTTGTGGAAGCGCAGCGAGACCCGTCTTGCGTGCTGGATTTTCATTACTTGGGTGTTCAATCTATCCGTAGAATTCAAAGATGCAACCGCTAGGATTGTAAAAGGATTACCATACGGACTGGGTGAGATCTTAGCCAGGAATCAGCTGGAATTACCGATTCCGACAACAGTCATAAGTAAGATTACACGTAATTAATATGAGAGTGTTTTATCTACTAATAGACCGTAGGAAAGGTAGACGAATACCGTCAAGCGGCTTTAAAGGGGTTTAAAAAAATTCTGGTGGTCGCATTATCACGGTTTCGAGGAGGAAGAATTTTATACGATGTAGGTAGACGTATGATATTCATCCCGGATTTAACTCATGCTCGCGTTATGGCATATGACGACGCAAAGGCATGTGACGATGAAGAGGCATGTTACGACGCAAAGGCATGTGACGCGGAGATTATCGAGTATTTTACGAAAGCTCTCTCCAAACATTCTCTATTTCCACTTCCACAGGGCCCAGAAGACTACAAGGGTTGGGTTTTTGACGAACTCATAGGGAGAGTGTGGTCTGTAAAAGTCAATGGTGGTAGCAACGTAGGGATCCGAGGTCACCAACAAAAAGTTCTTGATATTACCCTAGCAAGAATCAAATTCTCGATAGACCATCTATACAGCAAGACATTCGGCGTGGATGTGGCGAGCCTGAAGGCACATTTCAATGTCCGAGGAGCTGCCAGAGCTTGAGGATAACCTAATCGTTGAATAATATTAATTTGTAATGCATTGGGGATGTAGCGCTCACATATTGTAATTATAATAGTCCAGGACAGACTCAACATCTGATGTACCTGGGTACAAGGTCACGGCTATTTCATTGTGACCTCTTCGGAAAAATACTCAGAACAAGGGGCACTCACTTAATAGCGCTGCTACCACTATACCAACGACCTCAAATTCATTTAGGAAATTCAGTATCTGTCATTGCCGGGCACTATCCGATTAATATTATTGTCTTCAACGGCTGGCACGCATTGACACTATGCAAAGTGAGAAATAATAGAAGGGAAGCCTTTCGTTTAGTTCTACGCATTCCAGCAGAGATAAACGAGGATAAGGCTAAGATCCAAGAATATGTTATGATCCATGTAACCGGAGCTGATAGATAAATGGTTAGTTTTTCAATATACGAACCAACTCTTTAAATCCAATTTCAGAAACACCATCAAGTGAATCTCGGGATCTCACAACTTGTAATCGCTTTCTTGATCATCAAACTCACTCAAAAATAATCTTTCAACCTCGAGCGGGAAACCTGTTGGGTGTTTTGTATATTGTGCATTATTTTCGGCGAATTCCATCCCTCGTATACGTCTATGCTCAAACCAAAGGTAAAATAACCCTCATAAACTCAATCACATCCCAAGACATCTCCTCAGTATTCATAGAAACAAATTGAAATTCTCAAAATCATCTATTCTCCATCGTTAGGTATCATACATGGAACCAACTTTGATACTCCCTAATCCTGCGGCAAGCACACCCTCAATAACGTATATAGCCTGCTATATACCTAGTTTCAGTGAGATTGTAAATACAGATCTGATTCCGAGCACTAGCATGGTCGAGGGATCTTAGATATTGCAGAAAGCATTTCCAAAAATGTCCATTCCACGAATCAACCGATACATATCTATCAACACCCAGTAATCTATGTGGCAAGATGCCCTGATTGTTTTCCATTTGCTGGACTTATCACCTTCATTAACGACCACCCAGTGCTATTGAGTTGGCCACTGTAGCTTCATCTTGTGAATCTTAATGGGTTCCAGAAAAAGCTCAACTAACTCATCTCCAGCGGAATTGGTCGATGCAATCAGATTTTGGTGAATTTTATGGTTCCATGAGGTGTGTTTCATTAATATGTAACATGCTGTGAAAATCTCGAGACGGCTTATTTTTGATTGCAAATCAGAGAAAGAAAGCCATTCGTGTGGAGCCAGTGGAATAGGGTAGATGTTTTCAAGTGTAGCAGATCTTACAAGACTCCCATGAACCATTATATCACACCACCTTCTATGTGCTTTCAGTCCGTCTATTAGATCATTGCGTCGAAAACCAGAACAATTGCAATTGGTGATTGAGTTTTGGTATTGTGAGATCATATCTCCGAGGATATCTAAAGCCCCTTTCCGATCGCTTTCCGGCGAGATACATCGATTCTGTCTTTGTTTTCTGTCAGTCGATATTCTATCTATACTGAAGGAAGAGAACTTGCTAATGATCAATTGGGGTATGGGAAGGTTATCTAAATTATAGAATCTAATTGTAGATTCGAAAGTTTTGACGCAGTCTAGTTGCACCTTCTCGGTGAGCTCCCGAAACTCTTCTTCCAGTTCGAAGACCATGATATACAAATCCAATCTACTATATCTTCCCAGCCGGTAGGTGGATAGTCCATTGCTTTCCTCCAAGTGGGAAGGAATAGATAAACAACCTCATGCATTCTATACTTGTCGACCAAGACAGCGATTTGGGTCACTACTTGTAATTTGAGTTGGAGTGGAATGGACATGTACCGGCCATGGATGATATTGAGCAAGATGTTCCACGCAGCAGAATCATCATCCGGGAGCGGTATCTCAACTTTGCCAGCTTCTTTCAGCTTGAGACCTTCCTGAAAGTTTCCTCGTAACATGGCTTTGAAAACAGGCGAGGCGAGCGTCAAATGTCTAGAGGACACTACGAGCGGATCTTCTTTGGCTCAGTTATAGGAGAGGTGCTAACGGTCGAAGGATTTGATGATGAGTCAGCTGATGGTGTTAGTGGTGTTCCATCATCTGGAGAATCAGTTGATTCAGCATCAACCACAAAATCAGACGCGTGCTCCTTTAAATCTAGCACAAGTACTATGTACCATTTTGTTCCGAACAGAATTTCGAGAACGCCAACAGTTTTCTCTATGACCAGGGAAGCTAACGACTCTGAATTCGTGAGTGGGCGAATTTGTTCAACTGCAATGACAACAAGTGACCATCTATTGCTTTAAATGTTGACGTTGGCTAGCTCGTTATTTCATGAATTGCGGGACGTTGTGGTCTGAAGTAGCTTGTTATGCATGGAGGTAGCGCTGATTTGATTGTGATAAATGTTGGTGTTCATGAGAACTTGATGCGAAGAAGATAACTGACAAGGAAAATAATCAGAAGCGCGCGCCCAGACAAGGTGAAGAGAAAATCGCGCGTGTTTTCTGCAGAGTACAAAAGCCCTCGATGAGTAAGTGCTTTTCGATTTCTCAAAACAGGTTACCAAGACTGAACAAGCAAGGGTGAAGCATCAAACGCCAAATCAAAAAGTTTTTAATCAGGCAATAAAACCTCAGAAGGCAGTGTAGAAAGAAGGTCGGCAATATTAAGAGTATGTGTAAGATTTTATGTTAGGCAGTGTTTGTTTTTGGAGTATGAGATAAACCAAACGTTGAGAGCACTCGTCGCTTACGACTTGGCTGAATAAGGTTACGATTGGCCAACGCCAATGTTCGTACTTCCTTTTGGAGCACCAGTAAAGGCAGTGGTATCTCTACGGTCATTAAAAACGAGGATATAAATGGAATCACAGCATTCAGTTGAATTGGCTAAATGAATTGAGGATTGTGATCTAGTTTCTTGTATTATGCTGACTCAATATAGTTACTGGCAGGATATCCAGCTAGGACAGGTACCAGCTGCAGAAGATTCCCATAAACGGCAGAATAGCAAATGGTGAAAACTTCTCACAATCACATTTCTTTTCATAATACTTCGAGTGCCCTATCTTTCTCATTCACCCGAAAGATCATCACTATTAATTCACAGAACCCTCTAAAATCTCGCGATGACGGTGATTGCCTCCCGGCGATTTTTAGCCATTGACCTAAACAACCTTATGCAAGTAATTCGTCTTCCGAAATATTCAGCAACCTGTGCTCACGGGCAGTAATTACAATATCGCACAGTCGCGGAATATTCACCAGAACCAATTACCTCACACTCGGCATTCTTAGAATCACTATTATTTTCAGACACTGCCTCGAGTTTGTGACCAAAGGTTGGGAGTTACCTCTCTTCGAACATAGTTTGCCTTGCTCAATCTAAAAAGTTGATTCTTTGAAAGAGCTAGAATCTAATCCCAGAATTCCCCAAGATCTTACGAAACAGTTGCACAACAAACATCATAAAGTAAAGTTACTCAAACGGTAGTATATTATATAGATTTGCATCTAAAGGATTGCTATGCAAATCCATGTCCGCCTGGAGCACCCCATCTCCTTCAACGTCGTATATGTGAGTAGAAAAAGGCACCCCCAGAAACACCAATCACGTCACCATCTCATCAATCACCAAACCACCAATCCCCCCAAAACCTCTTCCACATCCTTCTCACATCCCCAATCCATCAAATGCCACAATCTTCACTTAAACAATGATAGGCAAAGTAATTACATCATTGTTAAGCACATTGAGACAGCTGAGTGTGAGCAATCCAGAGGAAGTGCAGCAGTAATCTCCATCCTGGCTGTAGGTTCTAGCTTCGATAGCTCGTTCCTCGACGTCGCGCTCTTTGAGGATAATTGGAATGCTGATGCCGACATTGTTCAAGATGTTGGTGCAGGTGAGCACGGAGAGGATTGAGTTGGATGCACATGTGTATTTGCTACCGGCGCAGGGTGCGCCGTTGCCCCAGGTTGGGGATCCCTAATTAGTTGTTAGTATATTGCAATGGGGTTTAGGAGGTTCTGTGACTAGGAACTTACACCTGGAAGAGCGGCAACGTTGAAGGCCATGAGGCCGGTGACAATGGCGGTGAATGAGGCACGCATTTTGATTGAAGTTTTGAGTTTGGTGTTTGAAGCTTGAGAGCTGAAGAGTGTTGTTGAGTTGAAGTGCTTGTTGATGTGATTGAGAAGTGTTTGATGGATGGATTGATGTTGTTTAATTTGGGAACCTCTATGCTCTTTATAGTTCTCTGGAGAGGTATGGCTAGACCATTTAGAGATACGACGACAGCGTTACTTTAGAATTACTTCCTCATACGTAGGTGGATTCCTGATGTGGCTGCCGACACAGACGACAAGTGGACCTTTGGGCCCGGTTTACTACGTCTCTACATGAGTGAGTTACATGTGGCTCTCTCAGCAGCGCTGAGAACGTCGATCACATCCATTTCAAGTGGACATTTTATTTTCAAATGGTAACCTGCAATGTCAGTTTTCGTATAGCATTCTTTGCATATCTTCCAATTTCTTGTTTTAGCCAACTACTTCTACGAAGATATTCATAGTCAAGCCAGTATGCATCACTTGGCATTCGCTAATATTCTCCAATTCGGTCACAATGGAGTCAATAAGCTCTCACCGGGAGTCACGGGAAGCATAAAGTTTAAAATTGATGATATTCAGACTGTAATACTGAAACCGAAGAAGGAAATGATCTCCAAGATATTGAGAAGCTCCACTGCTACCAAACCGAACTAGCTCATCTTTTTCTCCCATTCTACAAGAACCGTAATCTCAACATGTTATTCTGCACGAAATCGTATTATGCTACACGAAATCGTATGCTAACACGAAAACGTATGCTACTCAATACACATGCAGAAGACAAGCGAGATAAATTGAATACCAAGCCAAAACAACAAGTATCAAAAATGGCCTGACAACTAAATCACAACACCAACATTACCACGACGCGGACAATTTTAAAAATATCCGCCGAGTACTCGCCACGGCAGGTACGGTAGCGTAGACCTACAGCATGACTTACCATGTTTTTCCCCATGGGGACCCGCCAAAACGGTGCTTGAGACTCTGCAGCTGAACTGTCAAACATGCAACCTAGACTCTTCTGTCCTTGAGGAATCTTTTGAATCCGGATCGTCAATGCTGGAATGCGTTTACTTCATGCAGGAAATATGTATAATAGACAGATATTATTGCATATGTTCCACATGGAATCATCCAATCATTTCATAAACTTCAGACGATTCGACCTATCATCCACCTTCTCCATCAACCCAATCCCATCCAAGCTCTCAGTCAACGGGACAACCTAATTCTCGACAGAAAGCAGCCCCCGTATCATAAGTAGCAATCCGTTAGTCCGTTCGATCGAAATGCTGACAAGAACGTCGAACGCCATTAACCATCCTATCCTATTCAACTCACCCAAGATTCTCGTCTATGCATCTTACATCCTAAAAAGAGCTCAAGAGTAAAAAAACTGCCTTTTTTTCCACCTACGTCAGAGTCTGACGTTTTCTCCCCTACACGGTGCATCTTTTGATCACCTCCAAATAGACTTTTTATCTTTCCGCTACACCTTATTTTAACACCCACCAATGTAAAAAGTGTGAACTGTAAAGTGTGAATGTAAGCTGCAAACTGTAAAAATGTAAAATGTAACCACGGCAGCTTATTCATCCCAAGACGGTGAGAAAAACAGAGTCCACGAGATATTCCCAAAGCTAAAAATAAACAAAAGAAGAAAAAAACCACACATCCCCAACAAATCAACCATCGCACTTAAAATCCGTTACGTAAATCCCATCCACCACCATCGTCTTTCCTCTCTCGATGCTCGCAAAAGAAAACCTATTAATTACCGAGTACTACAAAATCGCTTAGTATAATTTGCACAACAATAAACACCCCTAATCAGTCCATCTAATGAATATCCATCCATCCGTATCTCCAATATATTGAAAGGTTGAAACCTCCAAACGGAGTAGAACTAGCATAAACAGTCGTTGCAATTGCAACCAAACCATGGCCAACAAGTAAGTAAGTAAGTATAGTATAGGGGATATATTTGATCTCCCTCTCCCAACAAAAATATCTGCATCAACAACAAATCACGCACACCGCAATCCAGCACGACAAATCCAAATTAATCCCAAATCTAATCCCAAATCCAATCCCTCAAGCCCTAATAAAAACCAACTCAAACAACCCTCCAAAATAAAAACACCGCAAAAGAAAATAAGCTTAAAAAACCACCTGCAACACAATCCAACCAGATCCCTCAATTGCAATCCCCCTAGTTCCCAATTCCCTTACCTAGTTCCAATCCCCCAACAATTAGTACTCTGTACATACGTATAACGCACCAACCAACCCACCAACCCATCAATCCACCAACCAAAACCAACCCAACACCCCTATCCCTCGCGTAAAGAAACAAGCCGGCCGATCGGTCGGATAATTTTCTTCCCCGCGTCCGCCACGCCACGCACGCCAAGCCCTGTCTATCGAGTGCATCGAGTGCATCGATGGAAAATCTTACGACTTATCATCTCATCCAATCTATTGCATTCCATTCATCCCATCCCATGCACTGCACTGCATACCATACCATACCATACCATAGCATACGCCACTTCACATACATTACATTACCTTACATTACACTACACTACATGCGAAGACCTGGCTGGTATTCTAGACAGGTCATTTCATTTTTTCTGCTATATGCTTGGTTGTTATAAGCTTGAAAAGTAAAAAACGAAAAAGATAAAAATATGCAAAGAAAAAAACATGCAAAAAAAGATATGCAAAAAATGTGCCAAAATAATCAAGAATTATCCCTCAGCTACATGGGAAAATTAGAAACATAGCATGGTTTATTTTTGTTGAAATAAAAGCTCTCAGGTGGATAAGTGAGGCGTCAGGGAATGTAACGGGAGGATGTAACACGTCCCATCATGCCATCACATACACGAATGAATGTTTGACATTTTGCCACCGGCCAGACGGCCAGCAGATGGACCCTGCTTCAAACATGGTAAGTGGCTACATTATTATCTTCCCATGGCTTCTTTCCCTCCTCACAGCCTCATAGCTACCTCGTCTCAATATCTCTAAATTACATTCATCCTGCAACTGTACCAGGCGACAGCAAATTAACTAAAACATGACCAACCGTTGGTCATCTTTACCCCTACTTCCCTTCCCGCCTCATGCGTGCCCCACTGATATGACGGAGAAATTTCAAAACGCCATTAAATTTCCCTCCAGGATATGCTCGCTTGGTCGCTATGCTGCATACCTATCATTCAAAGTTTTTGGTATCCTAGATTAACCAGCCCTAGTATAAACACTTGTATGCCTTTAGCTTTATTATAATTTTCGAACTCCATCCCTCATGTGAACATGAAAAAAATTCCTCAATCCATTCTCATCAACTTTTCTTTCCCTTGTCTTTCTGTCCCAAACCTGATGTACCAAGAATATCATCGAAAGTCGATTCCTTTCTTCCAGCTGAAGATGCAGGTCGACCATCTGGATGGAGACTGATGACACTGTTTCGGCTGGCCACACTGTTGCGACCATATGGAGATGCGCCTCTTCTTCCCATGACGCTGACCGGTGATTCACGTCCACCTGCTGAGTCGGATCTGAATCCGGGTTCCATGTTACCTGGAATTGGTAGCATTTCCAAGCCCAACATGACGCTGTTCCTCTGGGATTGTCTGCTGTTGCTACGATTATCAATTCCGAGCATACCATTACTCGCAACACTAGATCTTCGAGAAGAATTATCACGATCTCGACTATTTGGTCGGCCCGAACCTCCACCAAATCCAGGAGGCGGCGCTAGCGGTGACAGTGGACCTTCGTCTTGATCCTCTGATAAAAATGGCTGGGAAAGGTCATTGGCTTCGGCATTGTTGATCCATTTCTGAGCGACAGTCCAACAATGTGACCTGCGATAGACACCTTCCGTACCATAGTTGACGACGTCACTAGGCAAACTGACTACTCCGTGACCACCTTGAACTCCATACCATGCCATTTTCACTCCAGACGCATCTTCCATCCAAGGTAAGTTACCTAGTGGCGGTTGACATAAGAAATAATCCACCCCTTCAGCGTATCGTAAATTGTCCACATCTACTACAAGCATGGGAAGTGATTGGACGACTGCATAGAGGAACAACCAATGTCCATATCTTTGGTCAGCCAATTCTTGAACATTCTTGCCCTTTGATTCTTTTTCCTCGAACGCTTTGTACATCTCCAAAAATGGAGTTTTCTTGTCAGCATCAAGGTTATGACTTTTGGCCAAGATGAGGAGTAGTTCATATTCCTTAAGTTTCCGGGTTGATGCTTTATGTTGATCTTTAGGTGACAAAAGAGGATAGCCAGGTTCGATAGATGCCATAGTTGGAACTTTAGGTACATCGAATGGGATGGGTGGTAGAACTGGTGGTGAAGATCTATCAAATTCAGCTAACACTTTGCGTGCCGCTAAATGAACTGGGTTCGCATGCGCCGCATCCTGGTCATCCGAGTCCATGGATCGAGTTGTGATGGCATCGCGATCAGCCAAAAGGTCGTAAAGATTACACATATCTGTATAAAGCTGCTTGAGTACTTGACGACTAAGACCTCCTTCAACAGATTGATTCTTCGTCTTGTGTTTTGGTGGCCATTGACCATGCACAATTTTGTAGTATGATAACATGTGTCTCCTCATGCCAATATAATTTGCCTTCCAATTTTGGAATCGAGCAATTTTAGATTCCGTACTGGTCTTTGATGCTGCCACACCAGAAAACAAAGCAGGGTACTCAAATTCCGCCAAACGTTCCTCGGCACGTTGCTGTCGCTGAGAAAGTTCCAAGGATGCTCGTTCCAATCGATCGCGTGTGTTAGTTGAGATTTCATTGAAAAGGTTTGATTTAAGATCCTTGATTGAGTGCCATTTACCAGCCGCATGTACGAATGCCTCGTGATATAACTCTGTAGATCTCATGCGCTCTCCTAACACAAGCGCCTCGATGTTCTTTTCTCGACTTTGTCTAACATCAGCTAAACGATATTCGTCCAGGAAGAATGCAAAGCTAGCTGCTGCGGCCTCCCCATAAGTTGATCCATCAAAGTTTGTAAATTCGAATTTTTGTAGAATTGAGGATATGGTCAAGAATATATGATAGATACTAGGACAAGCCTTGGTTGCGACAAGTGGTTGACCGGTCATAAATGCAAAGAAATTTCGAACATCGGCCAGATTTTGAATGTCCTCGGGAGAGAATTTAGTAGGATCATCAGTCGACAGATCTATTGGGAAATAGAGATGAACTTCTCCATTGTCTTCGGGCAATGGATTCATGTAATCCGAAGATGCTTCAGATTCAGCTGGTCCATCAATAGGAGTTTCCGGAGGTGTACCCGTCTGTGTTGATGCGTCTGGACTTTGTCTACCGGTAGAGCCGAGGCTCGTCGACCTACGCTTGGTAATACTGTTGGCTAAAAGTTCGTGGAGAGGTCCGGATGATGATAAGATCAAGGAAGGAACTTTGAAAGATGGTCCATGACTGAATGATTCTGGAAAGACGTGTACAAATGTATCGCAATATTCCTCCCATAATTCTGGTACCTATAATCTATCAGCTACAATGCTTCTTTGAGCGGTCCGCCGATAGGATCACTACCTTCTCACCACCGGTAACAAGTGAAATATTGTAATCGATTTTTTGATCCCCTGCAATAACCCAAGCAGGCGATCTACCATCCGTACCGGAATGTGATGATGAATGTCTCGACTTCGTCTTTACGGGGAAAAAACTCCTCCGTTTGGTTACCTTTGCGTTATTCTCGCCATCGGAAATGAATGAAGCTGGGCGACTAGATATAGGAGACGAAACTGATCTATTTCCATTGCCACCAACTGCCGAGAAGGAAGATGGAGGCGCAAGGGAATTCACCTTCGAGATCGAACCGTGCCTGCCTCTTCGTTCTGGGACTTCATTGACAGGTGGTTCTGCTGCATCTGGCGATGCTGATGCATTGGACGGCGACGGGGTGTTGCGAGGTTGTTCCTTTTGTAATTTATTGGATGCTTGTTGAGTCGGTGATGCTGCTGGCGCAAGGGGAGCACTGTTGGGTGTAGAGGGGATCGCGGGGACAGGTGGGATATCTGCGGGAGCTGCAGGAGACGGTGGTGGTCGAATAGGAATGTTGGGAATTTGAGGCACAGGTGGAATCTTTTCTTTGGTGAATTTAGAATCTGTGTCTACAAAAAGATTTGGAAGATATGCCGAAATGCGGTGCAAGCGGGAGACGGATCTCGACCTCTGTTTGGGACTAGAGCTCATCTTGAATTCTTCTAGTTTAGGTACTTCCGCAATAGCTTCTGCTTCTGCTTCTGCTTCTAGCTCCTTCTCTGATTCCTCCGGCAAGAAATCGAAAAGTTTTGGAGTAGGAGTATTTTTTGAAGAAGACTTCAAGCTGTAAGGTAAAGGGTTGGAAATGAAAGTTGACTTACTCCGTAACGTCATGTTGTGCGACGCCCTCCTTTACTCTTGAGTAAAAATCGAATAGGGAGGATCTGCGAAAGTGGAGACCGGTGTATATAACTCTGCTTGCTTGCGGGCTATTTTTTAATATTTTGATGGATACCAGATATCCCCATGAAAGGTTTTAGTTGGGTGGATGGTGGATGTTTGAATTTGTGCACTTTCGGTATGTGGGGAATGCGGATTGTGCGTAATTTGGTTCGATGTGGCAGCGTGGACGGGTGATGATTTGGTTTGAGATGAGTCGTTCAGACCCTCTTCCAATGGTAAAGGAAGATTACGCGGCAGCAGCGGTGATGTGGATTCTCTCTTCTATTCGAAAGTGGATAAGGAACAGGAACGGAGGAGGGACGGCGGGAATGAAGTCTGAAGAATGAATGGATCGGGATTTGATAGATGAAGTTAATGTCCCTAAGATATCGTTCCCGAGATTCTATTTATTAATTGAACTGATTCCCTGTTAAAGATTCACCCATTTCATATCATATAAAGGACTGTTTGGTATAGTATGTATAGTAGTATATCATATACGCCAGCTGCGAATTTCTTTGATATTAAATTGAGGTAAAAAGAATGAGGTAAAGAGCAGGGCGCAAGAAACAAACGGGATTTTTCGGCGGTGCAAATGGACAAACAAATCTGGTGAATCTTATTGAAAAAGCTTTTGTGCGTGCTTGTTTCAATTTCAGGGTCCTTTGGTATGCGTAAGTACGTACGTATCGATGTAAGAGTATGGATTACTTCCGTGAATACCGAAGCTGCGGTCATATGTTGGTTGATACGTAGACGAAATGACTAGAAGGTATAAAACACTGGCTGATTCTTTTCGAGGAAGTGAGGCACTGAGCTGAAAAAGAGAAGCTGTCTCTTGTCATCAATCGAGTATGTAGTATTTTTGCTATGGCTAAAATTGATTCTTGGTCAAGTACAGGTGTAGGTAAGTAGTCCGTATGTAATACAGTAAGTTGTTGGTAGAGCTATCAAAAACTGATAGGGCGGTATTTCACATGCAATCAATGCAAGGTGTGAAATCTGTGATGGATGATGTTATGCCAAGGATCTACCAAGCTTGCACTGCCGAAGGAACATCAACCATCAGCCATCAGCCATCAGCCATCAGCCATCCGCCATCAGCCATCCAACCATCCAACCATCACCATGGAAAAGGACAACTCGGTCTCTGATATCGGCCTTTTTGAAACATTTAATTCCGTTCCGATGATGTCTTTCCTCTCTCCGTGACTCTTTTGGAATCCTCGTACCATGGACAAGACTACTCACCTATTATCCGCCTACTCCATAAGAGAATTGATCTAGCGTGAATTACTTAAAATTGCTGTGTCTAATAAAACACATGAAATCTCCTCATTGAAACAAATTCTTGCTACATCCATCTATATCAATTTGTATTAGATAAAATTGACCATCTAACAATTGTCCGGTTGGTGAAGACTCAAGAGTGCTCCTTAACCACCATCCTCTCAAATCCTCTCTCGAAAGAGTCCTGGTCACCGAGCCAAGAAGAAGCCCATTAAAGGTCCAAGGCCGGCCAAGGATATTTTACGGATACCTAGCTTGACGAATTTCATACGGTGGAAACACTACTAAGCCGCAGAGTACAGACTACTACAGGGGATGGTAAAGAAGAAGGTTATTATGATGGTTAGTGAGCACGATCTGTATGAGTGGCTGTGTCTTGCGTGCGCTTGTTATGTTTGAAAACGTTGCTCTTTTTCTCTTTTTCTTTTGACACAAGACAACCCGGCCACGGTTGAGGTCAAAGAATCCAAAAGGTCAAACCTTTACAACTAACCCACCCAGCATGTTTATGTATTTCTTACAGATGTATTTCCCACAGAGTATTATCAGGTTGTGGCTGAGACGTTTGGTGTGATGATTAGATCAGGAGAGAAATATTGAACGTCTCGTCGCCACCAAAAAAAAGGGGGGTTAAAAATAGCACAAGTCTTGAAGTCTTGAAAACCCTTTTCACCACATGCGCAGATCATTCCAAAACACTATCGATATGCAGCCGCCGTGTTCAACTCTTTCTTTCAAGAGAGAATACCCGCACGTACACACACATTTTTGCTTACGTATCAATTCGAACCTCACAAGTTTTATTATCACAACTTGACATTAAAGAAAGTCCAGTGAGGAGTTTCGAGCGATTCCTGTCGCGAGAGGAAGAAGGCCTGTCCTGGTACTGAGTCTATCAAATCTATTTATGTTTCATTACCCCCTTATCCACTCACCCAACCTTTTTCCCCTCTTTGCTGTGTCGCTACCATTAATGGTTTCTGAATATTAGAACGTCATTTAATTGCAAGATTTGCAAGATTGAATGGTAGGATCTTACCAGGATAAGCCAAATCTTCTTGCAGCAGATCACGGGTCAGTCGGATCTCCAGCGTTACATTGAGGAATTATTCTAGAGTGCGGAGCCGAGTCTCGAGTATTACTTACCCATCAGCATGGGATTTGATTGGCAGGAAGTCCTTTTCCATCTTTTGAACTACCCTGTCACAATCTCTTACCGCCGCTGGTTTCGAAGATAAGTATATCTTCATTGTTGGATTTTACGACTGCCAAGAGGAGAATAACATGTAAGCTGCCTGAGTAGAACTCGGAGCATTTTGACTCTTGGCATCGCTCCAAAAAAAAAACCGTTTATGCCAAGAAATGAAAGACCAGGCCCGTTCCGCGTCCCCTTACAGTATATATGTACTTCAACATCCGCCGTCATTAAAAGTCCCGAAAGGCTCCACGCAGGGGTTTTCTCTTGTTTTCCTTTCCTTTTCTTTTTCCTCTTTTCTTTCTTCAATTATTGTACTGATTACTTCGGTTTCGATTTCGGTTTCGATTTTGTTAGTAATGGTTGCATTTTCTTTCGGGGGCGAACACAAAATATTTGTAAACGCTACACTATCCGATGTTTATGCGATCCAATGAAGCTTGCTTGATTGCAGCGGGAAAACCAAGTGTGAGTGGGCAGAAGTGGAAACGGAGGAAGAAAGCTTTTATTTTTTAAGCTCCACGCAACGACTCCTGTTATACTTGAATGTTTCTACCAAGTTGTTACGAGTACTCATGTACGTAGCTGCTACGTACATAGCCGATGGAAGACAAGTACAGTATACTTTTCCGGAGACATAACAATGCTTGCAAATCCGGATATTCTACGGAATATCATCTAATGATAATCAGGTCCTCAACGAGGATGCATCATGAACACGGCACTTTTCGTTCGTGCGTAACGGGAAAACAATGCAATGCTGACATTTGTTTGGTTCTTACCGTGTAGACTGACAATGAGGCTGACCCAAGTGTGCGGAACTCGTTCATATTCATCGAATGAAGTTGGGCGGAATTCGTTCTACACCGGTTAGCCATATATTTTTCTACAAGGAATGGCATTTCCCACGAATTAGAACCGCGGAGTCCCCACGAATGCGGGGGTGACCTTGCCAAGAACCCCATGTTTGCCGCTCAACAGGGAAATAAATCGCCTATGGGGTTCCCGTCAATGTATATCAATGTGACGTTGCAAAGGTTTAAACATTTTCCCGTACATATGGGTAAAACTAAGATGGAGTACTCGAGTACCTACATGTCTTTTTTACCCCTCATCTTACAACGTGTTGTACTCCGTAAGACCGACCTGTCTTTCTTGCGCGGAAATTCTGGTTGCGCTAGTCACTACTACCTACTACTATCGGTGTAGCGGGTCCGAAGAAGTAGCACAGCATATGATCGGTCTGTTGTTCGTTTTCAAGCAATCCCATTTCATCTTTGAACATCTCAATTCTTTTCTTACGACTGCAAATCAAAATGGTCCAGTCTGAAAAGCCAGAAGTTGCTCAAATCGAAGCTGCTCGTGAAGCTCCTTCAGCTCAAAATGGATTCTACATAGACCCCGAGATCGAGAAAAGAGTGGTGCGAAAGTTGGACAAAAGGCTTATTCCACTGGTGATGCTATTGTGTAAGCAACATAACCCGGATTCCATGTGCAGAGATTAATCGACTTTTATAACAGATCTTCTATCATATCTTGATCGGTCAAATATTGGGTATGTTGAAGACTTGAGGATATGAGCGCTACAGTATTTCTGACACTACAATAGCAATGCTAAAACTGCTGGGATGACGAAAGATCTGGACATATCTAGCCCAGAATACGAATGGCTATTGACAATCTTTTATATTTCATACATCGTGTTCGAATGGTTTGCTTTGATGTGGAAGGTTCTTCCTCCACACGTATGGGCTTGCTTTTGTGTGGTTGGGTGGGGTAAGTTACTTCATTTCATTTTGTTCGATTTCCATTAGTGTTTAGACGTTTTTATCATCTGCGTTCTCAATACATTCCTACCACTTTGGTTACTAAATTTTTCGGAGACATTCTTAATTATGCAACTACTAACCTCTCGATGTCACAGGTACGGTCGCCACTCTTCAATCAGCCACGCAATCATGGTCTGGTATGATGGCAGCTAGATTTTTCCTTGGATTCTTCGAAGCAGGTTATGGACCCGGTATTCCATACCTCTTATCCTTTTTCTACCTGCGCCACGAAATCGGCATACGTATTGGACTTTTCTTAAGTGCTGCACCCTTGGCAACTTGCTTTGCAGGTGCATTAGCATATGGTATCACTAGTGGACATGCTGCGATTGCCAATTGGCGTCTTCTATTTCTGGTTGAGGGTCTACCATGTGTGGCTACTGGAATTTTGACATATTTTGTCTTGCCTGATAGTCCCGAGAAAGCACGCTTTTTGAATGAAGAAGAGAAGGCGGTCGCCAGAGCACGAGGTGTACGACAAGTAGGCGCAGAAGAAGAACGTGCTGGAGGTGTTAAATGGGCTGATATTGCTGCCGCTCTTGTGGATCCCAAAGTACGTTTCATCTTACGTCTCTTTCTTAAAGGTTTAATTTCTAACGGCATAATTAGAATTATCTCACAGCATTCATGTATTTCTCATGCAATGTCTCATTCAGTTCCCTCCCTGTCTTCCTCCCCACCATTCTCAACGAGATGGGCTTTACCTCCGTCGATGCTCAAGGTTTATCCGCTCCACCATATTTCCTTGCGTTCCTCGTCGTCATCATTTCGGCTTATATTGCTGATCGCACTCAACAACGTGGTTATGTGCTCATGTGCCTGTCAGTTATTGGTGCCGTCGGATATATTTTACTAGTAAGCATAACCATTTCAAATATCTTATCTAATAAAGTTCATGCTGACGTACGCTCACAGGCCACCACGTCCTCGGTTGGTCCTCGGTACACTGGGGTTTGTCTCGCTGCGGCGGGTATCTTCCCCGCTATTGCGAATATCCTTCCCTGGGTCCTAAATAATCAAGGCTCAGACACCAAGCGCGGTGCTGGTATTGCAATTCTCAATATTGTCGGTCAATGTGGTCCTCTTCTTGGTACGAGGATGTATCCTACTGGAGATGCTCCATACTATCGCAAGGGAATGTGGGTTTGCACTGCTTTTATGATTTTCAATGGAATTTTGGCTTTTGCCTTGAGAACTCTGTTGAACTGGGAGAATAAGAGATTGGACCAGAAGTATGGTGAGGTGGGTAGAAGAGATGCTAACGGGATTGTGGTGGGTGAAAATCCAAAGACGGGAGAGACGATTGGTGCCGGTGTTGGAGATGAGAATGATGGGCCTACGTTTAGATATGTTTTGTGATTTTGCATGATGCTTAAGTTGGTGGCATATGTGGTTAAGAGATATAAGATATATATATTCTCTGCAATATCAAAATACATGATGAAGAAACAAGCTTCTACTTAATATCTTGGCTACCTTGGCTGTCTCAGCCGGCGTGATTGTGGTCGAAACATAATTCCGAAATTGAGACCAGTGAAAAATACCGCTGTTCCATAAGCACTCAATTCTAGAAGCGTGTATCTATCTTCATATTTACCACAAAGCTAAGGTTGAGTCTTTAACTTCTAGGTAGACCATAAAATCTAATGCAAAAAGCTTCTTTCTACTCCATGTGCATATGCATTCAGCCGCTAAATTTACTATACTTTTGCCCGGTTGCCCGGTCAAATTAGCTTCACAAAGCAAAAAGCCTTTCGGATGTTTTCAATGGTACGAGCGTGAAAATGTGGGATCGGTGACAATATTCGGTTTATAAAGCACCATTTTTGATGTGAAAAATCCTCGATATATGATTCCAAAAACTTGAGTTTCATCATCTACCGATTGATTTCTCTGCGGAATTCAGAGATTATACCTTTCCTGTAGAGAGTGCAGTTTAAAAGCTTCTATGATTCTTAAAAAGCTCATCCTGAACTCATCCAAGTGATCCCTGAAACCACCTTGCAAGGCTATCATCCCTCACTACCTACACAAGACGATCAAATCTTTTCTCCAAAGTAAACAAACAAAAGAAGGTACCAGGCATGCATACCATTCAATACACGATATCCAATACACCAATGCATAGCGAACGGTAAGATTTCCAATTTCCTTTCATTCAATAAAACATTCCATCTAACATCCACGAGTATCAATGACCAATACATTCCAACCCAGATTTCTGCGCGCGCTATTCCCGCAACAATTTCCCGAGGGAGGTCAGAATTCGAAATCTTCTCTTCAAGGTCATCATCGTAATAAACGCGTTAAATATATTCATGAACCGTCATCGGTGGATGAAGATGTTTTCGAAGAATATGATGCGCTGGATACGCTCGATACGGCGGACCAGGGAATAGATGATGATGAGAATCAATTGAGATTAGAGCATAAATCGTGTGCGAAAGCTATGATAAGAAGGAAGATGGCGGAACGTGTTACGATTGATCCGGATGGTGATTTATTATTGATATTGAATGAGCGGAGGAAGTGTAGTAAGAGGAAGATTGAAGCGCTTGCGGTGGTGCCGATTGATGATTCGGGGATTGGGATGGAGACGGGAACGGGGACAGATGGAGAGGTGCCGGAGGTTTTGGAGACGGTGGAAGAAGATCCGTATAATGCAGATGCGGAGAAGGAGAAGGAGAAGGAGAAGAAACAGAATGAATTAAAGGAAATTCATATGTTGGTTTCATCTAAACATATGGTTCTCGTTTCGCCGGTTTTCAAGGCGATGCTTCAATGGAGTAATTTCAAGGATGGATATGCTATGAAAGCTCATGGAAAAGTCGAAGTTCCATTACCGGATGATGATCCGGAAGCTATGAGGATACTGGTGGATATTGTTCATTGTCATCATAAAGATGTTCCTCGAAAGGTTAAACTTGGTTTACTTACGCATCTGGCTATTTTGGTGGATAAATATAGGTTACATGAAGCTGTGCAGATATATTCCGATATGTGGATTTCACATGCAAAAAGGAAGTTTCCCTCTTCGATGGCGGAGGATGGGACGGAGGTTTGTCTTCAGTGGCTTTGTATCTCTTGGGTTTTTGAAAAAAGTCGTGATTTTACGGCTATGACGAGGATATTTCAACAAGAGAGTACACAGAGTTTATCAGAAATGATTTCAGTTTCAGCTTGGGATATTCCCGTCCCTGGTACCGTTATTGGTAGGTAAACCTGATTTCGAGTAATTAGCGAACTTTGAGCTAATCATTATTCAGATAATATCGAGCAAGACCGAATCCGAGCTCTCGATGAAGCAATCTCCGCACTCAGAGACACAATAGAAACCTACCAAACCTCAACCCTCGTATGTCGAGGTCGACCTACACATCTACCCATCGATCAAATCCCTCAACATAACAAACAATGCGACGCCATGGTTCTAGGAATGTTGATTAAAGAAGCTATTTATCATAATCTCTATCCACTCCCAGAAGCTCCATACACGGGTCATTCATTCATTAGCATTTATGACAGTTACCAAAACTTCGATATCAAGAATGGTTGTGAAGTGGTATTATTGTGTAATTCTCATCCGGATAAGGAGGTGAAGGAGACGAAACATGTTTTTGGGGATGTGTTGATGGATTTGTTGATGCCGATTGAGGAGAGTTTGGGTGGTTTGGAACTTAATGGGTTTAAGGTTTCTTTGGGATTAGTTTGAATTTTTGGATTAGGATTAGGATTACAGTTCCGGTTGCATGTTGTGGGAAGTTGTGGAATGATTTTGTTATGCTTATTTGGATAATGGGATGGATGGCATTAGGTTGTTTAGGTTTTTGGTATATTTCTGGGCTGCGAGTTTTGTTATATAGATGCGTATTTTTATCCGTCTATATTGCATTCTAGGGTATAATTATCCAGTTTCTCATGTTGGGATTAGGATATCTTAATCACTTATTTGCTTACGGTTATAAAGTAAATAGTGTATAACATTTCCGTTAGTACTACTCGAGTCTAGCAATCTCTCGTATCTTCAACCTGTGTTTCGATATCGAGGTATATCATCTCATATATTGTAAAAGTGGTAGGTCGAGATACGTGCGTCCCGATGGCACGTTGTAAGGAGGAATTGAAGAGAAAGCTGAATTAGATTATATTGTAATACATCATTTATAAATAAAACAGAGTTCACAATAATTTTGGGATTGATGCTATATAGGTTCAAATGTATATATGTAAAAGGTTGATTATTCTCAAAAGAAGAGGCAAAAACTCTTTTTTTATATTTAATTATAAGAGGTCATATGATTGATTAGTTAAAAACCTTTATGTATTTGATATATAATTCCAACTTTCTCACAATATATTATATCATATAATTCCCTCACCATTCTCATTCACTATTCCCATCAGGATCTTACTTGCTTGCAATTGTAGATGTGCGTAGGGTGTAGAATAAATAATTTTCTTCTTTAAGTTTGTTTTAGATTGGATGGATGGATGGATGGATGGATGGATTGTATGAAATAAACTATATGATTCCGATGTGAAGAAATGGAGATGTGGTGGATGTGGTGGATATGGATTGGGAGAAGGAAGTTGTATGTAGAGAGTTAGTATATATTTAATGGTTAGTAGTTTATGGTTTATGGTTTATGGTTTGCGGGGAGTGTTTTGGTGTGGATGGGATGGGTGGAATGGGTAGGATGTAATAAGAAGGGATGGTAGAAGGGGAAGGAGGAATGGGAGAGAGGGGGGAATGGATGGGATGAAGGGAAAGGAAGAGGAAGAGGAGAGGAAGAGGAGAGGAAGAGAGGAAGAGGAAGAGGAGAGGAAGAGGAGAGAGAAAAGAAGAAGAAATGATTATCCGAATAAATATACATATATATAAGAATAAATAAATAAAATGTTCATTAATCAATTATAAAATTACATTACTAATCAATTATTTAAGGAAATAAATAATAAAATAAACTAAAGATATTTAAAATCAAATTAAAATTCACATTAAAGATTTAATAATTAGATATATAAATAGAAACTGTAAAGTGAGTTTATTGTTGTAATTATTACACCAAAACACAATCCTCCTCACCCTAACAATTCGACCTCAACTAGTAAATACAAAACTATTTCCAGAAATTTCTAGTCTAAAAAAGCTTGAAGTTATTCCAAAGCCCTAACTCCGAAGCTACCAACCCTCAAATCATAAAATCAACGTACCACATGCACATCCGTATCGGGAAGCTAATGTACTCTAGCTTCATCACACCTCCGCTTCATCAAAAATTTAACAATTTTATCCGAAACTTGTCTTGGTCAAGCAAGCATTTTGGCCATGGAACTGTATGTAAAATCATGCTTATTGTAAATCGAAGGGAATGTAGAATTTATTCTTAGTAGAGTATTTGCTGAAATTCTGCAGACGGGAGGAATAATAAGTAAGGGGAAGAGTATCGACTTGTAAGAGTAAAGCTTAAATGCGAGATTCATCTTCAATTCTCGGTTCCTGACATAGCGAATTTGTATAATATACTTTGGAGCTTGAGAACAATGGATCTAGAATCATAAACTTGAAGCTAGGAATCCCCCAAGAACATTTTCTCATATAGATAGATCACTGTGAAAAATTTGGATTTTAGATGTGGAAGGAGTTGATTTATCTTTATCGCGAAGGTGAAACTTCATATCAGACGAAGATAACGCCGTTATAATATATACTAATAACACTATATAGAAGCTGCAAACCCTTTTTCTCATACATGTGAATATGAGGGGTACGAGAAAAATCTTCGCTTAATTTTCTGTTTTGAGTTCGGGTGAGTAGACTAGATGGAGGAACTAAGGGCTAAAGCTTTTAGAGGTGCTTTAGTGGGTTAGTAGGGCTGTTAGTTCCACACTAGTTTATGACAGTTTTGATGGAGTTTTGAAGGGGGGGATTGCAGGAGAAGATTGCAATAGTTAGTTTTCTTTTTTGGGGGGAGCAGAGAAGTGAGAGGGGTAAATCATGTTGTGATTGAGCGCTTTGAGTTTGGTCTGATATACTATTGCCGCCGGGAGACTTTAGTTCAATGAACAGATGCGAATCATTTGTAACGCAGATATTAGTGGAAAATAAGACTGCCTGTCGAATTTTCTTCGAAAGGTATTAGACTCAGAAGTCTCTGCAAGATAGTATAATGGTTTTAACTCTTCGAAGCCGGGATTAATGTAATGGCGAAGAAGTGTTTGGCTTTGTGTATATACATTGGGTTTTCTTCCCCGCTACCCCAAATCTGAGTTGAGTGATCAAGGAAACTTAACAGTTATAGTGCGCAGGTGATACATTTCAGAAATGTACTATAATCTAGTAGAAGAGTAGAACAGTTTCCGACGACCGGAAGTGAAAGGGACTGATATCTATGAAATGGTTACTATTCAGTAGTTAGGGATCTACATTTTTCAAAAACGCAATTATAATGGCAGTGACGTCCTAATATTCCAAAATCAGCAAAGAACCAAGAGCCTATAATCGGTGGACTGCAGTCTAGGCCATTCCAGCACTGGACGAGGTGCTACATTATCATATTTTGAAGCTAAAAACTAGCCATGCTTTACCGTCTAGAAGTCCGCACAATGTTTGATTCTTCTAAAAGGATCCTTCTTCCTACTTTTCTTTCATTCCATTCTTCATCTCCACATCAAATCTTGAAATCTTACACTTTATCTCCATACAAAGCTTTACAACTTTCATCTTCATCTGATACGAAGTTTACACCTAACATCCTCATCCGCTCGCTAGAAAGTTCAAATCTCACATCTCCATCCTCATACGGAAACTTCCTATCGTACATTTCTAAAATTATCATACGAAATATATCACAATCTACAAATCGCTACAATCCAATCATGGCGAATAAAATCATCATTCAACAAGACGGTGACTTGACATTAGTCTTGCCTCCCGTATCAGAAACTTCCAAAATTCCTTATCTCTGTGCCGTAGAAAAGGGAAAGATGAATCACATTGTAGTTTCCTCCAAAATAATGATGGAAGCTTCGCCTGTATTCAAAGCCATGTTAGATGGCAGATTTCAGGAAGGAGAAATCTTGCAAAGGACTGGTAGAGTGGAGGTTTTACTCGACGACGAGAATCCCACGGCTATGAATATGTTGATCAATCTTATCTATGGTCATTGCTTGGGAGAATACAATGCTATTCCTTTGGATATAGATCTTCAGACTTTCACCGAGCTGGCAATCGTATTTGATAAATACCAGATTTATTTAAACGACACGTTTAAAGCTATCGCTCAGGAATGGAGAAATAAAATGCTGTCTCCAGATACAGTATTTGACGGAGATAACTTCGTTGCGGAAAATGCCTCTGTTATTCTTCCATGGATTTCTATTGCGTGGGTGTTTAAAATAGATGATATCTTCAGCAAATACAGCAAACTTCTTATAAAATATTGCACTCCGGAGAGTATTCAAAAAATGGTAGAAGCGTTCGAAGAAATGAACGTGTTCTTACCTATCCCAGATTCTCTTTACAGTAAGTTTATATTACAATATTAATCCTGCAAAAATCTCAATCGACTAACTAACTAATTAACTAACTAACGGAGCAAAGTTAAAATCGACGAAGTACGCCAAATAGAAATCGGAATCTGCTTCGATAACGTCATCAAATTGATAATCCAACATGATGAATATGCACCTACACGGTGCCACTGCGTTGCAGAGGAAAAAGAAAATTGTATTACAATAGGACGAAGAGCACTTTTTCGAAGCGCACAACGAATTGGTCTATGGCCACTACCCAAGGTCCCATACGAGGGATACGATGTGTATACGATTAAAAAGACATGCGAAAAGTTGCAGATACTTACGTGTCGACATCCAGTTGATCGGATCGTCAGTCTAATGATTTGCGTTGAGCCCGTTGGAATACGATTACTCAATATGGAGGCGCCGTTTATGGAGGATGCGGAATTGTCAAAAGATCTTATACCTAATCCAGGTGATGTGTTGGAGGGTTTGTTCTCTCCCAGTTATATCACCTCGGTTGGGAATAGATCGCGGGAGTGGGTCGATTGTTTAGCATATAAAGTTGTGAGGAGACAGGTCTTTTTGTACGGGCTTTGATTTTTGTATCGTACTGTATTAGCCTTGTAGAGGTTTTTGCGTGGTTTAATTTTACCTCTTCTGTTATGGTAGAGCGGGATGTATTCTACAAATTGTAGACAGCGAATTAATTTTAAAAAAGCAATTGCAAAAAAAAAAAACTAAATCATATTACGTAATCGTGCCTGACTCAAGGAAACTACCTCTACTATCTCATTTTAACATGATCGAGAAGTATATGATTAGGCCCGATGGTAACTGCACCTGTCATCTTCAACGCAGACCCAAAATTTCTATGAAGACATTAAAGTTAAGCGAGGATGAGAAAAGTAGGAGAGTGAAAGACATCAAAAACATCTCCAATAACCAGTGAAATCAGGAAAATCATGAAAGCAAAAGCGTCAAGGATATCTAAGTCGAAGAAGTAATATCCCGATCCCTTCAAAACATATGATGTTAGTATAACCGGCATTCAAGCCATATTTCAACACAGATGGTTCAAAGAGGGCGAACAATTACACACAGAATGTAGATTACAATCCCACCCGCTATTCTTTTACCCCTTTTCAGTTATCATGAATAACTAGTATTCAAAAGTCAAAATTAGCGAGCCAGCTAGTAGATCATATTATTCTCATCCTATTAAATTCATAAACCCATAACATTCCACTATAACACTCTTAATCATCATAAAAGAAACAGGAGAGATTACAAAATACAAAGAGTGATCAACATTCCCATATCCACCCTCACGCAAAGAAAACGATAATACAATTCCACCCATCCACCATATCATAAACCATTCTTTCCACTTCAATTCTAAACCCCCAAGAATCCTTAAATCGCACTAGGTTGATTAACCTGAGTAGTACCCACCTCACTCGGGGCATAAGTAGATTCCATTTGACCAGTCGTAACAGAAGTTCCGGTAAAACTAGGTGCATAACTTCCTGGTACTTGTTGTCCACTACTAACTCTACTCTCATCTACTTCAGATTGTTGAAGTCCTTGACGATAACCATCCTCAGTACCAACAACAGAACCCTCGACATTTTGTCCTTGTTGATGTTGAACACCCTCCTGACGCATTGCACCAGAATTGACGTTACCATGTGATTGGTCATCTTCCAAATCTAATTGCCAATCTCGAAGATCATCTTCAGCGTCGTTGAGAATTTGTCTAGCTTGTTCGGCATGTTCAAAAGGTGGGCGAGTATTTCCTGGTACGATTGGTGTATCGTCGAGAAGATTTAAAAGTCGACGTCCATGACGAGCAAGGATAATTTGTTTCTCTGCTCTTTCGATCGTGGCCGTAAATTCTGCATCATAAGCTTGCTTGATTTTCTTCCTCGTCTATAATTATCTTGTCAGCTCTACTCCACCTATGACTTTAGAAAGAGAAACTTACAATATTTGTTAATTGAGCCTCAGCAACCAATTGTTCTGCTTCTGCCCTGACCAACTCTTGCTCTAAAGTAACCAACGTAGCACTCTGAGGTTCCTTAGCCTTTAATTTGGCAATTTGATCTTCTAATTTATGTTTGTGATCTCGACTGGGTTGAACACTCTTCTCCGTATTTCGAATAGCTTTCAATATCCCTCTTGAATCATCCAAATTATGTGCATAATAATCTTCCTGATCTCCCATCTCACTCAACAATACACCAATCTTATCCGAAATATCCGAAATGCCATCATCTTCCGTAGCTTCACCCCATTCGGATAATTGAGTAGCAATCGAAACACGTTCTTTGCCTGCAGTTTCATATGCGGTGATGAGATTATTTTCCGTCTTGATGAGTTTGTAGAGTTTCTTGGAGAGATCTGGTTGATTCATTCCACGAAGAGATGAGAGGGAGAAATGTTTGGAAGAGGATCCATCTTTGGTAGAGGATTTACCTCCTGAGGATCGGATTGATAATGCTCGATTCCTGACAATAGTAATGTTAGCGATTATGACCTCGACCTGATGATCGGCGTAATTGAAAATGGGTCGGATGCAACGACTACGTAGACGTAGGAAAGGGGATTCATGAATGGGTGCGAACAAATGCTTTAAAGGGTTATTTTTCTCTCCAGATCCAGAAGCTCTGCTGGAATTCCCCCGTCGCAACATAGTTATAGCATATCCTTTGCGCAGAAATGAAAGTTATGGTAAGACTAGTGAAAAGATAGGCAGAGATAATCAAATAGAACTTACATCTTGATGGTGTGTGAGATTGGGAAAGGACTTTGTTTGGATACTAAAGTTGATCAGCTCTTTCCTTTCTAACAGTCCTTAACTCCTCAATATTCCATCGAATTTGACAACCAAATCCAAACAAGATAATCAGATCATCCTCAGAATTAAACCACTTCTGAATCTCCATTCCGTACGTAATCCATGACATCCATCGCATGAAAGCCATCCCTCAACAAGCAAGAACATCATCGCAACATGACGAGCACGAGAATAAAAGACCAACCTTGGAACTAAGCCACCTCACTTCTTAAGATGCGATGTATACCGATATTCGATGACTAGGATATGAAGATAGATAAATATAAAAATCGTTGATGGTAATCGATAACAAGGATGAATATGAATATAATATGAATATAATATGAATATGGATATGAATATGGATATGAATATGGATATGAATATGGATATGAATATGAATATCAAAGAAGCTTCCCTTCCCTTGCTTCTTTATGCAGGTTATTGCCCCACCATTGATGTTGACGTCATTTGTAGTGTAATGTACTAATGCTAATGTTGAACCTTATCGTCTGAATTCATGTGATGGATGTCGAGAATATTAATGAGCAGAATTCCAGGTTTTGGTTTTGGTTTTGGGGTAATTATTTCAGATGACATTGTTCCGGGTGGTGAAACTTTTAATAGGGAAAATGGAAATCGAGGATTCTCAATTTCATTCTGGGATTATGTAATCCAAGGTTTTTGGGGGAAATGATTGGTTGTGAGTGGAGTGGGATGAAGAGAAATGCATGATGATATTGTAAGCAACGTATGTCCCAGGCGGTACATTTCCATGCAAACTTTAACGTGGGCCATGCAATCGATACATTCATCATATATCACAATATTTCTATATCCAAATGTTCTATTAATGTAGAATCATCAATTCATTACTCGTTAACTCGTACAACTCATCCACCAACCTGGATAGCCCCGGCAGATAAATTCCCATAATCCCAAAGATATTAATCTTACAATCACCCCCAAAATCTAGAACCAAAATACCATATCAAGAATCGAAACCCAGCCCATCTAGCCAACAATGCCAGTTAGACATACATACACTCAACTCACAAAGCATCACCCACACACCTCACCCATCCACACACCTCACTCATTCATCCACCGAAACCATCCCAAACGCCCATGTATATATATATATATATATATATTACCAAGTACACCCCAGCACAACCCTCCCAAAACCACCCAATCTAGCCCCCCAAAACACAAAACTCACGGCGAGACAACACCTCAATAATGATGTCTATAAGTCGAACTACGATAACTCGTCTGACTAGCCCTCGGACTCGCAGTAACATAAGTCCTACTAACAGGTCTAGATGTCACCGAAGTAACAGAAACTCGTTGCGGATGATGATGAGAGTGGTGCGAATGGTGAGAGTGATGGTGGTGATGAGAGCGACTGGATACGGGACGAGGTGCGTAGACGACTTCGCGGACGATGGGTTCGCGGTAATGTTTTGTTTTGGTTGGCCAGCACATTTTGAGGATGGGTGTGTGTGTGTGTGTGCGTGTGCGCGTGTGCTTGGAGGTGTTTGTTTGTATATTTTGTGATTTTAAGAGTTTGGGATTAACTCTCGAATGTTCGAATGGTGTATGGATGATGGATGATTGGCTGATAGCTTATTTGAAGACGAAGATAACCTTACAATATAGTGGTGATTTTAATAGAAAACTAAAAATTATTAAACGTGGGAAATGCTTACATTTATAAAAATTCCCGCAGCTGTCATCATCCCCTCAATCAAGTAATAATGAGATATCATGCAAACCGAGGCGGGATATAGCATCAGCCAAGTCCACATTGCAGCGGTCTCCCATGAATATATTGGATATCCCAGCGAATACCACCCCACCATTTTCCGAACCCTGGCTAGGTATGGAGTAGAGAACAAACCCCAGCCTCACCCAGTTGATGATGCTAGAAACTTTTATCTTTTCTTCCTTTTCTGGGCGGACTTTTGAGCCTCATTTGATGTTGTCATACGGAGGAAGCATGATGAGGAAAAATCATTATCCTTGAATAAGCAACTCGATTCTATCAGATTGCTCAGTCCGCAGTCAGAATTCTCCCCATCGGAAACCAACAACGAAACCCTATCTATCATTGATAAATCCTAGACACATCGAATTCTCCATTCTCTTTTGACCTTCTCACGATCATGCAAAATACTAATACTTGTACGACCAGTGGAGAAGCTCTTCGTAGAATATTTTATTGCCGTCGGGTCGAAATCTTCACCATCTTGATTTCTGTAAGATTACAACTTTAACGAGGTTGGACTAGAATCATTGGATATGAACTTTCCGAGTTTTCGAGGCCATTTTCCCCCTAGTTTTCTAGCTGCACGGGTGCACGTCAGTCTGCATTAGTTCTATGCGCCTTATTTATTTTATTTATTTTATTTATTTTATTTATTTTATTTATTTTATTTATTTTATCGTGGGGTTAATCTTCTTATCGTGGCAAGTTCTAGATTCCTTTTTTCGTTTCCTCCTCGGCACATCACATCATTGTCGAGATTAAATCCAAAGACGATAACCGTTATCGATGTGCGTCTTAGACAGCTACAAGGGGAAAAGATACTAGATGCGAAATTCGATTTTTCGAGGACATGATGATCAATAGAAAGAAAGAATTCCCAATCGAGCAAATGGATCGATGGAGGGAGCTATAGATAGATGTATAAATTAGCAGGTTCAATCACATTTAAAATGACTTTTTTGGTGGAATGAAAGCCTTTTTTTTCTATCAATACCTATGCCAGTTCAATACCTATGCCAGTGTTACTTTACCACTCTCTATTATTTTCAACTAAACCCAGAATGTAAGTCACACTTTAAATCGAGTAAAGCAAAGAGCACTCTTTCTGTTCACGGTTGCCATCAAACTCACATCTTGTCGCTCTAGCTTCATCGAAAATAGTCTCTTAGTCCTACTGTTGTTCTGTGCCGGAGCGCCGGATGCTAGCTCATGGACCTCTGGATGATTGTTGTGTTTGCAGCTAGGAATTTTGCTATATATCTTTTAGAAAAGATGATCACTGTTACCCTTTCGATTTTAGATAGGCTTCATAAAACGCCAAGATACAACATATGTGGTTTCATAATATATCAATCTGCTCCTGTAAACGATGCTGCTATGAAATGGTAACTTTCCATTCCCTCGTTTACCCCATTTCTATTAGAAATGAACGATACATCTGGGGTATTGGCATGAGAAAGGTACGAAAGTGATAACAGTGACCCCAGCCTTGTAGTGAGTCGAGGAAAGTATCAATGAAACCTTGTAATAAAGCATGGAAATCACATGTATCCCATTCGAAACACAACAGAACGCTTCGTTGAAGTATTACTTCTGCCAAAGGGTCTCTAGGGCGTCATTACTGCGAGACACCTCAAGATTTCTCTTTCCATATGAATTAAAGGAGTAAGAGATGTTTGAGGATGTCTGGGAACTTTATTCCAATGTTGCTAAGCCAGAATTGAAAATAGTCAAGCAATACCATCGGCAGGAGAGCACTATCAATTCACGAACTGTATCTTGTGCAAAACCGAAGGAAGACATAACAACATAATGCAAACGCTTGATCGATCCAATAAACCTTTTTTTGATCGCACAAAAGTCGAGCTGATTTAAACTGGTCCGTATGAGTTTCCTCCTAGTTACGGCCCGTTGGTGATTGTGTGTCAATCGTGAGTATGAGACATTGCCCTGAGCCTCGCTCAAGTATTTTCGCGTTTGCGAGAAGCTTCATCAGACTCCCTTGTAGCCCAGAATCGTAAGAGCAATTTCACATACTCCATACTTCGCCTAGTTCACTCCATCGCTGTTATGGGAGCAAAAATGGGATCCGACATGATCTATGAAATCAACGGCCCATAGCATGGAACATTGGCGATGTGAATTGTTCTACTGAATAAGGTTATAAAAATGAACCAAAGTAAAGGCCTGTGACACTAACCTGTAGAGTCCGGGGAACAAAAATTTGAAGTCGGTGCAACGGTTAGTTATGCTCGGATGAATCCGAAATCCATAATAATTGTATTGTAAATATTATTTTAATTAGTTGGGACTTGATTCATGATAAAATACTAAAAAGTACATCTTCAACTCTCATAATAACTTTGGTGGGGTTGAAATGTCATCATATTCGTTGTGTTAAAGCGACACCAAAACAAAGGAGTTCACCGGCCAACTGAGCACGCGAGCACGCGAGCGCGCGAACTAAACGCCTAAACCTAATTAGGTGATGTATAATAGAATTCTATTATCAGAAATCAATCTTTTCAAAATACATATTAATTCGGTTATTTGATATAAAGATTTATATAATTAAGATATTGAAAGAAAATTTATTTTTATTTTAAATAAAATATTAAAAATTTTTATTATAATGGTATAAAAATTTAAATTAAATTTTAATCTGGTTACAGTTACAACCAAAAAAAAAAAAGAATGTCAATTATTTAATTTCTCTCTTTTGAAAAGTTTAAAATATATTAAATTATATTTTGATAAGTCTACAGTCTTTCTTCAAAGACTAAGTTGTTGAAAAAGTTAAAGGCGACTGCCAGACAGAACACACAACAACAAATGCACGTCACATATTTTGAAATAAATTGTATGACGAATTAGGCCACGGCTGAAATTGTTGTCGTTGGTGGATTGTGGAGGTGGCGAAGCAATGAATAAATCAACCAAAGCTCCGAGCCCCGATAGGCACGTTGTCGCGAAAATAACCTAAGCTAGCGAGCGTGTTGCGTGTTCCGTTTTCTTTCTTCCCCTTTCCCGACAACTACAACATCTCTATACGCGATACTTTCCTCATCTATGGCACAGTTAGGAACAACGAGTTCTCTCTCCGATAACGAAATCATCGCACAGAACCCAATCGGAAATGGCTTGGATGATTTTCGTCGTCTTTTCAGAGAAAAATGCGAAGAGCTTGGTGTCTCGGAGGTCGAACAATTAGTGGAAACATCTAGGATAGGCAAGTAAAAACGTTTACACCTAGAATCAGTGCTAATTTTGTGTAGATGGCAAACTTTTGGCGCATGGGCTTTTAACGGCACTACAAACCGTCCCGCCAGCTTCTCTTCTCAAATCTCGTACCGGTGCCGATAGTCTTATACGGGATCTTAACAATTTGGGACGGCAGACATTTTCCAATGACTTCAACCTTTCACCGTGTATCCCACTCTTCAAGGCAGTTGACAGCCATGCATCCGACGTCGAGATTTTTGATGCACTCTTCGTTCTCCTCGCCAGACCAACTACTCCCCCTCAAACCGGACCAACCACTCCCCCTCAATCCATCCTAACTTTTGCCTCCACCTTCATGCAGACACCGATCTCGAACAGCACTGGCCATCTCGCAGACTCATCCGAGCTTCTGAAGGATATTGATCCAACACTCAAAAAAGAAGCAGAAGATAGGCTTATAGTGGATCTTCCAGACTTTTTTAGCACTTTCTTTGAACCAATTCCAAGGCTTTCAGAGATTGCAGACATTGTATTCCACATGTGCAAAGATTCAGAATATAGGGAAGAAACTGGCTGGGTAGGATGGCCAAACGATTGTAAAGAGTCCAAGGTTTTGGCCTGGCTCAAGGGCTCTATTAAAAAACTTCTTTTTTTCGCGAGCGAAAGAGGTTTTCATCCCGTCAAAGATCGTCAAATTGTCGCCACTCCAAATCAACCTATTCCTGGATCAGTCGCAAAAAGAAAATTGGATATCGGCTTGATCTACAGTTCAAGCGACGAAGCTCTAAACTGGTCCCAGATCCTTGTTCCTGGCGAGCTCAAAAGCAATCGGGCGGAAGACAATCATCGCCACACTTGGCTTGGGCTCATGAAATACGTACGGGAGGTATTCCGTGCACAAGATACGCGTCGGTTCGTTATGGGCTTTACAATCTGCGGTTCACTCATGCGGCTTTGGAGATTTGATAGACTTGGAGGAATGGCTTCTAAATCATTCGATATTAATAAAGATGGTAAAATGTTTGTTTCGGCGATTCTAGGGTATCTGTGGATGGATGAGGAAGGTCTAGGCTTTGATCCTACCATACTAAAAGAAGATGCTAAAAAATACATTAAGATCCAGCGGAATGGTTTGGAAGAGCGGCTTTATTTGGATGAACTTATGCAGCGGCAGGCTTGTGTTTTTGGTCGAGCGACTACCTGTTGGAGAGGCCACGTCAATGGGGACACGCAACTAGTCATCAAGGATTCATGGGAGTATGAGGAGCGACCCGAAGAGGGTGCTTTGCTGAAAGAAGCTACGGAAGCTGGAGTACAGAATATATCTCGTTACTATCATCATGAGACTGTCCATGTTGGGAACGCAGTCGACGATGCTCGCAATAATGTTCGCAACGGATTACAGGACGCCAGCGGGAGAAATCCATTCCAAGGGCACCAATCTGCAATATCTGAATCTACTACAAGCTCAGTCACGTCTGGCAGGTTGGAAGGGATGAGAGGAAGGGGCAGAGGCAGGGGCAGAGGCAGAAGCGGAAGCAGAAGCAGCATCAAAAGCATCACACGCAAGAGATCTTCGAGCTCTACACATCTGTCAACGCCGACTCCGAAACGCGTCTGCTCAGACGCCCCTGCGGTTCAAAAAGACATTCAACAACAATACAATCCAGTCCATCGTCGTGTGATTATGCGCGATGTGGGGAAGAGCATTTACGATGCAACCTCCCTCAGAGCTTTGCTGACGGGGCTACTTGGTGGGATTAAAGGTAAATAATGTACTGGAGATGACTTTGGATTCTACTAACTAATTAATCAAGGACATGAGTCGCTACTGAACGGTGGGATCCTCCATCGTGATATATCCATCGGAAATGTTATGCTGAATGAGGCTGAGGACGACGCTTTTCTGATCGATCTCGATCTTGCTGTTAAAATTAACCGTGAAAAGGCTTCTGGAGCACCAAGCAAAACTGGCACGAAGGTATTTATGGCAATCGGTATACTTTATGGCGAGCATCATAGTTTCATGCATGATTTAGAGTCATTCTTTTGGGTATTCTTCTGGATTTGCGTACATTGGAATGGGCCTGAGTGGCCAAGAGAGGATAAACAGGAATACTCAAATTGGAATCACGCGGACCCAAAAAATCTGGGTAAGATGAAGTCAGGCACGGTCCTTGGCAAAAGTGAATTCGTTGAGGAGGTGGAATCAAATTTCACATATTACTGCGAGCCGTTGATACCCTGCATTAAACAGCTTCATGAAGTGGTATTTCCAGATGGTAAACGGTGGTCAACTGAAAATCGACGGTTGTATTCGCAAATGAAGTCAGTACTGGAGAATGCGAGAGAAGCCTTGGAAGTGTAGTTCAATTGAAGAATTTCAATCCGGCCGACCTTCTTTAGCGTCACGAATGAAGATGTTCCGTAGATATGTTTCGCTAGCTCATGTAATCCCTCTTTGATTAATACTTCCTGCAATTCTTTCAACTGTCCTTATCCAGTAGATGATGAGCCAAGAGAAAGAGATGATGCTTTACTCAACGTCGGGGTCTAAGTGATGGCACTATGAAATCGACAACTTCGGGCTTGGGTTCCTCTGCGGATAGTGAGCTCCTTGGCTACCTCTACTAGAGTCTTCTCACGCTCTTCCTCCAATCTCTCCTGTTCAAGACGCTTTTTTCTCGCTGGAGCCTTGAATTTCCCCCTTCTCGCGGGCCTGAATTACAACATTCACTATTTATTGAAAGGGTCTGATCTGTCTCGCGTAGCGACGGCTTTCAAGTGCTACACATAAGTTCTTTTATTTGCCTTCAAAGGCCAAGCGCCATGGAGTTTATGGATACGGGCTATGGTTAACTCCCCGCACTTAAACATCATCATTTATCATGCCAATAATTTCAAAAGCTAATGTCAAATTACACATCTTTCATCACTCTAGTTCTCAACTTGACGGCAAAGATCAACATATGTACAACATCTTTCACCACGCACCATCACATACTCCACCATCACGATTCTTTCTCTTTTCCCCACCCTCTCATCCCATCCCATCCCATCCCATCCCATCCGTTAGCCTCCTCTCCACCTAACAAGTAAAAACCGCCGGTCCAGGTACAGTATAAGGCTGCGACACATACATATCATACGTAATACCGGGATCAGTGGCAGTATAAACCCCAGGAATAGCCACCTTGCTACTGGGACCTGTACTAGTGCCACTTCCCGTAACTTGTATCTGGTGACAAGATGGATAGAATTGCGCGCCTGGATATGTCCACGCGGCATGCAGAGCGATGATTTCATGTCGCACGATGTACGATCCCGCCGCTAGACAGGAGGGTATCGTATAGGAGTAGGAGTTTCCGGCTGTCATGAGGGGTGTGTCGCCCCAGACCGAGGAGTTGCCAATGCGTCCTGTGGCTTGGACTTTGAACCAGACGGCGCTGTTTGAGGCGGTTGATTAGTAGGGGTTGTTATGATGGATAGTCGGGGAATCGGACGTGAGAGGACTTACTCAGTTCCTGGTAAATAAGTACTACATCCCGCAGCTGGACATTTCGCCATATACGTAATGACCGGTCCGGCTTCACATGTACGAATTAGCACTATCCTAATCTTACCATTCCCTATTTCCTCAATTGTCCAATCATCATCATCATCATCATCATCATCATCATCATCATCATCATCATCACCATCGCCACCACTAGAAAGAAACGACTAAAAACTTACAATGACTCTCAGGCCAAAGCGTCCATCTCAAACTAACCGTACTCCCAGCCGCAACCGGACCCCCTGTTAAATTAGCAGGTTTAGAACCTACGAATCCTCCTTCGGAATAACCGCCACATTGGAGATCGATAAGAGATAGATCTGTTATGGGACCATTGCCTTGCACGGGACGGACGATACGCGGAGGAGGCGTGGCGTAGTATGGATCTGAGTTGGGCTTTTATGGGGAGTTGGTGAGTTAGTAGGATGTAATAGGGATGTTTTGGAGGGGGAAAGTAATCTTACTTGATATCCCTAGGTAAAAGTGCGTTAGTTACGCTTTCGCTTGTTTTTATCGGATGGAAATGGAAAGGATCTTACTGTATAGAGAATTCCATTAATCGTCACATTGTCAACATATCCATGAGCTGCAACGGTAGCCGCAAAGACGAGAAGATTTGAGAGAGTTTTCAAATGCATTGTAACTTCTTGAAGCAAGTGGGAAGTAACAATCGAGTCTACAAAATCCAAATTTACAAACTCCATTAATATATTAGCAGCACATATATATAAGAGCTGGACCTGAAAAATTCACACATGGTACATTTTGCCCGTTTCACGGCCCGCCGCTCCAATATCCCTCTTTAGTCACATCATCAGTATGTTCATCCTCCTCACACTAATCATCCAATTCGAAATTTCGCTACTCGTATCTTCCACCTCACACCCTTTTAAATGCCCAGCATTTTCAAAAAATTTATTCACCGTCGGCCAGCCTACCCGTCGCTCACCCAATCTTTCCACAAACAAGCATTCAACGTTGAACAGCGTAAGCGAAAATGTGGGGAAGGGTGACTCTGCACTAAGGGCTATTCTTCCGGTTATATGTTGGTATATATCACCCTGAGTCACATGGCGACGAGCAGCGGGCTTGGCATATTTCGCCTGGAACATTGTGTGGCCATCCTGGCGATAAGGCTAAAGACTCGGAATTATATTTAGGTCTTGGTTTGAGATTGAGGTACGCGTGTGACGAAGGATGATTTTAGCCTCTGAATTTTTGTAGACGGGTATATCGAGCGGGATTGTGCATGTTGTAGAATCTGGGGTACATGACTCGTGGTTTTGAATGGACTACATCGTGGCACAGATGGGGATAAAAGCCTTGGAATTCGTAGTTAAATGGATTTTTATTGAATGGGGTGAATACGCGAATTGTGCTCTGAGTTTCTGGCTCACAATACTGAGGTTGATGATTTTCCCAATGAACCTCCACTTGGGTTATGAATACTGTAGGAAATAGACCAAACTATGGAATGATTAAAATTCTTTCTAACTAGCAGATTTTAAGAATATAAGTGAGGGAAAATGAAAATTGAATTCCGTAAAACATTAATCTGCCCGCACAACCGTAATAGAAATCCTCCTTGGGTATCTGTCGCGCCGCAAATGTCCCTAGGACATGTAAATAAATCAAATTAGACAAATGCAAAGGGGGGACTGGCTTATTATTATACCATTCGCGCCCTCGTGTCTGCACTGTCCCGCCAAGTCCCTAACATATTTCATTTCTCATCCATGAATTCATACATTAGATCTTCTTGAATAAACCCCCTTCCACATATTTGATCACGAGAACAAAAATGCCACCAACTAAGACCATAACACCACTAAAGTCGGCAACCTGGTTAAAAGAATGATAATGGTCGACAAGTGCACCATTGATGGGTGGACCAATCAATGCTGCAAATCCAATGACAGCCATACCCATTCCCATGTAGGTTCCTATGTTTTGTGGGTTCTTAGGAATAGTTGTGAAGCACACAGTTACGAGTGACACGATTGCGCCCGAACAGAATCCATAAATAGCCGCAAAGACAATGATACCAGCGTTTGAAGTGATACTTTGCCAACAGAATACTAGTATTCCAGTGGAAATGCCGACAGCACAGAACATGTTCAGTCGACCAACTTTATCTGCCAAAACCCCTGGAATAACCCGACCAAAGAATGATGCACCGTTCAATATCGCCACAAGGTATGAAGCCAATTCCGTGCTCATTCCATACTCAACCGCATATGTTGGAAGGTAAAATATAGGAATGAATACACCAAGAATCATCAGGAAAGCCGAAATGAGTAAAGTGATATACGGGAGTTCTTTGAATGCTGATGGAAGGAAGAATGACTTCTTTCGGGGAGGTAGACGTGATCGAATGGCCGTACAAGAGATTCCGAGAACGGCAAGCATAATAAATCCGAGGATCCGAACGGTCCATCCGAACCCCAATTTTGGATTGGCAAACATTTTTGCAAGGGCGATTGGGAATACCACGCCTCCGATTGATGATCCAGCGACTGTGATACCCATTGCTGCCCCTCTTTGTTTGTCGAAGTATTGACCAACAGCTGTCATTCCAGGCGACATTGTCATACCAGTAGCTATTCCACCTAGAACTCCTTGTGCAAGCATGAATTGATAGTATTCCTTGCACAGACTAGTCATCATGACGCTAAAGACGTATAGCAGTGCGGCAGGCCATATTGTTTTCCCTCCATAGCGATCGAAGAGTGGGCCACCAACGGCACTTCCGCTAAAGAGAAAGAACACCTGAAGAGATCCAATCCAGCTTATATCTGAAGGGGTTCGATGTGAGAGTTGGTGGGTTTGGTAATATTCCTGGTATACACCTAAGCAACGGTTAGTTGTCGTCAAATGAAGATATTTTAAGGGAGAGATAACTGTTATAAAAATCTGAGTTGAGACATTGAGTTGAGCGGGGATCCGGCACCTACCAAAAGCATTAATATATCCAAATGTGCAAAACAAAACACCGGCGGCACCAAGTGCTACAGACCAGGCTCTTGCTCCACCGTCAGGAAAATCCAGAGCAAATGCATTTTGCTTTTCACTCTCGCTCTGAACTGCAGCCAATATTTCGTTTTCGGCTTCTCCCGTCTCCACTGACCTCTCGATATCCACATCAGAATTTACTGACACTGGTGCGCCATTGTTTGTGGGGCGGGTCTTGGTGGATTCCATAGTGGATAGAAAAGACGGGAGGAAGGGTTATTTATTTAGTTTTTGTGGAGCTGCGTTGCGCTGCGTTGCTTTGCTAATGGACCCCTAATGGAAAACAGGGGTATTTGGTGTTGCTTCAAAATTTGATATGAGTGTGTAGTAAGTTGTCGATGTTGACGGGGAATTGGATTTACGTTTCGAACATTTAACTCTATCCTTTATACCTAGGTATTTCAAGAGTGTATGTGATATGGCTGCGAGAGGGTGAGAATATCGTCGACGTCGACCGCCGTTTTCCATTTTGTCAAATCGGACGACGTTTCTGGCAAGGTCAATTGAAGATTCTCACGGCAATTTGTTAAGTCCAGACAGTAAGTTCCGGACATTCATCTGCATTAACTGTTATTGGTTAGGAGCTCCTTGGAATGGTGGAATATGCCGCTTGCATGGTCCGTGCAATATGATATTATAGTGTGATAGAGTTTTTATAATGAATTTTAGATATTTAATTAAAAAGAAAAGTGTCTATGGTGAAGAGTTGATTTATACAACTATATTATGAATTTCAATACAGGAATGATGTTTAATGAATTTGAAATTCTAAAGCAAAATTAACAACTGTTCGCTATTCAAGAGTTTAGAAGTTCTAGAGTTTTGATTGGTCTATAAAATCCCAATCTTACTCCATTCCACCATCCGGTTTTTTCGGGTGGATGGATCATCTCCGAAAATATTTATAATCTGCTCTGCTTACCTGCTTATCTCCGTCAGCTGCATCGGCAGCACTTTTTCATTCGTTATATATTCTCATCTCGGTCTTTTCTTTCTCTTCAAAATATTTGGAACCCGGTCATAAATCCGAGCAACTTCAATAATACAATACCTGCCTACGATCTTTTTAGGCTGGATCTAAATTGAGAAGGATTTCAGTACCCACGTGTTGACGCTTCACTTCTTTACATACCCCAGCCAAATTCAACGGCAAATCTTCCAACAAGCCGCTCAATACACCGCGGCGGTTAAGTCTACCACAAGTAGTTCGGTTTTTAACTGTTCCTCCTGGTCATGGATATCAATTCTATCGTCTTGCAAAAATCAAAAACTGAAGGAGATCCTCCTCCACCCCCTGCTCAACCTCGGAAACGTCGGAGGCCAGCCCTATCTTGTATACAATGTCGACGTCGGAAGATAAAATGCGATCGAAACATGCCCTGTGGTCAATGTGTCTCATCCAAGACACCTGCATGTCAATACAGTTCGGATCCGGCCCCGGAGTCTAAAAGGCCTCGCGCTAATGGAAATGGTCAATACCATGTTACACCTAGTCCTGGAAGTACTACCAACGCATCATCCAACTTTAATAGTATTACGGACAATGTAACTAATGGAACATCATTAGTTCCTGCAGACTTCTGGAATGAGAGCACTCCTATTGTTGAGGGTCCACTGCCAGTTCGTGGACAAGTCGTTGTACCACCTCAAAATCCTTCGGACCCCTCCGTACAAGCTCTTCTGGACAGAGTACATAAATTAGAACAGGCTATTTCCGAAGCAGAAGCTATGAATGGTGGGCCAAATATCACTGTTTCTCCGTCCGTTAAAGGGCCTAGCTTAAGGGGTAGTGTTTCTAAGACAAGATTCTTTGGGCGGAGTCATTGGATGAACTCATTTGAGCAAGTATGTTAACATATTATATCTTTTCCCAAACCGCATCATTCTGTCGCTCTAACTTTCTCCTATCATCTTTCCTTATTCAATTTACTTTCAGTTGAAGTATAAACTCTCGCTTAAGAATGCTACTTGTATCAACTACCGCTAATTATCCCAACACTGCTAATGTGTCAGAAGTTCAAACATATGACCAAATTCCAAGAGCTTGGACCATTAGGTAAAGGCGGGGAAATTTTCGATCTCCTGAACAAATGCAAGGCATTGGGTAGAAAGGTAAAAGAAGATCAAAGTCCTGAATCGTCAATACCCAGAGGATATCGCGATTATATCCCGGAGAAAGAGATATCGGACCGTCTTGTCAATGCATATTTTCGAACCTTTGAATCCGTCTACCGCATATTGCATATCCCAACATTTGAAGAGGAATATGCATTATACTGGAGGGATCCTGCGGCAGCAAGTATGGCTTTTGTCATGAAATTACTCCTCGTCATGGCCATTGGTACATGCTTTTACGAAGATCCGATACTTTCCAGTTCCTTACATTCCAAAGCTCAACATTGGATTGCCGCTGCTCAAGCTTGGGTGTCTGCACCGTCTGAAAAAGACCGTCTTAATATTGTTGGTCTACAAAATCATTGCCTGCTTATCATAGCTCGTCAAGTGAACTCAGTCGGTGGCGATCTCACTTGGATTACTGCTGGATCCGTCTATCATCTAGCCATGTGCTTAGGTCTTCATCGTGACCCGGCACACTTCCCAAAAATGGGACCATTCCATGCAGAAATGCGACGGCGACTCTGGGCAACCGTTTTGGAACTTTTGTTACAGTCAAGTCAAGACCTTGGAATGTCACCTATGATCAACACCCAAGATTACGACACCGAGCTACCAGCAAATATTGACGATTCAGAGATCAGTGAAACCACTACAAAAGCACCAGCGTCAAAGCCAGTAACAACATTTACTCAAACTTCAATCCAATTATCACTGATGCGGTCTTTCTGCACAAGGCTCGAGATAGCAAAGGCAGTCAATAGTTTTAGAAGCGAGACCTCATACGAAGAAACGCTACGCCTAGGATCTGCGTAAGTGTCCTACTTAAAAATTTAGTGATTTGTCATATGTCTAAAAACATAGGTTGGGCAAGCAATAGCTTCAAATGAATTACTAATGATTAAACTCGCAGGCTTTCTTCGATTAGTCGTTCTTGCTCAGCGTCACTACAATCTTTCTTCACATCCAATTCTGAGCAAAAACCAAACGCATTTCAAATTAAGATTCATGATTTTTTCAGCACTCATTTCCTGTTAGCCTTACATAGGCCTTACGCAGTCAAAGCAAGAGTCAATCCAACCTATTACTATTCTCGAAAGGTTTGCCTAGAAACCTCTTTATCTCTTCTCGCACCAGCTATAGCACTCCCAGAACGATTCAATTCATCTCAACCTAATGATTGGACCCTACTTACCTGGACCGCATCGGGCATCATAAAAGGGACCCATATACACGCATACATGGGACTTGGACTAGAGCTAAACCAACAACTCGAAGAGGATCCTCCACTACCGTTATCGATCACTACGCTGCCGCCTCAGCAGGTAGAGATTCTACGGATACTTCGTAGCGGAATTGATTGGACTTCTAATCGTATCATGAGAGGCGATACCAATATCAAAGGACATGTTTTCCTATCATGTCTTTGTGGTCAAATTGAAGCTCTGCAGAAAAATACTCCTACAGAAGAGGGTATCATAGCTGAGGCACGGAAAAGTGTAGAATATTGCCTACAGTTAATGAAGGATAAACTCAGAGATCAGGAAGCACAGATGAATGCCGAAGCAAATCGTAGTCTTTCCATGAATACTGGTCTTGATGGCGTCAGTTGGGATGTAGTAGTAAGCCCTTTTCTTGTGTTAGATGTTGGCCTGATGAACTAATACTTTATAGATACCAGATCCAGGTGTGGAGTTTGACCTTCCAGGTGATTGGGTTTTTTCTACATGGGAAGATAGTTATTTATGGGTTTGAGATGGTTCACATTTACGCTGTACGATTACTGTATGTTAGAATTAGTTACTTCACATGGTATAAATGAAGACAATGAAATGATATTTACTTCCATCATTTTCTATTCTCCTTTGATATTTCTATTGAGAAGATTCACATCACTTTATTACTTCAATCTTTTCACACCGAGTATGAATGACATGCCATTCTGCGGTATAGCCACCAGACCGACATAGTTGACAAGCTGTCTGCGATCATTAGAAGTCATCTATTTATACACGGTAAGGCTCAAACGCTTACTTCCATACTCTGAGTGGGTGTAGAGGGAATAGTTGAGCGGCGTAAAGGAAAAGATGTCCGAGGGCGTGCGTATCTGATCATTTACATTGATAGGCAGAAGGTGGAATAATAGTATCGATTATATATGTGACAGCAGGTCCAACATCTGAGTTACTCGGTAAGGTTAGAGAAGAAAAAACAAAATGAAATCGAGGAAAGTGCAGCGCTTCATTTTAGTATATTTATACAAAGGCCAACAGTAACCGACATCGACAAGGAAAAAAGGATTTCCAGACTCCACACTCACCACCAAAGCCTCTTTCCTTCACCTCTGTTGCACATCTCAATTATCTCTACTATAAATATATTTATTTATCACGTATTCTTAGAATCCCCACACAGCTTCAACCTAGGCCTAGCCTGCGGGTGCTGAACGAAGAATCAAGATGGAGATGGAGTTGAAAAAGTGGAATTAATTAACCGCCCGCTTAAGCTTGAAAAGCCTAGGAATATCTTATTATATCCCCTCCATCAGGGTACATTTATCAACATAATCAGCGTGCTCTTTTAGAAGAAATAGAAGTGCTAAGCTAACTATTTTATTTTAACGTCGGGTTTATAAATTATCATTGATATATTTGTTGGTTGGTTGGTTGGTTAGTCTTGTAATTCGTCGGTATATGTATATGTAGTGGTCGGCTCATCTGCCTGCGTTAATCTTGATTTTATGATTAACGGGTAACAGGTAATAGGTAATACAGACATATTAAGCGCTTTCGCTACTAGGGGGTTTGTTGTCTGTTTGGATAATGGCTTTGATCCATCCCATGTGCTGTTCTGTAATTAATGAGAGTTTATATAGTTTATATAGCTTTCATAGCTTGATGGTTTGTTTGGATTATTTTGTTGCATGTCTTGATTTGAGGTCCTATTATTATTGGATTTGAGAGTGGTGGTTGTGTTATGTTTGGTTGTGTATATGCGGGTGTGTGTAGTAGGTGGATGATATTTGAGCTTGTTTTCTGATAATTACTGGAAGTTCAATTATATGATATGTGACTTTGTTAGACAAGATTGGAGACTCATTCTGTAGTTTAGACATTTTAAGAGAACCATTGTGGTTTATTGGACGATGAAGCTCGTTGATACCTGGTAAAATGCTGTTTAAGTAAGTCACCTCACTCATCATGACTTTGAAAAATGAGGTCAAAAGAGGTCAAATTACCCATCTTTCTCCTCACGTCCTCCTCACGCCAACCCTGAGAATACTTCCCCAACCCACTAATCTTCCCAAAATAAGACAGTCAAGCATAGTAAGGTCCAGCTTTATCATTTGTTGCACATCGTACTTGGGGCTCTAAAAATACCACGTCTGCCCTCGTTCCTTTCATTTTCCTCTCATATAAGATTATTGAGTGTAAGTTAAATTTAGATATATTGTATCTAATTATATGAAATAGGATCCTGCATATCATCAAGTAGCCGAGAACGACTGTGGCGTTTATAAGCGCCTGGGTGGAGGTGTAAATGGAGCGAAAGTGGGGTGGATTTCGGGGGAGGATTGTCGATAAGCGATGGTTTTCTGCGCTGGACCTGCGGCCTTTGATGTCAAAATTGAGACTGTTTCAGGAGTTAATATTTCTATATCCCAAATACATGCCCTTTATAGGCCCAATGGATAGAGCATCATTTCAGACTGATTAATGGCCAAGGCAATGCAAGTAATTGCATTCACTGTCTGAAAAGTTGCACGTTCATGACTATATCAATTCCGCCAATTGTTGGGTCATAATGGATACCACCAGTTACAGAGAACATAGAACCGCGTCTATGATGAAATGTATTTTGCACATTGTTCATTCTAGAGCCTTGAGTAGTGTGAAGCCTCAAACGCGGCAGGATATTGCCAATGATTTCGTCATGGCACACCACGGTGTTGGTGAGCATGAGGTATTATCGGCAATGAATCAAATTGGCAGGGTAGGTTATTTCATTGGATCACGTTTCATTGAAGCTACACATTGGATCTGCTTCAAATGTGGTCTCGGGAAAAGCTTTTCATGATATTGAAAGCAGCTCTGAGGATGACTCTGGGCCAGACCCACGGCCAGAGGCACCAGCCCTACCGGACACTCCACGGTACCTTCCAACAAGAAGAGCAGGTTATGTCCCCAAAATCTATGAGATTAACCTAGCACTCAGGCTATTAAAATCCAAGTACCCCAATGATGACCTTGAGCCGTATACGAAGACAATGAGCCGCGTTTCAAATGCCATGACTGTATCGGGCGGCTCTTCACACTTTCACCGCATCAAAACTGCACTCAGGACTTACAAAAACACGTTGAAAGCGCTATTCATGCTGACAAAGTTGAAAGCAGAATGGCGCGAACTGGCGAGAAACCAGTAGGAACCACATATGTTAAGGAAAGAAAGAAAAGGCTTCATCTTATCAGGGGAAAAGATCCTCAAAATTCTACATGGACCCATAGGCTCAAAATAAATCAAGCGCGAGTGCCTCAGAATATATCCACTGCGCGTGTCCAGACTACGAAAGGTGTCGTTTCTGTCGTTTCTAAGGAAAATTCAGTTATAACGCCTGCTACAACTGCTAGCCATTCCTTAAACGCTTCTAGTAGCTCTCAATTGAAACAAGCTGTGGTCGGTACTTCAGATAAGCGTTCGTATATGGGAGCTGATCCCCTGATTCTAGAGGCAAACGCGCCCGCCTGGTAAATATATGTTCATCACAACCATCTTATTTTATCGCTGCTAGATTTACGAACTGAAGCTAATTAAAATTTCTTCAGACACATGCCCAAAGCAGCACTTTTCATCCGCCCTTGGCATTCAACAGTGGAGATATTTCGGGCGACAAAGTACTGCTGAATGGGGGAATACTTGGAAAAGAACCACAGCCCCGACCCGGGCAATATCGGCAGCTATATAATCAGGATGCAGTAGCGACACGCCAGAGAAAAGTATCAAAGGACACAGCAAGGTACGCCACGGAAGCACAATTCAAGGAATAGAAACAGAACGGAATGTCCAACAGGAAACCATAGACAAACTGTTCAGAAAACTCCACAAGCAACGAAAGATTGCTGCGACTCAGCAGGAAATACTTGAGCATTTGGTAAAGGAAAACAAGCGACACTTTGAGCTGATGGAATCTAGCCGTGAGTCTTTGAATTCCACAAATCAAACATTGTCAACTGCACAGGATGACCACGAGAATGAGGTTTTACGCCTTCAGGCGAGCATCAAACGTCTTAAGGATAGTAGGGATGCTGCTAAAGCTGTGGCTGACCAGCAGGCTATTGACCTTGAGGCTATTAGACAACGTCTTCATGTCTTAGAAGATCGTGATTTGGGGACGGAGGATGATGTACAAAGACGAGCTTCTCGGCTCAGGAACCAGAACAGTGGTGGAGAATAGGAAAATGCTGCAGGTAGGAGTGGGTAAACCTTTTTTAGACTAGTGTCATAATATGTTAGCCACCGTTTTGTATGATCATAAAACAGCAAGCGCACAACTTTACAAGTAACTGATGTATGAATATTGATCTCTGAATAGTGATCTTCGAGGTGCAGAGATCTAATGCGAATGTTTTTCCATCATTAGTTATTACCTCGAAGTTTTTAGGAGGGTTCAGCAGCCAACTGAACATAGCAACTAGAATTTTTAGAAGAATTATTGAATGTATTTTCAAATTGCTTAAAGCAGCATTGTGATCTTCAAAGAAAGCAACTGTTATTAAAAATGGGGCTTACAAAACTAACCCACAAAATCCACCTCCTTGTGATCCGATATAGCCTAATTTATTAGCATGCTCGCTTCGCTAGTGTATTGAGAAGTCCTAATTAGACTTTGAAGTTACTAGGATGGGAGACTAGATACCTCCCATTGGTTGGTATGCAAAACATCGACGACAGGCGTTCTTCGCGCAACAACTTAGGATGGTTCTACTGGGAGTCCAACTGTTGGTCTTCGATATTTGAGTATCCAAATTACGTACTACAACGCCGATAAGGTGACGTGTAACCCTTTCTGCCTGACGCCACCAATAGTTTGTTAAGGCAACGAAATTCTCACTTGAAAGAGCCGATACTTTCAACTTTTTCTCATCAATCTCCACTCGGCCAGGCGACCCCATATATATAATAGTCCTCGCACAAGAGCACATCTTTCGAGCACTCTTCAGAAACATTCTTTCGGAAACTCCGCTGAAAGGCAAGCAATCACCAGATAGTTTTTACAAGCATATGTTGCACCGTTTAATCGATGGATCGTCTTACATTTTCCCAGAAAGGGTCTAAAGGGATCACACACTTCAAACATGGACAGGAATAATGTTATACCCGGCGGATCTGAGTCAGACTCGCCACCTTGAGTCTGCACACGAATCCCGTACCTGTCTCAATAGGAAAGGATGATGCCACACAAGATCGCACAAGCACTTCTGCGGAAACAAGCCTAATTCCGAAGGTCATAATCGATCCATCATGCGTAGTGGGAGTGGTAAGTGACCTGTATTTCCTGTAACTCCGAGCATCAGTCTATGCGGTCACGATTCTGACTTTTCAAGACTCCCTCGTGAGACATGGCCAAGAAAGCAATCGAAGAGGTTGAGAGGGAGTTTCCAGATGACTTACCCTACATCATCACGTACGAGAAAAAATATCTAGAAATTAAATGTCAAGAATGCAACGGCAGTCTCAGACTCGTGGGTGCAAATATCGCACATGTCAGGGAACATGCGTTTAGCATCTTTCATGGTGTCAAGGTAAACGAAGGCTGGAATCGAAAGGCCTCAAGGAGGTCTTAGCTGGCGAGGTCGAGGTCCGGAATGATAACATAAACAAATCGGTAGTACCAATCCCCGGGGTGGAAGCCCGGCATCAGCGTAACTTACTGAAACAACAGCAAAAGGAGTTCTCACAACAAAACTTGTCGAAAGATGGACCACTGGAATCACTTGACGATTTAGATAGTGAGCGACAACCATCGAAGCGCCAACGTCTCTCACCTGCTCTCCCAGTGGAAAATCATGATCCTCAGTCTAGAAACAACCAAATAGCTATATCAGTGGCTCAAGCGTCCAAACAAAGCGAAGTATCTCCTGTTGTATCTGAGACCTCTCTCCATGAGGCTATGGCCAGGTTAGCGAATGTGGAAGGCAAGCTGGAGGAACAGAAGAACATCAATGATAATCTGGCCAACCTTCTGTTGAATTTGGAGGCCAAGCTGGAGGGACAGAACGAAGTCACCGAGAAATTGACACAAGTGTCCGCGAATATCGAAAACGAACTGAGGGTAGTCAAAACAGAGACTGAGGATTTGGCGACATGGTTAAGAAATTCCGGGGGCTTGATGGACGTGCACGGTGCCACTGAACTGCAACACCACAAGAGACAAATCGAAAATCTCGAACAGACAATATCCACATATCGTTCTGATTTTAATCAATCCATAGAAATTCGAAGAAGTCAAATTCGAGCCGCTGGGGACCGAATTATTCTATCAGATGCGTTCGCACATGCGCTCAAAAGAGACTTAGACAATTTAGCTCATAGCACCACAAATGGAAGAGCTAATCATGCTACAAAATTATACGAGAAGCTGAAAGATTTTACTAGCCGAGTCAAGGAGCAGCACTTATCACAACATACATTAGTTATGAAAGCGGTCGAACAAAAGATGTGTTCAATCGAACCGATTGTCAAAAGAGTTGAAAACATGGAGAAGGGCCTTCAAGGATCTCAATCTCCCAATTGCGAGAAGCAATTTGCAGACTTGACGGTTCTTACTACAAACCTCGATCAGAAGCTAGTAGAATACGATAATAGATATGAGTCTCTATCTCTCCAACATTTGGATACATTTAGAAGCATAATAACTGCTTCTGCATTCCTTCGAAAACGAGTTGCTACTTTGGAGAATACACAGCTATCAAATATGGCTAGCCAAGAAGCCAAGTTTGCAAGCTCAGGTGAACAAAGTGGTCCTAGCGACCACGAGATTGACGTTTTTGGAACATTTAATGGAGTGATGGAGCTGCGTGTGGCGAGCCTGGAGAGAAATGATAAGTATTGTGAGATAATAGAGATGATGACGCGTGTCGCAGCTTTAAAAAGGTACAATCGGAAACAAGATTGGAAAATTATTGACTTGGAAATGGCGAATGAAAGGCTACAAAGACAAGTGGAAATTTTGTTGCCACCCATTGTATGAGTAGCTGCGGGGTGCTGAAGGTCTGCGTTTCTAATGTGCCTGTTCCTTGTCTTCTTTTACTTCCAGGCGTCCTGTTTGGGGAGCCAGCCATGCCAGAAATGACACTATATCATCTCCTCTTCGAATTGATATATGACAAGTATAGACAGATACGAATGCCAGCTTTCACTGTTTTGAGCTTGAATTGGTCACAATGCCACGATCACTATGTGAAATGTGCCCGCTTGTTCTGATATATACATTCGGTTCAAGATTCCTACCGGGGGCGCGAATCGACGATTATTTAAGTAAGTAAATTCTTACGAAGTAAGATGTGGGATTTTGCATGCAAAGACTGCTTTGGACGCATTGAAATCTCTTCAGACGCATCAGAACGTATTGGTATGATAGGCCATGCATAAAAGTTTTATATGCATGAGTCTGGTCGACGCCGGCTTCGGCGGGAACCTGAACCTATTAGCTAGGAAATGCATGCTTCGTAGCTTGTGCTTACACTGAACTCTTTCGCGCTCTTTCCGAGTCAGTCCTTTCAGCGTACTGGTCTGCAATTGGGTATAAAATCGCTTCACTTCATCCCCTTTGAAGTTGCTATCTCACTCTGCCATCTCGTCATAACCCCCTCGTATTTTCTTTAATAGGCAGCAAAATTGCGGTAACATTCGAGCATTAATCGACCTTAAATCATCCCCCAAACATTAACGAAACACAATTCCTGGGTATTTTGGCATCTTTATCGCGCGCGTACAACTAAACGCTGATTTATAATTACCCAGAGCATTGAACCAATACGGAAGAACTCCTACGGTCAAGCAGCATGAATATCGGTCACTCGAACGATTCCGGGAGCAGGAAACGACCCTCGAAGTTAGAAATCCATCCATCATACATGGTAACGGGGGTAACCTATCTATATCCTCACGCTACAACCATCAGGTAATCACCAATCCCATGCATTCAAGTCCCTTCTTAGCATAAACCCAAAGCCAAAGTAGAAAGTCTCGAGATTGATCACCCCGATCATCTATCACATATTCTCACGTATAAGCGCGGGACTTAGGAACAAGATGTTAGGAGTGTGGCCGCGATATCAATCTTGGTATGAGGTGGCTAATATGGAACGGACGCAAACGTCAATTATACACAATCTATATTGAGAGATTGAAATGTTCATATCGAATGGCTTTCAGACAAAATTCAATTTGCAGCTTAGTGCACGGGTTGTCATTAATGAATACTTCGTGTGAAGTGATTACAAAATTGAGGAAAAGTCTTGATGGCAAGGCGCTTCGGGGAAGACAGACTTCAATGATGAATTCTTCAGAATCTGAACGGCTTGACAACTTTTTAGAAGATCCAGATTCAGAAAATGGGCCAATGAAATCGGGGCGTCAACCAGAAGCAGGTTTCCTCCCTACCAAGTTGCCCATAGATAGCATTCAATCTAACATTCAAAAACTCAAAGAAGCTTTGACGCGATATGAAAATATGAAAAGAGGCTTTAAGGTAAGCAGCCAGATGCATGCGACAATTGTCCCAACAGTGGCTTGCTTGCTCATAGACGAGGTTAAAAAAAACCCTATAACCTTCAACCCCCTCGCTAATCAGGTTGCGACCTTGGATAAATGTACCCAGGAATAACAGTAAAGTCCGAAGCGCAAGAAAAACTCTAAAAAGACAGTGGGCGAAATGTGGTGCATCTTCGAATTCGCACTTCACCGAGTGAGGAAGCTAGAAGAGACCAACGGAATTGAGAAGAGGATGCTTTCCTCGCGTCAAAACTCGATTCAGCCATTAAATCGGAGGACATGGAGAACTTGGAAGAGAAAAGCTCCTGCTCTCAACCCGCAACACTGCACATCAATGACTTAACACGATATAGTAACATAATGATGCTTTTCACTGCTCTGAAGGAAAAGATTTATGACCTCTTCACTTAGATTGTGGAGCTAGAAATAAGTGAGAAATAGAATCAAAAGCGATGAGCTTACTCCGACTAGCTTCGGAGGTGCTTGGTAGTGGGTATCTGGAAAATTTTTCGGGTGAAAGTGTGTTGGCTAAAGGTGTGCTCCACCTGGGCAAACTGCCATCCGTAACATTATAGCATGTCTCTGTTGTTGAGGTATGTTTGCTACATACGTCTATACCCTTCCTTCATAATCTCTCTTCCAAATGGTATCCCAGATTTCCTTGTCCACGGCGAACTCCCTCACATAATCATGCTCCAACTCATGTGTCCTCCTTCCGAGCAACACCAAACTATGCAAGGGACCTCCCAATTGCTCATCCGCATCACACAATTGTTTCAATGTCCCACTTACAAACTTCTCATCTTTACAGCCTACTCGAGCAGCACCTATGCAAAGACTCTCCTCATTATAACCCCCACCCTCTCCATTCTCAGTTTTGATCTCCTCAATCTCCAACATTTGCGACGCGCATTGACCAACCGTCATATATCTCGGTGGTTCATATATTTTTCTTCCTCTCGCCATATTTTCCATGCTTTGTTCTTTAACCTTAATATCCAATAATACTAGTGTGTGCAGCCCAATATTTCTGTTCTCCCGAATGCGGTCGTAGAATGACGCAGGCTTCCAATTCTCAGTGAAAAATACCATAGAGACAGTTTGGCCAAAATTGTAAAGTTGGAGACCGGTAGCACCAATGGCGGACATAATGGAGGCATTAGGGATGGTGGAGATAGGGATGTTTAGGGAACGGGCGCGAAGAACGAGATCGGTGTGAGTTGTAGCCCTAAAGCTTCATGTCAACATATATGTTTGGAACATGAGAGTTATACAGTCATGGGAAGGGGACGAACCCAAATGGATCTCCCACTACTAAAAATGCAACATCCACATTCTGCGCATTTTCTAGAATATCATCACTGGCACTCTCAACCATATCCCTGTCTGCAATAATTACTTCACGTCCATAGTAACTTTCCTATGTCTACATCAGTCAGCGCCTTACTTCCCCGGACATGGGGAAAGACTTACAAGAACTGATTTGTCCACCAACAAGATACTGGTGTAGGCTTCGAGATATACTCGAGCGCATTTTTTAACAGCTTCAAGCCCTTTAACAGTAATATCCGTCTCGTCAGAGAGACCAAGGCCAATTAGGTAAAGCATCTTGTTTCTTGTGTACAATGAGGACAATTTAGTGAGGGTCCTCAAAAAGTTCATGAAAATTAATTTTTCCCCGCAAACATCCTCCACCGGCCTGGCCTCAGTGGCAAGGCAAAATTGCAGCCTTCTCAAAGTCGAGAAAACACCCCGAGTCCCTACACACCAAATCTTCTTTCAAAATCCCCGGGATAGTTTTTTTCGAGATCCTCAAAGATTCAGGTTTTTAATAAGTCTGTAATTAATCTTTAGTCTTTTGAGAAGCCTCGGATTTGGTTTCTTCCATAGACGTGCAACAAAACCTTGGAGAGAGTTGCTCAGAAAATCATCTGCGACAATAACTCTAGCAATATTCTACAATCTATTTCTGTGAAGAAGGATTGATCCTGCATGAGATTGGAGACCACGATATCTCTCCCACAATTGCCGATAATTCTAAAGTCGCAACAATGTCCACCAAAAAAGGCGCCTACGAAACCAATGCCTCTGATACTGATTTCCGCAAAAAATACGACCGTGAAGCCAATGTAGCCAAAGCGCGCGAACAAGAAGCCAAAGAGAAAGAAGAGGGGCGTTTGCGATATGAAGCCAAACTCGCAGGTAAAAAATATTACGCGCCTCTCACTGGCGAGGAAACCCTCACATCAGCGCGCGCATACCGTCTAGATGTATCCGCCAATGTAGGAAAAACTATATTGATGCCTGCAGGGGCAGCGACAGGAAAGAGGGGGAAAGGTGCTGGGTTTTATTGTCAGGCTTGTGATTTGACTTTTAAGGATAGTTTGCAGTGGGTGGAGCATGAGAATAGCATGCAGCATCTGAGGGCGATAGGTCAGACGGGTGAGGTTCAAAGAGCAAGTGTGGAGGATGTGAGGAGGAGGATTGATGAGATTTGGGAGAGGTTGGAGATGGAGAAGAATGAGGAGGTAGTTACTTTGGGAGAGAGATTGGAGGGGAGAAGAATTGAGGATGAAAAGGAGAGAGAGGAAAGGAGGAAGAAGAGGAGGGAATTGGCAGAGAGAAAGAAGGAGGAAAAGGATAAGGAAATTGCTGTCAAGAAGGAATATGGGGAGGATGTTAGGGTGGAGGGCGAACATGATGAAGATGATATGATGGCTAGTATGGGAATTGTTGGGTTTGGTTCGTCGAAAAAATGAGGACAAGGTGTTTGCATATTGAAATTTAGCGACGGTGTTCAGGAGGGGGGACATTGAACCACACCAGATTGTGAAATTGGAATTTGTCCAGGTCAATATAAAATAATTACTTCCAACCCAGGGTATTACTCCTATTGCTCCTTGATACCATGCAGCTGTACTAAAAAAGGATACAATACCTACCGACACTTCACGACTTAGGATTAGTATCTCTAACCGGTCCTTAAGTACTATCACCACCCCGACTAAAACCTCTTCCATCCAAGCCATTAGTTCCCGTACCACCAGTCTCCGATGCCGGTACTGTCCTTCTCCTAAAAAACTTTCTGAATCCTGGACTCTTAGGCGATTTTACCGGCGACTCCCCAATTTCACTCGCGGCACTCTGCATTCCATCGGACAAATCCATAGGGGGAGCCCATCTTTCCTCATCCCCACAGACAACCACAAACCAACCCATTTCCTCATCCATCTCCAAATTTTGCCTCAATCTATCAAACCAACCTGCTCTTTTATTTTTCCTCCTGATCTCTCCTGCACTCATTCCTAATTCTTCAGCAGCAGAGGGAACAATTTCTTCTTCCGTAAGCTTTTCTTTATACTTCTTCACTTCTTCGGATATACTGACTCCCAATCCGACTTCAACTATATAATCTGATACATAAGCCCACGGTTGACTGGCTGTCTTCAAATCATCCGGATCATATTGTTCGAGTAATTTAACCACACTCCATTGATTAAACCGAAGTGATTTTTCCATCTCTTTAGCCTGTGGCCCACTCGAATTCGGATTGGTAGATCCGGATGCAGATCTACTGTGTAAAGCTTCCGATTCAGAATTACTAATGTTTCGTCGATGCGTGGTAATCTTCTTTAACGTTAAGCTCGGCTTATCATTTGAAGAAGGCGATTTCAATGAGGCTGGGGATTGATCGCTTTTCTTGGTAAGAGTTCTTGAGGGAGATTTTGGGGGTAGATGACTGGGAGTTGATTCGGCTGAGAGGTCTATGGGGCCTGGATAGCTTGGTGGAAGGAAATCGAATTGTGTGTAAAAAGAATTGAGGAGGGCATTCGAGGTGCGAGGTGCCATTAACCATTCTGGACTTGCATCCTCGATATCATTCAAAATTATATGAATGCGAATATTAGATCTGTGCCAACGGAAACCGTGGACAAGGTAGGTAGGCATTTTGTGTAATGGGGATGGTAAGTTGAATGTGTAGATGTTGGATTGCAACAGGAGGAGGTCAGCTTTGGAAAATCATATCTGATACTCTAGGAAAGCCATCTTTTTGGAAATATTGGTGGAATGCAAGGGAAATCGCAATTGGCAACTCCGGCTGCGAGGAAAGGTAAGAGCTACGAGGCTTTTGATCAGCCTTTCCCAGGGTCCACTAGAACCGACGTCTGTGCGACAGTGATGTTGATAATGTAGACTCGCTTCAAATTTAAACTTTTATAGTAAAATACCCAAAAATGACTTCCCGCTATATTATCCTATTAGAATGTCAACTTCTCTTGTATACTAATGCCCAGGAGCAATCTTTTGATATGGAGAAGATCCCATTGTCCCCAAACATGCTGCCGTAAGTGTTTGGCTCTGATAACGGAATTGTCCTTGAATTCGCTCGAAAGATATTTAGAGCATATTGTAGACTTCCAGTCTGCAGATTCTTAATCCCCAGAGGTAATACGGGACTGCTCTCTCAATTTCAAGAAAATCTCAGAAATTCACTTCATATGCTCTGCCTGACTCTCTTTCCTCCTCGGCGATTGAATCTGCAATTGTATCCAAATTATGCTAGTTGCACCAATGAGTGCTAGAACCTCTTCATCAATATCAAGCTCTACATGGAAGAACGTTATCATCGCACCGATCCGAATGCTATGAGTTCATTGCATCTTTTGATGAACATCCAAGGTTGCCATAGTGAATATGGTCATACTCATCCGATCAAGAGCTCGGTAGTTCCCCAGCCAGTAGTGAAAACGAACAAATCTCAAGAAATTTTGGAAGAAGTCTCGGAAACAAAAATGCCATTCATCACAACAACTCAACCGTCGGGGCATCAACTTTTATATGCTCTTTGAATTCCATCTTCATCTTACACAATTCAAGCAAGACCACCTTCCATCACAACCCAAAGCAAAAACCACACAAAGCTCAAGCAAAACTCCCACAACTACCAATCCACATTCTCCCGTCGTCCAAAATGCCTCCAGCTATCATTCGAGAAACCATGGTCCAAGACCTCCTCGATTTCATCCGCGAAGCCATCCCCATAATCCACGAAGCCAGCACCGAACTCCTCGAACTAATCCTAGAAAACGACCCCAGCACCTCCAACGTCGCAACATTTTATCGCCGCTGGATACGGATAAACCTCATGCGACAACTCCTCCCACTAGAAGAAGAAGAGCGCCAAGAATGGTTAATCGACCTATTCAGCGGTAGACAAAACACCGTCGAGTATTTTGCCGAAACAATGCTTTTAGTATGTTGATTCATTTTTGGCTCTGGTTCTGGGTTTATAATTATTGTTGATAATGATAATACTAATGATAATATAGAATGGTATATGGACAGAATCCAAAGATAAAAATGGGTTTCTCATTTACCGCATGCATCGACTGAAAGAAACCAACTTCCGCAACTGGCTTCTACGACCTGAAATCCAAGAAATCTACAAAATCCAAGTCCTGGAACTTCTTCCCCGCATTCCAAACCCCAGTATTGAGGGTTCAGATTATATAACTAATAGAGGATCTAAATGTACTGTTAAATACCACTATACTATTAACATATCTATAAAACTCAGTACTAACATTCCATCAGCAAGATATAAAATTGTAATTCCAAACTGGAAACAAGAAATCATCACCATGAAGAAAGAACTCGCGGTTTCTCAATCACAGGTTGAGGAGTTGAGAGAGGAGTTACGGAGGGCTAATGATGTTATAGCGTCGCAAGTTAGAGCAATGAGTGTAGGGATAAACAATTGAGGGTTGAGCGGATGGGTAATGGTAGGGTGGAAGAGGTGGGGATAAAGAGGTATAGGAGGTTGTTTAAAAGGTTAGGGAGTAGGGTGGGTGGTTGTTGTTGTTTTCTGCTGTGGAGGAGGGGCGAATAGGGGAGGATTCCTGTGCATTATGGATGAATTTGTACTTAGATTTTGTTAGATAGGGTAGAGGATTGGTTTAGAGCTTTGTATTGGGAATGTTGTGATGTATAATTCTGTATTCCACTTCTTTTTATACTCGAGTACTGTATAAGATTAATATACCCCTCTCGATACACTTAAGAATTCAAAAGAGATCTGCATACTACCTAGTTTATATTTTTTGGTATCTTTTTCTGAAATTATTTTTTTGGTTTTATATCCAAATCTGCCTATCTATCTATATTATATAAACACATATAAAAACAACATACATTCACCTCTCGTCATCATAACATCCCAAACTCCATCATGTAATTTCCCGCATCTCATCTAACTCAAATCACCAATGTCCTTCCTTTCTATTTACCTTCCCTATCCACCTCACCCTACTTCACCCTCGCTCAAAATCCCCTTCAAAAATCACCAAACAATATACAACAAAAAACCACCTAATACCTTCCCTTATACATACACACATACACACATATATACATCATAACCACCATTCGAAACACAAACCTCTATACCTCCAAACCTAAAAAACATACACACACACCATTACAGATCTCAAAAATATATACAAATATAAATTTCCAAACCTACCTAATAATTTAAAGATATATATATAATAGAAAGAATATGATATCTAGTAGTTAGTAGCTATGTGTATGTAGAGTCTACTTGGTAAGTTAAAGTCATTTCTTGGAAAAGATTATTTTATCTGAGTTTTCAAATTTTAGAGCTGTAGATAAGGTTTTGCAGACAAAGTCATAATATGATATGATATGATGATTTGGAATATACATTTTGGTGATGCTTAGTACTCGGTTGGAATACAACGATATCAGTAGTATTCTGAATACGCATACTTGCGGTGGTTCAGATCGCCCTGCGCTTGATAGTTGATGTATGAAGTTTTGGTAACTCATGCATTAATTACAGTCATAATGGTGTGGGTCAGGAATGCCGCTGCGGTACGTGCTATGTGGAGAGCATGTCGCTATTGATTAACTCGGGTATACTCTTGATTAGGTGGTTTATATAGCTTTAGAGGAAGCCAAGAAGATAGAATGGAGTGTGTGAAAAGGGGTGGGAAAGCGGACGGGAAGTTTGAAAGGAAATAAAAGGAAAGGAGAGGGAAGCCTTTCTCTTCGAAAAGAGAAACGTAAAAAGGAGCGAGCAGGTAAGATCTTAATTCCGAGTCTTAATATATATCAAACTCCTTCTTGATCGTCTCAAAGTTTCTGCCTTCTACTTTCCTTCTTGCTACCGGCTGCTCCTTCCAACTAGACAATTCAAGGATCCAATCCCTGTATCAGGTTATAATTCTTTAGCATGACTATCGCAATACCCTAGGTAGGTACCGAGAAATGACAAAAGCCAAACCAATGGAGAATGGAAACTGGTGATAAAAGAAAACAAACAAGGAGCAAAACCCTAGCCAGGAACAAAAAAACATACAACAGTGGGGATTCGCTGGTGGTCACCCACCCAACTACTAATCCACCGATCTGAAGCTTGTGTATGGCAGAGCGGACGGGATGCCCAATTCTCTTCAGTCTATGGTCATATGTGACAAAAGGAGCACTACTAGATCAAATATTGGAAGATTCTCTCGTGTGGTTGGGAGAGTGAATCATGAGATATGAATGGGTTGAAGCGAGAAGAACTAGATAGTATATCTTGAGTAGAGAGGATGGAGGATATATTGTTGACTTAAATATAGGTAGGCCATGCTTTAGTCACGGTGGAAGATCTCACACAGTTGAACAATTGATATATCATACGGCTGTGAATCTAGAAGTTTCCATAGTGAACGAGTATTAAGAGTGATGGCACCACCGCAAGTCTAGAGTCTCTCTCACTAAAGAGACGACGGGTTGTTATTCTGGCAATACGACTTTTCCCGATAAAGGATCATTATCCTTATCTTTTTTGAGTAAAGATGAGGCCATTCTGGTGGGACACAGCTCAGGTATCTCGTACCTGGTACCTCGATAGCTAGAATGAGGTCGCGGAGTTGGAAAGCAAGGGATTACAATTCTGATAACGAATTGACATCAATGCTAGCTATTCAGATTGAAAGGAAGGTAATTGAAAATCCCCATTTGAACCTCACCTGGAATAGAAGTAAATGGGATTTGACTCCTTAAGTAGAGACTAAAGTCTTGAAATGTCGGATCTGAGTACCTACCTACCATTAGGTTGAGGCCTATCAAAGATAAATGATAGCCAATGCATTTCCCCACTCCTATCTCCGAATATTCCGTACGCTACGCGAACAACCTTATTAATATTGCTAGATTGGGCTTGTCAGGTCAGCGCATGTTTGTTCATGAGGTGATCTGAGAAAGTTGATTCAGATTGAGTTTATTGGTTCAGCTGGCGTGAGAATATTTCCCGTCAGTGAGTGCCGATCGATATTCTTGAGAAGGTCATGGCGTACCTTAGTGAGAGAGGGAATGATTTTTATGTACTTCGTGATGCTATCGTGGATTCTGGGAATAGGGGTTACCAAGGCTTTTGGATCTGTTGGTATGGTATGGTGTGATGGTATGAAGGTACGGTGTCACAACCAGTTATCCATTTCCTCCACCATGAACTGAGGGATCCGACTATTTTGCTCTGGGAAATCGGAATAGAGGTCTAGGACTGTGGACTGTGGACTGTTGGGCTGAGCCTAATCCTTTGGCTGTTGGGCAACTAACGGCCTCTTGAGCGGAGTTTAGATGTTTGTCATCATAGTCCTCACCAGGATCTACTGGATGTTAATCGGAAGTTCAACATCAAAGAACAAATACCCCATATTTTGTCTGGTGTTCTGGAAATGGAGCTCACCGGAACCGATGGAAAATGATTTGTAAGACAAATATGAGTGATCGTCTGCCAAGGATTCTTCTACATATGCGGAGTACCGAGTAGAAAACGCAGAGAAAGAATGAATATGTTACACAGAACTTGTTACACAAAAATTGTCACATATAAATTATTGCGCAGAAGATGTTGCACAGAAGTTAATTTTGGGCCAGAAACAATGGTCAGCACCTACACCACCACAAAAGATAAAGTATGACAGCGACGGGGTTGAACCAACCACAAAGATTTGGTGCCTTGCTTATGACCAACTTTTCACCTCCTTCATTGAAAGCTTACTTCCTTAAGCCAGCTTTTTGATTAGCTGAGCCTGGTTCCAACTGCTCTCAGTGCCTTTGAAGTGAATGAAATGTTGACGTCTTTGATAACTTGAAATACTTTATTATATGTCTTCTCGTCTGTTCCTCTGTGTCGTACAGTTGCAATCCGAGGCGGCGGGGGAAATACCTCGTACTCGCTCGGATACTCCCTCTTCTCCTTTTCTCGCTGACTGTAAGTCTTGATTGATTTCTTCGGCTTTTTCAGGTGGATGTCTCATTTCCCAAGCATCCTCTCATCCTGTCATGATTCCTTCTTTTCCTGAACCTACCTAACAATGAACTTATGCAGACTCAGTCGAATAGTCGTCTAGAATAACCCAAGATAATAGATAATAGATAATAGCACCACCACTAGCCAGCTAATAAATCGTCTTTTCCAACTCAATCGACTACCAAGTTATCATTAGCTTCTATGATTATATTAGCTTCTATGATTATATTAGCTTCTATGATTATGATAATGATACCCTCCACTGATATGTTGATTTTATTTTAGATTTTTCCATTTTTCTTCCTTTTCCTCATCTCACCTACCTTGTCTCTTTTAATCCTTGTTAGATCAAACTACATAGGGAAATAGAGAAATAATAATTCTTGTATCGGTCTATTCACCCAATTTTGGACCGTCTAATTTGTGAAGTTGATTCATCTCATTGGCTACAATGACATTATTGGCCGCCTTAGCTAATCAAATTCCGTTCAGTTCACTACCCTACCTAACCTAAAGGTAACAATAATTCCCGACTTTTCTACTCCTTCCCTTCCCTTCCCTTCCCTTCCCTTCTTATTCCATTCTTCTTAATACTTTTACTTATCATATCGCACAAGTATCTTCTGGCAAGACATTCGAAGTCTGGCTCAGATTGATATCCTTATAAGATTGATTCTCTTATCAATCTTTTTTCGTTGCAATTCTTGATTTAATTGTTCGTCGACAAAATAATTTTTCGGCTGCTGTTGAGGGAAACGTTGTTACCTTTTCATTTTTGTTGGTACATCCACCATAAGTAAACAAATATGGCGGACCTCGTACAAAACATCACTTATGCCTCACCTGTCGCAGACGCAAAGTTGGCTCAAGCCATTGGAAGTCCTCAACTCAATAGCTATCTAGCCAAACTCACCGAAGTTAGCGCATGGCAGATTGTCCTTACAATTCTTTGCCTGATGGTAGCTTATGATCAATGTAAAAATCCCCGGCGCCAAGAACTCACTCGCTCACTCGATCACTCAATCAATCCATTGCATCACTAACTTCTTTGCAGGCAGTTATATTTGGCAAAAAGGTTCAATTATCGGTCCAGCATGGAAAGCCCCCTTTATCGGTCCATTTTTACAATCTGTCAATCCAAAATTCCACGAATATCAAGCAAAATGGGCAAGCGGTGATCTCAGTTGTGTATCTGTTTTCCACAAGTAAGTTTATACCATCATCCGCTATTTGAAATTTCCAGGCTCTGACCATTCTCAGATTCGTCGTTATTGCTTCTACTCGTGATATGGCTAGAAAGGTTTTCAATTCTCCATCATACGTTAAGCCATGTGTAGTCGATTCAGCGCATAAATTGTTGGGTGAGACCAACTGGGTTTTCCTCGATGGAAAGGCCCACGTCGATTTCCGAAAGGGTCTCAATGGATTGTTTACCCGCAAAGCTCTCGACTGCTACCTCCCAGGACAAGACGACGTTTACAATCAATATCAAGAAAGATTCGCCAAGGTTACCGAGGAAGCCGGTGGAAAACCCGTGCCATTCATGTCCGAATTCCGTGAATTACTGTGCGCCGTTTCCTGCCGCACATTCGTTGGTTTCTACATCTCAGACGAAGCTATTAAGAAGATCGCCGATGATTACTACAATATTACCGCTGCTTTGGAATTGGTCAATTTCCCAATCATTCTTCCTTTCACCAAATCCTGGTACGGAAAAATCGCTGCCGACATGGTCCTTGAGGAATTTTCGAAGTGTGCTGCAAAGAGCAAGGTTCGCATGGCTGCCGGTGGTGAAGTGTCTTGCATTATGGATGGATGGATCAAGTCTCAGCTCGAGTCGGCTGCTTGGCGTGAGGCGGAAGCCAAGGGTCTTTCAACAGAAGGAATGATAAAACCAACACCATTACTTCGTGACTTCACCGACTACGAAGTCGCTCAAACCGTCTTCACCTTCTTGTTTGCTTCTCAAGATGCTACTAGCAGTGCTGCCACCTGGTTATTTCAAGTAATGGCTCAACGTCCTGAAATTTTAGATAAGGTCCGCGAGGAAAACTTACGTGTTCGTGGTGGTGATAAACGAGTTCGACCAAACATGGATATGATGGAAAGCATGAAATATACTCGTGCCGTGGTTAGAGAATTGTTGAGATGGCGCCCTCCTGTTCTTATGGTTCCATACGTCGCCAAGAAGGCATTCCCTATTACTCCAGACTACACTGTCCCTAAAGGTTGGTCAAGCTAACATAAAATTATGATACCATGCTAATGAGTTAAATAGGAGCCATGATCGTTCCAACAACATATCCAGCTTTACGCGACCCTGATGTCTATGACCGACCTGATGAATTTGATCCTGAACGTTATTTCTCTGGTGACGCCGAAGTAAAGGGAGCTAAGAACTACTTGGTTTTTGGAACTGGTGCGCATTATTGTTTGGGCCAAGAATACGCCCAAATGAACCTTGCTCTTATGATTGGAAAGGCTTCAATGGAACTTGATTGGGTTCATCATCCAACTCCTAAATCAGAAGAGATCAAAGTCTTTGCTACCATCTTCCCTATGGTTAGTACATATTCAAATGAAAATGAATTCTCGGGCATCACTAACTCGAATTACAGGATGATTGCCCATTGACCTTCACAAAGAGATCTTAAAGCTCTTCGATCTAATTTTTCAATCAATCTTCAAACTACTTTCTCATCCATTTTTTATTATCGGAACGCCAATCTCCGCATACTAGGGGCACAGTTGCGGTAGTAAGGTTATGATCATTTTAATGCATTAGACTGGGCGTTCAAATACTTCTGTCCAATAAAATATAGGGAATGGGTTTAGGTGTTATTTATGAAATTAGTAATGAGAGAAATGGAAAGTCGGGTCTATGTAAGTTCTTCAAACTTTTTTGAAGAATGATACGGGACCTGTCAAAGGATACCTACTTAATCAATTGTAATTAGTCATTATCTTTTGTCTTTAAAAGTAAAAGAGATGAGAAGCGAAGATGAGAAATGAATTGAAGATCCATTTGGATTACAATACGGATTGTTGTGAATATATGTGAAGTGTTTTGAGTTATAGTGATTTATGGATGAGTTAAAGGTAGCGAAAGTGCTCTCTCCTTATAAAGATGAGGCCGTGAATGAAAACTGAGTAATTTGAGATGGGGAGTATTTACCTAGGGTATTCATTTATATATCTATCGTTCGTATCTGTTATTCGTATATCCATCATTCATATATCCATCTATTTATCTACCCATCCGCCTACCTCACAAAGAACTCCAAATTAGAACCCGGTCATGAAATGCATTTGAGCATGAGAACGACTTTGGCCTAATATTCAATGCCTATACTCGAGTGTTTTCTGTATCAATGTAATTTAATTAATAATTATTCGTTAGTTCTGTGGGAGCCTATGAGTCCTGTATATGAGTTCATACTCCGAATCTACTAAGCTATGCTATGTTATCTTAAGAGGAGTTTAATGAGAAGGAAGCAATTAATAAACTAATCAATTTAACAAGCTAATTAATTGAATGGTGATTAATGGACTGGACTGGACTCTTCATTTGGAATTAGCGATAGGAGGTGTATGTACTATGTATGTACTGAGTTTGTTTGTTAGTGATGTGGGAGTTAAACATCGTAGTTAAGTCGTGTAATTAATTGTAAGCATGCTACTAATTATAAAGTTATTATGATTGATGAATACTTTACCTAGTACTTTGGCCGAGAAACTTAGCGCTGGCGACAGCTTCCTGTTACTTCTAGTGAAGGAACAAGTTCATGGGAATGGCTGTGGAATATATACTTGAATAGTACCCATAGACAAGACGAAGTAAAGCCAAGGATAATAGCAACCTTTCTCGTCATCCACCGGATCCAAATCATCGGGAGGTAAGACTTTTCTCGTATGCCATTCCTCCTGGAGATGCTCTCTGAATTTCTTTTTTCGGAAAAATTCTCATATTTCCCGCCTTACAATGTTCTCAGTACGCTGCACGCAGGAAACCATCCAGATTGGCCATGGGCTCAGTCAATGAATAATAGCTGGCACTCTCGGGTTCGGTCCTGAAGACAATTTGATGTTGGGTGGGACTAGGTCAGTCATCATATATGAATATAATATATAATAGGCTCTTTATCATAAAATATCAATCCTGTAAGTATTTTGAAATTTTTGGAGAGCGTTTGCACCACTGAACGGCCCAGCAAGCTTTGGATGGCATGAAAGAAATATTTCATTTAGTGGGTGCTTGTTCAAGGCTACTTAGCGAATACTACTCAACTCTTATGTTAGATTTGCTTGCATGATAGAGAGGTGATTTACTAACCAACATAACATTATTGCCATCTTGCTTCAAACTTCGCAATGTCTTTATCATTTGGTTTGAGTTCCGCATAATGGTATATCTCCCAGCTTCTATCATATCAAGCCATCTTTCTTGCAAAGTCATACCCTATATTAAAGGACATATAAATAAAACCCTGATCATTGTCCTCGGACAGCCAAAGACCTCAGGAACAAGGACTTTGCCTTGCAACCTCTCACATACCATCATCTGGGTCTGAACCTCAATAGCTGTAATATCACCTCCAAATTTAACAACCAATCCCAGCGATGTGATAATAACAGGCGGCGGGCAACTGATATATAGCGCGGATATTGCCTGTCTTCTCGTTGAGTGCTCTCGATCTGACCTCAGCTAGACTAGGGAGCGTGGATACACGATTCTTCTTGAAGAAGCTGGATTCTGGGAAGATTTTCATATGGCTAGAGATAGAGCATCATATGAGTTTGCGATTGGAATCAAAGTATTTGCTTTCGACATTGGAGTAGATAGTGGCATGAGTGATAGAAGATGCTCTCAAATGCTTTGGAATGCACATGCACTAGCACTTGTAATGAAATGAGTCTCGACTATGACAAGCGTCCATAGTGATGAGTGCTTTGGGATAGGATTAAAAATATAGCCTCCAGGGCATGCCAAATAATTTTGAATAGTATGGACTATCAGTAAGTCTCTAGCAAATTCTAATTGCTAAAAACCACCATCCATTGAATATTCTTCGAATATCCAATTTTAGCTGCTCAACTGAGAGAGGAGTCTCCATTCTTGAAGGGATATTCATCTATATCCGCACATGATGATAAAAGCTACTTAGCTCATAAAAAGACGTATCCTCAATCCCAACACAACTTTCCCATAACTCGTAAGCACACACAAAGGAGTTGAGGAAATATCAACCTTTCCAACTATAAAAAAAAAGATCCAAACCCACCTCCCATTTTACAATACATACCCAACTCCGAAAGCTAATGGTCAATTCCAATTCCAATTGCTGACAACAGGTAGGATCCTATGACTCTCCGCGTCACATCACTACATGCATCGTCATAGACAGCGGTACGAAGAAGTATCGAGATAAGTTTTTCTGATTGGTTAATTCAATCCAATTCTAATTCCAAATTAATGTCCAGATGACTCTATCTCTTTCGATCCCAGATATTATATTGCTATCATGATATGGTTGGTGTAATGGTGTTCCTTCTGTAAGGAGCGAGGGGTGAGGAGAGGAGTGAGGAGTCGAGTAGGTTTAAGGTTGGTGGATAACTTATCGGGTAAGGAATATGGATTATGGTAGATATAAGTGGTCAATTGTAATCTTAATCTTTATCAGTAAAAATCTAGATCTGGTGATCCTAGCTCTAGAACAAAATTTCGTGTTCCATTTTTTTCGAGGAGGGGTTTTTCTGGCAATGATCCGTTGTTGTAAGAGTTCTAAGTAGAGTGCCCATCCAATAAGACGAGACGGGAATTCCGAACCATGAATCGGTTTCTCGGGTGTAGTATTCCTAAGATTACAACCTTATCGGTATAAATTTTCGGAGTCTAATGCGAAGTATCTAGGTGGTATGTGTAGTGCAAGCAAGTATTGGGAGGCGGAGTTGGAATTGGATGAGAACAGGATAGATAAGGATACGATAGGATGAATCCTTCCCGCCTTTCCCTGTTGACTGGGCCGCCTTGGCTAGGCTGATGCGATGCATATGAATTCGAATGCGTGGATGGATTCCGTATGGATGGTTGGAATTTGGAATGAATTTTCGGAGTATTAGCTTTGGATATGGATATGGATCTTAGTGATCTCGAGGTGATTATGTAAGGTTAGTTCTGTAGCTAATTGATATGCAATTGTAGGTTACAGAGTACCGGAAACCGTATTGTCTTGCTTGTTATTTAGTTCTAGTTGGTAAGTGACATACTATAAGACAACAATATTGATATCTGAATATAGGAATACCATAAAAGAGTTGAAGACAAAACTTGGAGCCTAGACAGCACTCACCAGGCCACGAAATACTGCACTGCATATCAGCCAGCATATTTCATACGCACCGATACGTTTCTATAGCTAGGCATATATTAATATTGTTGTAATCCAATCCAATCCAATCCATCGGTATCTGCATACGGAGTATAATATCGATATCAAATACCCGACCAACCAGTCGTCGTAACGCGGCGCGGAGCGGCACAATAAGTAAGATTTTACTTGTTCGCTGACGGTGACTCAAACTTATATATACCCACCCGGTATATAAGATTATTATTTTATATCACTGTCTAAGAAGACCCACGGGGTGAAAATTCTACCTATATACAGGAACTCTAAAATCCACATCCATCCACCTAATCACCGAATGACGCATACCTCCCATCCCATCAACACGGTATACTATATACGTACCTAATCAATCAATCCACCCCGCAAAAACCCTTTCCCTACCTACCTAGCTACTGTAAATTACAACACCCCGAGTACAACACAATACATACAGTAAAATCAAAACAAGCATTTTCAAACCTGACTCATTCGGCTTCGCTTGCAGCATATGCGCATGCGCATTCAGCGGAGTCCAAATCCACGAACCAGTTATACTGGGGGATAAGGTTAAGCGAACTCCGACCCCTTACTTCATCTTTACATCCATCTTTATTTTTCACACCCCCATAGTCATAATTATAGTTAAGGTTAGTATATTATATCACATCACATCACATCACATCAGCCTTAAGTTTATCCCAATCCCAAACCCATGACACATCTAAGGTGTATATGCAGGATATCTATCTATCTAGGCAGGCAGGTAGGCAGACGGCTTTGTTACCTCCATACTAATCCAGGTAAGGTTAAAGATATTTTTTTATTCTCCGAATATAGCGCATAGTGTATACGTATGTATGAGTATGAGTATGATGCATGAGATTATGGGATGAAATGGGGGGGGGAGAATCTCAGAATTTGATATTCGTTTGCTTAGCTTAGCTTAGTGGAAGGACGGAGTTTGTATGGTATTGATTTAACCTATGACTGTTCTGTTTGGATGTGTTGGATGTGAATGCGCTGGGATTGTGTGATTTATGATTTGTATGGGATGCGTTGGATATATATAGAGGGAGATGTCTCGATTATGAAGGGGGGTTTTTTTTCTTCTCATCATTAATCGGATATAATATATCAGTAAACATAATCTTATCCTCAATATTGAATTTGATTTTCATAGTCAAGATTCTCTTATCACTAATAATATCCTAACAATTAACTAAATCACATCTATAAAAATGCCTGCTGGATTTCCTGCTTTCCCAGCTTCTCGTATGTCTCATATTCTTTTCCCAGTCCATCCAATCATCTAACAACCCCAGGTTTCCCCAACGAAAAACCTCCCACCTCCTTCCACCCCTCCTCCCCCAGATCCCAAAAAGTAACACCCGTGTCCTATTCCACCTCCAGATCCTACACTGTCAAATCTTCCTCTCCAAAAGCATCCATGGACACCTCTTCCACATATCCCGCAAACGACACTTCTTCGCTCTACAGCACCGCCTCCACCATTTCCCTTCTAAAACATCCAGTCGGTACCCTCAAAGCTAAGCTTTCCCGTAAGGAACATTCAAAAGGTGGAGAAGTCAACTCGTACAAGAAATCTCCAACTGCCTCTTCTATGCGCAGGAATTCGAGTGAGAAGTCACGTACGTTTCATTCCAAAGCTTGATTTGATGTAATATGGATAAGAGAAAAAGAAGGCTGATTCGATTGGATTGATAGCGAGGCAATCGCTGACCGAGACATATCTAATCATGGCTATGAGATAAACATAGTCGGTGGTTGATTTCTCCTTTCTTTGAATGGTGTTTTCCATGCGGAACCTTGGGCTTTGGACTTTTATGACCATGATGAGACATCTTTCGGCGGGTTTTTGGAGGAGTTTCCTAGTGGGCGACATACTAGAAGATTTTGATTTTAATAACAAGGAACTTTTGAAACAATACCTTCCCGATGGAAGTGGACATATGGAAAGACGGTATTTGAGTTGTTGTTTGATATGGTCATTGGCTTTATTCCTTGTTAAATTCTGATGAATAATTCTGATTTTCTCAAAAACTATCATCAAAATCATCTTTCATTGCGACTATGCTTGGACTATTATCCATTTCGTCTGTATTATCAAATCCAGCTCCAGCGGTGGTAAGAAGATCTTCGACGATTCTTTTGCTTGCTTCTCGTGCTGAATTTGTGTTAGCTTGTGATACTAATATTTTCAATCAAAGTCAAGAGCTTACCAGGAGTTTGTAGTAATCTTGATTGTGGTAAGGAAAACTGAATCGTCTTTGGGGGACTCATTCCAAGTTCCTTGTAGATATCTTCCGCGTCTTCATCACTGTCACTTTCCCATGTGATCTCATCTTTCTCTTTCTTTACAGATTTGGAAAAAATATCCTTTGACTTTCCTTTCGCTGGAGTTTGAACACTTATACCTGGTGTTCGTGGTGCATTCGGCTTATATGGTTGTCTAATCGGCGAACTGAATATATCAGCGTGTAATTGAGGTGCTGCAGCTGGTGGTGAAGATAACGGTGAATGATTGTCTCGCCATGAGGGTTTGTTTGCAGGGGTCTTCTTTTCTTTTCGGTTTGTAAGTGGTGTTGCTTGGATTCGATAATTCTTTTCGAGCATTTTAAGGTACTGAGGATCTTTTGTCTTCTGAGCCGTTGATGGTATATACGTTTGAGTAGTTGATGGTAGATCGTATAAAGTCGGGTCCATCCGATATATGGTTGGGTCGAATGGAGATGAATCTGGTAGCATTGACATATCTGGTATCCTCTGCCTGGCTCCAGGTGTACTCGGTAATTGTGTATCATCCTCATCACCTTGTAAAGTCGCATCTTTAAATTCCTTTCTTAAGTCCTCGTATGGGGATGACAAGTCCGCAAATTGTGGCTCTCTATCTTTTCGTGGAGGACCTCTGGGAGTGCTACCACTAATATCGTTGTCTTCGAGCATTGAATCATCCTGATCGTAAATATGATGACCATCATCTTCTGTTCGAATAGTTTCATCATCAATCTGCGATGCAGTATATTGACTTGGGTCTTCGTGGGACTGAGTATACGAAACATCCTCCTCCTCCCCCTGCTGCTCTACTTGAAGTAATGAGACGTTGGCACTGGCTTCGAAAAATTGCTTCCAAAACTACCCCGCTATTAGTTGCATTCCAGTCTTTTGTAGGCAGATTGCTACCAACCTTAGATCCTTCCCATACTGCATTTGAATGGTTTGCATATTGTTCAACGACAGGTAGAATACTTGTAGTAACAATACGATGCGCTCGACTAAAGTTGTGATCAATTTCTGAGGCGGTGTTAGTAAAAGGAAGATGTTTCGTGAGAAAGGTAAGGAAGGAAGCTTACCTTGAAGTGTCAGAGTAATAGATTGCTCCAATTTCTCAAGCTCTTCAGTAAGAGAAAGTGGCCTTGCAGAGGACACATTAGCTCGAGACATTTTGGACCTGGAATTTTACTCGAAGTCAGATTTCCTGAAGGATTGACGCGACTGGCGCGTTAGCCTTATTGACGGTGATGAAAAGTAAAATCATTAAATAGCATAGCACGTGACTAATAATATTTGTTTGGCTTTGTTCAAACCAATGAACTTTAATTTCTTTCCTTCTCCGAAATATCCAAGATAATGACATCAATTCTATTAACCTGGATCAATATCTCATATTTCATCACGATCATCACTCTACAGTCCAAAAAGTTTGTCAAAACGCACAGTTGTTAGACAAACACGACTCATTACTTATTATCCACGAAGTGATTATCCTATTAGGAGTAATCAGCGCTATCGATTTTGGCACCAGTTACTGCCCCCTATGGAATAGGTACAGAGGTACTGACTGACATGAGATGAGTGCCCGTTTTCCGACTCTCACCAGTTGATGTTCCCACCAATTCTTTCCCGCTCACGAAACAATTTGCGCTGCACTTCCATGCGCCGTCTTTTGTCATCCCAAGATTAAACAATAGGGCACCGGTATCATTAGGGTATCATACTGAAGGTAGGCACTATTGATGGCAAGAAGATAGGAAGGATAGGGATATATGGCAGACCACCTTCATCATCTTGATCAAACTCACTCCAGATACCCGGCATTCCAGCACAAATCAGGAGCACAGACAAGAAAATTACCCTGGAAATTTGGATCATACCCCCTGAGGATTACATTACAGGATTACACCAAAAAGAAACAAATTTCACAGGCATTATAGCATCAGCCAGCATCAGCATCAGCATCAGCACCAGCATCACCATTACCATTACCATCAACCATCTGTGCTATTTCTGGTGTACTTTGTAAATCGTGAATCTTTTCTTTTTTATTGATTGATTTTATTTATCTCTTTCCCATTGTTGGCCCCCTTTCCTCGGAGCCTCTGTTGATACTAATCACCCAATCGGGACCAACAAATTTATCATTATTGCACCCAGGTAGAAAAAGTTGAGGTGGATAGTGAGTGGATTTTCCTCCCCTGTACCAAGAGAAGTTCCGGACTTCCAGGTGAGGATCACCAGATCTCTAACATCCTAATGTTCAACTGTCTCTGCCACCTCTTGAATCTAGCAATGCGTTTATGTTCAAAAGATGTGGACTACGGAAAGAATATGGCAAACTTATAAAGCACGGCATATATTTTCTCGCTAGCAGTTCTTGCGCTGCGGAGAACTGGTGGTGTGGTGTGCATAAGGATTTTACTATAAGATTGACCTTGCAGAATCATGTACGGCTGGTGCTCTTATGCAGGAACCTTTGCTTTTGGTTCCACATTACCCAAGCTCCATCCACCATCCATTTCTAAACGCCCGTCTCTAGACTCCAGATAGATCAGCAGGCAGGCCATTATTGGGCAGGCATTTCGGGCATGCATATTGCCCGTACCTTGCCAATTTCTTGACAGTTCGAATTAGGGTACCGCATCAATGGTTTAGGGGTTTCCTGTGAGATCAACAAACATGAGTCTCACAACACTTTTTATCCAAACCGCCGAACAATTCTTGACCTCCCCTGTTTTTCCTGTGTCCACAAGTTTTTGCGGGGTGACCCGTTACAAAATCTCGAAGCCAAGAACGCCTAATCGCCGGATGTCTGAAAATGAAAAGCCAAACTTTGGAGTCAGGTGCTTGGAAATAACTCCAAGAGATAAACAAAAACAAAGGACTTTATGTCAAATTCTCCAATCTCAATCAAACTGGGGCAATCCGTGCGTTGAGCTCGACATTTCGAAATCAAAGTTGGCCCTAGTGCTTGCTACCTTCTCACGCTTTCATGGTTCCAAGATTATTTTAGTGGCCATCCAGTAAGAAATTGGGAAATTAACTCGAAGCGGTCTAAGGTCTATAGCCATTCATCCATACCTTGTCTGCGGTACCTGGTAACCTCGTCTACTATGTTTAGACTAAAAGACTGCGGAAATGGCACGGGAGAAACCCTCCACCCTCCACCCTCCTCTTCAACACTACCTATTCAACCAGAATTCCGTCTCTGAGCGCTATGGGGAACGTGAAGCCTATCTATCCTAGTCAAGGGCCTAGTCAAGACCTTGTCAAGGCCTTGTCACCGCGTCCACATGGATAAAAGAGAGAAGTCTAATTTTTCCTTACTCAGAACATGCTTTCTTTCACTCTACTCACTATCATTCTCACTATCATTCTCACTATCATTCTCACTCCTTTGCTCCATTCGTGCACTCACATTCTCTTATGCTATTTCGTATCTATCGTCATTCTTTACATTCCTTCACTTAAATGCTTTTATCACATACATCATATTACATTGTGTGTTGATTTCTTAAGAACTCGGTTGATATTTATTTTACAACGTCCTCCTCATCTCATCTGGAGAATCTCATCCCACCGTCTCGGTCCCAGATCCACCCCTCATATAATGCCTATCCTGATGATCGTTATTCGCGAAATTCACTCCCACTCCTCATTGAATCAATCGTAATCTTCTTGACACGAGTTTTCACCTTTGTTTTGTTTACATTGACAAAATACTCACTCAATTTCATACAACCACCACGATAGCCTACAGCCACTACCACTGTGCTTGCAAATCAAATCCCACCTCATCAATAGCTACATCGATAGCTCGAAAATCCCACCTTTCAATCCAAGAAATTGAATCATTTGCGCAAGGTCGAACCTCGGCCCAATTGAGCTCGCCGAGCCACGATTTGAAGATCTGATTTCAAGCCTTGTCCTGGACAGGAGGATCAGACACTCCCCGCAATGTCAGTAATTCTAGGAATTGGTTCTGTAGGAGATAAGGATAGCAATGGCGAATTATCACTATCATCCAACACACTGAGTCGTCGCATTCGTCCACCACCAATAAATACAAGTAGCTTGGATGAAGGCAGAGTTCCATTGAAATGTCCAAAAGTCCAAAGGAAGGAGTCCAAAGGTGGTCTTCGAGGAATGTTCTCTCGTAATAAATCCGAGAAGATTGCGGTATCGCCAGTTCCTGAAGGAAATAAATCGGCTTCACCACTCACATCACCAACACCACTTTCACCAAAGCTAATGAGTCCCATCACAAGTCCAGTAGCGGACAGTTTCTTCCGAAAGTTTGGTGCCGGCAATGCAACTGATTTAACCTCCCCTACCACACCTGCTACACCAGGGAATACCACTGGGACCCCATCACGTCTGAACCTAAGATCCAAATCAGCCAAGGATAGCAAAACTGCTGCCAAGCCTACACCGAAAACAAGCCCAAAAGCATCAGTGTTTGATCCACCACCATTATTCCAAAGTTACCCTCAGTCTGTGAAGCATGCTCGTCTTTCCGCCTCAACTTTATCAGCAGATGCAATTATCCGCATGTCTAATCACAAAAGGAATATCAGTATCCGGGACGAAATAGCACAAACAACCGAGACAGGGTCAGATGAGAAGAAGACAATAATCAAACATAACAGACGTCGATCAGGTTCAATATCGAAAGGTGAATGGACTCAAAAGATTTTCGTTTTGGTAACTTCTGGCTACCTTCTACAATACTCGGGTGATGGAAATTTTGACCGACTACCTGAAAAAATGGTCCAGTTAGGCAAGGAGTCTGTTGCTTTTGCATCAGATGTTATTCCTGGAAAACATTGGGTATTACAAGTATCTCAATCAATGAGCGCAGATGGAGTCCCAACTTCAGATTCTAGGTCTTTATTATCAAGACTTGCGTTCAGAAGTGCAGATTATAGGAGGAACGCAACTAGCCTTTTACTTGTCTTGGACAGCGCTGAAGAAATGGATTCTTGGATTGCTGTATTAAGGAAAGAAATAGAAACACTTGGAGGCAAAAAACAAATTACAGAAATTGGGACTGTGAAGACAGATGAAAAAACACCAGAGTTGAAGAGTCAACCAAGTCATCGATATCTTGTCCAAAGAAGAGGCTCGGATCAAGCTTCTAACCCTTGCTCGCCACATCAAAACCCTTATGATCGCCGTGCATCATGGCAGCAACCAGAAGGGCAAGTTGTTGGAGAATTAGCTTTACCTTGGTCAACTCCTCGTGAACGCCGTCCTTCTTGGCAGAAACCGGAAGGACAGAACATTGACGAAATATCCCCCACTGGCTTCCTTCCACCTTGGTCACTAAACGAAGCACAAAGTGAAGCTGCGATCAGACCATTAACCGGATGTGGATCAGTGACAAATAGTTCTAGTTCATATGAACATAATTTGGAAGGTTTGAGAGATAGCATTAACAGATTATCCTATTGCTCATCCGATCAACGTACACGCATTTCATCTCCAGCAACGTCGCCAGCTCGAGATAGTACATCTACCATGGAAGATTTATCACCTTTGTCCTTGGAGACAATCCGAGTGAGGCCAAATGCCGCGGAGATTGTTGAACGTAGAAGGTCACTTCAAGCACTTCAAGGGTCGCGGGATCCTATACCTCAGATTTCACCCCACCTTCACACTCCTCAACAAACTTTTCGACACTCAAATTATGGTACATGTACCCGAATCATGAGAAGCCCATCACCTGGAACTCCAAATTTCAGTGTACCGGTCTCTTCAAGCAAGAGGTTTTCGACTAGGAGCCCAGTCCCTGAAAGAAGACCATCACTTCCTGCAATGAATACAACTATGGAAGCTGAAAAGAGAAGCAAGAAGGGACCTCCAACGGCACTTTCTGTGACTCGACCGCTATCCCCCGTCATGGACATATCATCACCAAGACGGGTTCTAATACCTGTTACGTCTATGGAAACGTCACATCGGCCAGTTGCACTGAATAAATCATTGACCATTGATATTGGATCACGTTCCCCAGGAAGGTCTCCTATCAAAAAGCGACCAAGCAAAGAACTAAGATCTACTCGACGTGTCTCGAGTTTCGTGCCATCAGATAATACATTAGAAGTTCGGAGTAAAGATTTGCGTCGCCATTCAAGCATGCAGGCAGTTGGTCAAACCACGTCACCTCTAGAATCAAATGGTTCCTGTGCATCTAAATTTCCTGAACTACCTTCAACAAATTTGGCTCATGATGAATCCTTCGAAAGTATAAGAGAAAGTGACTGCGATTCATTACCAACTCTTCAAGAATCTGCACTTCAAGCTCAACCATTACCAACACTTCCCGAATTTCCCATCAAACAAAACCCACAGCGTCGACCAAGAAGTATGCTCGCCTCTTCTGGCCAACAATCAACTATCGCTGAAGATTTATCCAATACCCCACGTCGCAAGCGGCCTTCTTCAACTCTCGCTCCTACGACTCTCTCTCCTACCCTTATTTACAAACCAAGTCACTCTGATGTGGAACCACCAAAATCTCGATCAGGAAGATCTGTTTCAAACAAAAGAAGTTTGCCAGCTCTTATGCATGGTGCTCCTCCAGCTCCTCCTCCAGATTGTGCTTTACCTCCTTTACCTCCTGGAAGTGCTAGGATTATAAGTCGGAAAAGCTCGAGTACTCTTGTGAATTCCAAAAGGGACATTGGAGTTAGGGTTTGAGATTGTATCTCTTTTTTTTTTTCGAAATTCTTCTCAGTCCATGAATGGGATGTACTGAGAATTTTCATTCTATTACAACGTTCAAGATACCACTTTTTCTCCTTCCTTCCCTACATTCACTTACTTTCTTTCAACCTTAACTCTTTCTTTCCTGTATCATGTTACAATTATACCATTCACGTTTTTTTCTTCTCACGAAATAAACATAGCGCAGCACGACAGGCTCTTTCTGCATCTTTTTTCTTTTTCTTTTTCCTCTTTTTTTCCCCTCAAACATACATTCTCATGATTAATACTTAGATAACTACATTCACATACGAAACGAAGATGAGGTTTTTACGCTATGTACTATTGTACTATTATGTATTTTAGGACTTGGATGAGCTAGTGCGGCTTGGTTTGGTTTGGTTTGGTTTGGTCTGGTCTGGTAACTGATTTGGTTTGGGTTGGCGAATAGGGGCTTAGGAATTTCATTCCCCATCGTCTCATTCTTGATGTTTTTGAAAGGTTATGTGGTGTAGATGGTGGCTATAGGCAGGGTCTTTGAGATTTTTTAATGAGGGTTATGATGGGGTTTGAGGTTTGAGGTTTAGGGTTTAAGATTGTTGGGTTGATGGTAGATGGTAGAAGGTAGAAGGTGAAAAGTGAAAGGTGGAAGGTGGAAGGTGGAAGATGGAAAGATCGAAGACAGCTACCAAATTTTTATATGTAACTCTATGTATCATGAAACGAGACGAGATGAAATTGATAAAAAGAAAGAAAGGAAGGAAAGAAAATAGAAAGAGAATTAAACTATAGAATCATCAAATTCTATTTAAAATCTAAAAATAATTATAAGATTATTTTTCTTATAAGAGTTAAATTGATTAATTATATTAAAGATATTTAATAAAGATTATAATATAAAATAAATAAATAAACAAAAATTCTATAATTTAAATCTAATACTTTATTTTCAAATCACTTCTCTTTCAGATTATTTTTCTATATTAAAAGTAACAATTTTCACTTATTAATATTTTAATAATTAATAAATTAAATCAATTGAAATATTAATTATATATTTATTATATGATTATTAATTGATTTTGAAAATTTTAGATTTTTTATGATTTCATTAATTGAGATATAAATAATTGAAATTATAATTTTTAATTTTTATAAGATTTATATACAATTTAAAATTTTTTAAAACCTTTAATAACTTTTCAATAGAAATTATTAAAAATAAATTATAAATTTTTTTCAAATACTTGAATTATAATTGATTTAAAAAACTTAATTATTTGAAAAAATAAGTTGATTTAAATGATTAATTATAATTTAAATATTTGAAAAAGATTTATAGTTTATTTTTATTGATTTTTATTGAAAAGTTATTAAAGGTTTTAAAATTTTAAAATTTTAAAATTTATATGTAAATCTTATACAAATTAAAAATCATAATTTCAATTATTTATATTTCAATCAATAAAATTGTAAAAAGTTTAAAATTTTCAAAATCAATTAATAACTATATAATGAATCTGTAATTAAAGTTTTATTAAATTCTATTGATTGATTATAGAGTTATTAATAGATGAAAATCACGATTCTCGAATTATATACACAGGCATTGTCCAGTAATAAAAGCAATCCATTATTCGGAATGGCGAAGGCCCCACAGCGACCAGGTGCGAGTAGTCTACTCCACCACCAATCACAACCACACTTGACCCCACAGTCCAAGCCTTTTTTAAAATTATATAGTCTTTTCTACGCATCTTCTATCCATCAAATAACCACAAAAGTACAAAAGGTCGCTTAGCTCAGCTGGTTAGAGCGTGGTGCTAATATCCTCTCTGTTTCATGAGATAGATGCTGGCACGCCAAGGTCGGCGGTTCGATCCCGCCAGTGATCATTTTTTGCTCAGTTTTTGAGCTTCATTTTGATGTTAAAATCGTTGCAAATAATAAGTTGAGAAATTGATGAAGTTGTGATGTTGAAGTTTTTGTGTGGGGTGTGGGATAGGGGGCTGCTGCTTTTAGCGGGAAGGAAGGAACGATGCGGTCTCTTTCTGCTTTTTGGATGGCCAGATTTGATGGGTATGATGCATAGGATCTATGGTGTGGAATTTGAGGTTGATTATGTTTAATAAATGTGTGATGGATGTATTTTTTGAATCTCTCCTTTCGAGGGGGATAGACAGATGGCTTAAATAGTTGAACATTGATTTCATAATTTTGATACGATGCTGTTGTGAATTTTTTGGCGTTGGTACACACCTAAGGTTAAAAGTGGCAAGATATTTATTTACCCAGCAACTCCACAAGAATTTGCAGAACAAACCATCAATGTCACTATTCAATTCCAAGGCTGTTCAATTCCGAATCTGGTAGCAGGATATTTTGTTGAATACCTTCATCAACGCTGTTTGGAGATGTAGCTTCTGACTTTGAGGCTTATACGACTTTCCACTCGGATAAACCGGCCATATAGACTAATTATCCTGTGGTCATCGCTTGGTTGTTATTTCTCCTCTTCTTACTACCTATGTATTGAGCTGGTCTCAATTAAATGTCTCAATGGAACAGCTGCATCCATCCTCAATACGAAATTCTATTCGCACACAGAGCCATATAAAGATGCGTAAGGTGTAACCGCTGGCATTACGTATTTGTGTGCTTCTGGTGAACAACAAAACATTGACAGATACATAAAGCTTCAGTCGGACTTCTTTCCGATTCCACAAGCAGTATATGGCACCCACTAGTGTAGTGCTACCTTTGGGAGGTCTTCGAATGGTAGAAGAGATGTTTGACGGACAAGCATAGGTTATGGTCGGCCAGCGAAAGGACAGTGAAAATTGGCGTGAAAGAGTCTTGGCTGATATACTTCTCCATGTCGTGAAAGGCACTATCGTGGCGATTGGCGCTGCAACTTCGAATCGAGCACTTCATGCAGTTACCGAATTAGGCTCCCCCGCTGTATCACAATATAATTACAGTCGTACAATCACATTGAAGCCAGCTACACAACAGCATCTACCAAAACATTTCCCGAATCAAGCTGTGATTTCCACGGTCCTGGCAGTCATCGTATAAACTATATGTGGTACTCTCTTGACTCTCGCGAAAGTCAGTGGCCGTGCGGGGTAATGTGACGTGATTCGTAAAAATGCGGGCAGCGTTACACAGTGACATTTCCTTCCGTTCGTTGTTGCAGAACTACCCGGGCTTTCTGATCTGCCGGACTAAAAATCAACAAGGACACTCCGATGATCTGCAGATTATCAAATGTACTTCTAAGTTTCTTGTGTTCTTGCAGATGGAATCAGCAAATATATGCATTTCACTGGAGGATCAAAATCCTTGAATATAATGCCAGACTGCAACCCGATCCGGTCCCTGAGACTAATTTGACTACCAGTTCGATGCCGGTATACTATGTGCAAGACTTGAGATTTACTCACCATATGCTCTATGTCTTGACTCTAATCCTCTTGGATGCAACTGCGAGACGATCCTTTGGTGTCAATCCTAGGGCTGTATTACAGAATTGGTTTTCAGCTCCATGCTATTCGCTGATTAGGGAATATCTTAACGTACACGGCAATGCGCATGAGATTTCATGCATAGCAGTCTGATACGACGATCTCCAAGTTGAAGAATTTAATTACACCTCATCAATCCAAAGCAATTGGCTACTTTATCAGCTAGGCCTCTTTTGCAATATTTGATACTTTGCGGCATGTAATTACATCAGACTCCCGCTATAGTATAGCCCGGCTGCCACAAACCATGGCATTGAAGTGCTCTCATGCAGAACCGCCGGTTTTGTTGGAGCTGGGATGAATGCTGTGAGATATGTTCATGAGGAAGCGATTATGCGCACGAGCATGAAGGTGTTTTTATAACGTACTTGGCTATGTGAGGGCGCCTATCGAGCATGATGGTGCCTTGTTCGACCAAACCAATAAATCGAAGAGCATGGTGTAATTGCCAAAACCAATCTATTTGGATCTTCACGATGGCAACATCAACCATTGTACAGCCAGCCACCGAGACGCACCGAGACGCACCGAGACGCACAAAGTGAAAGACCCCGCACTGCCATTACCTCTAGAGGGTATGTTGACGAATATTTAAGGCGAGCATCTCAGGACCGAGAATTGATATTTTCTCAAAGCTACTTATCTTTATCTTCCATAGCAATAACTTCTACTAAACTCAAATCCTTCTATCAACTTCCACAAATCATCACTCAAGATGGGTTTTAAGGGCGTTGGTACCTACGAGATCGTGCCATACCAGGCTCCATCCCTCAACCTTAATGCCTGGGATGGCAAACTCGAGCCAGGGGCAGTGGTTAGAACATAGTGAGTCTACTCGAAACCCGCATTGACACATTACAAATGACAGTCACTGATGCCGCCGTGAATTTCAAAGTACTCGTGGCGATAAACCAAGCGATAATGCTAAGTGGCAGTTAGCACTCGTTGCTGGGTCTGGGGAGAGCGCCGAGTATCTGATCATCAACGTTCACAGTGGCTATTTCCTCACCGCTACCAGTTAGTATTTCCATACTTGTTAAGATTCGATTCACATGCTAATTCGAATCCTTAGAGGAAAACCACATTGTGTCCACCCCTCAAATCTCCCCGACTGATCCCTCTGCCCGCTGGATCATCAAGGCGGCCACTACACACCAGTACGAGGTCTTCACGTGAGTGTTGTTCTTTTATACTCTCCATGGACAAACTCAAGAATAAAGTTTTCTGATATTTAAATTTTAGTATCAACAACAAGGTGTCCGATTTCGGTCAGCTTACCGTGAAGGACTATTCTACCCACAGTGGAGCTGATGTCCTCGCTGCCAGTGCGCAGAATGCCGATAACCAGAAGTGGTACTTTGACGCCAAGTAGATGATTGCGAATGCCGATCATTTGGTCAATGGTACCCGGACTTCGCATTGCCGAAGTTCAGTTACTCATTTGATAGCCGTATACAGATCTAAGTAGCAAATGGAATGGGAACAGTCTTTATAAGATATGCATACCAATGTGCTCTCTTTTCGTTTCAACAGTAAAAATTACATCGTACTTCATGATATATTCCTTCTGTCTTATGAAATTAGGATGGCAAATGTCCCACGTTTCGAACACAAATATGTTCTCAACCACAATGAATCTTCCTTACACTACAGATCATTCTTGAATCTTGACGCGGAGCAAAACTGTCATCTCAAATCAGCCGACCAGAAGGTCCAACCTTCTAGAGTAAGGAATCTGCTGATATCGATGGACGAGTGCAACTTAGTGTGAAGCGTAGTAGAAATAAGGAAATCAATCTTCAGTGAAATGGCTCCTACCTTGAAAAGCAAAAACCTGAGAAATACCCGTCTCGCCACGGTTCTTACAGCACGTACTACACAGACTCCTAAGCTCAAAGATTTCGTGGTTGGCCATGGGGAAAGAAGACGACGATGCAACAACAGTCCAAGCAAGCCATCCGCAGGCTGGATAGCTTTTTCAATGGTGGAAGCACCCAAATCTAGCCTTTGAAACGCACGAGGAGCTATATTTCCTCCCTAAAAAGAGCGATCTGGAGGTTGAATATATACATATTTCTACTGTAGTTGTATATACAAGCGAATCAGAACATATCCGAACTTCCCCCGAACCCTAACCCATCTGGAAGATTTTACTTCAGATGAAGAACCCTGCTTAGCTTAGTCAAAAGTCACCCCAAATGAATGCAGTACTCGAATAGAAATAGAACTCCATCTTGATCTGGAACACATAAGAGAACCAGATACCGGGTCTTTGGGGTTCGTTTAATGTTGTGGAGTCACTTGATACTCGATTTCCGCATTTAGAAATGGAGAATGGGGCTTTTATGTCTTATAAAAGCAAGGTCCCCAAGATATCTATCTGATTACTGATACCATCTTAGTTTTTTATATGTGAAGGGCAGCATGAGTGGTTCCTCAGGACAGGCTCCCTCCAGTAATAACTCATGTAGGTTCGGTTAAAGAGAAGTTAAATTCGAAGAGCACTGTCTCGATGACTTCTTCAAATAAGCCTTTTTTTGATGAGGTTCAAGGTGTGCTTGGTCCCTGTCACGAGCCACATCACATGATTCACATTGCTTTCAGCGGATCACGGGACTTAGATATTAGTCACAATTTATAGATCTTCTAGTCTTCCCTCAGCGATAATATTAACGCAGACATCTCACGAAGTTCCTTAATGTTCAAACTCAGCACCAATCGAACACGTTTTTAATTGAAGGACACGTGCCGGTTTTTTGTCTAATGTTTTTTCATTCCCCAACATTACGGAGCGTACGCCATGAGTAAGGTGGGTGGGTTGGTGTTATGCCAGCCCTTCTTCTGCTGTTGAACATAATCTTCCGCACGTCCAAATCCACCGCATTCTTCCATTTGTAGTGTACCTGCCGTGTCGCCTTTACAGCTGCTTAAAAGGGCACTGGCTCGAAACTGGTAACAACGAATTGGATTGGCCCTTGAATGCTTCCCCGCTATTCAGGAGAAATTTTACCTTGTGGGCCGAGAGGGCTGGGTTCCTGAAGGCGGTCAATTGCGCTTTTAGGTCATCTCCCACTCATACCGGTCGGTCAAAGCAGACACGCTACTCTAATTTGAGAAGGTGCTCGTATTCTCTTCGTGGTTGTTCAATCGATGTTGGGCCTAGGTATCCCCAGGATGAGACATCACAGGGCGTGGAGCATATGGAAATATCTCAATAGCCAGCACTGCTCAATGCATTGCTTGGAGACCACATATGAGCGGTATATGAACGAGCTCATTATTGCCTTTTCTTGTTTTCAGTGGCATCGGGCGAGGGCTTTTTGCATCACCGATGTTTGTTTCCGTAGTGTTATTCATTCTTTACCTCGGCACTCTCCGAAGCAAAAAATTCTAACTTGACCCAGTTTTGTGTGGCTGAATGTGGAATCTAACACGGGCTTTTCCCTCAGTTCCGATCCTTTAGAACATTGACATGTACAAAATATGGCGCGAATGGGAAGGTATAACCACTGATGTGGATCAAAGTTATTCCCAGATTTCTGGAATCGTCCAGCGATGAAAGCCTTGGCAAATGCAAACATCCGTCGGTCTTTCCGTCTTCCCTTCTTTCCGCACACGCCCGAAAGCTTGTGTCAACGACAGTACGTACAGTGAGCACGAATCGCGGATTGAGTCACAAGTCTCTCATTCGCATTTGCAATCTTTAGGTGGTATGTTGTTATTGCAACCACCTTCCGCTTTGATCATGTTTCTCCATTTTTGATATGTGGACAGTTTCCTTCACATGTAACTATATCGGGATTGAAACAATGTGGAGGATAGACGGTTTTATCAGGTAATAGATATGACAATGTGGATTGTTCATTTGTATTTCGTCCAGTGAGGATGCTTCTTTTTCAATATCCAATTTGGTGGGGCCCTCATGCGTCTCCACCCTTCACCAAACAGGTTAATAGAGTTGGGCAATTTATAATGATATAATACTGCAACTGGAAATCAGGAACGCGGTTGGGGCGGATATCCATCTTCCAGGTATGTGAGTAATCCACCAGATAAGAAGCTCAATTACTCATATATATCTTTGGATCCCACATTGTCCCCTCTCCGAAGCTTCAATTTCGTATCCTACAGATTTCAACCATGGCCAACAATTTAGGGAATCTTGCACTTGATGGCGGTGACCCTCGCATTGAAGGAGTCGGTGAGGTGGAAATAGCCACGGTCGTTCGTCGCAAGATGCACGACCCGAATGTTCCGTTCGAGGAATATCTGTATTTCGCAAAGATTCAACGGGAACAAGAGATGAACGGACTCGGCCCAGAAGAACGGGAGAGAATGTACCGGGAATATCTTGCTGGAACAGACAACGTTGCCAGAAAGGAAATTGGGGATGAGAAAAAGGCTCTTCCAGAAATGGGGGACGAGAAGATCGATCCTCAAGCAATCAATGAGTCAAAACCTAGCTCTATCTCCAAAGGTCAAAATGATGCATATGTCGGAGCTGGTGAATGGGAGAGCGCATCTCGAGCAGCTAGAAATGCTACCTGGGGAGCTGTGTAAGTTTGGTTCTTGAATAAAGCTATATTTTGTCTGACAATTGAACAGTGTGTATCTCATCACCACCGATATTTTAGGGCCTTCAAATGCACCATACTCTGTTTCACAATTCGGATATGTTGGAGGTGTGATGATGTACTTCTTCATGGGAATCATGGCTTTCTTTGCGGGATGGCAAATCTGGCGCATGTTCTTGAAGCTCGACAGTGATAGATGGCCTATGAGGACCTTTGGAGACTTAGGGTTCAGAATGTAAGAAGCGTCACCAATAACAAATTATATTAATACGCAACTAACATTTACAGTTTCGGAACTTACGCTCGCCACGCTATCAATCTCCTACAAAGTATCCAACTTTTATTCAATGTCGGTGTCATTGTCATCTCCAACGGCCAAGGTCTATCCGAAATGTCCAAATACAAGCTCTGCTTTTCGATCTGTATCCTGGTCTGGGTACTCGCTGGTATGATCTTTGGTCAAATCCGCTCTTTGCAGAAGTTTGGGCATATGGCCAATTTCGCAATTTGGTTGAACATCCTCGTTATTTTGATGACCATGGGTGTTGCCGCACATAGTCCTCCCAACTATGCCGCAGCGCTTCAATCTTTCGGTACTCCGAAAGGCCCTATTAAGCACACTATTTGGATTCCTTCTGGCGCGACTTTCGACTCTCAATTAAGTTCCGCTATGCAAATCGTCTATGCTTACGGTGGCGCAATGTTGTACTGCGAATTTATGGCCGAAATGAAACGACCACTCGACTTTATTAAGGCTCAATTTCTAGCTGAAATATTCATCTTCGTCTGCTATCTCATTTTCGGTTGCGTTGTTTACTCCCAACAAGGTCAATTCACCTACAACCCCGCCAATCAAGGGTTATCTCCATACTCTTGGCAAACCGTCACCAACGCGCTCTCTCTCGTCTCCGGTCTCATCGCCGCAGTTCTATACGGTAACATTGGTATCAAAGTAATCTACCAAAACATCGTCGAGGATCTCTTCAACGGCCCAGAACTCAACAGCAAAAAAGGAAGGATCGTCTGGATCGTCATGGTACCCCTCTACTGGGCCTTTGCCTTCGTCGTCGGATCCGCCGTTCCTCAATTCACCAACATCTCTTCGCTGGTTGCAGCTGTCTGCATCATGCAATTTACTTATACTTTCCCCACGCTCTTGTATTTCGGTATGACAATCAAAGAAGATGCCATACACCCGGACGAAACATACGATCCTGTCACCGGAGAAGTACACCGAATCGACACCTGGAAAGACATGAGTCGATGGAAGAGAGGACTTGCGCCAAGATGGTGGCTGAAAATTTTCTGCTTCTTGTTCTTTCTGGCAAGTGCTGCTACGGCTATTTTGGGCATGTACTCGAGTATCAAGAGTATCATTGCCGGGTTCGCCTTGGGACACGCGACTAGCTTCGGTTGTGTAAGTCCGGTCGGCTATGCTTAGATAGTTATGGTGGAAGGTTGGGGATTCAAACGTCAGGGGTTCAAAATGTTGGCGGAATATGGGATGATGATAATATTGGGCTAATGATGGGGAATGAAAATGAAGATTATGATTATTGTACAGTAGATTAAATGTTATGTGGGAACGAAATGTGTATACCAGATTATGAATCATGAAACTGTACATAATGCTATATGAGGAGTGTAGAAGGTGTCGTGAGAAAATGATAGGTGAAATGATACCAGTGCCGGCAGATGTACACCCCCCTTGTTTGATTCTATATCGCGAACGACATTCCCCACGTAATGTACCATGAGAGCTGATGCATGCTCTGCTCGATAGTTTGTCAATCGCATTTAAATGAGCACTTTTCCTCCTGATTCAAAATCATTCACTCATGACTCTTTCCATTTTATTCCTTTGACTTTCGGATTTTTTCATGAATAATTATTACTCCTCTGAGGCCGTAATGCTGTTATGATGCCATGCCATTAAGCCGCCAATGTTGTTACTCTCCAAGTGCTGCTATGTTGTTAATGCTGCCAATGCTGTTATGCCCCTCATGCCCCTCATGCCTATCATACCTATCATACCTGTTATGTAGTCCAATTTTCCGTAGCGAAAATATATATATATATATAGACAATTTCACGATCACAATTTGGAATATTCACAAGCCCTCCTTTTCTTCTACGGAATCACTACTGTCCCCGACAGTGTCCGTTGCTTTCAAATCACATTCAACCATTGCCCGAATCAGCTCAATTGTAATGTCGACACCTTTTTGTATGGATTCATCGTCCGAAGCAAGCGGTACGTGCAGAAACATCGCTTTGTTAGGCCGATGTTGCTTGTAGCGATGTGCGAGTGAGGTATAGTATATAAAATCGCAGAGGTAATTACCAGCATCTTCGGATATGCGTATATCGACTTCCTATATGGCTATATTTAGTAATGAAGGGAGAGAACTAGGGACCAATATAGCAGTGATGTCAGACAATGAATAGGAAGGTCAATACGAACAGGGCAAGCCTCCTTCCATTGGCGAAACATTTTATCGAATGGCAGACTTGTCAAAAGTTCTTCGGGACAGTCATGCCATATCCATTTGTCCCCCTCCTTAATTCTGTCGAACTCATCATTCAATATTTTCCCATCCACATCTCGCATGGAATATCCAGTTCGATGACCACGTCTCTCACAACTGTAAAAGGGTCGACCGGATGCCATCCCAACATGTAATATATAATCAGGCCCAAATCCATTCGGATTTTCATCGAGGAGTATAGGCATGAGTTCCCGCACAGCCTTGTATCCTACATGAACCGGTGCCTCATAATTATCAATTCGAATGCGACGCGGTTCCTTTTGTATGGGTGGCTTCGCATGTGGATGGTGCCCCTCGTCTTGAGCATTCGTAGGGACATATGATGGAAGACGGGATACGATCTCCCATGAGGGATTTACCGGATATTGCGAACGAAAAGGCTGTAATTTATGTCAAGGTCAGCATTCAAAACCTCCTATGCAATGAGTAGCTTGATAGCGATATATCATATCGTTCGAGCAATTCCACAAATGAGGGGTAAAATGGGGTTCAATAAATATCAAAATAACCCACAGCAAAACCAGTAACTAAAACTCGAATTTCATCCTGTTTGGGAAATTTATTCTCATTCTCCTTGATTGAGCCCATGGTCGATAGAAGGAATGATATATGTTATAGTGGTCGGCAAGTAATGGTATTCAATGCTATCATCCTATCTCGGATGTGACTGGGTGGTGTAGGAGTTGCCGATGGAAATGCAGAAGCTCAGAAGCTATGACCCCACGTCATCTTAACGTAATCCGAGGAACAAGCACTAAAACCCCAGATTCATAAAAGAACTTCTGGGCGGGTACCTCGGTTGATTGATGACTTCGACTTCCTCAAAACACTTATTCACACCTAAGTGCTCTATTCTGAGAGTGTCGAGTATCTATCTAGTGGTCCTCGAATACGATCTGAAGATCGAAGGATTCGTGTCGCCGACGAACTGAGCATGAGTATCTAAACCGTTCCTCAGACCAATAGTTGTTTGCCTAGATAGAACTACGAGCTTGTCAGCTTCTTGTTGAATCTGTATGTTCAGATTCGAGTGTCCTAACGATGGACTAGTCGACTATACGGTGACAAACCGAAAGCTCGATCAGTATCGAAGCTTACTTTGTTATATTAGACATCAATCGTTTTACTCGAGTACTCGAGAGAGCGTTGGTTAACCTATATTAGCAACAGTTGGATAAAGGGCGCAGGCGGCGTGGTTCTCTTGAGAAAGAGTTCTGGTATACTATACGACGAATCTCGCGAACTATAGACTTTACAATGTTATTTTGGGGATACTCAAGCCTGATCCAACAGTCTTGAAAAAACAACAGTGTTGTCAGTAAGCCATTGCGCACGAAGAGGCCGGGATTCAATTGGACGCAATCAATGTCCTTTGAAATAAGCTCTAGTGAAGCGGGGCTACCTATATTATTTCCTGTACTTGGAGGACAAACAAACGCTCGAAATCTTGTCTTTGATCTCTCTAAGGGCACATCGCTCAGCCTTTATGTAAGGTCAAAGTGGCTAGTTTTATTTGTCTCATTGAAAAGCTTGTCAGTCACCTCATAATGTGGCAGGGTTGCTAACATTTTACTGTGCCCTCGCCTAGCCACTTTTGTCTCAAAATAGACTTCTTCTATTTCATAACATCGAACAACTTTGTGGTGATCTCATTCGTTACCAACAGCCTGTTTCTTAGTCACACAAACAAGCATTACACAGCAAACACAGCAAGCACAGAACAAGATCACAATTTCTAGATCGTGCTTCTATATTCGTATATGAACTTTCAACCAGCAGATACGGGAGAATACTTCCAACAAAACTGTAGGCTGAGTCGGAGCTACTGAAAAATGAAGGTATTCCTAAATGGCGATGCCTTTGATCGAGGTATATATACTTTGACCTTTCTACCTCAATTGCCATTATCATCACCATCAAAACAATCAAATCAAGCATTCTCACAATAATTCTCATCTCTAAGCATCAAAGTGTAATAAATCCCTCCTCTTTCTTCCATTCTATCAAATCACCGAATATATTCGCTTTACATAATAACCAGAACACCTCAACTTCATAATGCTTTTCACAACTTCCACGTTGGCCTTCGTCGCCGCAATTGGCCTTGCATCCGCCGCGCCCACACCAGCCGGTGGCTCCTCCGCTCCCATGTCCTGCGCAGCTTTGTGGCCAGGAGTTCTCGAGGACATCTGGAAAGGAAAGCCGCAAAACATCGCTTTTAACACGCTATCTCAGGACCCTTCCGAACCCAGCTAAGGTAATTTCGGCATGGGTGCAACATGGAATGGAACGGCATGAACCTCGCGGGAATACACCTATGCATCTTTTAATATCCAAGGTGATGCAAAAAATTGCGCACTTTAGGCATCATTTCGTGCGAGCAAAAATGACTACGAGGTCATTCAAGGGCCATTGAACCCACAAGTCCAAACATTCACTGCTTCCACACCCCTCGACTGCAGTGACCTCACATTCTGGGATGTTTTCCCTATGAATAGCGCACCCAATGTCAAAGAATTTGCATCGACTACCTTAAAAGCTGGACAGAAAACTTACATCGGTCCTTTTGACTGCTCTTCGGCCTCTAAGGCTGAGTTCATCATGGGACTCGCCAACTTGACCGGCCCAAATGAGAACGAGGCTTCCGTTTACCAGTTTCGCGTCAACAATACCGCTCCTCGACGCTATGGATTGGTAGTGACATATAGTACCCAGATTTGCCTCTCAAACTTTTCAACAGGGCGTCGCATTGGCCTTGTGATTGGTCGTGGAGCCTGATTTAGAGTGTGTTTTCTTTACTAGTTTTGTTTTTGAGCATAGTGGATTTGAAAGCGACTCAATATACCTATTTTTGGAGTATACAGCATAGTACTGGTCGTGTTTAGTTATTCCTTTTTGTACTTTGGTTCTGAGCATAGTGGTGATAGTATTGGCGGGATATGGGACAGTTACATTCATTATGATCATAAGGGACGGGTGATGGCATGGTTACCGCATATGGATAAATCATAGACATAAACTTTCTTATACTCTTATACTCTTAATATCTAAATAATAATAAATTCATATTAAGATCAGTTTAATTACTTTTGCAATATACTCTGTTACATATGGAAAATAACCTTAAATTTTCAGGCTGGTATTATATCGAAAGATTCCTTCATTAAAGTGGCTAGTTAGTACATGTTATATATATTACTTTCACTGTTTGGCTTGGTAGATATCTTAGCATATCTTAGCCATTGTCTTTAAAATCCAGTAAGATCTTACAAATTTTAATTTAATATTCCGATCAGAGATGGAAATTCATACCCAAGCCGCTTTGATTGGGAAAATCACAATTATATATATAGAATAATAAAACTTGTTTTATATTTTTAATAATATAATTTTTATAATAATAGAATGCAATTTGAAATATATACTAATTTAATTATTTTATCACTTTTGGATTTTTAATAAGATTTTTGAAAGTGAGTCGAATTTATTTATATTTTTTTAATAAAAGTAAAATTATCAAGATTGTTTTCTATTTGATTTTCAATATCTGCAGGATGTACTCTACAATGGTATCGGCGTTATTATTCATATAATCTGGAGTATGAGAAACTTGTACACATTTAGGAGAATATGATGGGCAATAGCGGTCATTTGAGACTACTCTCAGCTGACAGTTTTACATGGTAAATTTGCATATTTTACGAACCAAAAAGTTTGTTGAAGATCCGAGAATCAAAGGCGTCGCATCATCTAGATGCCGGTTTTACGAGCACACTGATGACTCGCAGCCTTGTAAGATTACTTCAACCCCTAACCTTACTTTTGCCAAGAAGATATGAGCCTCATAAGTCTGGATACTGCTCACCTTGCACATGAGCTTGATTGTCTCAGACATGGTTAAGAAAGGGAACCGTCAAATTTAGTGTTGATATTTGAGAGATTAGACAGTTTATTGTGTCAGAGAAGCTTAACATCAGCAACTTTATTTTAGAAAGAATTGATTTTGATGTGGCTCTCAAAGTCAAAGAGTATCATACTGATATGTCAAGAAGCCGCTGGTTATTAGTTGGCGAATGAGACCTTTATCGAATGGTTTTGTTTTAGAATTGGCCCCCAAAAGAAGAATTCCTTCTATATCCAACAGTAGCACAGCGCAACGGCCCTCTTTTATCAAGCCATATAATGTGTCAATACCAAAATAGATCAAACTCCCAATTCAGCTTGCTATTAGCTTCTAATAATATTGTAAAATCTGCCCAAAATAACTTCATCCAACGAGTGCGAAACCACGGCCATTCAACAGAACATCGAAGAACGAAGATCAGAAGAGACGACAGCCTTGAAAACTATGAGGCGTACAAATCAGCTCGTATACAAACCACAATTCTCTTCTTGATTAACCATAGAACAAGATGTAGGACAAGGTACGTAATGAGCTTCAACAATAAACGAGCCGCAACAAAATTCCTCTTGGCTCCACTGCACTCCACTCCACAATAGGAGCGTTCCAAAAGTCTCGCTTACGCAGAGACTCAGCGAAACGAACCCCAAATTATTTTCAACAAGTGAACCAACAGTCTCTAGATCTATACTTAGCCTAGCAAACAGTGAGCACAAGTTACACAAAATCTCCCAGCCTATTGACCGTAACACAAAGTAACTACTAACTGCTTACCCTTCCCCAAAAAAGCTCACATCAGCCTTAACACCAGCACATCACAACATCCAGATCTCCTGCCCTGCAGCAATCCAACCGCCAAGTTCCTACCCCGCCACCAAACACGCCTTTTGTCACACTATCCACACAAACCCCCACCCAACACATACATCATCATATCCATCACAAAAAAGTGCCACAGTAAAAACATGCGAAAATTATCCTCATGTGTTTGCTAGAAAAGTTATGTAAGATCACCATCATATAATCGATCATATGATGTTTTCAGCTTGATGAAGAATCCGTATCGTATAGCCTTGTATATCAGCACTTGGAAAGCCTCTTCGTATTTGCCCGGGCTGTGGTGAGATTGTCGGATGATATATTGCGGTGGGTTATTGGGGTGGTATTGCGCCTCTTATGGGGGAGTTTGCTATATAATTGTGCTTTTGGATGGGATGGGGATGTTGATTTTTTACTCCTTATTATCATCACCGCTTCTCAGACTTTAGAAACTTTATCCACATAATCAAAAATCTTTAACTTCCTACCAGAATATCTCCAAGATAAAAATGCTTTCCAAGAATATTATTTCTCTCCTCATCGGAGCAGCAAGCTTTGTGCAAACTTCTCCTGTGCCAGATACCTTGAACGAGAAACGCACTTGCGGAACCCAACTCTTCCCAAATCAACTCGTGCAACTCTCGCAGGCAAATCCCAATACCGCGTATCCAAACACATGGAACACAGACAAATCCGTTAAGATCAGTCAAGATATTGATGGCAATGGTATGATATTTTCCTTGATGATACCACCACTCCAAACTAACCTGCTCCTAGGCAACCCCACCAATCAATTCTGGGAACTAATTTCCTTCCCCGCGCTCCCAGCCGGATCTTACGGCTGTTCACTCACCCTGACCTTCCCTTCCGATTACTCACCGACTATTACCGGTGTATCCCCAGCCCTCAATGTCTACGCCGTCTCTACACCTCTTCCCGATAGCCGAACATTCAACAACATCAGTCCTAAAATCACTCCTAGCATTTTTGGCACTGTTACTCCTGCCAGTGGACAGAGTGTTGTGATTAATTCTGGGAACTGCAATGGTGGTAGTGGACAGGGATTGACTTTTGTGTTTAGATATGCGGATTGGGTTCGTGGACAGGGAAGTGTGAGTTGGATCGAGTATGTTAATGCTTTGAATGGAGCCGGTGCTAGGGGTGTTTATTTGAATTATAATTGTTAGATGAGAGGCGAGGGACAGAGAGACGGAAAGAATGGTGCGTTTGGAGTATTATTGTTAGTCTTGAAAAGAGGGACTAAGGGAGTGGCTAGTAGAAAGATATTGGAGTTGGATGGATAGGAAGGATTAGTGATTTCACATTTTCGACGCGTGTAAAATCAGTTAGATGAATTTTGAATTCCTGATAATGCTTTTGATTGCTCTATGCTTCTGCAACCTCAATGAACGTCTTGCTTGAGTACCGTGAGCGAATTCGTAATGTTGCATGAAGGCGTTCGACCACGTTGTAGACACTTGTGCGATTTTTGAAGAGCCACTTCCGAGAGTCAGCAAACACTAAATAATAAATGAGCAATAAGATGCCAAGAAAAGTTGCTGAAGGAGGAGTTATCCGATTCAGCAACGAATGTAAGCTGATAATGACTAAAGAATTAGGTTTCGAATCGCAGACCAAGTATAAATCTTCATCGTCGCTGTGGTTGTGAAATCTGCAATTGTCGTCTTCTTTCCGGTTTCTGGGGTCGAAGAATACTCGTTCGCGATTATAATTGCAGTCAGAATCGTGAAAAAGGTATGGGCTAATAGCATCTGGAACTTTCAAAAGAATGTCGAGAACGACTGCGTAATGCTGATCGTTTTGGTGGTGAAGCAGAGCAGCACAGAAAGCCTCCAAATGGTTCTCCTCTATGTCAGTTTTAGTCGCTGCAAAGACGTATCTCAGATGTTCGACTTCCATATAGCGGTTTAAATTATGGTGATAATCCCGGATGAAATTCATAGTAAAGTTCGGAAGCTTCTGGCACGTAATTCTGCCGCCAAAAATCCATAGCTCTAAAGTGACTTAGAGCCACTGAACGAAGATCTCAAACATTTCAGGTGTTTCATTTAGTTCAACTCCACCGGTTCCATAAATCTCGCAGAAGTCCATATCTTTACACACCAGCAACACTAATACGTCCTGTCCTAAAAACCTCGGAAAGGACGCCAAACGAGAAGATATCCTCCCAACAAAATGCCTCCCACGCCGTTCATGACCACCACAACCAAACCACAATGCCCAAGGCAACTGGTACCACCATCTTCAGCATGTCGGCTAGTCAAACATTTCTCTTTAAGTCATGTATAACAATATCTCCCTCATCTCCGGAATCCTGCGATTTTCCAGTCCCAACTTTCGGAGGATATTCAACTCCGTCTTTCTTAAACTTCGGTATGCAGGTACATTGTTGATCGGCTGGAATTGAAGAGAAGACGGATGGTAAATGTTCACCGCAGCCAAACCAGGTTTCCTTCTCTGCCAGGCCAGAAATGTTAGTATGGCGTTTAGATGAGAGGGCTAGGGACATACGGCAGGTCGGACAGCTTGCTTGTCGACACATTGTGAAAGATGTCAATTTTTGAGTATACGATCTTGTATGAAAGGTATTCCTCTACCTTTTATGAATTAGGAATTCTCGTAAACTTCGCAGAGAACCATCCTATAGAGGTCGTTGGACTCTTTATAAATTTGCTTGGACTTCATTTTGTGGGGTATTGAGCCTTAGGTCGGCGAGGTCTTGATTACAAGGGGTGTTTAGCGCCTGTATAAACTGATTAGGGTCGCCGGAAAGCTTGATAAATCGCCGACTATGCTACAAATCTTATTTTGACATCAAATTCCCCCATAGCTGTTGCAACATATATTTCTTCATGCGAAAAGACTCCAGCATGACCAGAAGAAGTCTTTTCTTTTGACCAAAAACTTTGACGAAGATGTTAATGTCTCTTGAAAGTTTTTTTTTGCCCCATTCAAAGAGAACTCAATGAAGTTCGTCGTACTTGGATGTCGTCATTAACGTGGGTTGTACCAGAGTGGTGCAGCTGAGAAAGCCCTCATATATGCTGTCGGAAGACAACTTCAAAGTGAAGATGCCAGTCATACAAAATGCAGTCTTTGAAAGGTTCTCGCAGGGATTCGTGTGGATGATTCCGCCCATCTGACTTGCAAGTGCCGGTCATTATGCAAGCTGCATCGTCAGATAAGGCTACATCCCTCCTTTTGCCATAATGGCGTTATCTCCATTCCCATATGTTGTTCCCCAGTAAGAACTAAAGTTATCTTAGTCGGCATTAAATGGTATTCTTCTCCAGTTAGTCATCCTACTCATTGTCGTTGTCTAACTAAATTGCTACTCAGCAGTGTGTTCATGTTACGTAATTTATCGATCTTTCCGATATATTAACATCGCTAGTTACAATAGAGATATGCCGTTACATCGAGTATGCAAGATTACCGTTGCGGGTATGCAAGATTACCTTTGCAGACATATTTACATTCGTAATCATTGTCGATTACAAAAACAATGCCGAAGCAATGTATATAAAGCCTAAATACCCACTCTAGCTCTTCTCTCATCATACTCCGCATCATCACCAGCATCATCACCAGAAATAGCCACGAAAGAACAAATCATGGGCAGTGAGACGAAAATCGATCAAGTTTCGGCTTCTGCTGAGTTATACCCTTCCATTGAAGCACTCAATCGTGCCAACAGGCTCCTTCCACATGTTCTCGAGGAAGAGGCAAGCAAGAACCCTCAAAGAATTGTCGCAATAGCCGCAAAATCGTCTGATATATCTATGGGATTCAATGAAATCACTATCGGGCAGTTCTTGCATGCTGTCAATTTTACAGCTCATTGGATTGACTCTCACAAAATCGATTCTCCTCCGGCTGAGACATACGCTTTCATTGGACCACAAGACTTTCGGTATCCGATCATTGAATTTGCTGCCATGAAGACAGGAAACCCTCTTCTTTTGCCTAGAGCTGGCAATGCATTAGCAAATACAATTTCACTACTCACTGTGACCAAAAGCACAAAATTCTTTTACGCATCCGAATACTCAGATCTTGCTGCACGGATTGTCGGTGTACTTCCATATTTGAAAACCTACGAGGTACCGAGCCTGCAGGAGATGATTGTCGAAAATACCGAACCATACCCGTATAATAAGAGCTGGGATACACATAAAGACGAGATAGCCGTTATTATTCACACATCAGGTTCCACGGGTGCACCAAAACCTAAGAATTGCACCCATGCATTTCTCAGAAGTTTCATAAACAGCTCGCTTTTACTCCCTGACGTTCCTGGACGAATAACTGCATCGCTCAACTTGATAGCTAAAGGCGAGCTACTCTTGACTGCGTGTAGTTTTTCTCATGGCTCCGGACTCATCTTGGCATTCACGACTATCGTTCTGGGCTCAACTCTTGTTTTTGGCCCACCAAATGTACCCTCTAGTGGAAAGATACTTCACGATATTATGAAAGTCCTCCCAATTCATGGACTCGTAAATGTCCCTAATATTACAGAGCAGCTGTTCTTGGATCATGGCGAAGATCTCAAAGACGAAATTGCTGCTCTGAAACATGTTTCCTGGCTTGGAGGTAAATATAACTCTACAATTTGCACTTGAACACGTTACTGACTGAGAAATAAGGCCCACTATCCCAAAAGACGGGTGATTTCATCGTTAGCCATACAGATGCTATTTTGTGGCAAGGCTTCGGATCAACTGAATCTGGCCTATTGCCACTCCTCGTGCCACCAAGATCACATTGGTCATATATCGAATTTCATCCAAAATTCTCACCAGACTTAGAACCAACATCACCCGGCTCGCCGCTTTGCGAACTAGTCATAAACAAATATCAGGATCCTGCTCTTTCCTGGAGTCAAACTGTTTTCTACATGGCTCCAGACCAGACGACCTGGAGGACCAGGGACATTCTACGTCGCTATGACGGTCCTCTTCCAGATGGAGTCGGTCCACTTTGGAAGTTCCAGAATAGGATCGATGATCTTATCATTCTCTCCAATGCCGCCAAAGCCAATCCTGTGCACATCGAGACCTTGTTACAATCACATCCATTGCTAAACGGTTGTCTTGTGTTTGGAGAAGGGCAAACTCGTTGTGGAATCTTGTTGGAACCAAAGGAAGATTCGAATTTGTCAGAGGAAGAATTGGTAGCACTGGTATGGCCAGATGTAGAGGAAGCTAATGGTACTGTACCAGGACATGCTCGTATTGAAAAAGATCTTGTCCTAGTGGTGAAAAATGATAAGAGATTAGAGAGAGCTGCTAAAGGAACTATTATCAGGTCTCTTTGCTTAAAGATGTATAAGACCGAGATAGATGATTTATACGCAAAGTTCAAGGCACGAAAGGCATAATTTGATGGCATGGTTTCCCTTGTTTATTGTTAATTTCACTCAAGATTTTAATTCGTATTTAGAGAGTTTTTGATTTTGTAGTTAGCATTTTGAATTCACAGTCGTTATCTTTACATATCTTCTTAAATGGCATTTATCACAAGTTCATCACATGTTCATTTTGAAAGAATCTGTATATAAAATGAAAACCTGTATCAGTATATTGGTCTGTTTCTCTATCCAAAAGCAGTAAAGTAAAGACAGCGAAAATAGATAAAGCAATGTCACTCTCAATGCAACATCTCTATCTACATTCCCCCCTTTTTAAATTCCTCCCTACTCTCCCTACCATCCCAATTCCTCCCCCCTCAACAAAGACTCCTCCAAGCACGACGCATAACTCCATCCCCACCCTCAGACCTCCGTCTCAAAAATCTACTTCGTTGCAAATCACGGCAAGCAGGACATAATTGAACGGGTTGAGTAATAGAAAGCCAGTAGAATGAACATCGAGTCGCATCAAATGTGTTTCCGGCCCGTTGTGAAGGATAGCGAGAACAGCGTTCGGCGGTTGCGGTGGGGTGCCCGCAGAGTGTGTGGTAGGTGTATTGTTCTTGGCACATTTTTAGTTGGGGGTGTTTAGAGCGTTATGGGATGTGGGTATAGGGTGTTGGAATTTTGGTAAGAGTGAAGATTTTAGTTGGGTGGGAAATGGAGAGGTTATATTTTTTGGTAGGATGGATTGTTCTGTGTCTGTTTTGATATTATTCTTCGATGGTAAGGATGGCGGATTTCATCAGAGTTTATTACCTTTTTAGTTATCTAGATGCTGTTAGAGTATGTTCAAGAACGATACAGAAACAATATATCCATAATCGGCCGACTTCCAATCTCGGATATCCAGACTGTTTGCTTCTCTTGATCTCTATTCATCGTCAAATTAAGCTCAGATCAAGCTCAAGATGCGGTTAAGGGTGGAAAAAATTTTACATATTTATTTTCATGGAATGAACATCTCGTCCATTCGTGAGAATCGGATCAAATGAGATATTATTTGTATGGAATATTCTGGGTTGTAGGAATCTTCATAGTTGAAGATTCGTAGTTACTTTCAATAATTATCTGGTTAATTATAATATTCCTTAACGAAACCCATGATTTCATAGTTTCTAAAATTACTCGACAACAAAGAGCCGGGAAACAACAGATTTTGAGTTTAGAGTTTAATATCACATTTATTTCATCATACATTATATTTTCCATTCACACTCAAATCATCAAATATAATATTTCCAGAGAAAAAAAGTGATTTTTTTTTAGTTATTAGAACCTATTCTTCTACATAAGTCTAACAGAGATGACCCAGCATCTCCATACTTATCTACATAAGATTTTACCTATCAATCCCTCAACTACACACCAAATTCTCTACTAAACCTCCACATCCCAAGACCTTACTCTAAAATCAAAAAGAACTCCTCACAAACAAGGCAAGTAATCCCACTCATTATACGACACTCGTTGGCGAAATGAGGACAAATCCCTATCTCCAATTGATTTTCATTTTGCCATTGACATTCGCAGATATATATCCGGACAATTATGTGGTCGCAATAAGCAAATTTAAATATGCGGAGCAAACACATGATGTCTGTGTATTTTGGGTTTGGGGTTGGTGATGTATGTATTACTTTGGTTTTGGTTTTGGTGTTGGGGTTAGTGTTCGAGGGGATTTGTTGATAGTTGGAAAGGTTGCTGATGTAGTTACTAAAGGTTTATGGTGGTTGGATATGCATGTTTATATTTTGTTTTTGTTTTTGTTTTTGTTTTTGTTTTTGCTGTTTTGTGTTTGTTCTTGAATATTCGGAATTGTGTTCTAAATGCTTTGTTTAATAGTTTTGGTTTCTAGACCACCAATGTTTAGACTTGTCAAAGAATAGTAATACCAAATGATAGTGATATCAAGAACATTCATGACTCGTCTATATAGGTTGCGAGTACTATTTGGGGATTCCATGGGTATTATATATGAGTTCTATAATGAGCCAAGCCAAATATCTTTGTCCAAAATATTGTTTAGACAAAATGAGCAGAATTTTGGGCTAAATTTTGTCTCTCTTAATTTTGACTGTGTCTAATTATATAAATAGTGCGTAGCATCCCGAGAGTATGTCTACCAAACCCAGGAATCTGGAATCGATGACGAGTGGGAATACCAGTACTGATTCCTCGCTGGTCTTATAAGCTTGGAGAACGGAGATATATACATCAAAGTGCTCTTGGTACTCGGAAGAAGACATCATTTCTATAAACTCATGCTCTTTAAGAACCTCTGCTTTAGCATTATATTTTCCTGCTCTATGTATTCGTGCACTTTACAAAGCGAGAAAAGATACTCTGATTGCCCACCTAATTCTAATCACGATTCCGAGTCTCATGTTTGCAACCCACCAATTGCAAAATGAACCGCCCCAAAGCCAATCATGCCTCATGTTCCAACGCAAAATCCCAAAATTTGACTTGTAAACTCTCCCCGTTGGTAGCTTCCTCATTAGCAGGCCTACAAGCCAATGCTCCTGCCGCGATATCCCAACCTTCCTCAGCAGCAAAAAACCAGGCAATCTCCCTAAGTGGTATCATTTCTTCACCTTGTACCCAATAAACCCACAATGACTTCCCATTCTCATCCACTTCTCTCCTTACTTCAATTGTGACCTCGACATCTTTACTTGCATCAAAGTCTGTCGGTAAGATACTCCAATCTGCAAAATTGTCGCATCCAACAGTGCTTACATAAGGCTTATTTTGGTAAAACTCAATACCGGTCTTTACCCAACGATCTTTAGAACCGGCTTTGGTGAGATGGAGGAGAAGACAACCTTGATCATAACGATATTTGCAACGGAATGAAAAGGTGATTTTGGATGAGAGGAATGAGGTGAGAGGGATTTTGGGTGTCATATTGGTTGGTGCGTTGAAAACATCCGTGGTGGGAGGTTTGCGCCAGACGTCCGTGTTTGGAGGTGCCGTTAAGGTAAAGGGTTCTTTGGTAGGAGGCATTTAGTTTTTTTGTATAGGTTTTTGGGACGGAGGTATGGAGATAGGAACAGATGTAGGTATGAATTGGATAATTTGGAATAGAAACAAAGCTTTTCGATTGTTTAATTTCAATTTATTTTAAGCAAAGTATCTCTCTATTTATATACAGCAATTACGATATAGGATGAGGAAGTATACTAAACACGTGATCGGATACCCCGCTTTTGCGGCAGCATATCCGATAGTGAGCTAACCTCAGTTCGCATATGAACTTGGCCTAACCTCTATATAGATATCACTAATCAATCCTTCAATTTTATTTATGTTTATCACCATCCTCTACTTCGAGCTTATTATGATATCCATTGCCGTAAGAGCATGGAACTTGACATAAATCGGTTAACATCGGCGAAACGGTGATGCTCCATTCGAATTCTTAACTCTTAACTCTTTAGTTTAAGTCGGCCCAGGTTCTTTCCCACTTTTATAGATAAGTGAATGTCGTCATCAGTCATCACATTATCCATTGAATGATCTAAAAAATCAGGTAAGTTTTGGTGATGTGCGATACGTGTGCCTTGTCAAATTTAGGGTGAATGTACGACCTACTAGGGCTAGGTCAATGAGGGGCACTTCGCTTATGATTAAGGGTCATGTTGGGTCTGCAAATACAATTCTTCTCTATTACTCAATTTTATAACTAAGATTTTGGTTTAGTAAGTCTCTCATCACATGTATATTCTGGATTAAAGTGTTTTATACTTTGGGGAAATATTATTTATTATATTAGCTTGTTTAACGAAAGAATCTTCTTGATTAATCTAGTCCAGGTAACCACATCTCGGTCTCGGCCAGAACTAACTTTACACACTTTTCATCTTGTCCTCTCAAAACTGATCCATCACATATTAACACATTTTCTTGTCTTATCACCCTTCCCTATATCACCCATCCCACCCGTGGTATGTCTTCTCCTTCTCTGTCTACTCTCCTTCTTTTCTTCCTCCACAAGCTCATTTGCTTGTTCCAATCTTTTAAGAGTAAGAATAGTACCTTCTCTTATCTCCGCTGCCTCAGTTCGTCTTCTCTCTTTTGCTTTTTGAAGTCTATCTTTATCGAGGTGGATTCCTTGTTTGATCAAGCAACGTCCACACATTCTGTCCAAATTCCTCTGTTCTTCCTTGCGATAGGGACAAGTAGGAGCATAAGCGTTGGGTTCGCAAGGGTGGTTAATATACGAGATGTGAGGGCATGTATGGGTGTGACAGATAGAGATACACATTTTTGGTGGATCTATCTGATTGGGTTTTGTCAGTGGGTGATACGATGTTGAAGTTCTGTGTGGATGTTTCCGTTAGTTTGTAATGAGGTGTTATTCTCGATGAATGTGGGAGAAACTATGTTAAAAGAGAAATTTTCGTGGGGTAAGTGTATTTTATGAAATTATTCGTGTATTGTTCACACTTCAGACTTCCTCAAGATTCGATAGTAGTTCTATATCTGTTCTTGAAAGTGGAATTATGTCACTTTTATATCCAATCATTAAATAATCTGGAAGTATAGTGCAAAGACTTCGGCTCTATATACTTCTGTACTTCACTGGCTGGATCCAAAAGTTTATTAGGATAGGCTACCGATCCATGAATTTCAAGAGTTTCCCTTATCATTAAACAAAGCTACGCCTTGGATATAATACGTTTACCCAATTTGAGTAGTAAAATGGGACAATTTCCAGGATGCTGATACGGTCTAAAAAGTACATAAGTTGTATTTGACTGTAGGCTTTTAATATCAGAAAGAAAAATCTATTGTCGAAGCACTGGACAAAAAGAAAATCAACACATTTAAATTTCGGGCTACTCGAACAGAGGCATTGAAACTATTTTCTTTCGAAAATTCCAGATCAACAAAGAAACATGAACAAAGACTCCTGTATCTAAAATACGTACCCGTATGCACAACCCATCCATTAAAATACAGATATCTTTCTGGCCCCTCCCAAAAATTATTTCATCACCAAAATCAAACTCTCAAACTTGCAATCATGAACTCAGACTCCGAATATGATCGACTCCTTGTACGATTTGTTGGACCAGGCAATCAAGTAACCCGAAGACCATTATCCAAATTCGCAATGATGGAAGGTGAAGATTCTATACAGATGTCTCTCCTTTCTCCTCCTACCTTAAGTGAGCATAAATCAACATCGCAGAATCATCATTGGGATGTTATCCCGGAATGGAATAGATTATCAAAGGGAAGAGATGAATTTCGGGATTTTAATGATCAACAGGAAAATATCGAAGAACTTGAAAACGATCAGGACGAACTTACCTCGGAACTGGAAAAATCTTCACAAGTGCAAGATGATGTTCAAGGAACTGGACAAAAAACGGATCCGAACTTCCCACGATTGAGAAGAAGTAATATAACTTTTCAGAGGCAACATATTATTATCACATGTGTCATCATTTGTGGCCTTGTGCTTTTCATTCTTATTCGAACTCCCGACGTCGGCCTCCTACAATACAGTCAATATCTTTTCGAGGACTTGCTCACACTTTTTGTTTTTCCAATCGATGGGTTATAAGCAGTGAATTAACAGTGAGTGGGGATATACATAGAGGAGACTGAGAGTAGCAGAGCATCTTGAGAAACTAAATTGATCATCATTAGCTATAGTTCTCTATTGGTTTTAATAAAATACTTTATACACTCGAGACTAAACATCTTCTGTGACAACTTTTATTGATATCTGAATATCTTCAGTCTGGTAATATGAATATTCCACCAAAAAATACCGACAGTGATGTAAATGAATGTATCCAGTTACCTGAGCAAATGAATTAGGAAGTAATTTTAATAGAAGAAACCGTCCTATTCCGTCTACATCTAAACCGTTTAGATAGTTATATTTCCGATTTCTTCCATAAGATAGACAGAGATCTGTAATTATGCTAATATCTGTTTTGAAGTTTCTTAAGGTCATATATATGATATTCCAGTCCTAGTTCTCAAATGGTCAAAATCGATAAGTTTAATAGATCGGGATATATCTACCGTTCCCAGGTATTCTCAGACTTACCCAAAAAATCCTTGACAATAAATAAATAAATAAATATACACAGAAACTCCTAATAGATTTATTAACATGTTTAAATAACTATACTTTCCCATACCATTCATCTTCTGTATAAATGAAAACAACGTTAAATATGCAAACCCCAAGCCCAAAAAGTCATTTTGTAACTTTAAAAAACAACTAGAGAACAAGATATTTTAAGAAATGAATGTTTTCTATCAAAAGCGTCCTCCTTGAATGTTTATAGTGTGTATTAGAAGTAATATTATAATAATATTGTATATATTCTAAGGGACTATAAGAGTGATTTATAATAATGATATCAATTTGAAATGATGAATTTTATACTATTTAAATTAATTATATAATTTCTTAACTGGTATATATATGAATCCAATCAATCCCTCTCTTTATCCCCTACCCAAAGAAAAAAAAAACAGATCAAAAACAGGAAAAAAAAAATTCAACAACAAACCCGGAACAATATAAAAACCCAAGAACCAAAAAGTATAATAGACCCCTTTCCGCTCTCCTCTTTTCCTACCACACATCTCCAGCCCTCATTCCCGCTCATCAAAACACTCCAATCCCCAATCACTACATCCAAAACCTCAAAAACTCTAACTATGAGCCCCTCAGAAAACACCCCCTCAGAAAACACCCCCTCAGAAAACACCCCTTCAGAAAACACCCCTCAAACATCCCTCAAACACTCCCTCAAACACCACCCCCACCCCTACAGCCTCTCACCCCCCAACCCCGCCATCTCCGACCTCACAACCCAACTCCAAGAACTCCACCACCAAATGCAAGAAATGCGCCATCTCCTCCAAGAGCGCCGCAACACCAACCACAGAATCGGACTCGAACCCATGGACGACGCACTAATCTTCCGCTACCACGATCTCGAGGTCCATTTCGGTCGTGTAGGAGATTGGTATGCGGAGTTGCGATATGTGTTTTCGGTTATCTTTTGGTGTGTGGTTTGTTTGTTTATTTTGCTGTTTTGGGGGATTTATGAGGCGAAGGGGGGTTTGAGTGAGTTGACTGAGTTTTGAGGTTGGAGGTTGGAGGTTGGGAATTTGCTAAATTGGAAGGCAGTGGAGTGGAGTGGAGTGGGATGAATACGGTAAGTATCTAGGTGAGTGAGTATCTAGGTCAGTTTGGTATTTTATTTTATTTCATTATATTATATTATCTTGAGATGATTTGATATCATTGAGAGGGAGGGGAGAGTTTCCTATAGGAGTAGGTTCACCAGTTCTGAAATTAAAGGTCCCTGGATTCTGGATTCTGAAGATTGCTGTTCAGTTTGATTTATACTTTTCTAGATAACTAATTACCAAAAAAATACTTAAACAATCTAATAAAACTCAATAAATAAATATAAATATCCTAAAAAATAAACAATAAATAAATAAATAATTTCTTTAAAATAACATTCTTCTTTACTTTCTCTTTCTCTTTTTTTAATTTCTTTTCCTTTTCGATTAATATTTTTAATTATATATTCTATTATAATATTATATTAATATAATAATATATAATTACTTCACTCCATTTATATCAATCGTATTGCATTACACCGAGAATTCCTAGTCTACAAGAAAGAAAGAATATAAATAAAACTTATTTAGATATTGATTGACTGTTTGCTCTTTGTTGTATCGGAGTAATATTATAATAATGAATGTATATATACCTTCGTATCTCGATATTCATATTGAGTTTTGAAACTATTATAGTATTACTCGAGTATATAAATATCAATACAGTGGTGGGTAACTTACTAATAGCCAGACATCACAACACATCATAAATATCACTACACCCAAAAATATAATATAAAAAATCATTGAATGGTATTAACCTATTTTGCCATAATATCCTTTCCCATATCTACATAAACCCCTAAACTTGTCCCATTTCCCATTCCTTATACACAGTATCGATCCCCCGAATATCATATCCATATCCAGTATGTACCATCCACCACAATAAGTAAAGTTGTAAAATCAAAAAGATGACGCAAAAGAAAATATCATCCCATCGTTGTAAAAACAAATGTCATATCGCCCAAATCCATTTTCATAGAATCATTACAATCATTTCCCAACGTGCCGTTCATTTCCAGCCTGAAAATAAGAGCAATTCATAAAATAAAGAAACAATGTCGATTAAAAAGAAGAAGCCATATAGCCTCAGCGAATAATATAATTGCCATGATAAGGGCGTGATTGTACGAGTGATGAAAGCTCGACTTCTGGTAATGTGTTAAATTAAATGAACTCCGATTGCGCAATAGCGTATAATTCATGGGATATCGTGTTATCAATGCGCAAATATGCAAGACAAAGAAATAAGTGTCCAGGTTGACGTTGAAACAATCATCAATAGTCTGTTGTACAGCAAATTCATAAGCCATCTTGATTTCGATACCCAATTTCCCTTTCTCTAATTTCGGCAAGCCTAGAATCGAGCCGAGAAAGTCTTGATTGAAGTGAAGGTCTTTCACCAAAATCAGAAGAATCCATAGAGCGACGTGTTTGGTGCATAGTTGCTACACCAGAATTTCTAACAGGTTCCTTTTGATCATGAAAAAGTCGTCGAGGAAATGTATTGCTTGGTTTCTCCATAAAAGGTGACCGTAAACGTGGGACATCAAATGTGGCTGATGGAAGTAGCTTTGGTTGAGGTGCTGGTGAAGGGCTGATATCAGGAACAAGGCCTGTCTTTTCAGGTTCTGATGGGAGAGGTTGAAACAATCCTGGCATGCGATTTCTAAGTAAGTCATCGCCGATAGTGAATGCTCTAGTTCGGACTCGTCGTTGTTGATTTCCTGATAGAGGCATACCGTATATCTGTTCATTCATGCTATTAGGTTTCAGGACAGCACCACCAGAATTGAGATTCTCGAAATGATTTTGAACCCGTCTCTTATGTTCCTTATTATTGAAAGATCGAGGACGATCAAATTGAAGTGGTGATCGAAGACGAGGTATAGGCACTGGACCTGATAACGTATCAGGATGAACTTGGAGATTGGAAGAACGAGGTTCATCAAATGCTCCATCCATAGTTGAACTAGGTCCATAAGTTCGAGCCATAAATGGTGATCCGAGGGTACGACTTGTTGAATCATCCAAGCTCAAATTTGTAGAACGAGATCGAGTCCATCCCCTAGGTTGATAAACAGATTTACGTGGTCTAGAAATGGTAGATTCTTTCGTAGTCGCAAGTTGAGCTAGAGGTCCATTGGGTTGCATAGTTTCAGATGTGCTCGTCGTTAACGACAATGAGATATCTGTGGTATTGAAAGAAGTAGGAGCAGATGTTTGTGGCTCGGGAGTTCGGAATCGTGAACGAGCATTATGTTGTGTGAAAGGTGTAGGACTCCGAGATTGAAGATGCATATGTCGTTGGACGACGCTAGTATCCTTAGTCTTGCAAAGCTCACGAAGATGTGCTCTAGTAGTCGAACTTGTATGGGGCCATTGTGTATATGTTCGTGGTTGATCTTCAGTTGGAGTTGCCATGCCGCCGTGTTCACAAGATCCCGCACGTGATGTGTGATTTGAAGTTTTGGTACTGTAAATTCCTCTGGGGCCTTTCCAACTCTTCTTTGCTTGTCGAGCAACACGATGACAAACGCCTTCAGGAGGAACAGAGCTAGCTCCAATCCGAAATGGTGTGACAACTGGATCTTGGAGGTAAAGTAAATAGACCGACCATAAGTGTGCACTCATGGCTGAAGTCCAAGGTGCATCTTTTCGAGTCTTGCGACGAAGCTTTGAGTTGAGAACGGTATCATGAGATTGGGTGGCCCCATCGCTGAGCATCTTGCCCTTGGCTTTGGAATATGATGGGAATGAGAATGGATCGGCGCAATCAGATTCAGGACTGGTACAACTACCATCTTCAGAGTACCTAGAGAGATGACTTTCACTGTAGAATGAATCCTCAGAACTATGAGACGCGGCAGATCTTGGTCGTTCAATATCGAGTTCATTTGATGAGGTTCCCATTGTCCAATCTGGACGTTCAAAATTGGTTTCTTCCATGGTCAAAGAAGGTATTGGAGTTTTAGGAGGTGAGGCGAATCTTGAATTGTATGTATGCGGAGCCAAGAAAGATGTAGTGATTGAAAGTGGGCCTCGGTCTGGCATATCGCAATCTGACGATACGTGGGGATCTATTTGTGGCTCCTCGATTGTAGGGATAGGGATATCTGCAGCTGCAACAGAAGCGAGAAATTGTTCGGTTGGTGCTTGAAAGTTAGACACATTTCGTCGTCTGACCTTTAAACGATTTGGGCGGGGTGGAGACGGTGGACCCTCGGAATCAACAGGGTTGAATGGCTCCGGGGTAGTTGGTTGGTCTCCTTCACTGTGATGAAAGCGGAAACCCCGAGGAAGGGTAGTTGACCCATTTTCATGTTGATCTGACATCGTGTTTGAGCGTAAGGAGAGACGCGTCTGAAGCTCGATTGAGAGATGCGAATCGAAGAAATTGAAATTTATGGCTTTGAATATCGATCTTGTACAATGCGGCAGAAAGAAATCTCACTCGTTGCAATGCAATTTTTGAATTACAAAATATTGAGTATGGTGGAGAGATTTGGAAGTTGAAAAGATTGTGAAAGAAAGTGGGTTGTAAGTTGTAAGAAAGAAATCGAAATCTAGAAATGAACGTTTTGTTGAATGATCCAAGGAAAAGAAAGTCGTTCGATTATTTGAGACGCGCAAAGTGAATAGGTATATTCAGATCAATTTGCAGTTTGAATTGATCTCACAACGTCAACAGACCCAATTAATAAGGTAACTCGGAAAATTCCCTCTGGATTTAGACTGGCGTATGGATGCCCTGCATGAACAATTTGAGGTTGATAGTCTTGGAGAGTCGAATCAACAGCTAGGGTTGTGATTTGTATGATGGACCTGAACGAATGAGAAGTTGAATCCCCAGTTACAACTCGGTACTCCCAGGTAAGGTAAAGAAAAGTAACTATTTTGAGCCAGTCGATTTGATGAGGGTCCCGGCGTATCGTTAGATAAATCCTTTGTGGAGATTGATTGTGGCCGTGCTCTTCAATGTTTTATTATTGACTTTTGCGCGCGTATCGTCGCGATTGAGCCTTCTCGTATATTCACCCTTCAAATTCTTGTCGCATTCATACGATCCGATTTTCGTCTTGGAATTATTATTATCGGATGATCGAATGCTCTAGCAGTGGGACGAGTAAAAGGAATTCGAGCGAGAGATTAAGTAATGAAATAAAAGACTGTGTGATGGTGAAGGAGGACAAAGGTAGTGTTGTTGTATGTTGTATTTGTGAAATGGCGCACGTCTGCCAAATGGGATATTGTAACCAGTTGTACTCAAGCGCAAGATACAATTGAGCGAAATTGTACGAATGAAATGATCAAGACAATGGAGTGTCTTGATCAGGATATCTGATTCCCCTCAAAAGTCGGGTTTGCGATGCTTTGCGATGCGATACAGTATTTGGATGACTATTGTTTGCCAAGGGTGGAGGAAGGGCGATGGCTAGGGAAGGGAAGGAGTTGATCGTGTCTTATGAGAGACTTGTTGATGGATTCAACTACCTAGTAAAGTGGATGGTCGTGGAGAAAAGGCGAGGAAGCTGTTGGAGAAGAAGGGTAGTGTGGTGTGGTGTGGTGTGGTGTGGTGTAGTAAGGTGGTAAGTATTATTATGCAAGGCAAGCGGCGGGAAGGAGCGAGAGGTGGTGTAGGTTCGTAGTAGTGGGAATTGATTTGAATCGAGAGTGAAGCGAATGAAAGAAAAGTGGATCGGGAAGAAAAGTGGGCGGTGGGTAAAAATTGATGTTTGGCGCGTCAAAGATTGAATTAATCCTGTTGATTGATTGGTTGTCATGCAATCTTTTTTGAGTTTAGCTTTCATTCATTAAAATTTGCAGATCGATATAGATTAAATAACAGATGAATTGAGAAGTTGAGAAGTTTTACGCTCGGATGCTTTTTCACAAGATCTTACAAAAATAGCCAGAAGCGCCTGTTTGGAAGGAAAAAAGTTAACTTCAATTTATAAATATGAACGGACTTGATGAGTGCAACTACGTACCTACCACTACCGAGTTGATCTGTTAAACTGTTGAACCAAGTAGAATTCAGACGAACGGGCAAGAGCTAGGGATAGCTTCTGTTTTAGTCCTTTCCATGTTCCTGGGTAAGACCTCTTGTTTCTGATACATACTCTATTAGGAAAAGATTCCAACTCAGAGGATTAGCCCGATAAGTTGTAAAGTTGGCACTGGCCCACAATGTTGCAGTAGTAAACTCACTAGAAATGACTGGAATGGCTAGAATTGGATAGGTGCACATCCATCTGCACAGCACATTCGTTGCATTGGTAAGGATTAGATGATACATTATACATTATACATTATACATTATCATCTGTTGTCCGTGACGAGTGGATATTTGACAGTAGTAGGCTTACACCAGGTACAGGATATGTAGTAGAGTGCAGGAGATCCAACAAGTCGCAGTAGAACGTATGTACCAAGTATGTAACTGTATGTAATATGTACAGACTCCAGAAGTTAGTTATACGGAGCATGTGGTGTGGTATGCAGTAAAGAATTTTGAAAGCTCCAAGTGGAGTTCTGGACCTGCAGCTCGGAAAGTAGTGGGACGACGTTGGCCAATGCTCTGAGATAAGTGATGTTTCTCTGTTGCTTCTGTTGCTTCCAAGGTTTATCTTTCTATCCAACGTATTATCCGTGTACTGTGGGTGTATCTATATTGTGAGTGAATCTGTATTATGAGTGTATCTGTATTGTGAGTATATCTGTGTTGTGAATAAAGGATAGAAGGGCCAAATTGTCAATTGAGGAAAACAGGAAAATCCCCCGAGTCCGAAGCTTGATCAGAGGCAAATAGCAAGCAAGATGTGTAAAAACATTGAAGATCGAAAAGAGAATAAACAAACAAACAAACAAACAAACAAATAAATAAATAAATAAATAAAATAATCAGAAGAAATTGAAACTTCACCATCTGTCAATGGAAGTAATACTTCGAGTGCAAATACGAAGCTTGGATCAAATTTCATATTATCCTTCCCTTTCTACACCTACACTCATATTTCCCTTCATTTCACTTTTCTCCTCTCTTCTCTTCTCTTCTTTTCTTCTCTTTCGTCTCTCTTCATTCACCCTTGTTTTCCCTTCTCTTTGTAATCAACCCCACCCAAAAGACGCGTCGCTTAAAATCAACACTAACATCTCACGCGTCATTTTGGCGTTTGTGGCCATGTTTCCTTTGGATTTTTTGGGGATTTTTCAGATGAAATGATTGGATGAAATATTCATTAGTACTTACTTACTACAAGTTACATTCCCATCATGCAATGCAATACCACATCGGTCCATTTTACTACAAATGCCGCTCTGCATAAAGTACTAAGTATTTTATACATGGCTTCGATTATGACCGCGGATATGATATGTACGTACTTGGTATACTCATATTGGTAGGTAGTATTTCTACTTTTGGATAATTACGGCCCAACTTCTATTTTGGATGAAAGGAATTTCCACCTTCTCCCTCCAGCTTTTCATTTTCGTCAGTTTTCATGTTCAACCTCTCATATTATTATTATTATTATTATTATTATCGTCATGATGATATTAAGCAAAGGGCTGGAGCTAGCTACACCGCCAGTGCGATATATCAACTTCTAGAATAATAACCCCGTTTCGGTACTTCTGAGAATGTACGGTGTGTACTCCTATCCATGGTTTATGCATGAACGACAAAACAAGCATCTCAAAGAAGAATAAGAACACGCGATGGGTTAGAGATTTACGGAGTACAAAGGAAGAGCCCAGATCATGACACTGTCCCTATCAGTGTTTGTGGATGAAATGGTTTGGTGTAGGGTGGATTGGAAGTGCAGCGGATGGCATCGTGGAAATGTTGTGTATTGCGGTACTAAGTTGTGATGTTTTAAATGTCCTCCTTTAATCACGTTCGCATCTGTTGCTCTACATTGCGCTACTCGGTTCTTTGGTCTAATCGTTTATTTGTTGATACGCCTGCAATCGCGTCTATTCCTCTCAAGCTTTACCCCTCAATGTGTCTGGCCGAGCTTGCAAATAATTGGAAGAGTTTCTGAGTTTATTATCCACGTAATGATTTGTATCTGACACCTTCAACATATCTATACTTTTTTTCTTTCTTTTGATTTCCCTCGTATCCCTACAAATGGGTGAGATATAATCAAAGCCACGAGTCTTAATGGCATATGAACGGCTTCATATATTTGAGCCACATAGCTATAGCCACTATCTGAGACATCTAAACTAACATGTAAGGGGTAATATCATGGTAACGTGTTAATGATCACTCTGTCCATTCCACTTGATACTTTTCTCAATCTCATTTTCCTTCAAAGTCTGGCGATTGATGAAAATGGTCTTGCCACAGCAAACAACCCAATTATTCACGTTAGGTTTAATCTTCATTGCTACAATTGGTCTTGGTTGCTATCTTTTCTCAGATCACGATTATCATGAGACAATTCGAGTCGCAGTCTCAGGGAAGAAAGGTATCTTCATTCAGAAAGCTCTTCGCACAGATATCGATGGACCTTTAGATGATTCATCTCTGATTGAACTTTGTGAAAACATAGAATGGAGGGAAGGATTAATATTTCAATGTGAAGCACCATATGGAGGAGTTGCAAATATTCGGAATATATTGCTTAATTGTTTTCGATATGCCATTGAAGCTGGAGGTACTTATATTGACTCATACCCTGTTGTTCACCAGCTAACTTTTCAGCAACATCAATTGTCATTCCAGAACTTAAACTTTGGATACCTCAGAATGATAGTCCAAATACACCAGATCCAGAGCCGAATACTGAATTAGAAACCAGAAGAGAAAAAGACAATAGCGCACATGTTCCATTCTCACATCTCTTCGACCTTGATTTCTTTAAAGAATCTTTAAATGAAGCTTGTCCTCGCATCAAATTCATTCCACACGCCAACGATTTATATACAGTTCCTAGCACACAAAATCCACACCCACTTGATCCGGGTTCATTATCCTCAGGAAAGCTAGAAGAACCATTTGAATCTCTTCTCGCAAAGCCCGCCACATGGGCCAAAGATTTTACAAACTGGCTTAATAAGACAAATACCAAGTTCTCAGAAAAACAACCTATGCGAGTGAATATCAAAGAATCATTATTACATTGGCCATTAAATCATGATGATTCCGACTTTGTGGCCCAATTCGGTCGAATAATCCGTCCTAATCTCGAAATTCGCACTCTCGCCTCAACAGTCCTATATACCTTATCCCGAAAATACAATCTCCGATACAACGCCAGCGAAGGAATCCAAGAAAACATGTACTATGGCGCACATCTCCGCACCGGCCTCGACGCCAAAGCAGCAAACTGGACAAGTTTCGAAAAGCAAACCCAAAATTACCTTCAAGCATGTAAACACAACAAACTCCGCGTAATCTACCTAGTCTGCACCTCGGAAAACGACATCAATCATTTCACCTCCCTCGCTCACAAATACACCACAAACGATATCCACGTCGCCACAGCACCTACCCTCCTGTCCCTCCACCCCAATGACCTAACCACCTACCTCACTCTCTCCTCCCCTCAACGCGCACTACTAAACTCCGAAGTCCTCCTCAAATCCTCCATCTTCGGCGGTACATACGAATCATCTTATTCGTGGAATATAGCACTTCGTCGACACATTGTTTGGGGGAATGGAACGTGGGTTCCGCAAGGGAGGGATTTTACCTTTGATAGGGCGGATGTGATTAGAGATCGGAATGGGAAGGATGCGGGGATGAAGTGGGGTCCTGTGGGTGGGTATGGTGGGGGTGGGTTTCAGAGTTTTAGGGATGGTGCGAGGGGGTTGAGGGGAGGGGTGGATAGGTGGGAGCGGGAGTTATGGGTTGAGTGTGGTTTTTGGGGACCCGGCCAAGGGGCAGGAGTGGGAGAGGGGGTTGTGGCCTTAGGTTGTGTGGCGTTTGGTGAGGGGAGGGGAGGGAGAGTTGTGGGGTTTTGGTTCTATGCGTATTTCCGTTTGTGTTGTACTGAGTTTCGATTTGTTTTTTGATAATTAGCTTGAGTTGAGTTTTTATATTATACTTTCTTTTGGTGATACATATATCAAGATCAGAGAAAATCAAGAAAACCATCACAACCCATCCATATAGATAATCTAGGAAAAAAAAAACATATAATATAATTATACAAATCAGCGATAAAAATTCTTTAGTATAACATAATATGATATAAGATAAGATCCTACGACGAAGAGAGAAACAAAATAAAAAATTGATTTTCAGATAATATTTATATTCTATAATTATCTATAATTTTACATTGAAAGACTCCTCGGCTTGAAAATACGGGTTTGCGTCTTGTTGAGTGGGGAATAGTGGGAAATGGGAATGGGCGGGATGCGGGATGGTGGATATTTATATTGTGGGATTGGTTTGGATTGGTTTGGATGGGAGGTGTTCTTGGTTGTGTGGGGAGAAGAGGAGAGGATAGGAGAGGAGGGAGGATTTGTTGTTGTTGTTTTGTTATGGTGTGGTATTGTATGGTGTGGTGGATGGATGCCTGCTAGATATTGGTTTGCTGTTTAATCTAGATAGTGGTGAATCCTGCGGGTTAGAGTCTGAGATGAGTCTGAGATGAATGAGCCGAAAAGAGTGAGAGGTTTAATCAAGGTAATATATCTCACATCTTACATCTCATACAAAAATGCAACCACGAATTCCCAACATCAAGATACCATATCCACCTCCAACTCCACCTCCCCATCTCCCTCCACCCTCCACCCCAACCCTAATCCCACAACCCCATCCCACACCCAATACTCGCCCTCAACTTTTCCAAACTCCCCTTAGTCAAACACAACCAATCCTCCTTCCCCCTCTCCCTCCCTTTCCCCCTAGCATAAAACCCCAACGTCCCAATCTGCACACGCCAACTCTCCCTACAATTAACAAAACTATATTTCCCCTTCATACCCTTAGCATCTTTAAACGTAATATCGACTTTCGCGCTCGGGAGTTGGGATGTACGGACTCGGAAGAGGAGGTTACGGTGGGTGAGATTTTTGGTTTCGTGGAGGGTGCGGGAGCCGAGGGTTGTCATCTGTTGTTTTGTTAGAGATGTTAGAGGGTATCGTGAGTAAGGAGTGAGGAGAGATGGGAAACAGGGAAGAGATATGGATATGGAGGAAAAAAGAAAGAGGACTAATCTTACAATAGCAATTTCTACCACTGAGAAAATATTAGCCGGATTAGGCATACTTATAATAATAGCCGGATGATCAAAAGCATTTGTATGTAACTTCGGATCCACAAAAGCATTATGTACAATATCTACTTTTGAAGGAAGCCAAACCACTGTTCCGGGAGTAATATCTTGGATATGAATCGGTTGGATATAATATTCAGGAGGTTGAGTAGGTTTTGGAGGATTCGGAATGATAGAAGGTTTAGCCAAGGAAAGAGAAAGTGAGCGAGTAATCGGAGAATTTATACCAGGGGATCTTTCGCTAGATGATGGTAAGGTAATTCTTTTAGGTGTTGCCGTGGTTTGTTTTGTTGGTGGAGGAGGTGATGATGTTAAATCTATGATGATTGGATTTTTGGCTTTGGTTTTGGATGGTGCTGGATGTTTTTGTATACGATGTTTATCGACGGTTCGTATTAAAGTTGATCGAAGTTTGCTCTTTTCCCTGATGGATTTTGGTTTAGCCTTTGATTTCGTTGATGTTTTGAACTTGGACATTTTGGCGGAGGGATATGTATCCGGGTAGAAGAAGTGTAAATTGCACTCAAACCAAAGATAGACCCCTTCTGTAGGTAGGTAGTATTCAATCCCTCAATCCCTCAATCCCTCAATCTCTCAAAACCCAAAAACCAAAGTATCCAAACCTGAATCCTTTATATCAAATTCCTCAATCTCGGAATCTCTTAAAAAATGAAACTCTTCTCTATCTCTATCTCTTTTTCACCTCTACCCCTTAAGTCGAAATTCAAATCAAAACCCCAAACGAAAACATCTAAAAATCCAGTTTCAAAATTAAATCCTAACCTCAAATTAAAAATCCCCTTTTGAATTCAATCCGATCCTCGTCACAAACCCAGACAAAGAATTCTCAATGCTTCACTCCCCTTCTAAAAAAAGAACAAAAATTCGACTTCGAATTCAAATTCTTTCTTTGTTCCTTTATCCATTTATTCATACATCCATCCAAATACCCACTAGATACTACTAAGTACCAGCGTATAGTAATTAGATACTAAAATCCTCTTCAAACAAACAACAAACAACCAAACAAATAAACAACCAGACAAAAACCAACCGTATAAAGCTTTAACCTTACTATCGTATTCTAATCTTCTCAAATTCCATTCCACAAAGTAAAAGAAAAACGTAGATATAAATGAAAGATTGTTGAAAGATTTATACAGTAGTTACTTACTAGGTTTTGATACAGGTCGATAGATATAAGATCTTACCTAGAAAGGAAAATGAGTATTAGTCAGCCGAATTCTGGTAGTTAGTTCTGCCGAGTACTCAAAAATGTTACATAAATGTTTACATAAAATATTTCATAAAAAATTCACAAGATAAAGATCTTTCAAAAAATGTATTTTTACTCTGTACACCTCAAAAGTTCTAACCTTACTCTGTCGGTCTTTAATAATACGCTATTCAAGTGATGACCTAATTCTCTATTCTGTCCTTTTCACGAAAAACCTCAAAACAATATGAATATCTAAAATCATTATATACAATTATTTCGAATTAAACTATTACGATACCTCCTCATCCCCTTCTCCATTCCTTTGCCCCTATGTATCCGAATAATGCAAAATACAGTACACACCGACACCGTATCTATCTCTATCCAACTTGATCCAATGCAATGCAATACAAGTAATAAAAATTCCCAAAACATAATGATATCCCAAAATTGATATACAAATACCCGTACGAATTTTCTTTCGCATTACACAATCCTAATATGTACAACATCCATCTCAAATCCTCCCCTTTCTCCCTCCTCTTTCTCCCTCCTCTTTCTCCCTCCTCTTTCTCCCTCCTCTTTCTCCCTCCTCTTTCTCCCTCCTCCCCTAAACAATCTTATAAGCTGTCTTAGCAATATAGAAGCAAGCCATTCCAAAAGCTAATAATCCAGCTGTGATACACCAAAACCATGTCAAATCTCCTTCATACTCCTGACCTGGTACCCATACATTCATACCCCAAAGACCAGTAATGATATTCATGGGTAGAACGATTGTTCCTAGAACAGTAAGTTTACCAAGAACATCAGCGGTTTGTTCTTGACGTTCATTCATACGAATGTTGATTTGAGCAAGATAATTGCCGTGAGAGCGAGCTAAGATTCTATAGATGTGTTAGTAATGCATATTAATGCTCAAAACGGGATGACATACTTTTCATAATGAGATAAATTTCCAGTCATAGTAACGATATGATCTTGAATATCTCCCAAATATAATCCAATCTCACTTCGTGGTGCAATTTCCCACTGCTCATTACATCTTTTGGCGAATCCCTTGATAACATCTGCTTTGTTACCTAGCAATCTGTAAAGACCCATAACTTTCTTTCGACAATCACCAACTCTTCGAAGCATATCTCCTCCACTTTCTCCTGATGTTCCATCACCAGCTTCGGATTTTTTCTCATTATCCTTATTTGATTTCTCATTCTCTGCAGGAGAGTGAAGTTTCAAAATAGCATCATCAATATCATCAACTTCATCTTCAATCGTTTGAATTAAAGGAGCAAAAACATCAGTAATGTCATCAATGATAGCATATGATATCCAATCAGCTGTGAGCCTCAAGTAATCTTTCAATTGTCGAATTCTTCGTCGAACATTTGCTGGATGTGGTGTTTGAGAAAAGTGAAAGCTGATAACCCCTTCACGAAAGACTACCACATACATATTGACAGGCTCTAAGAAATTCTCGTTGTTCATATCTTGTTCGAATGATCGGTAATTGACAAAGTAATAATGTCGAAATAATTCCACCTTTTCTCGAGCTTCCTGCATTAATATATCCTCAGCTGTCAATGGATGTATTCCAAAGGTTTTCGAAATGATCTTCATCTCTGCATCCGTTGGAGATAGAACATCAAGCCACCAGGTAGGACGGTCACCATATTTTTTCGGCTTTTCTTCGTTCGGTGGAGTAGACTTTGGTGGAGGTGACTTATTCGGGGATGCTTCGCCAGATGCTTGTCTAGAATGTGATCTTGAAGTGCGTCCCGTACGTCCAGATTCAGTACGTTTTGATTCTTGATTTGCCATATCAATTATTGATGACTGACGAGTCTCGGATCTAGAATCTCCATGATTTTGACCCAAAGCATGACTTATGTATGAATTTTCCCGGCGAACTTCCACATCATCGGCCTCATCCTCTGTTTCAGATTCAGAACTATCATCAAGTATAGGACGATCAGGAACAAATAACTCTTTGAAACTTCCACCAGGTTGAACAAGTTCTGAAATTGTCTGACTGTGAATTGTACTTGGAAATTCTTCATTGAAATAGGTGAAACGATATGGTGCATCATCCTCTGCTCGATGCCAACCTTTATGAATTGGTCGAAGTCGTCCACCTATCAATTGAGGTTCTGTAATCTTTTTAGCTCTTCGCTCCTCACTTCTACCTTCTTTTTCAAATCTACTCCAATCATTAAGGAAAGATAGATCTGGAAATTTTCGTTTATGACGGCGCGGCCTGTATGCCCCATCTTCTTGTTGAGGGATATCTTCTTCTGCCATCTCAGACATATCAACTGGAAAGCAAACATCTTCCTCGGCTTGCATTGCTATAGTATGCCTACGCTCTCCATATGAAGATCCCTTTCGTGGGGAACCGGGAATTGAACCGTCCTGACATGCCTCCTCTGGGAGGGATCTAAAAGATCTCATCGACCCTGCATCTATAGAATCTCGATCTGGAGAGTGATCGCGAACCATGACATCTCCAAAGCTCATATCCTGATTTGCAGCCCCGAGCACTGGAGACCCTGGAACCGAGGGTGGATAATTAACATTATATTCATCATTCTGCCTAGTCAATCCAGAAGTAGTCTTTTCAAAAATTGTTCTTCTTTTGCTATGACCTGATGACCTGCTCGAACTTCGGCGACTACGTTTTCCTTGTTGAAGGAGAGTATTAGAACTTTTAGATTTCGAAGAGCTAGATATAAGTGGGGTTCTCTCGTCGATTTCTTCTATCAAAGCTTCATCGTCGGTATTGTTCTTCGATTTTCCGGTGGCAGGCCTTCTGGTGACAGTTTCCGATGATTTGAATGGGTTGCTATACGAAGGTCGATTAAAAGAAGGACTATCATACATCTGACCGAAAGCATTTTGTCCCATTGTCGAAGATCTTCGAGGTCGCATACTTTGATGTTCTCTGTCGCAAAAGTATATTAGCGGATGTAATACATTGTATGCCATTTAAAGACTAACCTATGATCCAAAAGTTCCTCACTCTCAATACTAGTCGCACTTAAATTTCTTCCTCTATAGAAACTTGACCTCACAGCACTTTGGGGAACAACTCGTTGTGCCATCGGTGTTTCAGGCATACCATTCCCATCCTCGGTTGATGCAGCAAAAGATTGTCTTCTCGGTCTCTTTTTCTTCCCCCCTCTATGATTATTTCTTTTCTTCTTGTTATTCCTCTCTTTCCCGATGTTTGGCATTGAAGTTGTATTGGAATCATTAACATTATCTTGTGGTGGCTGTATAGCAGTGGGTTCCGGTCTTTGAGGTGTTGTGTCCCGAGTATTTGAGCTCACAGGCTCTGTCGCACGGGGTTGTAGTGGTGCAGACATTGCGAAGGAAACGTGTATCGCTGCCGAGGGTTACCAGTGTTTTGACCGGCTGATGCTCGATATGAGGTAGGGTTAAGGTAAGGAGCTGCGAGCCTGGCCAATTGTAGAAAGACCCAATAATTCTTCAACCTGCACAACCTGCAAGGAGATAGATAATGGTAGTAAGTTCCTTTTTCGCGATGCAATACATTTGTGTTATGTAGAACGAGGCGAAGTGCAGTATCTGATCGACGAGAAGGAGAAGATGAGAATGTCGTGCGTGTGAAGGAAAAAGGGCGCTATCTATTCGATTCTACCTAGGTGCCCTGCCCTGAGTTATAGTGATTAGCCACTCATGACGCTTGGAATTCCCAACCTTGGAACACTTGGTAGAAGCTTAACCATACTTGGCTTTGCTAACTCCTGATAAAGATAAGGGGATTGGACTATAAAAGATCGGGAAAAGGAAAGGAAAGGAAAGAATTATAAACAAACAATTCTCTTCGATTGCGACGACAATGAGAGAAGGGAAATGTCATTAATTATTCAGACTTTTCTCATGATCCTACGAGGATTAAGCTACAATATCATTTATTCCCCCGCTTCTAGACTTTAACCGTTTTGGTGTTACCTGGTGGCGTTTGGAGGATATGTATGTTCTTCTTGGTAGGTTAATTATATGAGGAAAAGAGAGATGACTTCACTTACCTAGTATTTCATATTAGTAATATTTAAAGAGGTAGCTGTATGAGTAATATCCATTCATGTCGTGTGCCCAGCTACTTGTTTTGTTGAAGAAAATTCGTTGGAAGCTTCCTAGTAACAAATATTCATCGCGCATTTTGATTGGATATAGGATGCATAAGGATCAACGCTGCATATTGGAGATATTATCTAATAAAGTTATCTCAACTCTAGTCTTGACAATTGATTTGGCAGTAATGCTACCAAATCCTATTGCTTAGGACGATGGTGTTGTCCCTCTCCGAATCCCATCAAGCTTCCAATTGCAAATTCCACCTCTTAATCCTCTCCGGATCCTTCGGCATTCTAAATCCCAGGTACTCTCCTAGTCAAACAGGAAACCAACTCTGCCACACCATACCCTCTGCGACTTCTTACTTTCCTTCGGAACATCCAACTCACATTCCCCATAATCTTCACCAATCTATCCACGTTGTTGACCCCCCGCCCAATACACATCTGCTCGTTCTGCTTCCCAACCTCTCTTCTCTATCGCGATGTCTGTTTGTCTATATGATTTCCCAGCAGCTCTACCGGTGGTCCCAAGTGTGCATCCGATTTAAATTGTGGTGGAGGTTTCGATCGAACTAGTACCCATCTTGGTCCATAGTTGACTGAGAGGTTGGAGGTCAGTCATACCCCTCAAAGAAAGTCTTTTGGAGGTAATGAGGAACCGAAATCGCATGAGCTGAGGAAGTTAAAAGGGCAAAAAGATCAAAGAAAAACTTGGCCGTTTTATTCTAGGCGAGTTAGAGTTCAGCAAGAAGGAACAGAAGCCTTTGAAGAAGTAAACTCATGCCCAGATACCAAGAATGGCCCGATTAAGTCAATCTTCATAATCGAGCCGCCAAATTTCCCTGTGTCAAGCTAGTATTCGTCTCACCAGAAGCTAGCTTCAATTCGAACTGGTGACCCTATGGCACTTTTTGCACTCAATTCTTATTATCCTTCTCTCATCATTACGAAAGGGGTTGTGGGCTCCAAGTGGAGACTTTGGTTGTCCAAAAGAACATCAAGTCTACTTCATGGAAGATAAATCATTGCCTTGACGAAATTAATTCTCTGAAACTTGGGTATGTTTTGTAATTCGACATTAATGGATGTTCACATTAAAAATATCCAGAAGTCTTCCTTAAGCGCCAATGTGCTGGCAAGTGCAGATGGCTGAGCCCGAAATTCAGCTATCGTAAATACAAACATTTTGCATAACATTGATATATCCTCCAACCCATTGTGTGAATACCAAGAATCCAAGGCTGAGCACCCCTACTCTTTGCCCAACCCTGCAAGGGGCTAACTCAGGAGGATTTACTTCAAATGTTTCATCTTGGTGAGAGACCTCAAAGTAGACCACCTTACAACGAGATAGAAGTGAATATGAGATCATCAACCCAATCAACATCTGGAAAACCATGATACGAAATGTTTTTCCAGACATGTCCTTGAAACTTACAATGACGGGATTAATATTCACTGCATTGGAATGTTAGAGTACTTGAAAGAAGTAGTTACAGAGTATGCATGAATTGCAGCCTTATATTCTACCTAAATTCTAGCTACGCCGAGTATGGAACCTGTCAACCTCGGAAGAAATTTCATAAATGATGCCCTGCGCAATTGGAGAAATCGAGTCTTCTTTTCTCATTTTCTTATGCTACTTACTTACCTACTTATCTCTCTTTGATCATCCATAATAGACGTCAAATCAACCATTATACCGAAATTATCACAAAAACCACCTTTCCACCCCAACCAACCAATAACGTACGTCCCTATCCGAAAATACCTTGACAATGCGAAACCAATGGAACGCCCGCGAAATCTTTTCCATCGACCCGAAAGGAGACACCCTTTTCAACTGCGTCGGCATCTCCAAATCTAAACCCGGCCACCCAAGATGCTTGAAACCCATCGGAAAACCAAGACGCACTGCAGCAGCCAGACTACTAGATGAACTTTCCTCACTACCTATTTCCGGTGGAGACTATAGTGAAAGAGAGGTTGAGGAGATTATGGAGGACCTATTGGGAGAAGTACTATGTTACATACACAAACAAGGGGGAAGTCATCCTCAGAATGAAGAGGTTGGAGGAAGGTGGTGGGGGAGAGTGGAGAGAGTGCAACTATCACTTCAAAGAGGGGTCGAGGAACAAGTGAGAGCGCAATCCCCCTTACGAATGGTAGAGCGGGAAAGATATCAAATTCCAGTTGCAGTGCGGGAGCCGGTGGTCACGGCGCGCAACTTCGTTCCTTTTGGGAAGTATAAGATGTTGGCATCGGGTAGGATTGGGATGTTTGAAGGGCGGGCGGGGAGCTGGTCGGGGAGTTGGTGGGGGAGAGATGGGGATAGGGGCGGGAATTGGAGGATTTTATGTTATGGGATGAGTTCAATAAATGGAGGGAGAATGGGAGAATGATACAGGAAGTGGGTACAAGAGGGAGAGCGAGACAGAATGGAGGAGAAAAGGATCCGAGAGGAAAGAAGAGGATCCAAGAGGAAAGAAGAGAGAAGAGGATTAGAAAGGAGAGGAAGAGCGAGGAGGAAAGGGAAGAAGGAATGGAGGAATGAGGAGAAAGATCAGAGGGAAGAAGAGAAGAATGGAGGAGAAAGGAGAGGAGAGAAGAAGAGAGGAGGAAAGGGAGGAGAAGAAGAGAAAGACAGAAGAGAAAGGCGAGAAAGACATGAACGGGAAAGGAAGCGCTAAGATTACGCGAAGAATCCCAAAGAGAAGAAGCCCAAAGAGAAGAAGCCCAAAGAGAAGAAGCCCAAAGAGAAGAAGCCCAAAGAGAAGAAGCCCAAAGAGAAGAAGCCCAAAGAGAAGAAGAGCGGAGGATGAGGGAGGAGACAGCAAGAAGAGAAAGACAGGAAGCGCTAAGATTACGCGAAGAAGAATCCCAAAGAGAAGAAGCCCAAAGAGAAGAAGCCCAAAGAGAAGAAGCCCAAAGAGAAGAAGCCCAAAGAGAAGAAGCCCAAAGAGAAGAAGCCCAAATATTACATCAATCACAACTCCAAGCACAACGCCGATCAGAAGACGCAGAACTACAACTAGAACGAGATCGTCAAATCCAAGTCTTACAACAGCAACATGAAGCTACTGCACACCTGCAAAATACCCGCGATATCCGATCACGACGACTTGATGTCCCTCAACCAGTTGCAATACAATCAATATTTCAACGACCAACTATAGCTATCCCTGAACCTATCACAACACAACCACCCTTGCAACCCCATCCGATTCAACGTCCTCTCCTCCGCAAACCTCTCGACGATTGTCCCTTGTGTTATGAACCTATCGCCCGCGACGAAGATGCAGAGTGGTGTCGTGCGCAATGTGGTCAGAATGTTTGTAAGGAGTGTTTTGCGCAGTGGCGGCATACACTTGGAAGGATAAAAATTACTTGTTGTATTTGGTATGTTTTTTTAACGATAGACTAAGGATGAGGGAGCCTGAATGATATACTTACTAATTCTTTAATAGTCGCGCAAAGTGGAAATTTTAGGAATAATCCCGCGGTTGGGTTGCCAGCGGGAGGGGAGGGAGGGATGGGAGGGGGATTTTGTTGGGGTTTCATTGGTTGTTTGATATAGGTGAGTAGATTTGGGATTTTTGAATTTTATTGCAGGATTCGGTCATAAGGGCGTTTATAGAGTTTTCCGAGTAATTATATCTATCTAAGACCTTACCTCTTTATGACCCATCACATCATCGCACGATATACATTGCTATAACCTACTATTGTACTTTTCCCTAGCTTCAAGTAGATGCATAGTATTAATAACTTTGGAGACGGGTTACACCAGACTCGCTTGCAGGTTTAAAAACCCCATTCATCCATCCATCCCCAATCTTCACAAATATATCTGGCGGTATCCATAATTTTAAAGGGCCGTGAGCAATGGATTTAACATTTACAACTAGTATCTGGGTCTCTATACCCTGAAGGCCCCACAGCCATTTGCTTGTGCATATTCTGGTCCATATTTTGGACCGGTGTAAATGATTCCTTCAGATCCATGATTTGGTTAGTGGCCATGGAACTCGATAATTCTCAGTTATTTGAGTGCCCTGCCCGTCCTTCAACCCCCGGTAATACTCAGTATTTCGTACCAACAGAATTTGTCCAAGGTGAGCTCGCTTGATGGCCTCAAATTCCTTTTCTTGACTCCATTCTGCAAATTTCGAACCCATCTCCCAACTTTTAGTCTCGAATTTTTCCTTCCACATGATTGAATTAGCATCCGCTTCATTCTTCCCTTTGGTCAAATCTTCGATTTTTCGGGATAATTTTTTAGTTAGCCAGGTCCATTTCGTCTAGCCTTGCCTCGCTTTCGTTAAGCTCTCTTTGCAATGTTTTCCCGTTTTCAAGAGAAGCCAAACTTTCCACCTCAACGTTCTCCTTCTCCTTCTTAGCTGTCGTCCTTCCAGACAGAGCGAATAGTGAGTAAATGGGCTTGTGATTGTGGGACAGAATCTAATGCTGCTTCCCGTAGAACTCCTGGCTCAAAGCTCTGGATGTAGGCATAGATTTCTTGTTCCACTCTCCCTTCAAGCCTCCTGTTGAGAGGGTGATTTCCATGGCGGCAATAAAGCAATCATTCTCGATTTCAGGTAATTGAGAAGTCATGAAAGCGCCATAGCCATACGGAAAGAAATTGAATGACTATGTTAAGTTTACTATGAGCCAGAATAATCATATCAATGCGGGGTAAGTGGAAAAGATTGAGAGTATAATGTTGAACTCCATTGAGCTGATGATAACGCAGTCTTATGCTCATATCTTTGAAGCCAAATGCCGAGATCGTGTTTGCCCAATATCCAGTGATGATCATGATTTGATTTCCGGCTGAAGCAACAAAACGGATATGAAGTCGATCGTGTAAAGCAGCATGAAGCAGCACGTGAAAGACTAGCAAGGATGAAGATACCCCCAAGACGCGGGGGATTTGCCAAGGAAAAAGGTCTCGGGGCTTCGGCAGATATCATACCGGGTATCAAGAGTAGATATATCGTGCAGATTGTTAAATCTAGCAAACCCATTTCCCCAATAAGTCAACAAGAGCGATAAAATCGAAACAAAATGCCACAAGAAGTACATACTGTTGCCGCGAAAGATGTCCGGAAAGCCATCGATTCCCTAATTTTTCAGATGGTCCATATCAAGGATGAATCTGGGACATTTCTATTACGATTGGAGGACGGTAGAGTGATTGATACCAAAGGATGGCAGGGTTGGGAATGGACACATGGAATTGGACTTTATGGTCTTTGGAAAAACTACTGCATCAATGGATCTCAAGAATCAGTAGAGATTATCGAAAAGTGGTTTCAAAATCGCTTCGATGAAGGAGGAACTACCAAAAATATCAACACAATGGCTGCCATGCTGACGCTAGCATATCTATATGAGCAGAATAAGGTTAATAAGTTCTTACCATGGTTAGAGAACTGGGCAGAATGGGCAATGTATGAACTTCCAAGGACAAAATACGGTGGAATGTCACATATGACATACAACTCGACCAACGCTCAAGAATTATGGGATGATACATTAATGATGACGGTCCTTCCGTTAGCGAAAATCGGAAAAGTCTTAAATCGACCACATTATGTGGAAGAAGCGAAGAGGCAATTCCTCCTCCATATCAAATATTTGTTTGATACCAAAACCGGCTTATTCTTTCATGGGTGGACTTTCGCAGATGGGGGTCATAATTTTGCAAAAGCTTTATGGGCGAGAGGTAACTCTTGGTTAACAATTGTCATTCCAGAAATGTTGGAATTGCTTGATTTACCGATTAACGATCCATTTCGTATTCATCTTATCGACACTTTGGAAGCACAGTGTCAAGCATTGGTTCAATATCAAGAAGAGGATGGTTTATGGCGCACACTTTTGGATCAATCTTCAGACACAGGATCCTATGTTGAAAGTTCTGCCACGGCTGGATTCGCATATGGCATATTAAAAGCATTGAGATTGCGCTATATAGTAGGTGAAGAATACCGAGGTTGTGCAATCAAAGCTACAAAAGCTGTATTAGGAAAAGTTAGTGATGAAGGGGAACTGCTAGACGTGAGTTTCGGGACAGCGATGGGTCATACCTTGCAGCATTACATTGATATCGATAGGACAAGTATGCCATATGGTCAGGCTATGGCGATAATGGCATTAGGAGAGTTTTTGAGGGTATACATCTGATTGTTTATGGAAGATTGGATCACGGGACTTATAGATTCAAATCATGGCCATTGTCACTCATTGATTTGTTCTGGGCTGGATCATGTGGTCCGTGGCCGACCAACATCTAGATATAGATTAGCGTATCTAAACCTTATCCCCACCTCGTTTCATATGACAAAAACGCCAAAAAGCTTAACACAATCTCGTGCGCAAGACAAACTTAGGTAAAGTCATAGACATTCAACATTCAACATCCAGCAGTCTTAAGCCGCACAATTGTAACGACTGTCGAAGAAACATCATCATCAACATGTCTCTCCAGAAACCTCTGTTGGTGAAAGAGGTACCCTCTTTTGCAGTACCCTCTTTTGCAGTACTTCCATTCGATATGTATCTGCCCAGGGGTGACTTGCTTTTTACTGTGGCGTTGCGCGTAATGCGGGCTTTCAGATTTTCAAAAAGCAAAAATCATTCGAAAAGTGACATGTTGGCTTTTCGCTAAACATTTTCGGTAGGTGTGATTGTAACACCAGAATTAGCCGTGACTAGACGACGATAGGGGATGCAGGAACACAAATAGAACGGCCCCAATAAAGCCCGAGCCTGTCAATAGGCTATTTACCCAACGAATGAAACATGGCCATTTGAATCTTCCTTCGATCGGAAAACTGTCATCTCATCTCATGATGCTTTTGACGCAGGTCCCGAAATCCTTACCTAGGGACTATCCAGGTAGATTTGGTAACTAGGCCTTGTTTGATCCAATCATTTTGTCAGATCATGTGCTGAATAGTACAGACCTTGTGCCACTATCACGGGATGACGAATTCAAACTTCAAATCGAGTTTGAGTACCGTGTACAGGTATTATTCAGATTTCACAACCCCAGATGGATGCACCTTTTCTAAATTTCATCGCTTGCTCATTGTTGATCATTTCCAGTTTTTCACTCTGCAAGGCAGGGGACTAGACCATCAGTAAGGTTTGAAGGTACCATGAGACATAAAGCTCACAATTGATGAAACGTTACCGGACTAAAGTACCATGTACATAAAGACATGTGCCTTCAGTTACCCAGATTTCGTCCAGCAGTCATTCTTTCAACCCCACGATATTTCCCACACTCATCTCCGGTAGCTAAGTCCCTTGTCATGCTGTTCAGGAGACATTAAAATTGCAGTGGCTACCTTTACCAACGGACCTTGTGCTGGATATCAGGCTCCAAATTAGCTTTTCACGGGTGAATGGGATCTTTAGCATCATAAACTTTTGGTGCCTAAACAGATGAAGAGGAATCCACTCAGTAAGAGGATCTCCTCTATATAAAAGCTGCATCTGCCAGACCAGGCATAACAAAACCTCCATGTACACTTTTCACTCCTTTCTTGTATATATTATTTTATAAACATGATCCTCTTCGCTACACATTGGATCATTTTTGGTCTTATTTCTTCATGTTTCGGTCAAGCTTATTGGTACGAAACAATTGCCCATCAGGGAGTCGCTCCTTATAATCCTCAAGGGAGTGCATATCAGGTGTTTAGGAATGTGAAGGATTTTGGAGCTACAGGTATATTGAGCCAGAAACATCTTACAAAATCAGTCACTGATCAGTTCCTAAGGAAATGGTGTCACCGATGATACAGCTGCGATTAATGCCGCAATCGCATATGGTTCTCGGTGTGTGGAAGGAGTTGCGGGTGTCGGATGTGCATCCGCAACTAATTCACCAGCTGTGGTGTATTTCCCTGCCGGAACATACCTCATTTCATCCCCTATTCTTCCATACTACATGACTCAATTAGTTGGAAATCCAAATGCATTACCAACCATCAAAGCTACAGCTGGTTTTGTAGGTCTAGCACTTATTGATGCAGACCCTTATGGATCATCTGTACCAGATTATGGCACCACAAATGTATTCTACCGTCAAGTTAGGAATTTTATCATTGATACTAGAAATATGCCAGCTACTTCCTTGGCACGAGGTATTCATTGGCCTACAGCTCAAGCAACTAGTCTTCAGAATATGGTCTTTAACCTCAATACCGCGAGTGGTAATCTGCATCAAGGAGTCTTTATTGAAAATGGTATGTCTATCTCCAATTACTACATTGTAAATTTCTGACGAAATATCTCAGGTTCCGGTGGATTTTTGACTGATCTTATCTTTAATGGGGGTCAATATGGCATGAATGTCGGTTCACAACAATTTACTTCAAGAAACTTAACATTTAATAAGTAAGAATACCGCTTCCAGATATATCATCATACTGACGAGATTAGTTGTGAAACTGCCATATATCAACTTTGGGGTAAGGTTCTTCACATCCATTCTTTTGTTATATGACTAACAATTTCTAGATTGGGGTTGGACATATATGGGCTTATCAATTAACAATTGTGGTACTGGTCTTGATATGTCTGACGGAGGTTCTACAGCACAACAAGTTGGATCAGTAACAGTCATTGACAGCACTTTTACTAATACGCCTATTGGTATCCTTACTGCTCGAAGTAGTACATCACTTCCTCTTACTGCCGGAAGTCTAGCCATCGAAAATGTCATCTTCACCAATGTTCCCACTGCGGTAGAAGGACCAAATGGAGTATCTCTAGCAGGAAGCACTGGATCAATCAGCGTCGCTGCTTGGGTACAAGGCAATACCTACAGTCCTACAGGTCCAAACTCTACCCAAGGTGCAACTTCAGCTTTTCCTCGTCCTGCATCCTTGCTCAGCGGTACAAGGTATTATGCTCGATCTAAGCCTCAGTACAATACTCTCACCGCGGCTCAATTTTCTAGTGTTCGTACAGCTGGAGCTAAGGGTGATGGAGTAACCGATGATTCTGCTGCTCTCCAAGCAATCATCACTTCTGCAACAGCTGCAGGTAATGTAATATACTTTGATTCCGGTATCTACAAAGTAACCACCACAATCACGATCCCAGCTGGAGCCCGGATTGTCGGTGAAACCTACCCTGTAATAATGGGTTCTGGTTCCTTCTTCAGCAATATGAACGCTCCCCAACCCATCGTTCGAGTTGGCTCTACGACTGGCGAAACAGGAGTCGTAGAATGGTCTGACATGATAGTATCAACGCAGGGTGCCACATCAGGAGCAAAACTGATTGAATGGAATCTCGCCTCTCCATCTACCACTCCATCCGGAATATGGGATGTGCATACACGAATTGGTGGGTTCGATGGGAGTAATTTACAAGTTGCTCAATGCCCTACTACTGGTACTCAACCGAATGCAAATTGTATCGCGGCGTTTATGAGTATGCATATTACTAGTACTGCGAGTGGATTGTATATGGAAAATGTTTGGCTGTGGACTGCTGATCATGATATTGATGATGTGGATGATACTCAGATTAGTATTTATACCGGAAGGGGATTATCTGTTGAGAGTACTACCGGGAACTTTTGGTTGTATGTATCTCTCTTCTATTCTATTGTTGGTAATGGTAACTCACTGATATTATACAGGGTTGGAACAGCAGTAGAGCATCATTCTCTCTACCAATATCAATTCGCGAATACCCAGAATGTATTCATGGGATACATTCAAACTGAAACTCCGTAAGTGATTTTTCCATATCACATGAAGATAGCCTTTTATCTCCCAACGTCTATCGTCTACATCATCCCACCCAAATCTCCACACTGACGTCCATCCCAATTAAGATACTACCAACCTGTTCCCCAAGCAACCTCACCGTTCCCACCAGTCACCTCCCTCAACGACCCCGATTTTGCCACTTTTTGCGCTGGAAAAGGTCCTACTTGTTATGATGCATGGGGATTACGAATTTTAGATTCCCAAGATATACTAGTATATGGAGCTGGATTTTATAGTTTCTTTGATAATTATAGTCTCAGTAAGCTTTTCCCATCAGTCTTTTTCCTTCTACCCCCCACCCCCACAAACCTCTCTACCACTTCCCCAACAATATCCAAGCTAACCTCCCGACCCCCAGCATGTTCCAACCATACCGCCACAACCTACAACAGTAACTGCCAAACTCAAATCTTCGGTATCGATGAAGGTGGCTCAGCAACAGAATCATGTACCGGAAGTACGGTCTATGTCTATGGATTGAACACCTTGGGTGTGGAAAGTATGATTGATATGGATGGGGAGAGTATTGCTGAGTATACGAGCAATGGGAATGTTTATGGGGCGAATGTTGTTAGGTTTGTTAGTTAGGGGGTTTTTTTAGAAGGCGGCGGGAAATATGAGGGTGTGGAGGAGTCAGGGAGAACGCCTAGGAGGATGAGAAGAGATGATAGGGGTGGTAGATGGAAGCATTGTAGAGTTGGAGGGTTTTTTGTATATATCATTTATTTCTATTCACTTATACCCAATATTGAGAAACGAATCCAAAGCTTCTTCATTTTACCAAACAAAAACTTCAAGCTACGAAACATCAAATAATCTTCCTAATCCCTAATATCTAATACCTAACCCTCCTCTTCCTCCTTTCCAACATAATATTCTCAATTCTAATCCTCTCCTCCTCCTCCCACTTCTCCTCTTCTTTACTCTTCCCCCCAATCTTCCTAAACCAATTCCCCCACAAAAAAAACAAACCTTTCCAAAACTGCGAACAACCATCCTGCATTTTCTCCAACCACGATAACATTTCATCGACCTCAACTTTTCTCTCCTTCCAATTCCTCACCCAAAAATCATCCTTAATAATCATCAAAAGATTCACACAAATAAAGCGACAATAAAACGATAAAGTCGACGCATCACGATTAGCTTTAAGTCTTCCTTCCGCCAAATCATGACATAGTACTGAATCGAATTTTTCTGCCGCACTCCAGAGAGTAGCCATGAAATTGATCTCTGCGAGTTCTTCTGAGAAGAAATTATTAGGCCATCGTTTTAACTCTTTGATTCCTTCGGGGGAATTCTCGCCTTGGAAATCCCATGAAGATGTCGGTGGAAATATTTGTAGACGGACATATTCGAGTTTACAGAGTAGATACGTAAGTTTTTGGAAAGTAGTTTTGATATCTCCTTCTTTGTTTGGGACTTCTTCTATGAGGGTAAATAAATCATTGAGAAGTCTTCGAGTTCCAATATTCCAGCGAAAGAGAGTAGCGCGACGATCGCGAAATTTCTCGCCTCCTCTGAATGTTTCGCTTTTTTCTAGGAGGAGAAAGGATTCTTTGTGGTTTGTAATTGCCTGGTCGAGCATTTTGATGAGTTCGAAAGCTAATCTCTCATGTTCTGATTCATCATTTCTATCTCTTGCTTCACGCAGTGAAACAAATGCTTCCCTTACGTCCCAGAGTGCATCTTCTTGGGATTGTGTAAAATCATAGAACTGTTCCTCTCCCGCTGCGCTTCCAATTATCGCTTGTAGGACTTTGAAGGATGCTTTTCTAACAGCTGGGAGTTGCTTTGCGTGGTACGATGTTGCCGCTTCCGTTAATTCGCCGTGCATTTCGTATGGAATACCTTTGAGGTTACTAGTTCTTTTGTTTTCACTAGTCTCGTAGTCTGGGACACCATATTCATCGACATCGGCCCAGTCGGGTTCGAAGTCACTTTTCCATCCATGCTTTATTGATCGAGCATGAATGACAGAAAAGCCATACTTGTAGTTGATAAATATTAGTAAGTTTTAATTATTCTTGTAGCAAGAGTAAATAAAAGGTCAACAATACTTACTCGTCGAATAGCAGTATCCCAAAAACTCTGATTGCTTAAATCTTCCAAAGTCTGAATCGATATAAAATAACAAAATATTTGATTGTTGTATGGTTTAGCTTTGTCCATAATAAGTGTTTTAGGAATTCGCTGTCCCATACTACCATAATTCGGATACGTAGAACCCATCGCATACGCAAAAGGAGCTGCAGGTGCATGAAATACTGGCTCGACGAGACCACCAAAAACCTAATCTTAATTAGCATGGCATTCAACATTTATATGATTTTGTATAAATCACACTATTCTCCATTTCATATCCCAATTCACACTGAGGCGAATCCTCAAAGAATGGTTCATATTCTTGGTTAAGCTTTTGATCCTGAATAGCATACCAAAGAGCATGAGTTAACTCATGACACATGACGATTGCCAGGAGATATTGAGCACCGGCTTTTTCCCCAGAGGTCAAATCTGTTCTCAGTAGTATATCACAAAGTCTCTGGTCTATAAAAATCCAGATAACATCTTTGTCATAACAATCCTTCCCTTCGTGAGTAACACCAAAACAACTAGAACCTTGCCCAGGTACTTTATCCCATGGCATATGATCGCCTGGAGCAAACGCCCATTTTACTTTTTTGTGTAATTTTTTCATAGCTGTACTAAAAGCCTTCTCACACTCTGCGAAATTATTCGCGTTGCTTATTGCTCTGATTCTGCGCCAGAATGTACAAAGGCCTGTCGGTAGAGGGAGACTCGAGGAATGTTGATCCATAGGATTTCGAGGTCCTAAGAGTAGGGCATCTACCTGAGGTAAGAAGATCAATGAATTAGCATTGTCATGAATGTATAGTATGAAAAGAAAATAGGTAGGGCATATACAAACGGTACAGCATGCATTCTGGAAAGAAATGCACTTGCTAAAGTCAAAACGGGCATCATGGCTTTGAATACGTAAACGTTAGTCAAGTAGAACCATCCGCCTTTTATTACTTCGGGGGTTTGCTGAGGCCAATGAAGTGGCCTCTGACCATACTGCTCCCATACATTTTTCGAAAATATAGGATGAATAGGAATCATGAGAGGCCCTTCGAGAATTCTACCACTAACTACATCTAAATCAACAAGCTCGCGTACTGTGAAATTGTATAACATGAAACGTTGGAAATCTTCGATACGATTTTCTTCCTGGATAGTTTTCAAATTGACACCTTTGGGAAGATGACCTGTGGGTGACCATCCACTTGCCGTGGAGGTAGAATCAACTGGATTGATGAAAACACGACTCGGTCCATATTTTTCCTTATCAACATTGAAAATTGTACTTGTCGCAGTTCCCAATTCTAAAGATGCCATCTTAGGCAATCTTGAAAAATAGAGTAATGAGATAGAGTGATCAATTAATTTTTGTTGGTGAATTAACTTGCTGGATGTACATCACGAAAAATCTTTGTTGTACATGAAATGGGAGTAATGCAACAAAGAGAACCAATCAATAATAAAGATGTCCTTTGACAACTTTGGAATAGTTTAGTCTCTTTATTACTCATTCATGAAGGCTTCAAACATAATTGAAAGGTTGATGTTATGAAATTCAGAAAGGATTGTTTTCCTTCGGCTACGAAAGATTGGCCACTGATCAGGTAAAAAGAATTCAAACATGAACTAATTATACGACACTTAAAGAACTAGATTATATTAAAAAGAAAAATCCAAATCTTCACCTTGTTACCTTGTTACCTCCTCATTCCATCAAAACACCCACCACCACATCTTCCCAATATTCTCCAAGTCATAACTCTTCAGCTCTTACCCTCCCACATTAACCCAACCGACAAGCAGTCGGTGGACAATATCCATGATTACAACTATAACTACATAATCCCAGATAACTATCATCTTCTCCTGATAAAGGATACCCTGTTTGATTTGTAATGGGGGGTGGAGGAATCTGAGCGCCATATGATAGACATGTACATGGACCTGGAGGACAGTAGCCGTACTTGCAGCAGAATTGACAGAGACCAATGTAATTTCCTGGACCCGAGCCTGAGGTGCAGACTGTAGAAGGAGAAGGTGAGGAAGGAGAGGAAGTGGAAGTGGAAGTGGAAGTGGAAGTGGAAGTGGAAGTGGAAGTGGAAGTGGAAGTGGAAGGAAGTGGAAGGAAGTGGAAGTGGAAGGAAGGAAGGAAGTGGAAGTGGAAGTGGAAGTGGAAGTGGAAGTAGTGGTGGTTATTGGAGATGTAGTTGGAGATGTAGTTGGAGATGTAGTTGGTGATGTAGTTGGTGATGTAGTTGGAGATGTAGTTGGTGATGTTGTGGTTGAAGTTGATGTGGTACTTGAAGCACTGGAAGTGGAAGTAGAAGTTGATAAAGTACTTGTCGATGTCGTTGTACCTGGTGGTGGTGGTCCAGCATTACTAGTCCCATTCAAAGATCCAACGTATGCATTGAAGTTATACTTCTCACAAGTATCTGCAATATCCAAACCACCATATCCATTCAAGATTGGTTTACCATTTCTTGTAACCTGAAAATATTGATTTCCCACACCCATGGTAAAATTCGTGGTAACAATACCAGCGGGTACATTGATGGAAACTGGTGTATTTTCCCCGCTGCTCACGATTAAAGTTGCTGGACTTGTTAAAAGCGTGGTAACGAATATGTCATCAGCGAGCATTTCACGACCATTTGGAGGTCCAAGGGTATCATTCGTGCAGGTGATTCCTTTAGGTGTTGGTCGATACCAATATACGAGTTGATCTTGTGTGACAGTCGGTGAACTTGCGCCAGCTTTATATGCAGCGATATATGGTTTCGAGATGATACGCCAACCATCGTGAGGGAAACCATCAGCCCATTGCGAAGAACCGTCATCTTTGTGATTTGGTTCCGCTGGAGATATATAGTGAGATTCTCCGAAATCTATGATATACATGAGCTTAGTTCCCTAAGATGTCCCATCCATGCTTACCATTCCAAGATATGATTTCGATAAGTGCAGGTTGTAACTTTAACATTTGATTCCATCGATCAGTAATGAGTTCTTCGGAGATGAAAACCCAATTCTTGGAATTGAAATGTGTAGAGAACCATGGTGAAACAGCTACAGAAGAGTTAACAGCATTCTTCCTCTTAAGTGATGGCAACTTACGAGCCATGTAAGGCTTTCCAGCAAGATATAAAAAGAATTTATCATCCCATACAGTTGTCATAGGACCTGGTATAATACTATTTCCACCATCTGTAGGCCATGCTAACCAAGAGAATGCACCATCAAATGATGTTGGTTGATAAGTTGCCTCAATCGGATCTTGCATCATAGGAATAGCGAAAATTGAATGATTTGTTCCAGCTTTGACTGGTGCCCAATTGAAACTGTCACCCACAAAGGTACTGACAACAGCTCCTCCATTATATTGCATCTGTCCTGGATGAGATGCATATTTATTCATATAATCTGTAATGTTGTTGGTGTTCCCATTATTCCAATACGCAAAGTCGAATGATATAAAGACATGAAATCCAGTTTCGTTGGCTGCTTGATATGCAAGTGCAAGTTGAGTGGGAGTATAGCTATCGATGCTTGCACAGTTTAATGCGAATGCGTCGATACCAATTTCTTGTGCATATGCCATATCCATTTTCCAGTCTGAAAGTGTATAGTTCTCAACAATTCCGACCTATTCAGAACATGTTAATATGAGCCTCGGACCACGATTGGAAAATGCTTACCATGAAATGAGCAAAGACATATCTAGGAGTTGTTGCCCGGTTTACAGTTGGTGCGGAAATGGATAACCAAGGTAAGAGTAATATTGCCGTGAAGGCACTGATAAAGGTAGAATGAAGCATCATCTCGTTGATACAATGAAATATAGATATAGAGAACACAAAATAATTTCAGGAACTGATAAGATAAATGTATAAATATTCATCTTTAGAGTCATATTGCTCTAAATGTCCTGAACCTCTGTTGAAATTACAAATGGTGGTCTCTTTTAACCTATGACCCATAGTTACGGGCATTGATAGCGGATGATCACATAGTGAAGCAGTGATAATTTAAATATGTTTCATAACTTAATAAGGCTTTGCGGGGAAAGAAACTACCCCAGGATTCACACCCCACAACCAATCTAATCAGGTGAATGTGAAAGCGAGCATGATGTATATACCACTACTACGAATACACCGTGGTGCACAACAGAGGGAAGGATTATTGAGACATGTTGAACTTATATCTTTCATCTCATTATCGGAGCTCGCCAAGAGCAATAATGTTATGATCACCATGATCAAACAACTGGCTATATGATAACTCCTTTCTCATCTGCGCTCCAGACCGTCATTATTATCTTTCTCGGATTTGAAACATAAAAGTTGTATTTTATAATGACAATCGGACATTTAGCGGAAAGGGTTCACCAGCAAGCACAGCATGTGCTATGTCGACGGTTATGTTTAGTGTCAAGTAGCAGTTGAGACGTTCCACAAGATCGGAATTTTAAGCAAATGACATTCAATAGATCTTACTACAATCTATCACTGAGTGACATTGGGAAAAATATGTGTAACTCGTGGCTCAGGCTCGACTGTGATCGCAGAGTTCAACCTCATACTTCATACTCCCTACTGACAAGACATAGGAGAGAAAGTACAGAAATACAACAAGAGGAACAAAGATGTTTTGTACCAAAGTACTTTCTCAATGATTGATTATTTGCTCGGGCCGAATACTATCGGCTGGTTATTTGTTATCATTTTGACACTCCTCATGACCATCAACTCAGAGCACTCGCTCATTGATCTTTATAGTACCGTAGCAGTAGAATCTAGAGCTAGTAACTGTAAATGAAGAAGTCCATGGCTTGTCCCTCAGCTTCCTAGAAGCGTGATCACGTCGAGCAGGACCATAGCATTTTGATAACGTTGAAGTCACAGTTGCCCCGATCTCTGTGCAAAACAACAAATGCGAGAAGCTACCTCTTACTTCTTGCTGGGAGTCGGAGATAGAAGAGATAGCCACCATGGGAAGGGGAGATCTGGTTGATTCCAAATGAAGGGAACTAGATACTTCTCCCAGGTTGTGGAATCTCTGACAGCTTCCAATATGTGACATTAAACGAAATGTGGTACTCATCTGACCAAAGGTAATTAACAACAAACAACAAACAACAAACAACAGCGTTAGATATCATTCTGTGCATTATCGTTGAAGAGCGTTGCATGTTTGGAGTGAGGAACCCCTAAAGTTAAGTGCAGGACCCTGAATACTTGTAACCTTTAACCTAACAAACATGTTTTTATTCTGCCAAAGCGGTGAAAATACCCCTCTGTGGTCTTCAAAATTCAAACACTCAAAGTCCAATAACTTACATCAAGCATACTCCATACTCCATACTTCTGTTCTTCAAATCCCGCAAAAAATCATTCAAAATGGCACCTCCATCTCAACTTTCCATAGCTACCTCCTCCGTCGCCCGTTTGGTCAAGGAAGAAGCATCATATCACAAAGAGTTGATCTCTCAACAAGCACGACTTAAGAAATTAGAGGAAGCTACCGAAGAAGATGAGAATAGAGAGTATTCCTTGAAGCAAGAGGTTAGTGTCTTGCTTTCGTTTTGTTCTTGTATCATTTTGGAGAACCAGAAACTGACCAATAAAAGCGTGCCGCAATCGAAGAAACCAAAGCAGTATTCCCACCTCTTAGGGAACGACTCGCAGATGCCATACTCAAGTTGGAGGACTTAGTGCAAAGAGGGGGAGAAGAGGCAGAAGAAAATAAGGCTAATGAAGTTATTGCTGAGGCAAAGAAAGCTGTTGCTGCTGGAAATTGAGGCTTGGATCGAGGGAGACGAAATCATGATTCACGATGGATATACCCAATTTTGCGAAGATTTACGAAGACTTACAAATGATGGCGAAGATGAAGGTTATGACATGCACAGTTCATAGACCAAGCTGAATACTAGTCATAGAGGGTATCATTCTGATTTGGTATGGTACATTCTGTTTGTACATTTGGTGGAAAAACTATTGGTGAAGATGTTTACGTGGTATCCATCTTATCACCAATTTCTCCCTCATCCACCGCTCCCTCCTCTGGTTCATTAATCGTGACTTGTGGAGTTCCTTCTTGTGTTGAATTCATTCCATCCGCCATATGTGTATCGGCTGTAGGATCCATGTCCACTTGTCTACTATTTGCATCTTCCATCGTAAAATCATCTCCATCTTCCTCCCTACGTCTACGACTTCTAGCCCGTTCTGATCTTGTTGGAGATGCTATTCGACTTTTTGATCTCCCTCTTGAACCAGACCTTGATCCTGGCCTTGAACCTGACCTTGAACCTGACCTCGAATCAGGTCTTGACATCGAACCAGAAGGCATAGGTCTAGGTTTAAGTGTACCTCTTTCCGGACTTCCTTGCCTTGGTGTTGCATCGCCGCTTGCGCTATTACGTCTAGGAGTTTGCCCATCTCCAACTTCACCATCTTCCTCCCCTCCATCCATTCCTTCCCGTCTTTCGACCTCTTCTTTCTCATCCCTAATTAATCTTCTCAATTGCATTCCTTCCTCAACAATTCTACCAAATTGTTCTCTCCTCTCTTTCCACGTTTCACCATATGTTCTGCTCTCTCTTTCTAGCTCTTTACATTCCTCTTCCAGTTTCCTCAAATTAATTTCTTGATCCTTTCGTGGTCTCAATAACATATTATTCGTAATCTTTTCGGCCAATTCATCAAACTTCTTCCTTTGCTCCAATGTCTTTTTTGCTTCCTCCAATTGAATCCTCAACTGAGCAGTGCTATCTCTCACCGCTTGTGCCGTCTCCAAGATATGTTCCTTATCAGCCTTATACCTCTCGCGCTCGCGTTCGTTACTGTTGCGAAGAAACTGGATGCGCGCCAAACTGCTGTCGAATGCTGCGAAATCGAGGAGTACATCTTCACGTAACTGGCGACGTTCATCGAGAAATTTTTGTCGGTCAGATTCTCCTGCCTCTTCAGTGGTATCTAATGGTGGTGTAGGAAGTTTGCTTGGTGTAATGACAAGAGACCCAGGAGAGAGTAGGCGCTTGGTGATACGTTTAAAGGGTTTTTCTTCGACATTGAGAAGACGAGACTTGTGAAGTTCATCTTCCTCTCTTTGATCTAATAGTTGATAGGAAGTCATTTCGAGAGTATGAATTGATCAATTACTGCTCTTTCAGTTACAAGTTGGTACGGAACATTTAAAAGTTACAAATAGTTCTAGCCACATGAAATTGGTTTACAGCGGCCGCAACACCGCTAGTGCATGCGCTATACATCAAGTCCGGGGTTCCAGATTAGTGTATTCACTTATCGACCACTTCATGATCTATAAATTCCCCCAACATGAACTTCTTTGTTCATGATACATTCATTATATTATTCACGAATTTTCAACTTTCTACGACAATTTTAATTCATTTTCTCTTCCAATAGACTATTTAAAGGTTCCTCCTCCATATTTCACAATTGTAAATTTCTATAAATCTCTATTCACTTCACAATAATTCCTTTCCAGACCGCGAAAAGTGCAATCTGTCACCCGCCTTCAATTCAGTTGGAAATCACGAACAATCCATCGGAAATATTATAAGACTACATCCATTCTTTTATTACAAACCGAAAACATGGGAGAACTCGGTGCCTCATCCCTTCTCAAAATTGCCAAAGCAGCTTGTATAAAAGCTGCTCCAGGTAGGCTTGTCTATTCCTTTCAATATCATTCCGTCGCTAATATATTTTAGGTCTTACTGACATCGGAGACGTTCATTACGAGCTAATCCGTCCTATACTCAAGAACCCAGTAATAAATCCCGAACAGCTTCACATAATTGAACTTAATTCTCCACAAATAAAGGGTCAAGATGCAGAACTTTGGAGAGCTTTCATCGCTCGGGACATTCCTAATTGGCGAACAAAGAATTATGTACCAAGGGACCCTACGAAGTGGTACGAAGTGTACCAAAGATATAAAAACGAGCATGAAGTGGAAATAGCTCGCGACCGGGAAAACCTCAAAAATTCGATGAATGCATTGAAGCAGCGGAAACAAGATCATGTCAGCAAATTCGTCGATATCCGAGCCCTACCCAAGATCCCCAGAGACTATGGAATGCGACCAAACAATGGAGGTGTTCCTTTGACTAAGGGAAGAGGACTTCAAGGTGCTGCCCCTAGTTCTTTGACTTGGGGTGCAGGTAGTAGAACGAAGATGAAGGATGGTACAAGCGTTTTGACGAGGGCACGTCGAGAAGCCAAGGAAATGAGTCAAAGAAGCAAGCTTAGTACGCCAACTAGCATGTTATCGGGACGGCTTGGACAAGTGAAAAAAGCACCTGCTGGAATGGCTCAAGGATATAAAATTGCCAATCAACCTGGTTTGAAGGTCTTGGCGAGACATAGATCGTCTGGCAGAAGTTCGGGTAGCGTTAGTGGACCATCTCTTGAGGATCGTGAACAGAGATTACGAGATGCAATGGCTGGTAAAAAGAGAGACCACAAGGAGACATTAGTTGGATCTCCTCCTAGATCACCTAGCTCACCAAATTATCAGGATTTTGGAGATGATGCTGATGACCTTTTTGATGACGAGGAGGAACTTCAGCCAAGTTCCAAAGCAAGTCGGCCACCACCTCGTAAACCAATTGCACCATCAGCTCGGCTATCTTCTTCTTCCCCTCCACCATACAATGGAACGTCAAAACCATCCGACGTTATCTCATCTATGGTCCAAAAATCCAACAACTCTTTTTCACCAGCATCTTCTCGCATTACTTCGGCACCATCATCTAAATCAGCGACACCCAAACCTATGATGCCTGCTCGTAAAAGACCTGCTAACGTTGATATCTTCAACCGTGGGCCTAAGAAACCTAAAAGATAATCAAAGAGTATTTTTTAACATTTTTTTCGAAGGGGCCGGGGGTTTTATTGGCCATCTCATTTTTTATGGATTTTGGGTTTAGGGTTTCGGATTCAGTATAGGGGGACTTAGAATAGGGACATTTGTCATTAGCGAGGCGTTTTGGACATGCAAATTGTGGCATAGTCAGGTATAGACATTATTAGACATGGAAAGGGCTATTGGGATATTGATTTTTCACGGATTAGTGATTAACTAGAAATTGACAGATTCTGTGTATTTTAGAACTGCAGTAGGTAGCATTGTAAAATGAGATTTATTCGTATATCAATCCTTTCTTCAAAAGTGACCTAGTTTCTTATGAACTGAACATACTACAAGTCAAAACTTCACGCCATCACGTCGAGTGAACTGAAGACATGCGGTCAAAACGTCACACTACCACGGTATATGTTTTTAAAAGTTTATTATTGAGAATGAATGTACGGTCTAGTGAAAAAATCTAAGCTCATATCAGACAGCTAAATCGAATTAACGCGTGCACGCAAAAACGCCCTATGTAAAATATTCGAATTTTTTGCTATCGTCCATTAATGAAATGCTCCATCATCTGCCGTCATTCTAAGTCCATCATATCGCATCGCATCGCATCGCATCGCATCGCATCGCATCGCATCGCATCGCATCGTGTCGTGTCGTAAGGAAGAAATGAAAAAAGCCTAACCAAATGAAAACTTGCAAGTGATATCGACTACTGAAAAAAAGCTATGAAGGTATGTATGTGTGTATGAAGGTGCGGAGTATTTGGATAGGTAGACAGCAGTGCAATCAATGGACATTGTAAAGATGGGAGGTTTAGAGAGAACCTCCGCGAAGTGCTAGTACTAAATGCAATGTAGCTCCTGGTTCGAGCTCGTAGTCTTTTACTAGCTTGTCGTCTGCCCTGTTGTGGTTTGAGTGTTAGTTTTTTGGTGAAAGGGATGGAATGGAATGGCGGGGGTAGGAAGATACTGCGAACGTACATTTGTTTACCACCGTAGATTAAACGTTGTTGGACGGGTGGAATGCCTTCTTTCTCTTCGACCTTTTCCTTAACTCTCTCGATCTAAGGTGGATATATTAGTAGGTTGTGAGATGAAGGGATACAGTTGTCGCAGTGTAAAACGTACCTTGTTGTCAGATTCAACATCAAGCTCGATTTCCTTGCCAGTTAGAGTTCGGACCCTAGATATTTGTTAGAGTTATAGCTGGGAGTATGGAGAGCTATGGTAGATAGATGGCACATACTTGATAAGCATTGTGGCGGTTGTAAAGATTAATTAATTTCCTGTGGGAGGTTCTTGATTGGGATTCTTTTCAGAATTTGAGAAGGGAAATTTGGTTCTGTAGTATGGATCAAAACTCTCGAAGCCGGTGGCAGTTCTGTCAAAACGTTGTCCTTCAAATAGTTCTCTTGAACTCAGCGGAAATGTAGAAGAGCGCTCGGGGTAGAGTTGGAGGTGGTCTAGTTGGTGCTAAAGAACGGAGGTTATGACAATTGATGGTATGATAGGTGGTTGAACTGGTAGCTCAACTTCTTATTCAAGTGCTTGATGCTGGTTCAGTTGGTGGGGCATCAGTGGAGGCTTTGATCTTAGAGAACAATCATCTTCAAGAACCCATGTTGACTGTATTGGAATAAAGTTATTCCGAGCTCCGAAGTAGTTCAACCAGGATAAATGTATTGATGTTTATCTACGCTAGTAGTCATAACTTCACTATACTATTACTACAAAGAGCAACAGAAATCTACCTATGTTTTTCTTTTATATTTTCTCAGTTTATTGCTCTTCGTTTTGAGCTCTATTGTACATTATCAACATGCTACATTTTCTCCCTAATCACCAGTATTTCCAATATGTACATTTACCAAATCATATCAGAACTAGGTCTATATTATGATTGACCTCAAAAAGAACCATTCAGGTCAAGTCGACTGTGTGGTTTCTTATAAGGATTTCTGTGTTTTGTTGAGCTTAACATCGTCTTGATATCATACCAGTTCGAATTCCTCAAGGGTAAAATATTTGAAAAGAAGGAATTAAGGGCCGCTGTGGTGTGGTAGAAGTACTTTAACGTCTACTGGAAGGTCCTTCCCGCCACCAATTTTAATATGCTTTACTGTTTTCCGGACTGAGGAGCCAGCGGATGTTGCTCGAAGTACTTCGTTAATGGCAGAATTTACAAGTGGGCATGCTACGGTCAAATCGTTCTTTATCAAATTAATTATGATATCTCTACATGTTTTTACGAGGAGCTCAATTTTCTCAATGATAGATGCAATCTCGTCTCAAAGACTGGCAAGGAGCTACGTTCGATCCAGTATATAAACCATCGCCCAAAAGGTGGTCATTTGTACATTGCTTTCACACTGCATGACAGAGTACATTAGCTATCTTCTATAAACCAACAAATTTCAACAACTTACCCTACCCCATAAAATGATCAACAAAATCCTAGCACAATCCTCCGACCAAAGTCCCTCGTTGTGCTCTCCATTCTTTAATTCATTTACGAACGGGACGCCACCGCCTCATCTCTCACCTGGAGCATCGAGATAGTGATTCAATGCCCCGACGAGTTCATTACGCCATGCCATCGCTGCTTTGGCCATAAATTTAGGGAATCGATACATGAGCATCCAGGTATTTATATCCCACTTGTCAAAAAGTTGGGTCATCCAAGGCTCTGGCTAGACGAAGTACAGTCAGTAGTTGCCAAAGCATGCTCTTGTTTTAGATGTAATGAGTACATCTCTGCATGAGCGGCGAAGAGAGATAAAGTCGAGTTTTTTGCTGTTACTTGTAATTCTCTTACGAGGTCATGGGGTGGTCATTGTTCGTAATGATGGGTTGGTGAAAGCCCAGAAAACGCAAAGAGCGAGCTTTGGTTGTCATTCAGGATTGTGACATATGGAGTTACTTTGACAAGGAGTTACTTGTAAGAATGCGTGATGCCGAGCAAGTACGTTTAATTTGGAAGAAAGTGTAGGGACAAAGTGTAGATATTGCAAGATAAGGTTCAAAATCCATTTCAGAATATGAGTTTTATCATTCTATTGAATGACTGATACATTTTAGGCATATTAATGCCTTATACTATCATCGAAAAAACACTTATGGTGACCAAATTTTTGTCCCGCTAACCATTGGTATAATTGCATTCGTTATATCAGTTGGGTCTCTCCACGCGGACCAATCATGAGTAAGTAGTCCTATACATAATTTGTTAGTCCATGTCCACAAGGGGGGGAGAAGAAGAATCCTAAAGAATTCATCCATCACAGCCAACAGTAAAGAAAAAAAACTTACCCCATGACTCATCAAGATCCTGAGAACCAGATCTAATATAATAACTACCACTCAAAACCCAAACCATCCAACCACCCTTAATCGAAGTCAAATAAGTCTTCAAACAAGTCGAATAAACAGTAGCGTAATCAGAAGCCGTCTGCGCATGACCCCATTCTGTCAAAACGACAGGCATTTGATTGGTAGCTCCATCACCCAAAGCATTATACCCAGAATTTCGTAAACTACTTTCCAAACTCGAACAACTGCTTGTCGAGGAGGCATAGTTGTGAAGTTCTAGAACCAACTTGTTGGCGAATGAAAAAGATGATTTGAGGAATTTTTGAGTGGTCGATGGTGTTAAGAGGCCTGCGTTGGGGATAGGTGATAAATCTACGTCGAAGTTTAGTCCAGAGAGGAATATTAGGACGTTCGGGTTGGCGTTGTGGATACTGTTCATCCCGGGTACGACGTTTGCGTACCAGTTTTCCCAGTTGTATGAGGAGGAATCGAGAGTGGGGTTGGATTTTGGTTCACGGAGTTCGTTACGGAGTGACATGGACATTAGATTTCCCCAGGAGGCACCCTGATTATGTTAGAGAGTTTCTTATGGATAGAAGTAATGATATTGTGAAATCATGTGATGTGATTGTGTGAATGGCTCCAGAATGAAAATGACTTACTCGAGTAGCCATGTATGCAAGACCTCGTTGCCAATTGGTAACATTGAAATAAGTATCTCCAAACCAAGAGTTACCATCAGTATTAGAGCAACACCATTCAGCCTTTGAGACATGATTATCAAGATGCACATAAATTTGCTGCTTGAAGCACTCAGCAGCAACAGCATCAAAGACCTATACTCACGAATCAAATCAGCAATCTCCTCAACATTCAATCATCAAATAACCACATACCTGCAATCTAGTAGTCTTACTCGAAAACGTAGGGTTATTCTTAATGATTTGATTGTAAATAGTAGTACCATTAGTCGTCCCCAAAGCAGTCTGCAAGCTTTTCAAAATCGGTACATCCACATTCCCGTTCGCATAATAATCATCAATCATCTCGATGGGATATGTAAGACGAATAACGTTCATGCCTAGACTTTTGATCTTCGACACTATAGTAGCAATTGATTGATATTGTAGTCCTTCAGGTAACATGGTGTCTGCAGCACCAGGCCAATTGGCGCCAGCATAAGTGACATTGTGACCGGCGGAATCAAGAATCCATCGACCGGTTGTGGTGAAGGGAGCGTAGGGCCATGAAGCTCGTTCTTCGATTGGTGATGCGAAGGTAGATGTGAGGAGAGGGGAAAGTAGGAAGAGGGCTTTGGAGAAATACATGATGAGTAGGAGGAAATCGAAAGAGTCGTGCTGGGTGACTGGATAGAAACTTCTTCATCTTGTCGGGGCAGGACATCATATTATAGAAATACTGAACTGACCACCCAGAATGCAAGGACGCGTAGACCATATCAATTTAGCCATACAGATAAATCAATTCAGCCATCAGATAAATCAATTCAGCCATACAGATACATCAATTCATGTTTTTCTTTTCCAGAATCTAGAATCTAGAATCTATCATGGAGATTTCCTCCTTGGGTTTACTTCTGAATCAAAACGATTGGAGCGCATAGCATAGCATGGCTACGTCGACTCCACTTGGGGTCATAGAATGTGCAAAGAGTATGCGTTAGCCTCCTCTGTGATCCATAGCAAAATAACTTCATCACATTGATCACAAGATCAGGAGCTGCGTAACAGTATGCTGATTCCTCAACCATGTCATGAGAAAAACTTAACCTCGGGAGACGCGGGGAAACGATGGGAAGATCGGCAATTTAAGTGTCGGATTATTAGACGGGATATATAGGATTCACAGCTAAATATCAACAGGGAAAATCAAGACTTTCATTAAATAAGCTTAATTGTTTAATCTAAGCATAAAATAATAATGAAATGTATAAGAAGTGTATAAGAAATTCTTTAATAATATGATAATTGACTGAGCTATGAGGTTACCAGTTCAATATCTCAGTAGAAGAAGCAAAAAAGTAGTTCATATGCATCATTACCCATACGACTAAAAACAGGTTTCGAAAAAAGAATCCATTATAGAAAAAGCTAGACTAGTCGTGCATATCATGATAACGAGAGCGCCAATTGATGCCGTGTTGTAACGTTTGACGCAGGTTCAATAGTGGTGGAAAATTAGAGTTGTGGGGTAATGGCGGGGAAGGTTGGGTATGAATTTATCCCAAACTACTCTACTCTACTCCGTTCCTACGCAACTTGCTCCGTGTGCGGTCAAATAACATGCCGATTTTGTTTGATGTTTTTGATGCAAGTTGTGATTGAGAATCTTTAGTTGTAATAAAACATTCAATCAATAAAGCTACCTACGGAAATGGCCTAATAATCATCCGACCATCGATTTTAACAAAATACCAAGAGTCCGGATATCTCCAGTTTATTCGGTATGGCCCGTCGTGAGTTGCTGCCAGCCACAGCAAAAACTTTAAAATCCATCCATTTAATCATGTTAACAAAGCCCATCTAACTTCCATAAATGAATGTACAAGAGGCACATGACACAAGCTAGTAACTGCGTTAAAAATATTATCCACGCGTCATATTAAACCGCCCCCCATTCTTCAAAAGGTTCCCGAACACTTCCAAGTTTGATTCATTACTTAGGACCAGGAGTCTCATATTTATAACCTGATACTGATAGTACCGTACCCAAACCACGATGCACTTCAGCTTGAAATGGTGCAAATGGTATTCGCTCTCCATCAATGGATATATAACCATCGGGTTGATTCTTCGGAGTGATCCGGTATGCTTCGACTTTCCGATAGTTGACATATGGAAGGCCAAAGAATTTACCACTTTCGACAGCGGGAAAAAGTTGTAATGCTTGGAGCCGACTGAGATTAGAATAATCGATGGTGACCATATCCATACAACCATCACTTGGAAGTGCAGCTGGAAAATAATCCACATCTGCTCCCATCCAAGACATCTAAAACATAAATTAGCTCACTTTGTACCATCAGAAGGCAATTCTACTTTATAATACTTACATTACCACAATAAAAACTTCCCATGTTATCGTGTTCTTCGACTTTCCAGTCTTGAGGTAATGGATCGGTTGAAGTTCCAAACTTCAATTCCGGTAAGCCACCCTCTAATGAACCATTTTCTCGTAAAACTTCTTCAGATGTACCCCCAAGCTGCATAGCTTCATGATAACGTCTCTTTATGTCTTCTTTATCATCTGTAACCACCTTGACAGCAATGTCACAAGGGTAAATTTTCTTTTGAAGAGATTTCAAAACAAAACCATAGATGAATCTTGTTCCTCCCATCCATCGCAAATGTTCTGTTCCCAGATCAAATTCGGCCACAATACCAAGGGCTTGGGAGAGGAACGATAAATGTCTTTCTTCGCCCTGCGTGACTGAAATTAAGTCTAATGGCGTACGAATACCTTTGACTATAGAAAGAGCTGCAATACTGGCAGATCTAATATTACCATGAAGACTGCAATGTAACCCATTTCCCGACCCACAAGGAATATGCGCAATAGCCATTTTCGAAAGAGCTCTCTTTGCATCTTTACGTTTTCCAAGACCATTGAAAACCTCGAATGGAAGTCCATCTCCAGAACAACAAATTATCACATCGTAAGCTTCAATATCAAGCTTTTCCACAATATCTATGGCTTCCTTTGTGGCTTTGGTTACTGTCACATCAATTATTAGATGGGCAGCATCAAGAATTGGCGCAACATCTTTTGCATAAATCTTCTCCGATTGCCCTTTTCCACTCTTTGGATTAATCAATACTTTAACTCGTTTCTGTTGTTGGGATTGACCATATGCTCGATCCTTAAGGCTAGAAATCCATGCTTCCACTCGATCTCGTTCCTCTTCGATAACATACTTCAGTACTGCTGGTTGAAGAATAGTTTTTGAAAGCTCCTTTGCGTAATTTATGATGAGTTCTTTCTCAATCAACTCTGCCCAAAGAATATGACGTAAAGGTATTGCACGTGAAGTTGAAGAGCCCACAGGATCCGAAGAGGCGGATGCATCTAGTGTCATAGAACGACGAGGACCTGCTCCTATGACTCTTTAGTATACACATTATACATGAAAGAGGCTTACATACCTTTGATAAATAAGGACTCAGAACTTAAGGTCAATGATACATCTTTACTGACAAATAGTGTATTGCCAATGTCGGAATGCCCAGCGCTAACACTTGCACCACTTTGACCTGATGGTGGAATCGAGCTAGATGGCGTAGGAGATGTCGCCATCTCCGATTCTGATCAGTGAAAACAATTATCGATAAATAATGAAACTGGCTATAGATGAACGTGATACCGAGGTTCCGAGATTATCCGGAGTCAAATTGTCCAATGATAGAGGAACGAGCTGGATGGTTGATTACCTTTGTCTCAAGAAATCACAAATTACGCTTCTATAAAACGTAAAGGAAGAACAGAAATCAATCAACTTGAGGTCTAAATAATTTCACAAACTGATATAATGAGATGAAAACCAAACGATGTTGGTGTGACGCGCGACCTTCCTCATCTGGTGAACGAGGTTGAGATTGTGATTTGCACAGACGCCGTGTAACCCTTGTTCATTAGCAGGGATAAGAAATGTCATCAATTTTTGTGATTGTTCTCCGTCGACCCAACGACGAGGTTTAGAAGGATGAAGTTTTTGATACCGATGATGGTGGTTGGTAGTGAATACAGGAGAATCCAATAACCTTCCTACCTATTCTGTCCTGTCCGTTCGACAATTGGTCGAAGGCACACTCCCTTGACATCACTTAAGAATGGTTCCTGCGACACTGATATCCGTAGCAAAAAAATAGTCATATATCGATCATCGATGCATCCATCTCAGGACCAAAGTATGGCAAAGATATATCAGACCACCGCGACAGATCTGTTCGCCGCGCGAAATAGTAAAATATGAGTTTGGTTTTGAAGGTGTTGTATGTCATTCACGTGACTTTATAGTCCGTGCATTGGAATAGTCTCTAATCACGGGGTTCTGATGAGGAACATCAACACCGGTGATCTGACATTCGATACTTCTGTCCATGAAGCTCATAAAGTCTTTCCCGGCCAACAATAGCTCAACGAAGCTAGGCATTTTGATTCATTGGCTCAGAAAGAACAGGAGAGAGTCTTCATGGGATGGTTTCGAACGCTATTGAAAGAAGAGCTAGAACAAATAGCATGCCAACTTGTGGGAAAAAATAGGCTTGGAAATGGACTCACTGTGGTCCGATGGAAGACTGGAGGGTATAACGTGACTTTTCGTGTCAATTATGATGATGGCTTCCAGGCCATTATTCGTTTCGCTGCCCTTGGTCAATCCCTTTATCGTACCGAGAACGTTGAAAACGAGGCCATTGTTCTTCAATATCTCCGTAAGAACACGAATATTCCTGTTCCCCGTTTATTAGGGGTTGGAAAAATTGCTCTCGCACCCTACATCATTGAAGAATTTGTGGAGGGGAGAACTTGCTTCTGGTCCTTTCATGGAATCCAGAATAGAGCGACAAAATCTGGATTCCAATGTTAGTGAGCAGAAACTGAAAATTCTCTATAGCGAAATGGCCGGCATTGTGCTTGAGATGTCGAAACCAGAGTTCACGCATATTGGCTCTCTGGTTCAAACCGAAAATGGATATGCTATTGGCAGACGTCCACTCACAAAATATGTGAACGAGCTGGCAATGAAGGCTAATCTCGCGCCACAACACTTCCCTACCTCAAACTCAATTTACACGACGTCTGTTGGCTACTTTGGGTCCTTGGTTGAACAACACATGGCTCAACTTCGCAACCAACGAAACGATTGCGTGAAAGACGAAGATGACTGCAAGAAAAAATATATAGCTCGTTGCCTCATGCTTAGGATTTCTCATTATATTGCTATGAAATACTCTACAGGCCCATTTCGATTGTTTTGTGAGGATTTCCGACCATCAAATATCATTGCCAACACAGAACCATTTCACATCAATGCAGTTATTGATCTCGAGTTCACATATGCTGCCCCTGCAGCCTTCACGTATTCAGCACCTTGGTGGCTTTTGTTACAAAATCCAGAGGAATGGGAGCTTGATCTAAAGGGTACCTTCTTGCCTAGGTACAAACCACGACTTCGTCTTTTTCTTGAGGCTTTGCGGGAAGTCGAAGAAGAACAGATCAAGAGTGAAAAGCTTCTCGAGGATCAAAGGCTCTCGGGACACATGGAAAAATCAATGGAAAATGGAGTATTCTGGTTTTGTCTTGCAATAAAGAACAGTCAAATGTTTGACGACGTTTATTGGACCTTCCTCGATGAAATGTTTTTTGGGCCTTTAGATAAGCTTGAAGATCGAATTCAATTCCTCAGTGAGGATGAAAAGAATGAGCTTCAAACTTTATATGAGATCAAACAAAAGCAAGCAAATGATGGAATTCTAGATGATGTCTATGATGCAGGAGATCAATTGGACTATTAGAGTTCATCCAACGGGCCTGGTAAGCTTTAATTCTTATTTTGCAAGAGCCTCATGTTTCTTTCTTCAACTATAATTTCAATATTTAAAGTATATTAAATCCTTACGGAGCATGGCAGCCACAAGGTTAGCCTCAACTTCAGCAGCGAAACTGCATTATTTTACTTACACTACGATATCGAGAGATAATAGTACTTTCTCAAGATATCTTCTATATCAAAGAGAAAGCGGGCGCTGTCAATATGATGGAAATGTTCCGGTGATCATAAGAGTTTGTGGCGGTAACAAAAAATAATTATATCAAGATGTGACCCAGCATTCAATGTATAAGTAGTAAATTGGTAATTAAAGTTTGAAGCAATTATATTGATAAATGAAAATGATAGTTTTTGATGTAAAAAGGTGGTCTGAAAATAGGGTATTAAACTTATATATTCATCGCTTTTTTCATCGCCTTTTGGTCCTGTCGGGAATAACCGCGCTAGGCTAGGGGAATATTTTCCAAAAGTCGCGAGCTTCCCTCTTCAATATCACACTCACATCCAAGTCACGATTCAAATACTCACAACACACAATTTGATTCACCATGGATGACGAGGAATCACAGTGGTGTCGACGCCATGACGATGACGACGATGACGAACAAAGACGACAAGAAATAGAGGACGATGGTGATGAGATACGAGAGCGTCGAAAACTCATTGATACCATCGAAGGTAGAATTTCCGCTGACCACATGGTCAATACAACTATCGTCAATGAAATCCGAAGCGTTAAGAAACAACATGAGAACAATCTCAGGGAAATTGATGCATCTTACAAGAAGTATATCCAATCACGAAAAAACACTGAAGCTGTTCAAAGAGATGTTCTATCTTTGAACGCTGATATGGATGTGGAAGACAAGATTGCTTTAAATATACGCGACGACCCAAAGGGCTTTGCAACTCAATTACTTTCAACAGCTGAGATTTTACCTCCTCCTCCCGCGTTAGTTGAGCAAGCCTTAGTTATTCTCGAAGCAGCTAATATTGACATATCTGAGCTTAATAGGTCTATTCGGGAACTTGCAACGAGCTGATTTCTTGAGAACGAAAAGAGCAACAGTTACAAATGGAAGGCGAAATACGAACAATTAAGGGATCATCAGCAGGTAGTTCGACCTCAACCTCAACTTCGACCAATTCAGGATTTTTCGACACTCAATTCAGAGCTCAGGCAGCAATTAACTGCAGCCAATGACCTATTGGCAGCTGCCAACTCGAGAGTTACGGAGCTTCGAAGAAGCAAAATCACGAACGAGAATGAGCTTCAAACGAAAATCAACGGACTTGAAAAGATCAAAGGCAACCAGATATCAAGGATCGCCTATCTTGAAGGTCAGATCGAAACCCATTCATCTACTATCGATTCCAATAATTCGGAGATCCAGCGACTTAATGACAAAGTTAGCTCCCTTACCAGTGAATTAACAGCAAAACAGAAGGCTCATAAAAGAACTAAACAACTTTTGGGAGAAATGAAATGAAAGAAAGACGAATATGCAAAGGCTAATAGAGAATCAATCGATAAATTCAAAACTCTTCAGTCAAGACACGAAACTCTTCAAGGAAAACCTCAAACAGTTGGCAAGGGAAAATACTTCGTTGAAAAGAATAGCCAAGAAAAGTTCGACGGATATCCAGCACATCAAAACTCTCAGTAACAATAAGGATAAGGAAATTCGTCTCCTCAACACCGAGAAATTAGATTTATGCAGAGACATCGCCGAAAATTCTGATTCTCATATCAAAGAAATATCCCCATCTGCCAAATCCCGCGAAAAGGAAATTTCTGACTTGAAAATCGAAATGTCCAAATCTTGGAAGAAAGAACTTTCTGCCTTACGAGAGAAAGAATCGAAATCTCGACAAGAGGCAATTAAATCTTCAAAGGCTGCATAGAACAAAAATCAACATACGGAAATTCTCAAATAGAAAACCGAAATATCCGAAGCCTATCAGAAGGAGATAAATGAAATTAATCGATCAAACAATCTTCGACTTGAAGATGTTAGAACTTCCGGACGATTGATTATTACTTCCTTGATTGTTGTATCCCCATCCAGGTCTAACCATAGGAAGCTAGTCAATCTGGTCAATCTTCTCCTGACATCCAACATTCCGATGGCTTCTCCTCTTATTATTTCAGCTGCTCCCAAATATTATCACATCGTCCGTGATGAGCTAACGGTATTGGGACTTGATGTGTTCTTCAATTCGAGTTCAATGCTATACCTCACATTACGACTATATGTTTTGATATGCGAGAAATCCTACGACCACCCAACCTCCATTCAACTTGTCTCTTATCTAGTGAATCGACTCTCTACATGTCGTGATGGCATTGTTCTAAAAGTTCTAATTGGTTGCATCAAAGAGCTACATGGACATCTCATCAATGCCAAGTGTCCTATATCATCATTCTTTATGGCATCATTCTCTCGCCTTTTGAAGATTGCATGTATTTGGGTTCCGGATATATGGAGTCAACTTGGAAGCTCGCGTCAAAATGTACTCGATTCTATCCAAATGAAAGCTACACAACTCGATGATTTGATTGGAAATTTGATATCTTTACAAGATGATCAAGGTTCAATTGATTTAAGTCGAGTTGAGAACCACTTTGGGAAGTATCATGTATTGGAGCTCTCCGGGTTTACGCTTGTCTCTAGTCAACAGTCTCGTTGGATTACTTTATTCAACCATGAAGTGGACAAGAGTGGCGTATTCTGGGTCACCTTGATTGAGAAGAAATTCTGTTTGCCAGAGAAAAACTTCGACCTTGATGCGAAGGTTTGGCAATACTTCATTCAGGGACCAAATGGTTGGGAACCTTTCGAGTTCAATTTCAAAAACACTGAATCCGATTTTACCATTGATGAAATTTCAAAACCTATTCGATAATGGCAAAGATTCATTTTACCCTTCCAAGTATTATTTGAAGAAATCGCAAATCGCTTTTCTGTTGATATTGAGGATAGTTGGGTGATGTGATTTCTTGTCTAAAGTTTTTTCTTTTTTTTTTGTACTCAAATATCTTTTTAGATATCGATACTTTTCTAAATATCAAATATCTAAGTAGATATTCAACGATTTTATAATCGTCAAACATCTTTTAGATATCAAATACTTTTCTAAGTATCAAATATCTGAGTAGATATTCAACGATTTTATAATCGTTAAACATCTTTCAGATATCAAATGCTTTTTTAGGTATCAAATCTCTCAATAGATATCAAATGGCTTTTTTGATCATCAAATGACTTTCCAATTATAAAACATCTTTTTAGATATCGAATACTTTTCTAGGTATCAAATATTTTAGTAATATTCAACGGTATAATCGTCAAACATCTTTGTAGATATCAAATATCTGTTTAGATATCCAATTACACTCTTAAGGTATTTAACATTTTAGTAAATGTCAAACAACTTTGTAATTGTCATAAGTATTTCTGTGGATACTTGGTTTAGATACCATTTAATGTATAATAGCAATAGCATAAAAGTCCTTGATAAGACAACGTCGGCAAACAACAGAATCAGCAATTTAGGTGATGCAGGAAGTGATGACTGTGATGGGTAATATTTGTGATGATTCATGTTAAATGTGGGTATAAGAGACAAATTCAATGATGGGCAAACTCCGGAAAATGCTGAAAAGAAAGATCGTGCCACAACTAATAATCAAGGGACGATTTAACTACTGATTGTATTTTTGAGTTTAGCTATGAGAAGAAGAGTCTACTTTGCATATCCTGTATGCCATCCTTCTCATAATTTTTTATTAGGTGCTGATACTTTCAACAGGTTCGATGAGATTGTGTGGAGAGTCAATGACTGAAATGACTGGCTGTTTCTCTCCGGTACTCTCTCCAGTCGTGAAGACATACGATGGTGACAACAACCAGTTTAATAAATCCGCAATTTAAAGGAGACAGCTTTGTGGATGACTGATATAAGGGATATTTGGGGAATGGTGGATTGATGGGAATGGTGGATTGATGGGAATGGTGGATTGATGGGAATGGTGGATTGATGGGATGGGTTCCATGAATAGTGTTTGGCATATGATGATGCATGCTAGTGCCTTGCCCATGAAAAGGATCTTGTGTATAACTTGATGAATTTTGAGGACGGTAGACAGTGATATTCAGCTGTGTCGATGAAGGCAACTACGTATACTATACGCATAGAACCTGGTTGAAGCTTGAAGGGGAAGGGGACGGGGAGAATTTGTACATTACCACAAAAGTAATTGCTCTCGCATTCCTGTCTTCATAAATGAATGCGTAACTAAGGACAATGGTATAATAGTTGGTTGGACAAAATGATGATATTTAATGTGGATGGCAATTGAGGAAAAGAATGAGTGTGTTGTGAGGTGAAGTTAGAGTGATGAACTTAAGCTATTTTAAGGTTAGTGAGAAAATACATTCTAGCCTAAGGTACAACTGCGCAGTAATGTTTCTCACGATTATGTCAGCAACATTTATCACACTCACTCCTAGGCTTGTCCTTTAAACTCTTTTTAGGGTTTTTAGCCTTTTCTAAGACTCATATTAATGTCTAGTCTAGCGGGTGCCTGACTCTCGAGGCTACTGCCAGGTGAATTTTAATGTCTCCGCCAGGAGAGTTACTCGATGTAAATTTAAAATGATTTTCAATCTTCTTTTTAGTATTAATTTATTTATAATCATTGTATAATTATAAATTATATATAAAATTAAACTCTATTGATTCTTTACAAAATGAGATATTTTTTATAATTTTTAATAAATCATTTTTTGAGATATATATATTTCAATATAATGGTTTGATAATACAAATTTGAAAAATATTATATATATATTTTTTTTTAAATAATATTGATTTTTATAATAATTTTAATAAAAGAAATTGATTTTATTGAAAGAAATTATTCAAAATATTATTATATAAAATTTAAAATACTTAAATTATATCATTATTATTATTAAAAATAAAATATTGATAAAGTTTTATTTTATCAAATATTTTTAAATATTTTTAATCTTTGATAAAATTCTTTGAAATTTTATAAATGAAAAATGAAATATGTAATATATCTATATTTAAAAGTTGAGATTCAAAGTATAAAAATTCAAAGATATATAAATATATTATATTATATAATAATAAAGATTTAAATAATGTTTTTGAAATTTCAGATTTTTTATTTTATCAGATTAAGTTTGTTTTATTTATAAAAATTTTCAGATTATTTTTAATTATTCTTTTCAAAAAGTTATCTTATTTATTAATTATATAATTTATCATTTAAAACTTATTTAGAATATGACCGACTAGATTTTTTGACAGACTTTGCTTATATCATCCAATCAAAGAACGTAAAAACTCTGAAAGAAGGTCGATGTGAAAACTTAGACTAATTAATGTCATCATTCTGTCACACTTTAATTACTTTTGTTCATACTATTGTGAATTTCTTCTATCATCCCCTGTATCAGAGCTTCCTTGTGTAATCTTTCTTGAAGGAAATGCAGCGACATTCCACTCAAAAAGTTCTTAGATTCCTATTTAACAGAATGATAAATACATAATCAAACTTCATACACCTTTAAAAAGGACTAGAAAAATATCATAAATAATTCATATACCATTTCATTTCATTCATTCCATGCTCAGTCTAAATACATTTCGCATATCGCCAATTTTTAGGCATGAATCCTGACCTATCAATAAAAAAATATATCCAATTTATGCTTGGTAAGTAGAAGCAGAAACATTTCCACCACGTCCAGTCCAGTTAACGTGAATATCCTTTCCTTCTGGGTATTTCTCAGATGCGTGCTCTGGCTTGATCTTGAAGGTGTGAGCACCAAAGTAATCTCTTTGAGCTTGGAGAAGGTTGGCTGGGAGATCCTTGGTACGGTAACCATCGAACCAAGACAAAGCAGTGCTGAAAGCTGGAGTTGGGATACCCATAAGAGCAGCCTTGGAAACAACATCTCTCCATCCTGGTTGAGCCTTGTGAATAGCCTTGTTGAAGAAATCACTGAACAACAAGTTCTCCAAGTTATCATCAGCACGGTAAGCAGCTGTGATATCCTTGAGGAAAACGGATCTAATAATGCATCCACCTCTCCACATCAAAGCAATGGATGGCTTGTTAAGCTTCCATTTGAATTCCTTAGCAGCCTAAAATATTATTAGTGTGAATATTAAAACGAACTAGGGTCAGATCGTACCTCTTGCATAAGCATGAAACCTTGTGCGTATGAAATAATCTTTGATGCATACAAAGCTTGCTCCAAATCTCCAAGGAATTGTTTCTTGTCACCCTCGAATTTGTTTGATCGTCCAACGTAAGAGAGGACCTTGGAAGCACGAGTACGTTCCTCCTTGAGGGATGAAAGACAACGGGAAAGGACGGATTCGGCGATCAAAGTGACTGGCATACCGAGATCAAGAGCGTTAATAGCAGTCCACTTTCCGGTACCCTTTTGTCCAGCGGAATCCATAATCTTCTCGAGAAGTGGGGTTCCGTCATCATCATTGAAGTACATGATATCGCGGGTAATTTCGATCAAGAATGAATCAAGAACACCCTTATTCCATTCAGCGAAAACATCCCCAATTTCCTTGTCTTGCATACCAAGACCACGCTTCATAATATCATAAGCCTATAAAAGTTAGTAAAGAACCTTTGAAGATAATTGAAGTTACATACTTCACAAATGAGTTGCATGTCACCGTACTCAATACCGTTGTGAACCATCTTGACGTAGTGACCAGCACCCTCATCACCAACCCATTCACAGCATGCCTCACCATCAGATTTGGCAGCAATGCTTTGGAAAACATCCTTAATGTATGGCCATGCCTCTTCGTTTCCACCAGGCATCAAAGATGGACCATATCTGGCACCCTCTTCACCACCGGAAACACCACTACCAACGAAACGGATACCCTTGCTAGCCAAGTATTTTGTTCTACGGTTGGTATCAGGGAAATGTGAGTTACCACCATCAATGATGATATCACCTTCCTCGATATGTGGGAGAATGGTCTCGATAAAGTCGTCGACTGGCTTACCAGCCATGACCAAAAGCATAATACGACGGGGTTTCTTCAACTTGGCACAGAACTCTTCAATCGAGTGTGCACCCTCGATGGATTTTCCTATGGATTATCATCAAAGTTAGGTTTTTCATTCTCATCGTCTGCCAAAAAGAAAAATGAAGGGTTATCCATACCTTTAGCCTCATTCTCGAGGAAACGATCAACCTTTGATGTAGTACGGTTGAAAGCAATAACGTTGAAACCATGATCAGCAGCGTTAAGGATAATGTTTTGACCCATGACAGCCAAGCCGATGAGGCCGAAATCTCCTCTATTTTCATGATTAGTATATATGAAGTTATACTTATTGTGTTGTTGATTGCTAAGAAAGAAGGGCTGTCGATGGCGGGGTATTCATTCTGCTGTAACAGGATGGAGGGGAATAGCTCTTTTGAAGAATGCATATGAGGATTATGAAGTATACTTACGTTGGTTCAGACATCTTTAGATGATTTCGTAAATGAATCAAACGTTGATTAAATTTATCCTGATGATTTTCAATGATTGTTGATGTCAAAGGTTGAGAAAGGGAATTTGTTGTTCGGAAGAAAATGGAGAGTGAAGGAAGACTAATTAAGGCGGGAAAGATGGGTTTGATTTAATAGAGTGAGTGAGTGATGAAAGATGGTTGGGTCTTCTTCAAAACACAATTTAAAGGAGGGGCAAAGCTTTTTATTTTAGTAATTATTAACTTACTTCCATAATATTCGTACTCGCCCCTCGTTCTAAGAAGGAAGCTTACTCTACTCTGCTTTACCTTGATAGTAGACCAACCTAGTCCTCCGCGAAAGTTAGTCGTATCAAGAATTCCCCCTGATGTCCAAAGAAATGGAAGGCCGATGAGCTGTTTTCGGAAAGAAGTTTGGGAATTTGCTCGAATATAGAGAAAATATTATGATGTAGTAGAAAATGATTGAAAATGATTGGGTTCTTTCTTCATAGAAATATTTAATCACTAACTCGTTTTAGTCACTTTTAGTTAAATTCTATTAATTATTTTAATTATTTTAATTATTTTAATTATTTTAATTATTGATATTCATTGGTCAAATGTATTACCCCTCCTTACTAACTCGTCCCTCCTTAATATCTTCGGTGAAGCTGTATTGAGAATGAAAGGTATTCCGGTCAGTGAAAATATGGCTTTGCCTGTCTTACTGTCATGTCAACTACGTACGACTTCACTCTTCGGTGACGCTTTATGATTATTCATCTAATAAATTAAGCTTGATAATTGGTAAAATGGGTTCCCCTCGATAGATTCTATACTAATCAGATTCTATTTTGCTATTTTGCTATTTTGCTATTTTGCTTGCTTTCCCCCACTTTATCTCTTTATTTCTATTTTTTGTCATTTTCTCCCGAATGTATTCTGTATCACACTCTCATCAGCAAAATTCATCTCGGTCAACCAACTCTTCCAACTCAGGTCCACGTTTATAGAACTTCTAGACTTCTAGATGATTCCTTTTCCCTCTCAATAACTTTAAATTCCCATCCCAGTGGCATCCACCAACAAGACCCAACAAGTTTATGACATCGAGCCAAGTCGTTTGATATTTACCCCACCAAGCCAAAACTAATGGGAAATCCAAGTTTCCGATCGGCCCGAAGCACTTCAATCCCATCATCCAAACTATACATTGAAAACCCTATTAACTCAGGCACTCAGGCACTCATAGCTAAGCTTGGATCACCTAAAGTTATCACTACTCAGTGATCACATGACATGGAATTATTCGAGAATTCCTTCATCACAGCCTCATCTTGAAGAACAACGTCAATCATAAAATTGTCAAATCGTAAATCTTCCACCACGATCGCATCAATAAAACGCGACACGTTTCTTTCTACCTAACGAGAAATCAAGAGACCCATCAAAAGGGATCGCAACGATCACGACAAAAGTTCCATTAGAATTCGTAATTTTCTGTTTAGGTTTTGGTATAACCAGTGCGTTTTGAAAGCGCAAAGGTACGTCTAAACACTTATCAAGAGATATATACGTACAGCAATTCATCATGTCCTATCCGCCACCACCAGGTCTTAAATCTACTCCTTCGCCCCATCCTTCCTTACCCGCTCGACCACCTCCATCCGCGAATCCACAAACAGGTTTCAAACCTGCCTTTAGCAACAATGGTGCCTCGAGACCCCCTGCACCTGGAGGATATGGTGGCTTTACTGGGTTCGCTCCTAGATCCGTAGCTGCTCCGGCACAACCAAGTTATCAAGCTTATCAACAACCTTCCGCTGCTTACCCGCAAGCTCAACCATACAATCCATATTCCAATGCACCACAACAAGAAGCTGCATATGGAGCCGCACCCCAAATTCGAAATCCTTTTGCGCCACCGACAGCCGCTGCAGGACGTGGTATAGGTGGATATGATGAAGATCCAGAGATGGCAGCACAAATAGCACAATGGCAAAGCGCATATGCTGGAAAGGATGCAAATACGACTTCTACCTCTAATAGTGGATATACTGGGGCTGTTCGAAAATATCCAACAACTGGAGAAGGTCTCACATCAGCATCAAATGCAAATGCGACACCATTAGGTAGAACCGAGGCTGGACCAAATATGACTTCACAAGCAATTACGAATGCTGCTCACAATGATACTGGCGTTGCATCAATTGTATCAGATTCCAAGACCAATCAAAAGACAGTTGTACGAACAGGTGGTGGTACACAATGGACAGATTCCTCTCTTCTTGAATGGGATCCTTCTCATTTTCGCCTTTTCGTTGGTAATCTTGCTGGTGAAGTTACTGATGAATCATTACACAAGGCATTTTCACGTTGGTCATCTTTACAGAAAGCAAGAGTTATTCGAGATAAACGTACTACGAAAAGTAAAGGTTATGGATTTGTTAGTTTTAGTGATGGAGATGATTTCTTTCAAGCTGCTAGGGATATGCAAGGCAAATATATTGGAAGTCATCCTGTTCTTTTAAGAAGAAGTACTACTGAGATCAAGGCTGTTACACCAAAGGATAACAAACATGGAAAGAATAATAAGAATAAGGGTAAAGGTGGTAATAGGCATGATGGAGGACAAAGCAATAGAGATAAGACTGGAGCTGGTGTACAGAAGGCAGGAAGTAAAACCAAGGGTGGCTTGAAGGTTTTAGGATAGTGGTAATAGCAAGATTTGATATCAGGTTTTCAGAGGTTATGGGAAGAAAGGACGGGGGAGGGATTAGAAATGTTGAAGATTGTCGGCGCATATCAGAAACATTTATCGAGGTCTTGTTCTGAATTTATTGATGATAAACTTTGGTTCCGGCTGGCCAATGAGGTACATCTCTACGATAATATGGATGACTTGAATTTTACCTAGAGCTTCTATTCTTTACTTGATAGAGAAGTATAATAATAGGTTATTTATAATACCTAGAGATATATTCCAATCAAAATGTTCAAAGTTAGATGATTGGTTTGACCGTGATTATCGGCTCCTGTGTAGAGGAAAGGGGTCTAAGAATGCAATGCGAGTTGTTGGTTAGTCAGCCATTGTGACATTTAGCCATAATCAAAGCTTCATCCACCATACAGCAACCATATATTCAATCCGCTCCTCACCACCTGCATCTTCTTGTCAATATTGATAAACAGACCTTTCAGAATACAATTATCCCAAGAAATATTACTGGCTCGCATGGAATTCTCAAGGAAAGTTAGAAACCTATCGCTTACCACCTTGACTCGTGTTTCAGGCAAAAGGCCAAAGAGTTTTGGTGGATTAAAGTATCAAATCTTCATGTGATTCCGAGATGTAGGGTATTTGAAGTGATGGTTTTGATGGCTCGGGTTCAAGTCGATGAGTTTGGATAAAACATTCACTGGATTAGATTGTTTCTGAATTATCACTTAGTCCATTTTCATACCATCCAGCGATTCGGGGTTTGGATATAAGATATCCTTACATCGATTGCGTTTTCTACTCATTATTACAAACTATTTCTTTTCTACTTTTTATCTTACAATACATACATACATACTTACTTACTTACTTACTTACTTACTTACTCACTTGAACGGGGAATCGAAGCAATGGGTAAAACAGAATGGTTAACTTGTACAGCTCTTACTGCTGTCTTGGTTTATACTTTTCCACAATATTTGACCGTCGATCGAGTTTCGAGATCAGCAATTCGTTTTCTTCTACTTGATATTTCATTATTCTCTTTTTGGCGCATGTTCATATATCCTTTCTTTTTTAGTCCTCTTCGTCATCTACCAGGTCCGGTGGTAAGTTTACTTTACTTCCTATATTCATTCATTCATTAACATGTTCATAGTCTTATAACTTCCTCTGGGGTAATGGTTCTTCACAGTTCAGCAAACCACCTGGATACGAAATTCAACAGTTCGTTAAAGATGTACCGAATGATGGTTTACTACGCATTCGAACCTTTGCAAATATCGAAAGACTTATTCCTACATCTCCTAGTGTATTGAAAAGTATTCTAGCCGATAATTCATACGATTATGAAAAACCATCTGGAGTTCGCAAATTTCTCACCTTGATCTTGGGTGAAGGACCTATCATGTCAGAAGGTTCTCTTCATAAATTTCAACGCAAACATTTGTTACCCGCTTTTCAAGTCAAACATATTAGGAAACTGTATCCAGTTTTTTGGTCCAAAGCTCTTGGTCTTGTCGAGGGTATCTCCCAAGAAATTACCGAAACAAGTACGCTGGAAAAAAGAAATGAATCGCATATCGAATTCAATGAATGGGCTACTCGTGTCACATTAGATATAATTGGTGTTGCTGGAGTAGGTAGAGATTTCGGTGCTCTGAGAAACCCAGATGATCCTCTAGTGCGAGACTATAACGAACTTCTCGAACCTACCATTAGTAAGGGCCTTTACTTTGCAGCCAACATCTTTGGTCCTCAAGATCTCATTCAGAAACTTCCATTCAAATATAGCAAAGTAATTGCTGAAACAACGGGGAACCTTCGTACTTTCTGTCGCGAAGTCATCGATGAAAAACGTCAAGCAGTACGCGAAGGTAAAACAGTCGATGGAATGGATATCCTAAGTATCCTCGTCCGATCCAACGATTTCAGCGACGAAGATCTCGAAGATCAACTCCTCACATTCTTAGCAGCTGGTCATGAAACTACATCTTCAGCTCTTACATGGGCTATTTATCTGCTAGCCATTCATCCAGACTGGCAAACCAAACTCCGCCAAGAAGTTCACGCTGCAATCCCTTTACCCTCTGATCCAAATTCCACAGAACCAAATCACACTATCATCGATTCCCTCCCGATTCTAAACGCAGTTATACAAGAAACCCTCCGTCTCTATCCCACTGTGCCCCTCTCCGTCCGTACCTCCACAAGACCTACATCCATCACCCTCCCTGATTCCTCCACACTCCACATCCCCATTGGAACACGCATGCTCATCTCCCCCTTAGCCATCAATCGCTCCCCAGAACTATGGGGCCCCAAAGCAAACGAGTGGTCTCCTGAACGCTGGCTCGAAGATGGATGTGCCAATACTGGAGGCGCGGATAGTAATTTTGCTAATATGACTTTTTTTCATGGGGAGAGAAGTTGTATAGGGAAGGGCTTTGCTATTAGTGAGTTTAAGTGTTTGTTAGCGGGGGTGGTGGGCGGGTTGGAGTGGGAGATGTGGGATAAGGGGGAGGTGGTTAGGGTTGGGGGTGTGGTTACTACGAAACCTGTTGGGGGGATGAATGTTAGGATGAGGAAGGTTGAGTGGTAGGTTGGTTGGTTGGGTGGTAAAGGATATGGGAAAGAGAAGGAGAAGCGATTTCTTTTTCTTTCTTTGATTTATGAGGGGATATTATATCCGGGGCTCGGGTATATTGATTCGCAGTTATGTTAATCGATAGTTAGGATAATACAATACCGTTCTTCGGTCCTTTTCTTTCTTGAATGATATAGATAATAAGGAACTATTGGAATTATTCCTAATTCTTTAGATATAAGATTACTAACTTGTGAGGTTGATTATTGTTTTTGATAATTCATCCAGATTCCAGATTGCGGTTTGGTTTAGTCTTGGGAATGTTTTTGATCTTTTTGGTATATTGTGCTATTGTTGGACCACTTGAGTTGTGGTTTGGATTACTGGATATGTTGGGCTGAGAATGAGGGTGGAGATGAGGATAATGAGGTATTAACATGAATGAGCAAGAGCAGGAGCTGAACGCTAAACAAAAAGTGCTTTTGACTTACGAGATAAAATTAACATACTAAAAAACCATTACAACCAAGAAGGTAAGTCTTAAAAAAATAAGCGATGATACACAAGTCATTAATTCTCTAATATCTCTATATAAGGTTAGAGAAGGAGAGAAAGAAAAACGATGTTTAAGTACTAAGATGTCTAGAGTAAACTACTTGGGGTATTATATTCTCGGCATATGCGCATTAGATATATATTCATAGAAATTGCAGAAAAAAAAGGGGAAAAGGGGAGGTAATCGTAGGACTGTAAGGATTAAATAATGATGATAGGGTATATTATAATAATAATATTATAATAAAAGATAAATCTACTAAATTTTCTCTTGGGGGAATTCATCTATACTAAATTTAGGAGGAGATCGTTTAGAAATGAAATATTGAAGATAAATCCTAAGCTTGAGTATTTGGATACGTAATTTTTGTTCAGATGCGTGGAATTGAGGAGGTTTATGAGATATTTCAGGGGTAGGGTATGTGGAAATGTTTTCTTGTGCTGTTATCGTGGGATATTGGGCGGGGAGAGGTATGTGGTGCTTGCTTGGTGGGTGCTTCTGCAGCGAAAAGTAGGTTATTCTTTGGTGAGGAGTCTGCGGGGGATCTCAGGATCGGCTTTACTTGTGTATCAGAATGACATATGAGGAGTGAAGTCGATGATAGCATTTGATATGACAGTATGTGAGGCTCTCTTTAATCGGAAATTATATTTGGGTCACTTCTAAAGTACTTACATTCCTTGCTCATTGCAGCAGGTTGCAGCATGCAATGTATAGCGGGCGATACTAGCAAGTGAGTCTTTAGTGGTCATTAGACAATAAAGAAAGTTGGACCAAGAAGATTCAGCTAGGATACTTAAAGCATCACATCCCTCCTGCTAGCCATCGGTTAGATATATTTCAAGAGGGTAGGAAGCTATGTGGGTGGTATCATCGCTGGAAATTAGAGGGTTGTTGTTGAGAAGATCTATTTGGATTATCACGAAGGGCTGGAGGTAAATCCTTTTCGGGTATAAAAGGCTGATTGGGAGTAGATGATAGCTCTCGAGCGTCCACTAAATGGAGCATGAAATGTGGAAACTATGTTTCTGTATTCTCAAAGCCAATTCTCGCAAGTTGAAATAAGTGCTGCATATCTCAGTATTCTCCCATCTTACCACCTAAGATATCTTTCCGAATTTGAATATCAAAAACTCGTCCGTTACCACTAGATAACAGACACCCATCCAAACTCCCGGTTGGTCTTGAAACTATAATCCAACATCCCTTCTTTTAATCCCACCACCATCTTCATCTTCAGCGTCATGTTCATCTCCATTTCCAATCATACTCGCCTACCAAAATTCACTGTAGGAAGCACAATATCGCATTTCAGATCTAAGCGGATTTGATATTGGCCCATGTTTAGTACAGCAGATATACCGTACAAGATGAACTATCTCCAAACTTCCTTATTTCTTGAAATGGTGCTACGCTTAATTGAAGATAAATTACCTTCATCATCTTCTAAACAAAACCAAATTCCCAAATAACATAGCACAACAACAAACCATCACAACCACAACCACAACCACGATCACAACCATCATAACGACTACACTTACAACAAAACCAAATCAACAATTTCATACTAACAATTCACATTTACAACACAATGCCTTCCTTTCAACCAAAATCAAAATCAAAAGCTCCTTCATCCCCAACCAAAAAACACCATCCAATCCTAACCAAGACAAAAAGTGGTGAAATTTCAAAGAAGACGAAAAAGGCAATTCTGAACGCAAAATATCCCCCGGCGAAATCTCCCACTCAATTGCTTCGTCGTCTATCGAGCAAGAAACAAACTGCTCTACTTCGAGGAGTGCAGGGTATCGAAAAACAGAACGTGTCGGAGTTCGGTGATTCCGCTGTGCATGTATCAGAACGAATGGATGTTAAAACGACAGCTGTCGAGTTCGAGAAAGAGCTAATGGATATTGAAACGACGGCTCTTGAGCCCGAGGAAGAGCCAATGGATATTGAAACGAAACCTTCGCCTGTCAAAATTGTCAAGAAACCTGCTTCTAGGAAACCTGATTCCAAGAAGGCTATGTCTGGTGGGATTTCGAAGAAGATGAGAAAGGCATTGCTCAGCATCAAATCTGCTTCCAAAGCCCCTTCCAAAGCCCTTTGCAAAGCCCCTTCTAAACCCCCTCTGAAGTGGCCTCCTAAATCACCGTTTACATCTCCTTCCGCCTCTCCCTCTGCAACTTCCTTCACAACCTCTTTCACAACATCTCCCACACCTCTTTTCCAATCTCCTTTGAAAACCTCTCTCAGATCCCCTTCAAATCCTTCTCCTGTTCGACATTTGCATCGTCCCAATGGAAAATTTGCTCCATTGATACGAATGATACGGATGATCGGCATTCAGAATGTGCAGAAATACGGTGACCCTGACATAATGGATACTGTGAGTATATACTCTTTGCCACCTGAGCTCTTCACTGTATACTTCACCTATCTATCTTGTTTACTGATAGCATACTACTCTCATCGAGTTTATTAATATATAATAAACTAACGATCCAATCAGGATGAAGATTACGAGTGGAACTACCCTGGATTCAATGGATATCTCTTGGAAGAGTTGAATGTCAAGAAAAGGCAATTCCCAGAGATGGAATTGGATAAGGTGGCCTTGGCCGCTTATCATGCGGGAGAAGTCAATGAATATGGCATTGCTTAAGATACCATCGTCCTAGCGGTGGTTCAGAATCAGATCTTGGGAGAATCTGAATTTTGTTTATATTTCTCCCCTTGGGCTCGATTCCATAAGCAGCTGTCATAACTTCCTTGCTTTCATTTGAAAGTTTGGCACGGACAGTTGCCATTACTCGAACCCTTGATCTAACCCAAAATCATTCAAAAGCACAGGTTTTCCTTTCTTGTACCATCCAGGGAAGCTGTCACGTGTTACATTAGCGCCTTCCCAATTTCCATCACCAAATTCGCGTCTGTTAGCATTCGCGACAAGATCGATCGAGGCTTACCTTTCGATTTACCAGTTACTTTCTTGTCAAATTTTCTTCCACTTTACGGCAACCTCAAGCTTTTCTTTTTGCGATTTTAATCATTACATTCACGATGCAGGTAATGCAAGATCCCTCTCAAGGGATTCATCGCGACTTGGTACGTTTTACAGCTTCTTCCAGCTTCAATTATCAAACAATATTCTAATTTGATCGTGCAGTTACATCACGTTCATCTTCTCTCTACTTATCGATTTCCAAATACACCCTCACAATTACATCCGGAAAGAGTAGCAGAATGGCTTTTAAATGCACCAAAAATTACTCGCGATCAGGCTCCTGTTTATTGGACTTACCTTGATCGACCTGTTGATGGTACCGTCTTATTATCATGGCAAACACCTACATTGGGTCATGAATTTCCAAGTGATGGTTATATTTGGGCCCCTGGAGAGACGGCTTTCTCTATGGAAGTCATGGGATGCGTGAGTTTAGCATCAATATGATTTATAAAGACTTCTACTGACTCTACTTATTTTCGCAGACTCTAGAAATTTATCAATGCAAAATTGGTTATGCTACTGGTGAATCTATTGCATCTCACAGTCGTCGCCGATATCGAATTTTACCACCTCGAATTCCAAATCAAAACCCTTTACCTGATCCAAACCTCTGGATTATTCATTACATTCAAGCTCCTCCCGAAGACCGTCTTCCCTCTCACATCATCCCAATCAATCAACAAATTCAAACCATTATGAGCACAAGACAATATTTGCATCAACAAGGTCAACTTATTCACAAGGAATTTTTACTTCATGATAGAGCAAATTGGGCAAAAATTGATTTTCCTCGTGGTCATCCAAGAGGCGCACCAATGTATGCAGCGAGCATTCCACCAAGAGTTCCTCAATCAATGGCATATCCAGCTCATCCTCAACCTGGCCCACCCCCAAAACGTGCTCGAACAGCTGTTGCTCAAGCCGCAGCCGCAAATAATACCACTGTTGTTGTTGTTGAAGAAGATGAGGAAGAAAATTCTCGAGGAGATTGGTTCGACCTTACAACACCTCGCGAAATCAGTTACAGCAGATTTCTTACAAATTACGATTGGATGGAGGAAGTTCTATCTTCACCTTATGCCATTCATCAAATCGTTCCCACAGACCTTGGACTTGGTGTTCGTGGTGAATTAAGCAGTCTCACTGAAGGTATATTTAATGCTCCTCTGAAAGAAAACGAAGAACCAACACCAGCACTCAACTATGTTGGCCGTCTTGATCCAGGCAAGGCAGACGAATTTCGCAAAAGAGCTCACGATACTATTGCACAAACTAATAAGGATATCGAAAAGATAAAAGCTAAACATGCAAAACGTCTTGCGAAATTTCAAAGAGGATCTCTTATTTCTCAAGCCGAGAAAGAATTACGTACAGCTGTTGATGATCCTTCAGATGTTGGTCCTGAATATTGGAGACTTGAAGGAAAAATCGATGAAGAAGAAAATGAAGAAGCCGAAACTCCTATTAAAGTTCCTTCCAAGGTTGATGATGTTCTCGCAAAGGTTGAAGCTTCTCTTGGTCGTCATGCAGTTGCAATTAGTGAACTACGTCGTATTCAAGATGGCGGATATGAAGAAGTTGCTGCACAAGCAAGTCCTCAACCTTCTCGACCTTCTCGAAATGGTTCTCAGCAAAGTGGTGTTCTTATCAATGAGTCAGATGTTGCTGATGTTGATATGACCAATTCTACTGCTGGTTTACTCGATCAATTTCACAATAGCAATCCATCTTCCTCTCACGCCACACCAATGAGTGCGAATTATCCAACTCCTGGTCATTTACAACATCCATCTGCAGCAACCACACCAGCAGGAGCTCTACATATGGCATCTCCACATCTTTCTCAAACTATGGGAACACCGCAAGCTGCTCAACATCAATCTTCACCGCAACAAGAACAACAAGATGTACATATGCAAGATTTGATTTCCACAGCAGAAACCCATCAATCTATGACTGCAACTACCCAACCTACTGGTGATACTTCAGATTGGGTTGTTATACCACCAGGAGGTGTCTCACCTACAGCAGATCCTTCAAATCCAAACACAGACAATAATACACCAAATCCTCAATCTCATGATCAACAATCAGCACTACCAGATTATCTTAAGACTTCTTCCAATAACAATACACCAGAACAAACCACAAATTCTACCTCTTTACCTGAACCACAAGTTGAACATTCACAAGAACATGAAGAACAAGAACAAGAACAAGAACATCATACTGAACTTAATGAAAATGATTTCGATCTTGAAGATTTAGATACAGCTGGTGACGCTTTAGCTTCATATGATGCTGGTGATAATATGGAAGATGATGGTCATGGTTTGGGTGATTTGGTCGATGATAGTGCTTTTGGTGAAGCCTTTCATGGGATTGATCATGATCATGGTGATACAGATGGAGATAATCAAGGAATGTAATAGAAGGAAAGTTTATGATGGATTATGATATCGGCACCGAATTTATGGATGATGGAGTGTTTTTCTGGGGAACACTTTAACGATGATGGGCTTCGCTGGAACATAACTAACAAGTAACTGGGCTTCGCTGGAACATAATTAACTAACTTTGGTTTCTACCAACTTTTTATTTCTTTAATTGAAAACACTCCTACTTTGTGAGTGGGGAACTTCCTCCTTGGTTTATCCTTGGGGCATGTAAGAACCTTGATATTGATGGTAATGATAGTTTTGGGATTTTGAGATGGGATTAGTCTATGGTCTGGTGATCTGGGTATCGGAGGATATGTTCTAGGGGTATTAGGAGCTCTTCATTGATATAGATTGGGTCGAATCTAGCTGAAGTGGTCTTTTACTGATGTTTGATGGATGTGGTGGTTTATTGGTTGGCGGTTGGATGGTTCTAAAAATCATAATGGTTCTTTGTGGTATGGATCGGACTGAGGGGCGGAATTTACTGATGGATGGATGGGTTGATTCCTATTGAGCAAAGACTCATGTGTGGATTGTTAGATTAGATTATTTGCTTTTTTCTCATGTCATGCTTATATGCTTCTACTATAAGTTGTATGAATAGAAACTATTACAAAATCTTACCTTTTCATGTTTTACCTTACCTTTCGCTGACGGTTGTGGCGTGTGAGAATAGCGACAAGTCCTAAATATCTAGTAGCAAAATTATCTCGAAATAGAAACCAAGCTCTTGAAAGCAAATGTGGAGGGACAATTCCAATCACATGCAGTGCCCCTCCAAAACGCGGGGCACATTTTCCACAAACACAACATGAAGCAAAAAAGTTGGCAGCGGATCACTTCAATGCCATCTTTATTTTCTTTTTCAAAATGACTCAAGTCCCAGAGACACTCCTTTAAATCATTCAATCCTTCTCCAAAAGTCCCCTATTTCAAAATAGGAGACAAAGCAAATACCACCATGGCAGATCCATCCGTCATAACCATCGATAACATCTCCAGCAGAATGCCTCCTCATAATGCAGACAGTGCCGAAAAATCTACAGATCATTTATACGCTCTAGTTGACATGGGAAGGCATGATATATCCTCATCAACAAATATGTCATAATAGAAAACTCCCAACTAATTATAATCCACAGCAATGGTATTCGATTTTCCATCTCGGATCTTTCTCCTCCTACCGCCCGCCTCCTTCCTTGCATCTATCGTGATCGCGCTCCCATCTCCCTCTACGATGCTCTCCATTCTTCTCTTCCCGGCTCTCGAGAATTCATCTTCGATTCAGATACCATTGCGCAAGTTGCGAAACGTCTTGCGGCCTTTAAATATACTTGTGATTCCTATGGAGTGCTTTCGAGAAATATTGGCGTCTTCGCTACGGAGGCTATGCGCACGGCGCTTAATAGGAAAGAGATGACGGATGCGATTAAGAGGGAGAGTGGGCTAGAAGTTGATATTTTGAGTCCGCAGGTGGAGAGTTTGTTGGGGGCTATGGGGGCGAGGAGTGGTTTTGTGGGTGTGCGGGGTTTGATGATGGATTTGGGGGGTGGGAGTGTTCAGATGACTTTTATGGATAGTGGTGCTTCTGTATCTTCTGCATCTTCTGTTGAAGTGTTGGAAGCATCTACGGGCGTGGAAACTTATTGGGGGAAGAGTGCAGCGTTTGCGAAGAGTATGCCGTTTGGGGCTGCGAAAATGACGGCGATGTTGGGGAAGGGTGATATTCATGATATTCGGAGTGATATGCGAACACGATTTCAAGAGACATTCCAGGGATTATGTGGAAGTTTTTCAAAACTGCAGGAGCAGGAGGAGACTGAGGGCGTGACGATATATCTCTGCGGTGGAGGTTTTAGGGGTTATGGAAGTATGTTGATGCATACTGATCCCATAAATCCCTATCCTATCCCGTCCGTCGCCGGCTACAAAGTATCCGGAAAGCGATTCAAGCAAACGAAAGAAATGCTCCGCGTGAACGAAGTCGAGAAGGAAAAAATTCACGGCATGAGTAAGCGACGACGAGAACAATTTCCCGCCATCGTAGAAGTGGTCGAGGGGATCATTTCCGTCGTGCCAAATATCAAAGAAGTAATTTTCTGCGGCGGAGGAAATAGAGAAGGAGTCCTCTTTCTCAAACTACCATCCCAAATCCAAGAAACTCATCCTTTATTACTCCTCCCCTCCAACCACTCCCACTCCATGACCGATACCCAAGTCACAGAACTAATAGAAATCCTCTCCTCATCACTCCCCGCCTTCCAACCCGGTACTAAAATCTTCAATCGAGAAATCTTATCCTATATCGTAAAACACATGTGGGAAAACATGGCGGATATATCGAATTTAAACGCGGCCCGCGCATTACATACTCCTATATCAGGACCAATGGCAGGAAAGCCCGGATTATCTCATGAGGTTATTGCGATACTTTCATTGACTATGTGTGCGCGGTGGGAAAATGATGTGGGGAAAGTGGATAGGGGTTATTTGGGGATTGAGGGGATAGTGGGGAGGAGGGTGCTTGGTGGTGTGATTATTTGGGGGCGGTGGCGAGGGGGTTTGTGAGTTGGTTATTGTTCCTGGTTCTGGTTCTGGTTCGGGGAGGGAGGTGGGAGGTGGGGAGAAGGGGTTGGATTTGGGTTCAGGTTTAACGGGGAATGGACGGATGGATTAGGGGAAGAAGGAGGGAAATTGAGGGTTCGGTGATTTGGGAGCACGGGAGAAAGATGTGGATTTAGAGAAGGTGATTTGGGGAAGGGCTTGGGTTTGAAGAGGAGGGTTGAGGTTGAAAAGGAGGGTTGAGGTTATTTGGGTGGAGGAGTTGTGAGGTGAGGGTCTTGCTTTAGTGTTTATAGTTTAAGCTAAAATCTTAGAATTTTGAGTGGATGAGAGGCAGAAGAGAGGAGAAAGGAAGAGGAAGGGAAGGGATGTATTTTATATGATACCCAATTCTATTTCTATACTATATATACTATACACACTCAAAAACCATCATATCATATTTACATACATACACACACAAGTTCACAATCAACAAAACAAACCAAATGAAATGAAATCCATTAACCTACCCACTAAGGTTATCCATTATCCACTCACTCGCATCACATCACAAACAACAAACAACAAACAAAGCAAGGGGAAAGATATTTATCATCATCCAAAAAATAATAATAAGTATCCTCATTTGCATGCTATGCTCTACATGCTCTGCTCTGCTCTGCTCTGCTACTTAATCAACCGATCAACCACATACATATTACCAGCCAAACCCAAGTCCAACCCAAGTCCAAAATCAGACTCAATAAAACTACCAACTCAGTACCAACATAGTACCATCCATCCAAGCCAAGACAGTATCTAAAAAGCACATACTCAAAACGCCGGGTATCCCCATCCAATCTCATGCTATGCTATCAGCTGCTTTCTTTCTAGCATAACGACAATTTTCTATTTATAAACATGAGTATAAATAGATATAAATGTAAATCCAAGTATAAGTCCAAGTATAAATATATATGTATATGTATATATACGAAAGAAAGTTAATCAACTCTCTTATCTTCTCTCCTTTCTTTAATATGTAAATAAGAAATTTTGAATTGACGTAGTGAATTGAATGAAAATAGTCAATCACTCAAATCTTTCTTTGCGCTGTTTCCAACCAATGGTGCACTCTCTGCTCTTGAGCTTTCTCCTTTTTTGACTTGGAATCTATCCGGGTTTGGTAGAATGTCGCCATCATTTGTAACATAACTTCCTTCTTGACCATCCCAATCACTTTCTCCATCTTCTCCATCTGCATCACTTCCACTTTCTCTTGCTCTTTCTGTAGCTTCATGAATTCTATGTGCTTCTGTTTGAGCATCTTCTCTCATTTTTCGAATCTTAATCCAATTATATGCTGCGATTGCACCGATTGTGACGAAGAGACCAGAGATATTGATTAGCGTAAGAGGATCATGGAAAACTAATCCTGCGGCAGAAATTGTAACTACTTCTTTGAAAATCCCTGCGATTGAAAGAGTAACGACGGATGTACGCTGTAGCAGAGCGAATTCAGAGGCTGTCATGAAAAAAGCTATACAACCTGGGAATAGTAAAATTAAAGGACCGAAGATTGGACCTTTGACTTCGACTAATGTTTTCAGACCTTCCCAAAGTGCTGGAAATCCTTCTACGGGAGTAGCGATGATTAGAAGAGAGGCGAACATGATAGGAGCAAGGTAGAAAATCGAGGAGAAAGGATTCGAAGTTGCTGGGTTTCGGAGAAGAAGGATTTGTGTTAAACCCCAACGGAAACCGGAGAAAAACGCGGCAAATATGACGAGAATAAAACCCTTGGTTGAAAAGTCCACTTCACCAAATACCATCATTACCACACCAGCTGTCATTGTAAATATAATACCGACTAAACGCCACGAAGGAGTTTCGAGGCGAAATACGAATGCGAAAAGAAGTACGAATGCGAGAGACGAGGATTTGCACATAGCTTTAGTATATGTTAGTAGGATATTTCCACTAAGGAAAGGGGTACAGACTATAAAATGTAAGGGTTATGAATTTTAAAGACATATTTCCAAGACCAATATCCAATCCTGTTGCCATTCCACAAGGACCAATTCGTGTAAAGTAAAACATTCTCGTCATCAACGGTTTCTTCATATCAACCTCATGTTGAGCCATATCTGCATCCGATACATGCGTATTGTGAGGATTGGAAATAGAATCGTATCGAGGTCGAAATTGAGGTAGGAAGTAAAGGACGAGACTCGCGAGAGAGAATTGTACTAGCATATGCATACAGGTTGTAAATAGAGGGAAATGGAAATTGAGATGTTTTGGATCAAACATCCATTTGTTATACTATTTTGAAGGTTAGAAAATATCTGCGAGGAGAGGAAGATGAACTTACTATAGATATTGATAGAGAAAATATATACCAAAGTCCTATTAGAGACCCATTCATTAAACTCTTCCTCACGACATTCCAATCCGCTTCTTTCTTCTCATCTGTTGTTACTTTAATATCTCCCGCGATTCTATGATCCATTGATTGATGCCGTATCTTCTTCTTCTTTCGTTTTGCTTTAGACTTGGCAGTCAAACCGGTCTCCTCATCATCTTGTAAATCACCATCTTCAGAGAAATTATTCAATTCCATATCATCACTGATAGATCTCGAATCATCGTCTGACCCTCTATCTCCAGATTTCGTATCCCCTCCAATTATAGAAGTTTTTGGTGATCGCTTTGCCCTTGGAACTCTTGAATTCGGATCTAAGTTGTTCATCATGCTACTTCTCCTTCGCCGATGACCCGAAGGTTGTGAATCCATGATTGTATCTGTTGGGTGTAAATCTGCGAGAGCTGTAGCAGCATCTGGCTCTAATAATTCCTCTTCCGAACGCGCTGATGCTTCAGATGTGGAAGTTCTTGGTAAAGTTTGTATAGGGAAATGAGATTTGGAGAGGTGAGGTGAGTGTGGATGTGAGTGTGGATGTGAGTGTGACTGTGGATGTGGACTTGTGTCTGAGAGGGAGAATGAGAGAGATGGCGAGTGCGAGCGCGAATGTGGGTATGAAAGTGGTTTTGATTGTGAAGATCCAAGTGAAGTGTTCTCAGTGGAGATTCGATCGGATATCGGTAGAGTTTCCTCTTCCTCGCATTGTGAATGATGTTGAACTTGTGCTGCAGCAGGAATCTGGGATCTCGTCTCCTCTAAGGCCATGGTAATTACTGAATCAAGGTGGATTTGCTAATGTACTTTTGCACTTTTCATTATTTCTTGGGCCTGTACGCTTTCGAATGGGGGTCGTAGTGTGGAGATCTGACCCTCGCTGTACCGTGATAAAGTTGCGACTTATCCCCAAAAGGTGGATGGTTCGGGCAGTTTGGGATAGTTTGAGCTTTTCTGCTAATCTTGGCAAGCATCCAGGGGGAGAGGGTCCAAAAATGGTGTGGTGATGGTGCTAGGTATGCGACATTATTGTGACATTGTGACCATGATACATGATACACATGCGTGTGAGCATTGAGCCTGTATGAGGTACACGCGACTGCTTGCTTGAACAGCGTAACTTGACTTGGCGATTGATTAGGTGTACGAATTAGATGCTGTGGCACGAAATTAAAGGAACATTTTAAGGTTAACGTTATGGAATTTTATGAATTTTATATTTATATTTACATTATTCGAGTATCATAGAGACACAGACCTCAATCATCCCTTCATCTGTACAAGAATCAGGTACGAGTACGGATCCATTAGCTAGTCGAGGTATCCTCTGTACATTTCCGTACCTCTTGCTCTCTATCCTATTGGCCACATGCGCTACAAGCTCTTGACCTGGTACATACCAATTGATGGGTGCTCTCCACACACACACTAACACTACCGCGTCCACTCCAGTTCCCACTGAACGATGGTGAACTCTTTCCCGCCCCGTTCCGGTGATCATCAATGGGGATATACCCTTGGATGATACACCGGTCTAGAAGCAAAAATGTCCCTGAATGTCCCGGAACATCCTCAACATCCTTCACATTTCTCCAGAAGAACATCAATGTATTCTTGATCTATGCGTAAACCAAAGAGGATAGATAACGCACAATTTTAACGTCATCATCAGCCTTAGGAATGGACTGTGAAGTCAGTGGTGAAAGTTTAAAAGGAAACAAAATCTTCCGTTGTTCATTCCCTCTCCGGACTTCCAATTACCATTTTCCCAAGTCTCGACTTCTCAACTCTTTAACTCTTATTACAGTTCAGCTCCTCTTGTTGACCGCTTCTGCTGTGTCAGATGATGGAAGCCATAATCATCTTCCTCTACCGATTGTTTCACCTAAATGAGAAGACACAGCATATTCTCTTACTGTACTTAATGTTGTCCTCTGACCATTTTAAGCTTTGTGTTGAACATTCTTGGGACTTCCCGGAACTTTGGATGATGATGATTAATCAATCAATTAATCCATCCATCGATCAATCAATCATGCAATCATTCAATCATTCAATCAATCATCACACATCTCATCGTGCGAATCCAGTAATAAATTAGAAAAAAAGGGACCTGAGTTGGGGTTAGTTAGGCCAGTCAACGGAACGGAAATGTCAAGCTTCCCCTCCCCTCCCGTAGGTAAGTAAGTATGACGAAAAGATCGCGTTTTCCCCTCAAGCTTCACTCGTGGCTACCCGAGATTGAACTCTGATTGTTCAACTTCTCTTCAATCAAACATCAAGTATCAAGGTATCAAGTATCAAGGTATCAATCTCCAGCCTCAAAACATCTCTCTCCCCCCCTCGTACCAAAGCCATAAATAAATCTTATGGCTACACAGATAATTCACGTTCTTATGTGAAACGTATCACACATAATTCATCCACTGTAAGATTCATTGATTTATTGCACGAAATAATCTCCTTTACCTGCAATCATTTCGTTACACTGTTTCGATTGCTTTGTTCGTTTTTCACTTGTTTACTCCTCCTGACTATTCCCTCGTTTTCTCATCTCCCATCAAAGGCAACTTGCATCACTCACTTCAACAAACGCGTACTTTGATCTATCAACAATGTCTGTCCCCGGCATTGCCCAAGTTTCTCGTCGCCATGATACGGGATATTTGCCAATAGAAAATTATGGTCTAATCGGGAACATGAGAACTTGTGCTTTGGTGGGTATTGATGGGAGTATTGATTTTATGTGCTGGTAAGCTATGGTTACGCAGGCCGACGGAGTGTTTTGAAGCTCTCCAAGTACTTATTATATTCACACATCTAGGCCCGACTTTGATTCTCCTTCGGTATTTGGTCGACTTCTAGACAAAGATAAAGGTGGGTTTGGGGTTCTCTTGCAGTGATGGTTGTCTCAGAATAATGTGGATATCAAAAACTACCCCTCATTTTCATGTCCACCGGTCCCTAACAAGCTTCCCAAATTACCCCGGATTATATGCTACTTTTAAACACCACAACCAACTGCAAATGCTAACTCTGCGAACCTCTCAGGTGGTCATTTTTCAATCACTCCTGCATGTGGAGTTACTTTCAATACAAAGCAACAATACCTTCCATCTTCGAATATCCTACAAACTCGATATATTCATGAAGAGGGTGTAGTTGACTTGATCGATTTCTTTCCACGTCCTAATCATAGTCATGTCGCGAAAAAAAGCTCCATGCCGTTTCGAGAAACTACAAAAGTTCAAGGCGAATTGAAAAAATGGCTGGTACGTCGAGTCGAATGTATTCGAGGCAGTGTCGATTTAGGTGAGAAAGATCCAGAGCATGGCGGCAGTCATCATATCTCACAACTTTGTTTAGATGTGGAGATATTTCCAGCCTTCAATTATGCCCGCGATGAACATGATCTCGAAATTCTTATGCCGGAGCATCCCCCAGGAGCACTAGAGAGCAAAACGGTTACCTTCACCAGTAAAGACATAAAACTTCAACTCGATGTGACTATTGATCATGGTGAGGAGAATAAAGAGTCATGCCCCTCCCTAAAATTCCGTCGAGTAAGACAAAAGGAAGGTAAAGGTGATGGTGTTGTTGCAAATATACGATTACAAGAAGGTCAAGCTATTTCGTTTGTCTTGCGTGATGATATTCCCAATCATATCACTAGGGATGTCACTACCGAAGTTTTAGATGCACAACAACATGATACTCAAAGATTTTGGTCAAATTGGATTGGTCAAAGTAAATATACAGGTCGGTGGAGAGAGGTTGTTGCTAGAAGTTTGATGATTTTAAAGCTATTGACTTACGAGCCTACTGGGGCAATTATTGCGGCACCCACTTTCTCTATTCCTGAAGATATTGGAGGAGTCCGGTAAGTAAGGAGCTCTTCTACCTATGCCCAACTAACTTTTCCAAGCAATTGGGATTACCGATACTCCTGGGTACGAGATTCTAGTTTCACAATTTATATTCTACTCAGGATGGGATTCGTTGAAGAAGCCGATGCATACATGAGCTTTATCAGTGATCGATTTAGATTGTCAAGAGGTCCAGATGGTGCTTTACCGATCATGTTCACAATCCGTGGCGAGACTGATATTCCAGAAATTGAGCTTGGGTGAGTGTTTTGGGAGTTTTGTTTCTTGCCTTGAACTAATCCTTCATAGCCATCTCTCTGGTTATAGAGATAGTGGTCCAGTTCGTATTGGTAATGGTGCAGCTTTTCATCAACAATTCGATATCTATGGTGAGCTTATGGATGCTATCTATCTTTGGAACAAATATGGAAAGCCTGTCACGTGGGATCAATGGGTAGCAGTAAGGGAGATTCTAGGTATGTTACGTGCATGTCAACTTTTGTAAGAACATAATACTAAGCAGGTTAAGATTATGTTTTAAAAATCTGGGAAGAATCCGATATGTCGATCTGGGAGGTCCGAAGCAGAAAACAAAACTATACATATTCCAAGATTATGCTTTGGGTAGCATTCGACCGTGGAGTACGTCTTTCGGAAAAACGTTGTTTGCCTTGTCCGAATAAAGCAGAATGGTTAAGAGTTCGTGACACTATCTATGAAGAAATCATGGAGAAAGGTAGGGAGTCTACATCCTTATTAGATGAATTCCTTCACTGGGATCAACTGACAAATCGGTAGGCTACAACACTGATCTACAAGTCTTTGTCCAAAGTTATGAATCCCGCACCATGCTTGACTCATCTATTCTTATTGCACCTCTCGTCTTCTTCATCTCTCCCAATGACCCACGCTTCCTAAATACAATTGATAAAATTCTTCTTTCCCCCGAAAAAGGAGGTCTTACAGAAACCGGTCTCGTTTTCCGTTACAATACCGCTACATCCGAAGACGGTGTTGGTGGTCGGGAAGGTGCATTCTCTATGTGTACTTTTTGGCTAGTTGAAGCACTTACTAGGGCGGGTGTTTATGATAGGAAGTATTTGGTAAAGGCAGTTAGCATCTTTGAGAATATGTTAAGTTTCGGTAATCATTTGAGTATGTTTAGTGAGGAGATTGCGAGGAGTGGTGAACAGCTAGGGAATACCCCGCAGGCATTTAGTCACTTGGCTTTGATTAGTGCAGCTTTTAATTTAGATAGGGCGACGAAGGGAAAGGTTTAAGATGCTGGAAAGTGGAAGGATGATGATGAAATGGCGATGCCGTTGCGTGATGGTGTCTAGAATGATTGTGGGTTATGACTTCTTCAAGTGGCAATGCAATAGAAGTAAAGAGATTCTTTATTTGGGGGTTAAGAGGAGTGGAAACTCGGAAATACAAAGTTATACTATGATTTCGAGGTGCTGGAAAGGCTAGGTTTCTTTATTAATCATCGGATACTTGACTTCTTGATTTAACCAGTATCTATGTATACCAAGATGGAGGGAGGACATAAGAAGAAAAGGCTTTTAAATATATCTTTACATAGCATACAAATATTACCTATGAATCTTTAAGTATTTAGGATATTCCTCCTGCGTGGATGTTGATTGATGACTCGAGACAATGACTTTATTCCGACTGTTTCTCTTCCTTGATATCTTTTTAGTATGTTTAAACCTTGGAAGTACTAGGTAGGTAGAGAGAGTCGAGAAGTCAGGAGGTACTCGGTATGTATCATAAATTGCACATACGTTGAAACAATTTCTATATGTCGTATTGATATTTCATTCATTGATTTATTATTCATTTATTCATTTATTCATTTATTCATTTATTCATTTATTCATTTATTCATTTATTCATTTATTCATTTATTCATTTATTCATTTATTCATTTATTCATTTATTCATTTATTCATTTATTCACTTATTCACTTATTCATTTATTCATTCAACCATTTATTTAATCTCAATCTCTTTAATAATTCATCCTGGTGACAGATTCATCGCGACTTGCATCATATCATCTATTCCCCTCCATACTAAGAAAACTATGCTAGGCAGCCAAGCATTTTAAAGCCACACCTAAATCATTCACTCCTTGGATTTTATGTTTACTTACTACTTACTACTTACTACTTAACCTACTTACATACCCTTCGATTTCCCCTTCCCCATTTTCTTCTTCTCTTTCTTCCTCCCCTCTTCCTCTTCCTCTTCCACTTCCTCTTCCTCTTCCTCTTCCTCTTCCTCTTCCTCAAGCAATTTAATTATCGAAAATCATTTGATCTTTGACCAATCTCGCCTCATACAATCAAAAGTGGTGGGTGGTACTGTACAATTCTCACGATAGATATCACCTCATGAGGACACGATAAATGTCAGGAGTTTAAAACGGAAGAAATCGAGAAAACTGTGAGAAAGGGAAATAAAACGGTAAGAATGAATTGTAATTTTCGTGGGTTCGCTCGGACTGATTCTCAATAAAGTCTTCAAAAGGTCAAAAGTGACATCATTATCATCATGCCGAAACATCCAACCAAAAATGAACAAATCACCCAACTTCGCGCTCAGCTTGAGGAAGAAAGGAAAGCAAGTGTTACTCTTCGCCAGACGGTCAATGCTCAATTAGTTACTATTGATGGTACGGTCGGAAAATTGAAAGCTGCAGAAGAAAAACTGATTCAAGCGAAATCTACCTCAATTTTCATGAAAAAAGTTCCTGTAGAGCTTCGTCTCAGGATCTACAAACTACTTCTGACCAATCCTAAACTAAGCAAAATCGAATCCATCGGTAAGACGGCCGATTATGGGAAGGCTGTCAAGTTCGAACTCGCGCCAGCTATCTTACGTACCTGTAAAGTTATTCGAGACGAAGCGGAACCAATTCTCTACGGCTCAAACACTTTCATCCTTGAATGCATTGGTGGTTATGGTCCGATTGGTTCCATCCATGTCCCACAATCACCACTCACGAGATATGACGGTCCTCGTTCGGATGATTTCAATGATGTTGATAGTGATACAGAGGATGAGACGGAACGTAATTTGATGGGACATTCGGGAACTGAGTTTCATTTTGATTTCACCACCTTCAAAGCATTGAAGAAAGTTAAACGTTGGAGAATAATTACCGGAGCATACAGACCAACTCCATTGAACCCGGTACCATCAAAGTCTTTCGTTCACTTCTGTCAGGCGTTATGTCTAGAGGCACTGACACGACCACAAAGGTCTATCGAAATCGTCCTTGGACTTGGAAGAGTTGATTCTGTTAACCAAACCGAAGATGCTCAATATAAATTCTCCAAAGAACAGCTGAACCTTTTGTTACAACCATTGAGGCTTTTGAAGGATATTAAATTGGAGTTAAATATCGCAAAATGGAAGACAAATCTGCCAGTATCAGCGCAGTTGTGTGGCGGCAGTAGTGAATTTTACTTTCTTCACAATGAAGGCGAGGCCACTCTCCAAAGATTTATCGATTTAGCTCCACCTTTCGTTCAAAAATATCAAGCTCTAGCCGAGGATCTTTCACCTGTTGAAAAGGTATTTATGATGCATAAGCGACTGGAGCATTACGCAGATTCATTCGAAAGATCCGAAAAATTTAGTAAAGACATGTGCACTTTGCAGAGAGGCCATGAAAGTAGTAGGAGGGAAAATCGTCATTATGGTTGGCAACTTCCTGGTCATTCACTTGGCAACCCATTCAAAGGTTACAGTCCTTCCTCGTATCATCCAGTGGAGCTTGCTTTTTCTAGTAAGTCATTTTCATTCTTCAATGCCAATTCTAATTCTTCAATATCTCATATCAAATTTGACAATAAAATGATCTCTCGGGCGACATTACATGGAAACCACTAATAATTTTCTACCTTATAGGAGCCATCATAGCCAAAGATAAGGAGGATGTCACTGAGTTCAAAGCTGCTAGAGCTTTGGTTTTGAAAGAGTTAGAACCTCAATATCGACGAATGATTGATGCTTCTAAAAAGTTGAGAGCTTTTGTCGAAAAAGAAAAACGTTCAGGAGTTTTTCGAGAGTGTTTTGGTTGTGGAGTTTTTCATCAATATGAAGAAGACCCATTCAATAGTACTCTTGGAACAGATTTGGATCGTTACATCTATGAACTTGATAAGATTGCTAATTTGTTGAAGCGAGCTATGCCAGATCATATTCAAATTAAAATAGACAAAGGAACCACAATGTATGATTCAGCATACGTTCATTTGTCTAGGGAAAAGCTCTTTCAAAAATTACGATGGATGCAAAAACAAGAGGTATTTGCGAAAGATCCTTCACAAATATCAAAATGGGCGAAACGACTTGTTGAAGATTTGTGGAGTGAGTGTCAATTTACCAGTTGGGCTAGGGAGTGCCTTTTCAAAGATGATATCACCGATATTGGATGCAAGATCAATCGAAAATTAGGTCAGGGATTGATGGATGAAGAGCTTGAGTGGATTGACGGATTTGGTAGTGATGATGAAGATGAATTTTATGGACTTCATGAACTTCAAGAAGATTGATGGTGGATATAGAGTTAAGAATGGATTGTACAAAATGGATTGTACAAAATGGATTGGGAAAGATTTTTAAAGGGAAAGAGATAGCTATTGCAAGGTCTAAATTTGGCGAGATGGAAATGAAAATGGAAATGTAGATGGAAATGGGTAATCATAATAATGTATTTTTTTAATAGCTCAGCTTAGATATGGCTTAAATATGGTTGTGATGACTCAATGATAGTTTAATTACTACTTGGTATAGGCTATGGGATGCAATGGGATGCTGTGGGATGAACGATAGGATGTGCAATGGAATATGTAATGGGATATGGTATGGGATACATCACATTACATGGCTTCCTTCTTCTCCTCTCCCTATAATCCCATAATGAAGTTTACTCACATCATACATCCCGGTGATTTTCACCATAACAAAGCCAAAACCCCGTAATCATTTCATTTCATATCATATCAATGACAATATCTCAACATCATCCCCATTCTGACTCTATCTTGTGTATATATATGTCTATATGTATGTATATGTGATTTTAAGCTTCTGAACCCTGATTGGATATGGATATGGATATGGAAATATAATCAGTGAGGTTTCAGGATTTGGATGTGGATTTGGATTTGGATTTCGAAGAAGGGGGAATATGAGGGAAGGAGCTTGGATGGAGGAAGTGGTGGGTATTGGGGTGGTGGGCATTGGGATGGTGGGCATTGGGATGGAGGATGTTAGAATAATGGAATGGTGGTTGTGTTTTAGGATCGTATATTTGCGGTTGCGCTGAATGGAGTTTGTTATTGGGTTTTGGGGGATGATTCGGGTGGGAAGGGGGATAAAGTGAGGATGATTTTGAGGGAAGGGGAAGGGGAAGGGAAGAATGAGGAAAGAGGAGGGAGAGGGAGAGGAGGGGAAGGGAAGGGAAGGGCAAGGATGTTTTTGAGTGGAGATTTCTGAGGGGGATTTGGATGAGGGAATGGGAATAGGGGATGGATAATTGGAGGATTGAAGTGGAGTGGAGAGGTTAGGTATGAGTCCCCTACCCTACATTCCGGCCACTTTCCTCACCAAAATATCAAAAATCAAAATTTATAACTTTCTTATTTATGAATATAATTTCTTGAAATCTTGAATATAGATTTATTATTTATATAATAATAAATTCCAAATTTTTAGATTTTTCATAATTTTATTAATTGAGATATTAATAATTGAATTTTAAAATTTTATTTGTATATAAATGCTATATAAAATAAAATCACTATTTAAACTTTCTATATCTCAATTAATAAAATTACAAAAATCTGAAATTCTCGGAATCTATTTATTTCTATTTAAATTATTGAAGATTGAAATTACAATCGATTTTATTTATTTGCTGTAAAGCTATTAATAGGTGAAAATTGTGGGGTTTGGTGTAAAAGGGTGGGGTAGGGGACTTAGGGTAAGGATGGATAGGGAGGTAGGTAGGTTGAAGGAGATGAGTTTTGTTTTTGGCATTGATATTGGTTTTGATTGTTGGTAGGTAGGGAGTGAATGGAGTAGATGAAGGATGAGGGTATGAAGAGTCTCGAAAGAGTGAAAAATATAAATAATTAAAAAAGATATTTAATATTGAATTTTATATAAGAAAATATAATTTTGGTAAAGATTGTATTATAATTTCAAAGGATATATAATAAGGGAAGTCTAGGACCCGGCCCTTGTAATATTCTTTAAAAGAAAAATACAAAATCTCTGGTAAATAATACCAGTTTAACACGTTGACTTTATTTTGTTTAGATTTGATTGTAACGATCTGGTCGAGGCAGCGGCTGCCTGAGGTTTCGTATGGTTGGTAGTTGTGGGTTAAGGCTAATAATCACTGATTATCCACTTGAAAGTGAATTCGTTACTAGATCAATTGATAGGTAGGTAAACTTATTGATAACTAAGTTGAGCACAAAGCTCCTATACTATGAAACTATTCTGACTATATACTAATCTCCTTCTTGGCATACTAGCTATGCTAGCTGACTAACATGGCTAGCATTCCTGAGATGCTAGCTTTGCTAACTGGCTAGCAGAGCTAGTACATCACATGATTGAGCCTATCCTGAAGCCTTTCCTTTCCTGAAACACTTGTCCCAGAAGCTTTCCTTCAGGAACTATAGCCCTAAGATACGATATCCTCTAGGGTGATTGTCCTATTCCAGCTAATTAGATAGGACACTTGTCCTATTCTACTATGGTTGCCTAGAATACTTATCCTAGGAATCCTGGGGTCCTAGGCTTAGGTAATCAGAACCCCCGAAAGCAACGGTTAAATCACACCCCCCTGTAGTCGGCATGTAAATCACCAACATCAATAATACTACTATAATGAAAACCGTGAATCGTGACATTGATAACGACTAGATCAAGTAGACAAATAACCTCTGACTAAAAGTAAAAATTAAGTAGAGATAAAATAAAACACCACTCTTTTTTATACTCAGTTATCACGGATAGTATAATCACAAAGTATATAAATAATCTTGGAATAGGTAATATATAAGAGTATGTAGAGTAGTATTGAAGTGAATAGACTTGTGTTACGAGGGATGCGATCTAGATCACGTGGAAGTGGCCTGGATCCTCGAAGGGCTTTAAAGTAATATCAATAGTTGCAATTCGTAACTAATAGTAGAGTATACTAAATGATTGATCTTGAATATAAAGCTTTACAAAAGGAATCTTTTCTTAGCTATATAGATCTTCGTATCAATTGGATCATTTGGATCTAGTGGATCTAGGATTCGATTCTCTAGATCCCGTAGATCCTATGATCTATTACGTGACTACGATCAGACTATATGTCCGAGCTTGCTGAGGGTGGGGAGACCATATGAGTCGATTATTATACAAATTTGTATACAAATTGCCTTGCTTTTCGATGAGGCCTAAGCTCATGTGGACAGGTTGACTGTTACCCTGTAACAACTTGTTCTTGATCTTATTGATCAAGGGCCTCATATATATAAAAGATCTAGTAAAAGTTTATATAAAGAGCAATAAGATCAATATAATCACATGATATCGATCAGATATAAGGAAAGCGTGAGCGAATGAGTACTGTGATGTTAGATATCACGTGGAATCACATGAGAGCAGCATGATTTCCGTGACATCAGTATAATTCAATAATTATAGTATAGATATACAAAGTAAATAAATATAAACAAAAATAAACTATTATCTATCAGCTACAAGAGCTAAAACTCAAGATACAACAAACAGAATGAAATAATAAAGTGCATGGAAATATAAGAGTTTAACTTGACAATGAATAGCGATACACAAGTACCCTTCCTCATATTCATCCATCCATTCATCCATCAAACTCCGTATATCCATCCATCCATTAAATTAGTGGATCCAAGAATTTTTATACACCGAGTATTATTTTATCCCTTTCTCCGTAGGTGAAGCGAGGATGAATATTCATGTATACTAACCTCAGTTGTAGTGCATAGATAGAGATAGAAATAGAGGTGGATAAGTGGATAAAACGTACGATATTTTGGAGATATACTTTTTAGATGACTCCATTTCTAGGGATTCAAAGCTAAGGCATTGCGGAACGGATTGGATATTGAGTAGTACATGTATGGGCCATGGCTATTTAATCCACTCCTGAGCTTGTATGCTTGTTTTGTAGATGTGCTTTGCTCAACAAATTGAAACTGGATGGATCTTGTTTGTGAGGAGTGAGAATGGGGGTGAGAATGGGAGTGAGAATGGGGGTGAGAATTGGGGTGAGAATGGGAGTGAGGGTGAGAATGAGACGGGAGTGTATAACCTACTAGGACTTACATTGTCGAATTTGCTAGTAGGACGATCGATATATCTAGTTTGAGTATCAAGACTCACAGACTCATAGACTTTAGATTTTCATGTAATGAACGTAATGTAACGTAGGTGTGATATACTATCTCGACACCCAGCTCATATGGATCTTTCCATCATAGCCTTAATCATAACTTCCGCCTGAAAAAAGATCTCCATCGTCGTCATCAAAGCGCGTAGGTGCTCTATTGCAAAAACCACCCATCCCTTATCAATAACGAGTACATCTAAATCACTCACATACATACATCTTCCATACATATCCACTATCTAGCACACACCATACACCACAAACGGGAAGAAAATCCACCAAGAAGAAACGATCGCCCAAAATATACATCTAAAAAGTCCAGCACTCCACAAGCTCAAGTTCCGAATCGATGTTAGGATAATGGATATAATATTGATATTGAATCTGCGGCGATCTAATTAGGTTATCCCAAACCTCAAAATTGGTGAAATCCCTCGGATGGAAAAGGGAAGTGCGTTTGTTTCGTTTGGGTCACTTTTCTTTTTTGGTGTGACTTGTGTTTTGTTTGAAGTATTTAGTTTCTACACTGGGTAGCTAGTAGTTTTACCTTGGGACTTTGATCTTTGACTTTTGTTTTGTTTTTGTTTTGTTTTTGTTTTGTTTTGTTTGGAATGGGATGGGATGGGATGGGATGGGATGGGATGGTTTTGTTTGAGGTTATTCCTTCGTGTTGTGGGATTGTCAATGCATAATATAGATAGGTATTGGAAGTTACTTCTCTACTCCGTATATAATTACCGCATTCTAGAGTAATCAAAATACATTCATGATCTTCCTCGATAAATATACTCCGTACAGAATAGAGCTGGAATGAAACTTTATCTATGCATACATACAATCCGTATCTACATGATCGATATTTCCCATCTTTGAATTTCGGGGAGGAATAAGACTTACTTAGTTATCTCTTACTAGCAACATGAACATATCGACATGATATAGAAGTGTGATATGATATGATATGGAAGTTATACCAAAGCCGTCGGGTGTAATGTATAACGTGGGGGTTATATCTAAATCTTACATCTATATCCATCAATTCACACCGCAGCCGGGGTTCCGGTATGGGGAAGTGCGAAATGAAATGAAGACAATCCACGAGTAGCTCAAATGATCGACCCAAACCGGCGCCATGAATTATTTCTCTATTAACTGCCTATCATCTATCATCCTCCTATGTATAAAATAGGGCGTTGACATATATCTATATCCCAAATCCAAATCCAAACTAGCAAGTCAATAGTGTCTGTCCACCAACCACGCAAGACCTACAATGAATGCAACTCCCGAATCCAGACGATGAATAGAAATCCCATCTATTCATTCATTCATAACCTTATCTACGTACCTTACCATACATTCATGGATCGGCCTCCGAATAACTTGCGGATTACGTGAAGTAAGTTGAAGATCCGATATCGATTTTGGTAATCTTTATCTTACCTTACTGGGTACATAGGTGCCTAGTTAGCCTTATTTTAATGAAGGATGATGATGATGATGATGATGTAGCGGTAGGTACGGAGAATCTGGAAGGTACTAGAAGGTACTGTACGGAGTACTAGGTATTCTCGTGTATTGAATGGATCTGTGAACGGATGTTGAAGCAAGGAAGCAAGGAAGCAAGGAAGCAAGGAAGCAAGCAAGCAAGCGCCTTGTGCGGTAGGTGCGGAGTGGTAGATTAGGGGCCAACAGGCTCAAACTCAGGCAGAAAATATATATATCCCTTGTACGAGAAATACGAAAAGTACGCGATACAATAACCTTACATAGGTTACCTACCCGGTACATAAAAATGATAAAGCAACATTTACCCATTAATCTTACCTCGGTAAAGGGGAAACTCCCTTCCTCAAACTGATGAGATCCAAGACTTAAAGAATCAATTTCACAAGGTTTGATACCTGTACGTGTATCACAATCATCATATCATCATACTTCGCATCAATCACATCACAATGCAGTATCCAATCCCACGGTCAAAGCCTCCAAGCCTTCAAGCTTCAAGATCTCCTGCACTATCAAAACCAAAACCACGCCAAATAGATAGATACGGTGGGTAGGTAGGTAGGTAGGTAAGTACCTAGACTCGACAGCTAAATACCTAGGACAAAACAATCGCATGGCGGTATCCAAACCATATCATGAATGCCCAGTCACTACTCCCCAAATCCCCAGTCACCAGAGACACCCGCAAACAAAACAAACCACAAGAATGTAGTCCTACTAAGTCTTAATCGTTAACATCCATTCCCATTCCCATTCCCATTCCCATTCTCATTCCCATTTCCAATTCCATCTCCCAACTATCTAAAAGAACCCTCCCCTTAAGAATGAAACTAGCCCAACGAACAACAAAGTAAAGCCATTGAGTGATAAATTAAACTATCTTTCTTTTTTTTCTTTTGAATACTAAAGTCCATAGCATATTTATGAATTAACAAGAACTCATACAATACAATACAATACAATACACAGTAAACAATTGACATACTTAACATACCTATCCGCATTGATATCATAACTTTCGTAAGGCTCGGCTATTCGACCTTCGTATGCGGCGAGTAGGATCATGATGCTTGTATGTAAAATTCGTGTGTGATGGGTTTGAATATTTGGTTCACTGCGTAATAAGTATAGTGTAAATTTTCGGGGGGATTTATATAATCCCATAATAATCATAATCCATCCATACCTATGCTTGTTATTATTGTCCATTACTGTCCGCTCATAAGCGTGTAACTCATTTAATTCATATATACTCCGAAAATCCACCATCATCCACTCCCTTGCATCACTTTACCCCAGAATCTCAACAATTTTCTCATGTTCAATTTCACAACACATTTAATTTTATGCTGCTCTTGGATCCATTTATCCATTTAAATCAAATTCAAAATATCTTCACATTCTTCATAAATATTACAGTGCCTTCCGTCTTCATCTCATAAAATATTCTGTTCCGAAATCCTTTTCTTTTTGACCTGATACCCATCCATCGCATCATCCATCATATAACTTGGAAACCCTTAGAGCTTAAGCTCCCCAACCGATTTTGTTAGTGTCAGTACCATAACAACACCAAAAAAAAAGGGAGATTGCATATATCGCATATCACAATTTCAAAAACCCCATTAGTTACCCTTTAATGATCGAACTCGACTTGAAAACCTCTTATCGATTCAACAACGAACTGAAGAAATATGGATCTCTCAAGAGAAGACGAGTATTTTGAGTGGGTGGATCGGACGGATTTGGTGGATGTTGCGCCTCGAATAATTCGACAACCCGAAATTTCAACCTTAAGGATAGTTTGCATGGAAGAAAATAACGACGACGATGAAATCGAATTCCCAATGTACGATGACATAAAATGGGATGATAACAATGACGACCAAGTTCCCAAGGAGGAATATGATGCCCAAGTCGAATATTACCTTCAATCTCCCTCCTTACAACCGACCTACCTCGAAGACGATGTATCATTATGCAGTACTCCAACCTCACTTTCTCCATCAGATCAATCACCAACATCCGAACTTTCAGAGCTTTCAGAAGTTTCTGAACCATGCGATATCACCCAAACCGTGGATGACATAGAGCTTCAAATCAAACCATCACATCAAGTAGATTATCTGGCACACGATTGGCCGGAAGAGGATTTATGGGCTTCGTGGAAGTATATTCAATCACATCGTACTGCATACGAAAATGGCAGAAGATTGGAGAACGCTTCCTGGAGAACTTGGGCGAAAAAGCGATCGAATCTGAAAACAATTGAACCATCAACCGTTGGCTGGTATGCGCTTTCAATTCAACCTTCCTGAAATGCATGCTAACATCAAAACAGGGAGAAGGATCATGATACAACATGGTTATATGGCCCACTTCACAAGCAACCATCCTGGAAATCCCTAACAGCATCACCATTGGGATCGGGTCGACCAAAATTGATGAGATCTCTATCATACGCGGACGTGGATGTGAAATCTATTCTTAAGCAACGACGAATGTGCGATATTTTGTTGAAGCGACCGTCGTCGGCTATATCAGTTTCCATGGAATCTTCGATGACTTCCCTTACATCTGGCAGATCATCCCCTTCATCAACCTCATCAAGAAAATGTGTTCGCTTCAACGATGAAGTTGAACAATTTATCGCAGTAAATACTTCACATGGGAACGGGGGTGTAATTCGTTATGCGATGGGAGGATCTACCGTAGAAGAAGATATATCTGTGTCCACCGGAACTCGTATCCAGCCATGTTTGAAAGCAAGTATGCGATTAGTCGCAAAACTTCCAAACTCGACCCTCAAGAGTGTCGATGGCATTCATTCTCTCTCTGCGGCGGTCCAAAGCTTACAAGATTCCTTAAAGAATGATCATTTCGTGTTGCCGAGGTTTGAATATGAAGAATATGCGAGTGCTGCAAATGGGGATGATGATGAATGGGAGCTTTCGATGATAGGAATGGATTTTAAAACACCAACGAATTCGATGTTGGTTGGACGTGTTTATTGAGATGAGTTGTTTCATATTTGGCATGGCGCAACTGGGACAATGATATCAGCATATCTGGTGTTTTGTATAGCATTTCTGGAAAATTTGGGATGATTGATACCACTTTGCTGCTGGTGCCTGGGTAGACACTAGTTGATTGGGATTTTGGAGAAACGCAACGTCCTCACTATTTTATCGTAACGTCTGAAATGGTTATACATAGCACATAATGAATGAAATATTATAAACTCAAATCGATGAATCTATGTGATATTTGAGTATCTGAGAGATGAAGGGACGTCGTTAGCATCAGATGGTTATGATTAGTACAATGAGGGGAAACTCGATGTTTTCAGTAGCGTGATTGGATCCGGCAGAAATTCACCGCTATTAGTATCACCCGATAATATCGAAAAGAGATGATTCGACAAAAGAAAAAAACATGTGAAATAAGAAATGGATGAAGATATTTCTCAAAAAATCATCGAGTCTATGAGCTCCCATATATATATCTTATCATCTGTCAAATAACAGTGTCTCATAGTGAGTACTTTTCTCATTACGGTAAGAGACCAGACCATCAAATGCCCCGAGTAATAGACAGGGTCAAAAAGGAGCGAGGGCGAAAGTCCTCGGTGAGATGTGGTACTGCGTATAATGTTACGGAGTAGCCAAAGTGTATGTTTACTTTTGATTCGATGGTTATCAGCTGATGGGAAGATATTTGTTGCATGTCGTAAGGAAGAGGGCGGCCAAAGGGCATTCAAGGGCGAGGTGCAGGGCGTGCGGGGCATTGTGTTACTTGGGTGCTTGGCCAATCAGTTGTTGTGGATATGTGTGAGGGGAAGGGGCGTGGAGAGGGAGAGGGCGAGATGGCGTTGTGATGATCCCGAGGGATTGTTAACCTGTGGATGTGCGCGGTATGTTTCCGCCTCCGAATATTAAGTCGTCTTCGATTACTTCTAGCATATGCTTTTCGTATGAGACAGGTAGACCGTCTACTTGAAGACAAGAACACAAGTGTCAAGTTTCAAGGTGCAAGGGATGCAATGGTTGAAAGTTCTTGTGGCGTTGCTTTAATGCAAGCCACTCTGTTGTAGATCATTTTTAAAAATTGATTTGAGAGTACAAGCAATCTATCAGACACTGGATGTGCAATAATGGCATACGCCTACTTGTCAAGTGACTTAAGTTCCTTTACCTCTTTTCATCAATCGGTTTGCGTTACCATCGATTTAGGGATTGAAGTGCTACTGCCTTTATCTTCATCACAACCGGCTCCAATCATTGCTGCGCCAAGTTCTACAGGATTTCAACTTCATGCCACCTTAACGGGACTACTTTCTATTCACAGATATGACGAGGTGTTCTCAAAACTTCATATGACTTGTTTCAGAGTATCCATCTCATATTGTTCGAATCAAACCGAGACAATTAGTGTCTTCCGTGGCGATGACGTACATCCAATAGTTGTGCCATTCTCGTTAAAATTGATGTTCGAGAGTCAGCCAAAGTTTCTTTTACTAAATTGTGATATACTTCTTAGACTGACCAAGTCATTAAGTACGGGAGTCGTACCTCGTAACTACATACGTGCTATCCTCCGTCTTTACCGCGGATCATTCATGCTTCAAGCAAAACTTTCATCGGTCTCCTCGTCATATTATTTTCACCCGGTTACCGGCACGACCGAGTTTCTTTTCAACTACGGTCTAGCAATACATGATGGCCAGATCAATTAACGAATGAATTCGACATTAGCAAAGCCTGCACTGTCTCGTAATTACTAGGGGTAAACACAAGCGAGCAGAATTACTGTACTACATGCATGCATGACCTTCAAGCGAGCTGCGATTCAGCATGCTATTTGCATCCTTACCTCGCTTATTTGTGCATATATTTTGTATAGATAAGTTTACAGGGTGTAAAGGTGACTTAGGGGCGCAGAGCATGAGGTCAAAGGCCAAAGGCTCAGAGTAGGAGAAAGTTTGAGTTGATGACAAAATATTGGACCGACTTTAAATCATGGAGGGAAAAAAATCGGGTTATTTCCTCAAGAGCCAAACTAATTAGCACTAGATGTGTAAATCCTAGAATAATCATAACTTCATACATCATCCCCTATCTTACTGAAGAAGTCTTCCACCACTTTGCCCTTGCAAGTGATATAACTCATCCAACTCCTCGCTCAACCTCCCCACCTCAGGACTAACACTCTCAAAACTTTTCAACGTCATCACCGCCCCCCTCTGCGCAATCCCAACCAACCCATCACCCAACTCACACCCCCTCGCCAACCCCGCAATCAACACTCCCAAAAATGTATCACCAACCCCATTAACACTAACCACATCATTCTCCTGCACCTCCTCCACCGTAGGAAATAACCTCATATACACACCCCCAACCTCTTCACTTCCATTCGCACAACGCGACAGGATATATGGAGCATGATCTGGATCTCGGAGTCGCGCATCACTAGGACTTAATATAGAAGTAAGTAGAACTCCGCGAGCTCCGAGTTTCGTAAGGATGGTAGGGATGAAGGGAAGGAGTTGAACGGCTTTGACGGGGATTCCTTGATTGGTGAGATCTTGCGATGTTATGTGTATGAAACGGTCTCTAGCCCCTGTGCTGGGAATTCCAAGGGAATCGATGGTTTTCCACCATTCTTCGCTTTCGAATTTCCCTTGTGTAGTTGCGGCTTCGTGCATAGAGGTGAGTTCGTGCTCATTAGGTGTTGCGAGATCGACGATGTGGTTTGGGTAGACGGGGAGTTTTTTGGTTTTGAGAGATGATTTGGTCGGGTGCTCAAAAAGGCGGGCTGATTTTGTGGTGGAAACGGGCTCGAATGCGATTTTGATGGTTGATGAAGGTGATTTGGCGGCGTGCAGAAATTCGTGTATTACTTCTGCTTGCCAATTTCCGTCTATGATGATCCATTTCGTGGAGGAAGTAAGAGTGCTGAGTTTACTGTACATGGCTTGGATAGATGAGTCATCTGAAGGTCTAGTAAATATATCCATATCGGCCATAGCTATGACGAGGTCTTTCTTTCCATCATTGATGGCGACATATTGAGCTGTGCGGTAATCAGATTCCTTTGAACATATTGTGATATCATCGGTATTGTTTCCGTTGGCTTGTAAGCTCTGAAGTATCGTCTTTCCGGCCCTAGATTCATTAGACGTGGTTGATGATAGGACCGTAGAGTGCTTACTGGTCGTCAGCAATGAAAGTATAGAGACTGACAGGCCCTTTACTACTAAGTTGAGCTGCTTGTAAGACGTTATAGCCGACTCCACCAATCGATGACCGGATTTTGGCGATATTTGATGTGTGCATCTGTGGTGAAGAACCTCCTGTGGATTGGTTGGTACGAGGAGTATAGTCACAAGAAAGATCTATGGCTACTGAGCCTACGACAACTATACTGGGCTACATGAGGTCGGAGGTCAGAAAGTGATGAAACTTGGAGCATGGTTTCCTTGTAAAGGTATTTTGATAGTCAAGGAGGAGTTTGCAAACCTTCGGATTGGGGATGTTGGAAGAGTCTGACTCTATGGCACTAGGGTGATTTGAATACATCCTACTTGCATCTGCCGTAGTGGACGGCTGCCTGAGCACTTTGCTAGCATTGTTCCTATAACATTTATTGAGTTACTATATATCTAAATGAACCTCACTTTACTAACCAGCTTTCGGTTTTATCTAATCTCAACCTAGAAAGCTCGATGGCAACTCTAGTCGCCATTTTTATATTGGATTCTATCAACGCTCGATTCGCTGCAACACTATTACCCTTTGTAAGTTCTTTGATCCTCGCCAGGATGAAAGGAGTATTCCTGTGACCATGGAAACCCTGTTCGGCAGCTTCTTGGACCGCTTGATCGATTGCATAGTCAATTTCGGATTTAGGGATGGAGAATTCTTCAGGAATTGGATTCGCAAAATGAAAACCGCTAGTAGGTTTGAAGAAATCTTGGGCATCTATTGGTGTTAATCATCACCTAACCAACGTCACTCACCGAGAGTACAATCAAAACTTACAGATAATAGCAGCAGCCTCTTGAGCATTCTGAACAACCATCGGACTCTTAACACCACTATCACGTGTGTAAAATGCTGGATAGTCGATTGGTCCAGTACGTCCATCTGCAAATGTGAAGACACCAGCACCTTGAGTTTCTAAATACTCCAATGTACGAGGAATATCCAAAAAGCTTTTACAGCCACTACTAATAACGGCAACTGCAGTGCGTCCAAGTTCACTGAGGTCGGCGGAAATATCCATACTGTCCTGACCTCCACGGTGAACACCTCCCAGTCCACCAGTACCAAAAACGCTAATTCCAGCTTTTTGCGCTAATATCATGGTACCAGCAACCGTAGTACCTCCGGTAATTTTGCGTCCAGAAATGCCCTATTCGTGATTAAGACATTGACAATCGATAAAATATATCAAGATGATGGTTTGATACAGGGAAAAATCACTCACCATTCCCAGAATATAAGGTAAATCCCTACGAGAGACCTTCATAGTCTCCGGTTTTCCTTGTGCAGATGCGACAGCAATCAACTCCTCCTTGGTTAACCCAACACGAGCTACACCATCCAAAACTCCAATTGTTGCTGGAATTCCTCCATTACTACGAACAATATTCTCTAGTTCGAGAGCCAACTGAACGTTCTCAGGATATGTATATCCATGGGTATAAATGGTGCTTTCTAAAGCTACAACTGGTTTATTAGATTTTGTAGCTTCTTCCACTTCCTCAGATATTTGGAAAATTCTGCTCTCGGAATTCTTTGAGATTGTTCCTTGGAATCTTCTCCTTATTTGAATTTTGCCAGGACGGCCATGAGTAGGATTGTTGTAACGGCACTTCAACAAGGAGTTGGTAGACACCAAAGGTAATCGTATTTTAAGAGTAGGTCGAAGTATGGAATTCATAATGTCGATGATTCCACCACAAATATCGTGGGGAGATGGAGTAGAATAATAAACTATGCACCAGACTATGAGTTTATCACCAATACATCTGTAACTCTCGACGGCTTGCAATATCTATCATCCCACATGGGAAATGAGGGTCGTCGAATTAAGCTTACTAATAACATTTTCACGTGATAAGCATTGAACATTTTTTCGGAATGCTTGGAAGACTTTTAAGAACGAAGTTGGGAACAACGGCCATTCCATTATCAAGCAAATACAATTTATTTGATACGAGCCTAGTCTCAATCACAATTTGGCTTGAATTCTTCCCTTGAAATTTCGGAATTAGTTGACCGAACCAATCAATTGATCCATCTCATACATAATTCATATTAACAGTAAGGAACATTTGCATCCGAAAGATTGGGACGGGTAATTTACCACTTCCTTGTCGTCATTTCGTATATTGTCATCCTGATATTACTTGTAAATCAACTTTCTTCATTTTCTTCCTATATCATGTGTTTATCACTCCTTTACTTTTCTGTATACTGCGTTTGTTGAGCATTTCTTCGCAATGGCGGCATTACAATTCATCACTCTATTCGTTTGTCTTTCTGTGCAAGGGATCTATTCTCAAGAAATTGTCAATGGACAAATATATACCCCCGGAATCGCCATAGTCGATGCGCCGCAGCCTAATACACCACTTGGAGGCGGTAAGTAGTAAATACTTAATCCTGACTGTTGAACATTTACTAATTGTTTAGATTTCCTACAGGTTGCAATGGATGTTTCCTCAGATGGGCAGCTCCAACTTCCACCTTATCCAAAGAATGCCGTCTCTGAGATTTATAATATCACCATGTTTCTCTCCAGCTATATTACGGGCAAGAACTTTACAATTTCGAATGGTACGGCGACAGCAGGGAATGCAAGTTTAGGAGAGATCATGGCTCAAGAGTCGAGTAGTACAGTTAAACATGTGAATTGGGTTTGGCCTGATTGTCTTGTTGGTGACGGAACCTCGGATAAGAATACTTCAAGGGGGGCATATAACGTGCGCATCTAGAATTTTAATTTAACATTCAATACTGACATATGGTAGATTTCCATCCGCCAAAATTTTCGTTTGAACGGGACCAATCAGTATACAATTTTCGACCTACCAATCCAAGTCACCAATTCTATATCCGAGAAAAGTGATAGACCTTCTTGTGACTCTATCAACAATGATTTGATTCCTTGGGAAACATTGGAAGCAACGGCGGATAACTTCACTCGTATTGCAGGCACGGCGATACAAACTAGCGCCTCGTCTAAAGATTCAACTGGGGCTGGAAGCTTTATTGACTGGAGGACTGGTGCACATTGCATATGGATAGGAAGTCTGTTTTTGATGTTTGCATTGTAATATACTAAAGTGGGTGGGATCTTGTGGGACTACTGAATTTAATCTAATCCCTTATATCAACGGCCTGTCCCTAGATTGTCATTGGATTTCGTCAATCTATTGCGTGACAAGTGACTCGCTATGAATAATAGACCAACCTTTGGATTTTCACAAAGCTTCAAGTGTCGCTAGTCATTGTTTCTTGTGTCAAGACCACTTCTATACTGTTCTTTTAGCCTTATTTCAATAGGTAACTATCGCCAGTAGAATGTGTCCGTATTGCTTTCTTTTTTTTGTGGGGGGTTGACTGATGGTTCGGGAACGGTCAATAGAATAGTCAAACTCCTAAAAATCTATGTAGCTGCGCTAGCATGAGATAGGACAGAAGTTAAAAGGCCGGTTAGATGTTCTATACCAATCACTCTTTGAAGTATGTATGCTTTCCAGGAACGATAGATTAAATAGCTTGAAGAGATTCTCTCAATGATTATTTGGGACAACATTATGGAAACTTGGAGCTCGATAGGATGAATATGGTCAAGTGAAATTGGGATATCGAAATATTCAATAACAAATATAGTAGTGCGTGAAATCAAAGATGAAACCAGAAGGATTAGCCTGCTAACTCATTTTTAGCATCTCATCCACACAATAGATTGGGCCAATATGTGATATATATACAACCTTGCATAGAATTGAAGTATTCGTCCATACTAGGTAGCTCATAGATGGCTACCCCGCAATCCGATCCGCAGAACGTTCCTCGGTTGGCAAATCTCCCCTATTATGATTGGTCGACACATGCTTTGATAAATACTAAGCCGGTTATTGGAAATAAGTAATAAACATGTCAAAGATACATCCATTCCTACCATGATGTACTTTTCTTTTTCTACCTTTCAATTGCATTGAAGCATCATATCAAAACGTTTTGTCAAACTATCAAAACCACAGGTCGCCTCACACAACAGACGGAGAAATATGCCAATGCACAATGGATGGCTACCCCGCGAAGGTACAACCTTGATCCCCTTCCTTATATTGCACGACATGCCGCTCATGACAATACACAACATATAGGGTTCCGAAGCGATTCCCTGGGTAGCTTGATCAAGAAAACAGCATTAAATCCCGCTTTTACTTTGATCTTTCTTCTCCTAGCTCGTTATACGAAACGAGGAAATGATCTCTCAATACTTCATGAAACTGCATATTCTCGCATTCGAAAATTATTCTATTTTGGGGTTTTTAGATTGATTTCGAATTATCTGGAGAGAGGTGTTCAGAATAATTGGGTAGATGATAAATATGATTGGCAGAAAGAAATCGTGTTGATTACAGGTGGTGCTGGAGGAATCGGTGGACAAGTCGTCAAACTTCTAGCGGAAAAGGATATTACGGTTGTGGTGTTGGATGTTATTCCAATGACTTTTGAAACTGGTATGTTATTCTACCTTTTGAAGTGGAACATTCGATGGATACTAACTTTGCGTTAAAGCATCCAATGTCCATTACTACAAATGTGATATCACCTCACCATCTACCATATCCACCGTTGCAACTCGCATTCGCTCAGAAGTGGGCAATCCAACCGTCCTCATCAATAATGCTGGTGTTGCGCGCGGGAAAAGTATCCTCGATTCCAGTGAAAAGGATGTCCGCTTTACATTCGACGTCAATACAATTTCCCACTATTTCATGGCCAAAGAATTCGTCCCATACATGGTCCGAAAAAATCACGGTATGATCGTCACCGTCGCAAGTCTGGCAGCCTACATGACCGTCCCAAACATGACTGACTACGCCTCATCCAAAGCAGCGGCTCTCTCCTTCCACGAAGGATTAACCGCCGAACTTCTCACCAAGTACCACGCCCCAAAAGTAAGAACGATACTGATTAATCAGGGATACACCAAAACGGCTCTCTTCCAAGGCTATAAAAATGATTCTACGTTCTTGCTACCGACGTTGGAGGTAGATACCGTGGCGGAGGGAATCGTGAAGAAGATCTTGAAGGGAAAGAGTGGTCAGGGTATTTATCCTGGGTTTGGGGTCTCGTTGACCTGGTTGAGGGCCTTGCCGGGTTGGTATCAGAATAGACTTAGGACGCAGGGTCAGCATATTATGACGGATTGGAAGGGGAGGCAGGTGCTGGATGTGGAGAAGTTTTACGAGGAGAAGGAGAGGAGAAGGAGAAAGAGAAAGAGAAAGGGAAAACGCTGGATGATGAGAAGCAGAAGGAGAAGGGGAACGGAGGTGATGTGGAGAGCGCGTAGGTTTTTAGTAATTGTGAAGGTGGGATTTCATAGCTAATGAGATTTAGGTCCACGGTTTTGGTAAATCCTTGATATATTTTTCAAGGCAAATTTTGGGGTTGAAAGTGGGAAATTTATAATGGTGTAACATTGGGATTGTTGCTTTGGATTAGCTTGAATTCGCCTTGGTTTATCCATACCACTATATATCTAGCTTTAATTACTTCAATGATTTATTCAATGCTAGTGATGAATCTTTCTCATGAATAATCTACCCTAGTTCAATTTTCAAGGGACACTCTAAGGTGATGGTGCAGTGAATGAAAGGAATATGTCTAAGACAGAGGTATATATCCTATTCGTCTATGCTTATAGAGTATATACACCCAACTTCTTTTAAACAGCTACTCACAGAAAACATGTTATTCACGCGAAGCGCTGCATGTACTCATTGAATCCTCATCCCTCCTCCTCCCTCATCCGCTTAAACACCCTCCCCCACAACCCCCTCTCAAAAACCTTTCCCACACACCTCCTCCATAACATCAGCCTATATATTTCTTTCTCATTCCTTCCTTCCTTCCTTCCTTACACCACTAATAACCAAGATCTAATTATAGTAAAAACAAAAATAAAAATAAAATCTCCAACGAATCTTTATACCTAACATATATAGAATGCCTAATTTACCTATTTTACACACACACACACACAATCAATATTATATTACGATTCTTATGAATACTGTGATGGGGTGATGGGATGATGGGCTGATGTGAGGAATACAACACCGGAGAGTATTTCTACAAGTATAAATAAATAATTTTACTTGTAGCGAATCAATCAAGAGACGGGCAGACCTCAAGCACAATTAAAGCAATGATATTAAACAGAAAAGAATTCATGGACATTGAGATTTTTTATTTATACATTTGAATCCATCAATTTCCCATGCTGTACCCAAACAAATCCCAATCATCAATCAGACTGGGACTTCGAAGCCTTCGAATAACGCCAGGATATCAAGTCTCAAAACGCCAGATTCATAAACTGAAAGCTTTGCCTATAGAAAAATTTACCTTGACGCCAATTGCTAGGCCAGCCTTCCGTTTTCCTTAAATGCAATAATGTACTCATACAACAAGCCATTCCCTTCTTAGGCAGAAACTGAGATCATTCTCGATGCTTCTAATAAAGGTACGGTATTTGAAGGTCCAGCGACATTCTCTTCGGCAATTTCACCACCAGCTTCTCTTTCAGCCCAAGCACCCCAAAGACCTCTTTTGCCTCTAACACGAATTGGTCCACCTAGTGTGTGCTCTTGTTGCTCAACCTTGACAGCATCTTTAGTTGCAAGAACTAAAACCTCAAAGAACATTTTAGTGGCATCAGCTTTGCTTGTTGTACCTTCTGGTAATAAATCCTGGAAAAGAACACTGGCTTTCTTGCGCTTATCTGGACTGTTGGCTGCCTCGTCACCGAATCGTTCACGAAGAAGATGAACAGCGTGAGTCGTACCAAGTGACACGGGTCCACTATCTGCAGGGTGGACGAGAGGTGCGGTTGTTTCATCAAATTGGTTGCCTGGACTTGCACTACGATCATCCCGTAAACCAGTTGTGGCGTTGTGCTCGTCATCATCAATGTTGATATTAAATTCGTCATCACGTCCCATTTCAATGATTGTACCATCAGCAGCAATCATTGTCTCATCACGACCCAATGCAGCATCACCAGCAAGATTCGCACCGAGGTCCTCTTCCTCACCTAAATCCAAGCGCGGTGATTTATTGGCACCTTGTTCTTGTTCATCCATATCCGTAATACCACTGTCCCGCTTACGCTTCTCCCCTGTCCTACGAACCGCATCGAGGGAAAGCATTCCACGAAGTTCGGGTGCCCAACCTATACTTCGTCCTTCACCCATGATATTGGAAACAAAACCACCATTCTTTTGCATTTCCATTAATGCCAAAAGTTGAGGATCTCGGGGAAGGAATGACTGTGGGCGTAAGATAGCATCGTGGTTTTTCTGCAACTCTTGAATAGCGTGCTTAGAAATGGTAGTGTCATCGTCAGGCATCAAAGGTTTGAATTTCCTAGCACGTTGAGCTGGTTGACGGAATATTGATTGTTCCGTCTCATCTTCGGGTGCAAACATTCCTGATTCTTCTCGGCGTTGTTGATCTGCCTCGACTTCGGCAACAATGGTCTCATCGATATCGGAAAGTGGCGACTCAGAGATTCGAGCGCGCTCAAGTTCAGGGGCACGTGGAATGGCAGAAATATCTGGCTCCCCACCAATATTGAGCATGTCAATATCTCCATCGTCATCGCCAATCTGAAAACCACCATCATCATTACCAAATCCGAGATTGATAGAAGTTTCACGATCTCCATCATCGAAAACGTCCTTTGCTCGTGGTTGAATGTCCAACTCGCTGAGTAGATCGTCTTCAACTGCTCGTGCAGCTGGTGCATCTCGTCCAAATTCAAGACTGATATCAGCTCCAGATCTATCCGCTGCAGCGGTCTTGGGATTTATATCGTCTAGTCCAAAATCAAGGCCCAAATCAAGATCATCATCCAAAGGCTCCAGGGCAAGTTCATCCTCGTCCCTACTATTATCTTCGACACTATTTTGTAAGAACTGGCTGTTATTAAACTCGTCCTGCAAGTTAATATCACGGCTAGCCCCTCGTCGCTTGCGACCCAATGCCGAGTCTTCGTCTAGCTGGGAGAAAAGGAATGAAGCATCGGGCATTGGTGGCATTTCAAGGTTATCTCCTTCGGTGAGCATATCCGGAAGCATAAGAGCATCTCGAGAAGGCATATGGAGTCCGGCAGGAATATCATTATTACCGGAAAGACGAAAGGCCTAGGTAGGAAGAGTTAGTATTTGCGTTGAGGATTTTGAGACACAACATACCATTTTTATTTTAATAAGAGCTTCATTACAATCATCAAGTAAATAACGCGCTTTTCGACTGTAAATCCTCACAACTCCTAGCAATAGTTGACCACTCAGACGTAAAGCCATTGGTGCTTGATTAGGTGTGACTATAGCTTCAACACTATCCTTGACACTAGCTTGTAAGATGTGATTTTTCGACAACTTGCGCTCTAAATTCGCCGAAAGCCAGACACGAGCCAAAGGCCCCGTCTTGCTCAACAAAGTCTCCGAATAAAACATGATGATAGCAAGGAGAGTAGAGCGCCCTCGCGCGAAAAGATGTATATTTTATTAAGTGAATTCAATAGTGGAGACGCGTTTATATCGTTTATGGTTGACGTGGGCTTTTTTTTTGTTTGACAGCGCGTCGAGGATATTGGTTTTGACCACGGCGTCCTCGATGAAGTTTCGATGTTGAGTCAATCGCGTCGCAGAAATAAGAAGTAGCAACGAATAAAATTTATCAAAAAAACAATGTAGCTATCGTAGCAATTGATTACTTGTATTGGTCTTATACGATGCGTCGACGACACGGTGATGAAGCTTAAGGAAGGATGAGGGGGGGAAAATTAGATGGAGTGGGGAGTTAATGTATGCGCAATGAAGATTGAAGAAGAATCAAGAGGCTGGGATACATTTCGATTTTAGCGCTAATCTGTAATTGGCAAAAAGCTTCGTCAATATATGGGGCCTATATTAAAACAGTCCCACACACGTGACATTACTAATTGGATAGGTAAAAATGTTTTATTTACCTTTATAATTACTTATTCAGTACCAGATGCAGGTTGTGGGAGAAAGGACAAAGACGCAGAGAATAGATGTGAAGTCTGATAAATAACACAGCATCGATCAAATCTTCTAATGTATCAGAATTGAATTCGGTTGATGGTAACGATACGTTCTTTTTGAATTTCCTATCAACTTCTTCCTATCCCAAGCTGCTGTCTCATTTATTTCGTATATATTTTATTTATATTCTACCCAAGGTATTTGTCGAACGAAGCAGCAAGTAGGTGCCTGTGCCTGCTTCACCTACCTATCAATTTCTACTACCCTATAGGCGTTCTAGAACAACTCAATTTCACAGCCTCAAAACCCCCCTGGAGCAGTCCCGCCTGGGCACGCGAACCAATTCACAGGGGAGCGGGTACGCCAAAAACTTAGAAACTAGACCGTGCTCACTCACTGCTATCTACTATGAAACTGAAAGGGAAGTTACGGGACAACAGTACACGACACGTAATTCGATAATTTTACTATGGATCAAAATTTAAAACTATATCGTTCAGATCTTTAAAGGAAAAACAATCACATTTGAAGTTCAATTTCTTGCATGTTTGGAGTTGGAAGGAGGTTTTTTTGATTTTACATTTATATATAGAGGGGTGGCTTTTACTCAATTCTTAACTTACCACATTTCCTCTTTTCCGTTTCAATAAATGCGCATGCCTCAGCCATAGGCATTCAGCATAACGACAGCATATACTGCTGATCGTTTTTAGCAGATTTTAACTCGTTCTCTGATAGACGGTATTGGAGCTATGTCGTGGCCGCACTTTGCAAGGTCTGGCAGTCCGTCGGTATCTTTATTGCCCATGGCCAACCTTCCATCTGGAAATGATAGATTGCCAATTTCTGAACCATCTTCGAGACCAAGATCAAGAGACAGGGCCGACTCAAAGAGCAGACATACCCGATCCTCCTCAGCGGTGGCCAAAGTTAGTGAACGCCCAATCTCAGCTGAACCAGAGAGGAGTCCGACTAATGCGCAACAGTCAACAGCAGATGAATTCTCATCCCTTACGCCTGTGGAGACGGCAGAGCGATTGCAGACCTCACTCACAGTAGGCCTGACACCGGCCGAAGCCCTTTCTAGATTACACGATCAAGGACCTAACGAACTTCCTCTCGATCCTCCCGAACCGTTATGGCTGCGATTTATCAAGCAATTTAAAGAAACTTTAATCCTTCTGTTGTTGGGCTCCGCTGTAATGTCGGTGATAGCTGGAAACAAAGATGATGCAATCAGTATTGCCGTTGCAGTTACAATTGTGGTTACAGTAGGATTTGTTCAAGAATATCGCTCTGAAAAGTCGATCGAGGCACTGAACCACTTAGTCCCCAATCATGCACATATAATACGAGGAGAAATGAGATCTACCACACCTAGAACACCGGCATGGCCTCCTAGCGCCCGAAAAGTACCAGAGATGGATTCATTAATGGCGGATTCTGGATTTGACGCGGATTCCAGTCTGGCAGAAATTGTATCGCATAAAACCATGGCATCGAAACTGGTTCCTGGAGATCTTGTTTTATTTACCACTGGAGATCGCATACCAGCCGATATTCGTGTCACAAAGGCTTCAGATTTAACAATTGATGAGTCTAATTTGACTGGTGAAAATGAGCCGGTCCGTATTACTGCGGAAGCTAGGCATATAGAGTTTAGACCTGGATCTAGCTCACTAGAACCACCGTCCCTCAATTTTCCGTCCCCAGCAAGTGGAACAGTAGGTGCCGATATTAGTCTGAATAGCACGACCAATATCGCCTTCATGGGAACACTTGTGAGATCTGGACATGGCCAAGGTATTGTTTATGCGACAGGTGGAAATACTCATTTTGGGACAATCGCTGCAAGCGTATCGGAGACGGAAAGCCCTAGAACCCCTCTACAGCTTTCAATGGATGCTCTAGGAAATCAATTAAGTCAGGCTTCTTTCGTTATCATTGCGGTAATTTCTCTAGTTGGATGGTTACAAGGAAAAGCATGGTTGGATATATTTACAATTTCGATATCCTTGGCTGTGGCAGCTATTCCCGAGGGTTTGCCAATCATTGTTACCGTCACTTTGGCTCTCGGCGTACATCGAATGGCGCGACAAAATGCTATAGTACGAAAAATGCCAAGCGTCGAAACTCTTGGATCGGTCAACGTGGTCTGTAGTGATAAAACAGGTATGATCTCTATTCATATAACTTGACCAAAATGCTAAGGTTAACAGGTACTCTTACCATGAATCATATGACCACCGTGAAAATGTGGTATTTCGATGCCGAAGCTCCATTAGATGTTGATTCGGATGATGAAACAGTGGAAGCTAAAGGTGATACTGTTGCACTTCGAATTCTTCGTATTGGGAATATAGCTAACAATGCACGACTAACTCATCTTCACGCTCCATCGGCATCATCGGTAGCTATATTGTCGTCTACTCAGGGTCGTGCTTCAAATCAGGTCTTGAAGAGCAGGTGGGTTGGTCAGCCCACTGACGTTGCAATGCTTGATATGCTGGACCGTTTTAAGGAACACGATGTCCGTGAAGGCTTAGGGCATCGTATCGGAGAGACCCCATTCAGTTCTGAAAAGAAGTGGATGGGTGTGACCATTGGAGATTTGGGTCCGGAAGGCACATCAAGCCCGAAGGAGCATGCTTATATTAAAGGAGCCATAGAGCGAGTGCTAGAAAGGTGTGATACATATCTCACAAAAGATGGCCGTGAAGTTCCTTTGGATGCCTCAAAAAGACAACAAGCGTTACAAGCTGCAGATAAACTTGCCTCTGAAGGACTTCGAGTTCTCGGTTTTGCTAGTGGTCCAGTTGCCAAGCACGCAAAATCTTTGGCTCCGCAAAGCCGAAGTGGAACGCCAGTCTTAAATTTAGACCACCATGTATCGCACAACGAAGATGTCTATAATGGTCTCACATTTGCTGGATTGGTTGGTATGAGTGATCCGCCACGACCAGGTGTTTCAAAATCAATTCGAAGACTTATGCGAGGTGGTGTCAAGGTCATCATGATTACTGGTGACGCAGAAACCACTGCCCTTGCCATTGCAAAAAAACTTGGGATGTATATTGCAGCACCACGTGGCCATACAATAAATTCTGCTGAAGTTCGACCTGTATTACGAGGTGACGAGATTGATGATATGACCAACGAAGAGCTACAAACTGCCATAGCGCACACTTCCGTATTCGCTAGAACCAGCCCAGATCACAAGATGAAAATTATCAGAGCTCTGCAAGCTCGAGGCGATATTGTCGCAATGACGGGCGATGGTGTCAATGATGCGCCTGCGCTCAAGAAAGCCGATATTGGCATATCGATGGGGTTACAAGGAACAGATGTCGCCAAGGAAGCCGCAGATATGATATTGACAGATGACGACTTTTCAACTATTCTCAAAGCAATTGAAGAGGGCAAGGGAATTTTCAGCAACATAAAAAACTTCCTTACATTTCAACTTAGCACAAGTGCTGCGGCACTTAGCTTGGTATTAGTTTGCACGTGTTTGGGATTTAAAAATCCTTTAAATGCGATGCAGATCCTTTGGATTAGTAGGTAAAATATTTGCATTGCATTACATTTATACTAACGGCTTCTCTAGATATCATCATGGATGGACCTCCGGCTCAATCATTAGGCGTGGAGCCTGTGGACCCAGATGTTATGAACAAACCACCCCGAGTGAGAAATGCTCCTGTACTTACAAGGGCGCTGATCGCTCGAGTTCTTACATCCGCCACAATCATCATGTTAGGTACAATGGCAGTTTACACTCACGAAATGCTCTCGGATGGCCAAATTAGTAAGAGGGATACAACAATGACATTTACCTGCTTCGTTCTTTTTGATATGTTCAATGCGTTGAACTGTCGTTCAGAATCAAAGTCAATCCTCAGAGGTGAGGTCGGACTATTTTCAAACAAATTATTCAATTGGTCAGTATCTTTAAGTCTTGGTGGACAAATATTGGTCATATACTTCCCTTGGCTTCAGGAGGTGTTTCAAACAGAAGCTTTGGCACTCACGGATTTGGTGGGCTTGGTGATTTTAACAAGTTCCGTATTCTGGGCGGATGAAGCAAGAAAATGGTGGAAATACAGGAGTAGGAGGACCCTTGGCAGTGGGTATAGCCAAATCGTATAAATGGAATAAGTGGCTTTGAATGCCTGTTGTATTCATAGATTTAGTTGCATAGATGCGCAAGCGTATACATGTAGCAAATGAAAATAAGGAGGATATAAAATGAGTTATCAATTATAAATAATGATTTTAGATTTAAATGAGTGACTGGAATTGTCAATCAAAATCACCAATATAAATTCTCGCTTATCCCACACCCAAAAAGATGACACCTAAAGTTGCACCCGACCTCAACCCAGCTTCCCCAAAGAAAAGCTACCCATGCCTCAACCCACCCAATGCCTCCACCCGGCCTCCCAAATGGCAGTCTCACACCTCTACCCACAACACCATCTCCAGAATCAGCTCAATCATCCATTCGCAATGCCACCTCCTTAGCCTCCATCCAAAACATCCTCTCAACCCTCCATACACGCGATGCAGCCATCACCTCTAGCCTCCAATCCCTCATTTCATCTCAAGCTTCCCTCTCCCGCGACCTCGGTCGACTCGATCTCCTGCGCGCACATCTTGGCACAAATGTTATACATACCAGGGCGATTTCCAATGGAATGCTGGATAATGCGGCCAGCACGGCCGAGAAACTCAGCTCGAAAGTGAAGGAATTAGATTTAGAGAAGAAGCGAGTCGAGGAAACATTGGGCGTTGTAGAACAAGTCGCAGAACTAAAAGCATGTGTAAATGGCGTGGTGGGCAGTATGGGTGCCCCGCAAGACTGGGAAGCTGCAGCCGGATATATTGCAAGAGCATCGAAAATCCCAGTACATATTGTTGAGGGCAATTTCGCGGCGAGGACGGTTCCAAGTGTCGAGGTTCCGGATGCGCCTGGGGTGACAATTGAGGAGGCGAAGAAAAGTTTGTGTGGATTGTTTTTGAGGGAGTTTGAAAAAGCAGCAGAGGAGGGGGATGGGGTCAGGATTACTAGGTTTTTTAAATTATTCCCGTTGATTGGGAGGGAAGAGGTGGGGTTGGATGTTTATGGAAGATATGTTTGTCAAGGGGTAGCAGGGACGGCGAGAAAGAATTTGAAGGAGGGAACGAAAGGGGAGAGGGGTAAGGAAGGGTTTTTTTATGCGCAGGCATTGACGAGGTTATTTGAACATATTGCGCAGATTGTTGAGGGCCATGGAGGGTTGGTGGAAAGACATTATGGCGCTGGGAAGATGGTTAGGGTGATAGAGAGATTACAAGTTGAGGCCGATGTACAAGGTGGGATAGTTTTGGATACGTGGGGAGATGAGAAGAATGTTGATAGAAGGTTAACGGATGTGAGAAGTTATCCGTTTTCTTTCTTGGTGCAAAGTTTTCTACCAAATCAAAGACCGACAGGAATTTCGAGAACAGGCTCACCTGCGGTTGGAGGTGCAGCCAATGGAAGGGCAAGTGAAGATGAGGGTGTGGATATGAAAGAAGTGGATGGTCTTCTAAATGAAATGGCTGTGATGTTAGGGCGATGGTCACTATATAGTCGATTTTTGAGCGGTAAATGCAGGGTGAGTCCGATATCAATCCTTCAGCAAGCAATTTCTAAACTATCCCAGGATCCGGAAGCTAGCCCTGAAGAGCCCTTAATCATGCCAGACTTTTTAGACAAATCAGCCTTGAGTCGGAAAATTTCAAATCGTCTGAAGGACCCTTTTAATGTTATGACTACATTCTTCTTTCGACGATCCGTGGAGAAAGCATTTCAATTGGATGAATCTCCTGCAGGTTTATCTCTCAATCTATCAAAACCTATAGATGGAAACTCCCCATATATAATTTCGGCTGTAGACGATGTCATGTATATTGTCAACACAGTACTCAAACGATCTATCTCAACATCACAGCGTGGTGTAATTGAATCCATCATTCCAGCAGTTAGCAGAGTTCTGGGTACTGATTTTGTAGGAATGGTTCAACGCAAAATGCGAGATGAATCCTACCCAAAACCACTCGTACAAGGCGGATTTCCACCGGAAGACAAAATTGTCGCTTTCATCGTTCTAATAAACAGTCTCGACGTTTCAAATGATTATATTTACCGAATCGTGTCCAGCCATCTTCAATCATCGGAAACAAGCGGTGCATCTCATGCTAAAGGTGCACCACCTGCTCCAGCACTTAAGGATATCTTCCCCTATGGCCATGATGCTACTTTCGTTTCTAATTCACTCACAAGCCTCAACTCAACGTTCTCATCAAAAACCAACGAATTAATCAGCGAAGGTCTTCAAGTAATGTTCAATAATGTTATCAAACCGCGACTTCGTCTCGTTTTAAGCGAAACCTTCCGCGATGTAGATTATTCCCTCACGTCAGAAGATCTCGCGGAAATCGCACGTCAAAATGATACCGATGATGATCCTCAAGAAATCCTTCAGGATATGGTATCTCGCCGTTTCGAACATCATTGGGATGCTCTCATGAAACCTATTCAAAGAATTATGTCTACATCACCATTTAATACCCTACTAGAACAAACCGCTCAATATCTAGCAAGAGTTTTAGAAAGAAGAGTTTGGAACTATAGTGGAAAAATGAACGCACTGGGAGCAACTAGGATGGAGCGAGATTATGGGGGAATCGTGGGAGTAATTGCTAGAGGAGGGAAGTATGGATTGAGAGATGTTTTTGCAAGGGTAATGCAAGTTGCTATGGTAGTTAATATGGATGAAGAGGAATGGGAAGCGGTTAATGTTGAGGGTGGAGGATTGGGTGAAGAGGAAGTAGAGATGGTATGGGTTTTAACGGTGGACGAGAGGACGAAGGCTAGGGGGATGGTTAGGGGGTGATGTTCGGAACGAGGGGTTATGATTGTGTGAACAGGGTATATAAAATCCCATTTTATATGAGGAGTTGAGGCGTTGACAACTCCGTGAATGATAAAAGCTATCGAGATGAAGGGCGAGTCTGGATGCGACATCTATCGGGTTCGCATGAGATAAATAAAATTAAATAAGCATTGATACCAAATTCAATAGCGATATGAACACTTCGTTACCTCTCCAGAGTATGATTGCACGTAAATACTAAGCAAGTATTTGAGTTTAGAGAACATCTTCTTGTGGCCAATTATGTGAATATAATCATAAACCAACAAGATAATTTAGAACCCATCACACATACGATGTAGGGAACTTTCGTGCATTTCGAAAATAGCAAATAAAAGGAAACGAGCGAGATCCATTTTACCACATCATATACTATACAACCAAAACCCCTGTAAACTGAGCACCAATTTCTTCATGCAGCAGTATTATAGTAAGTATTACGTTCCTCCATCTCCCTCCTCCCTCCTCCCTTCCCTTCACCTCCTCTCCCTCTCTGCCTCCTTCTTTCTCCTCCTTTCCTCTCCTTCCCTTCACCTTCCTAACCTTCTTTCTCGCATTAAAATCCAAAACCAGGTCCCGCACTTCTTCCTTCTCGTTGCCTCACTTCATCTGCGGATCGCGGCCATCCCAATCTCTAGAAGCTCTACCAACCCGCGTCGATTCAGCTTCAATCCGAATGGGAGTTGGATTTCATCTAGATAATCTCTGCTGATTCTTCCTCGGTTGCCTTCGTAGTCGCGTACGAGACACATGTTTTCGTCGGTGGCGAGGGTGCCATATACGAGCACTATTTCTCCTACGTCGAGAGGGGGTTGTTTGAGTGGTGATTGGGGGGTTTTGGGGACGGGGGGTTGGGCTTCGAGGACGCGGTAGAGGGGGAGAAATACGGAGTCGAGTCGCTGGATTGCGGCTTTCTGTGCGCCAGTTGGCGCTTGGATTCCTTTGGGTAGTTCTAATCTATTGATTCTCTTGACTAGATCAGAGCGTTTTCCATGCGTGGGAAGTAGGCGGCGTCGACATTCCCATTGTAGGTCTAAGCGACTCATACCCTTGGGGTTGAATGGCAAACAATGATTATCGCGAAAAACTTCATTAGCCCATACTTGCACGGGTAATGTGCCGTCGATTCCCCATGGAAAAGGCAATTGTTGTAAGTTTCTATGTTTGACGCGGCCCTGATCGAGCCCGTAGCCTTCGAGACGCGTGACTAGAGGATGATGATCTTGTACGTCGTAAACAGGTTCGCCGAGATCGAGGAGGAATTCACCCCATTGGGGTGCGAAGTCTCCGACCCAGACTTTGGCGCCGGGAAGTCCGTTTCTTTGTTTTTTGAAAGTGCTGTCTGGGTAGGGGAGTCCACGTTTGTCCGTTGGGTGGACGAAGCGGTAGACGAGGAAGTCGAGGTTGCGGAAGGGTCGCTCGAGGAAGCTTTCTCCTTGCGCGGCTTCTTCCGGTTCGGTGACGGTTGTTTTGGCGACGGCGGACATTGTTTCTAGAAGTTAAAGGGTATTAATTGACGTGAGGTGGGTTTAAAGGGCTTATTATAGGAGGTTGAATGAAAACTATGGTAAATACTTTCTGGGAGTTGCCTGGATGTCGAGAGCTCTGGCGAAAAACCTTACGAAATGGGACCCGCGAGAATATTTCTGGAGCTTGCTGTACAATAGGTTGAAATATTTAGCTTTCAAAGGGCACAAAGGACTGTTGTGGTTAGACAAGCAATATGAATGAACTTATGAACTCCACCTTCTTTGATGTTGTGGCTAATGAATTTGAATGACGAATCCGGAGGCTGAACAAAGACTTATTCAAGATAGTGCTAAAATTGAAGGGAATAATCATGTTAACTTTCATGAGTGTTTTATTTAACACAATTTTGCAAAATCTGCTTATAGGCTTGTCGCTTGGGCATTCTAAGGTTGATGCTAATATTGAAATACTATTGGACGAAATGTTAAAAGCAAAGATAATAGGTCCACAAGGGTAAAAGGGGTACACATCATCCATCATGTTGTCGACTAGGACCACCAGGACGATGAATCAGACGTAGGAAAGCACTCAAGGAAAGATCACTGGATCAAGTTCAATTTTCGTAGCTTTTAAATCTCTTCACTTTGCAAAGAAAAAGATGGCACTGAATCCGACAGTTATAAATCCAACGTGACAGCACAATCATTTATTACATCTATACCACTAACTCCTAATTTCCCACAACCTGATCTTTCCAGCTTCATTACCAACGGCTAAAACATCACTTCCACTACCAAATGCCACAGACGAAATTCTTCCTAATGGCGTGTTTGATGTTGGCCAATTCTTATACACTGTACAACTAGGTAGATGTACCAATCTCAAGGCATCTTTCTTCCACCTACTGCTAAATACCAACAATTGTCCATCAGGACTGATTTGCAAATGACTTGTGGGTGTGGTCAATTGCAAAAGTCGCCTATTTGGCTCAGGTCTCTCTGGTATTTTTATATCGTTTCCAGTGGCAAAATTCTTACGGTCATAAATATTGACCACACCACTTTGAGATCCGATTACTACCCAGCGATCCCCACCGAGTTGTTTAGGTCCATTAGATCCACCAAGTGTAAGAACGGTAGCACCAATGGAACCATCATCATTCCAGCGAGCAACGAAAGATCCCGATTCCATATTCCATTCGCCCACTTCGCCCCCTTTTCCTACAACTGTCAATCCCTCTCCATTTTTCCACCATGCGAAATCAGCAACTCCATCCTTGCCTTCAATTCGTGCTGATGCTGTCCATTGTGTTGTGGTTGCATCAAGAATATTTATAACACCGCCTCCTTTTTTTGATGAACCAATCAGGCCTATGTATCGGCCACAAGGGCTGAGCTTAAATCTTTCCATTGTTTTTTGCTCATCCTTGTGACCATAAATTCGCGTAACCTTATTAATTTCTCCCGAGGGAAGATCCCAAATGTGAAAGTAACGACGTCGACCGGCGAAGATGATTTTGTCTCCGGAAGGATGAAGGAATGCTGATGTAGCAATTGGTGTTTTTCTTACATGAACGCTGGTAAGTTGTGGATGAGGATGAGGGTGAGCTGTAGGCGCATAATGATGTAGATATAAAGTAGATGCTGGGCCTGAAGAAAGTATAACTGGGTATTGGGGATGGAAGGAAAGTGAAGTGACGGCTGATGGTTGGGTTTTTGGTATATCTCTAGTTCTTTGGATATCCAGGACTTCAGGTCTAAGTTTTGGTCGTTTTGAGGTCGCCGGAGTTTCTTTTGTGAGAGCACCAGCATCTTGTAAAAGTCTTGCGAGAGGTAATGTTGAAAGGTCAGAATCATCAACGTCCATATCATTCGATGATAACGAAGAATCAGAGCCTGCGGATGACCTGCGACGTCGTTTCGTTGGCCTAGAGGATTGAGCCCATTCTGGAACAGGATTCAGACGCTCAAATTGCATTCGTAGTCGCCTTGTGTATTCTCTCCCACTAACCAAATCCTCCCCTTCGTTGACTCTAAGTTTCCTTAATCGAGGATTTCCAGCAAGAGATACAGTCAGTCGGTCATCGTCACTATCCTCCCAAGCCAGCGCATCTCCTCCCTCTTCGTCTCCGGATTTTGATCGCGGTATTAATGCATCTTGTGGCACAACAGATGGTCCAGAGTCGAGGAAAAATAGCTAAAAAGAGTTAATGAAATTCATCTAAAATTGCGGGGCGAGTTTATACATCTGCATCGTCAACGCCCTCAATCCCAGCATCCTCCTTTTCCTCATCTTCACCCTTTTCTCCTTCTGAGTTTTCAGCTGAATCAAATTCCATGTCTTGGCCCAATTGCGCTGTAAATCCTGCCCCATCTCCTAAAACAAGTCTGTCTAACTCCTCCTCATCGGAATCCTTATCCATCATGTTGACACTCTCATTGTCACTGCCACTCTCTTCACTTTCTTGGAGAATTGTTCGCGCATCCTTTTTTGGCTTTTGACCGCCATTGGCAGACTTCTTTGACCGTGAGGGGGGCATTGTGGGTGATTTTGTTGTATATTCAAGTATCTTTCGTTTTCTCAACTTTTTTTTGTCCAATGTAGAAATATAAAAATTTGCAGGGATGATTGACAGGGATTAGTAGTGTGGCTGAAGATATCCTTATTAGCCACTGTTAGCCTCGCTTACTTGCGTCCCTCTGTGCAGTTCTATTCAACATTATAACTTCTTAATACTTGGTTGAATTTCATTATACATTGATCAAGGCTTTCTTCTTTCTTCTCATTACTATAGGAACTTGCCTAATCATTCTATTCTTTATTTCAAACATAAATTAAAATGTATCTATATCAAAGGAAGTCTATTCAATCGCAGCTATCCTCCTTACTCGATTCTACCTTGATAGGTCCAATGATACTTACTGTTTAACCATAAGTATCTCAAAAGACATGTATTGCACAGATTTAACCAGAGAATGTCTAGGAAAATCGTTGGATTAGACTGACAAGTGTATGAATCGTTCCCGTGATCTAACGAAGCGTATTATTGATGTCAGTGATTCCACGATTCTAACTTTTCCACTGCCCGCTCGGCATCCATCCCGACAAGGACTCTTTAATATACTGAGTTACAGATGGGGTCCGCCAGAAACTATACTTCGGCCTTCTAAAAGTACAATATCGATGATAGTGACGACTGAATTGCTAAAAAAAAAAAAGCTCACCTTGGAATCCAAAAAGCCGTAGAATTAACTAGGCTCCTTGCATTAAACTATGTATTGATTGACTGCTCGTGTATTTTTCAGGATTCTAAAGAGGACCGAGAAGGGGAGTCTTTGGGATGAATATTTATTACTGCTCAAGTTGGCTTACGACCGCCATCGGCTTGGAAGGCAGTTGAGGATGTTTCTCTGTGTGTAGGTTGCCGTCGGATATTTTTCGATTGTTTCTAATGACGAATTGTCTATGCAAAGGAGGATGGTGGCGCTCGTGGTCATCAATCTTTTCACCTGCGATCTATTTTAGCTACCCGTGATGCAAGTACCAAGGGAAGATACTCTCTTGCCTTTATTTACGCTTTCTTGAGACCCAGGTTGTTTTCGATATGGCGGGCGTGCTTTTTCCGAAAATGGTCATCAACCATCAGCTGTTGCAACAGATACACGATCTACGTATAATGAGAGTAGATTAGAACTGGCAAGTATCTGGCAAGGCTTGTCACAACATACGTCAAACGAGAGTTAACGACAGGCGAGGATAGGCACCCAGCTCTGTTGCATGTTTCTATCAAGATAGATGGAATTGACCGCTTTGGAGAAGTAAGCCGCCGCAGTTTAAATGGTTGAGTTTTTATCAGAACAGCATGATTTACCAAAATGCAGTCTGTCACGTATCACATTATTTCAGAAACTTGCGAGAAGGATCGGAGCATGATCTCGCTTAATATCGTGAACTTACCATCTATTTAGACATCTACCGTGATGCAATATGGGAGGGCTAAAGCATAGCGGTTTCTGCTCGATTTTACACTGACCACCTTGTTCTAACCCGCTGTCGAGAATCGAGAACGCATGCCCAATGGAAGGAGAATATGTACGAGAAAATTGAATTAGTGGTGGCGTGACAAGATTTCAAAGAAGTGGGATGGAGATGAGAATAATGAGGAGCTGGAGGATAATAAGTGTTGGGTAGATGATACTCTTAGATTAAGGACTCTCCCATGTTTAGAAGTAGTTCATATCATCTAAAATCGAGAAAAGATCCAATTGTGATATTTATGAAGATATGTGAGCATTAATACCAGAGTATCTAACATTCCGGGCTAGCACACTAGACAGATTTAAGCCTTCGATATTTGAAAAGTTTTTAAAATTCTGAGTTTAGCATATCGTTTTGAGTGATCTAAATATATTTCAGTTAAAGTCAACAACTCAAAGCTTCTTACTTATTACTCGACTGTAGAGTTCAGACTATGGATATATAGATGCTACTAAGTAGATACTTATTATTTTTATATCCGTACTTCATGAGATATAAATGTCCTAGATATACATCCCCTCGCATCTCGAATCCTCACATTCACATATCTAACGGCTCATAACCCTTATAAATCTTCCTACCCCTCTTTCTCTACCATCCTTAATATGTCCACCTTCCTTTTCCTTCTCTTTCCTCCTCTTCCTCGAAAATCCCTACATCCTCCCAAAACACCATAAATACTCTCTCCAACCTTCCATTTCCCTTTCGTCCTCTCCCCAACTCCACTTCCTCCTACCCTCAAAAGCAATCCCATCTAAACCAAATCCCCCACAATATCTACAATATATATACGCAGGACACTACATTACATTACATTTATTACATTTATTGAATTTCCTTTTCTTTCCCTTTCCCACACTCGAAATAAAAAAGTGATACAATATTACTAATTCCCATATACTATAACATAACATAAATTGATAAAAAAGAGAGACAGATATTAGTAAGTATTACTTTACTGATTAACTTGCCCTTTTCTTTTTCCCCCTTGAGATGCTTAGGATATGAAATAATCCTACATTTAAATATATAAATAAATGATGCTGATGATTGGGATTAATTTCTTTCTTTTCAATTGTAGGACATGGAGTATCTTGAGGGGAGATTTGGGATGATTCTCTTGTTCCTCCTTTTTATTCTTTGAAGAGGAGTGTGAGTTTTGTGAATATGATGGATAGAGGTGTAATGGTATGATGAAGAACGATAGGGGAGGAGGAGTGTTCAAGGAGGACAGGAACTGGGAATAGATGATGAAGGGAGGAAGGAAAAGGGCGAAAAAGAGACACCATATCAGCAAATGTAGAGACAAAGAATATGTGAAAATGCTCGTATATGCAAGAAATATCTAGCTATCCCACACCCAGAGTCCCAGAAGGAAGATCCGCTCGAACGTAACATAAAAGAACGCGCATCCAAAGCCCACGCCAATAGTCAGCAAATTATCCCAACGTTGATATCCCAACTGCAAATTCAAAATCCCTGATATCCCAATCATATGCCCATTAAAATCATCATTGCGTGTGCCGAAGAAAAGAAAACGCCCCGAAATGCCTGATCAATTCACTCTTAATGTCGGAAAATATGCGCCAATAGTACTCTAGCAGGACCACCTTGCTTAGCATGACTCTTTGGAAATATCTTGCCGGACTTCAATGTATATGTAGCAAGTTTATGTTCGCTGCTGTATCTCTTAACTGGTTTACCTTCAGCCTTAGCGTCGAGGAAATCGAATATGTTGACCCAGACTTTTCCTAAAGCCTATAGAATATACATTAGCATCATTACTGAAATTGAGGAAATTCGTATCACTTACTTTGCGACATTGAGTAATGCTCGTAGGTATCTCTTCCATGCCAACGTCGACACAGAGTCTCTGCCAGTTTGCAAGCTGAGTTTCATTTCCGAAATAATCTTCCCACAAGCCGACTACAGTATTCTTCTTGGTCTTCATCGATTTCTGTTTGGAAGAGGCATCTGTGACTGTCTCCTTTGGTGGCTTTGGTTTCTCAGAAGCTTGACCCTTCTTAGTCTTGCCTGTCTTTGGCTTAGATACAGAAACATCTTCGACTACTTTTTTCTTTAGCGGTTCTGGTTCGACCTGTTTCTCAGAAGCTTGATCCTCCCTGATACTCTTGATCAACTCTTTTGCGGCATCATATTCATCAACTTCACCCCATTTAAAACCATGTCCCATCATGAAATTTCTCATGTTATTCCATCCAGAGTCCTTGAGCCACTTATAGTCGGATGTATCCTTGACTGCTATCTCTTCTTCTGAATCCTCTTCCTCGTCCTCCATGGATTTGGACCTGTCATTCGCGATAGTCGCATCGGTTTCCTTCTTGGCATATTCCTCAGCCTTTCTAGCCTTGCTTCTCTTCTTCCTCTCCTTATTCTTCCTGTTCCTTTCAGACTTCGCATTGATTTGCTCATGCTCCAAATTGTTTGTCTCTTTTTGGGAAACTACAAGGTTCTGAAGGGCGTCGGCAACATTGCTGACAGTGATATCTGCGGGAACCGATTCCTTGCCTAAGGAGCGATTGTTTCGTTTACCCCTCTTCTTCTTTGCAGACTTATGTGTCTCTTGCTCTGCTTCATCAGCCTTATCTTCTGCAAGTTTGACATCTTGAAGCCCTTGTATTACGTCGCTGAGGTGACTTGGATCTGAGAGATGAGTTGAGCTTGAGGGACCATCGACGGACTCAGTTTCAGGTGGTGTATAAACGGGAGCTCCATCACCATCGCTGGAAATGTCAGAAACACTTCGAGATGGGCTCGGAATCTTCTTTGATTTTTTGGCCATTGCTCCGGATTCCTACCAAAATTTGGCTGCGCGTAAAGATTGTATTCACGATGATGGATGCAGTAGGTAAGTGGAGGGTAGCGGGGCAGGAGATTATAAGCAAGTAAGTAAGATTGAGTAGGTTACCGTAGCAATTCAAAAGCCGGAACGGTGTTGTAGTTTTTTATTCACATTTTTTGATAGCACAATTGATGATGATCATTCAAGTATCTAGTTGAGGTGAATAAAATGCCATATGGATGAGGTGAAGTGGCTTGGAAGTGATGAATTGGAGATTGGAGGCTATGGTACGGTTTCGAGGTCAAGATTTGGGTCTCCCAAGGCTTATAGGGTCTCTCTTAGGGGCCCGCTGAGACGATGCTAGTCCCCACAGTGTTACTCAGCCTTGCACAGAAGTAACGGATCATCAGTGGACGGACATTTTTAATGTTGACTTTGACATCTTCAATACACACCAGTGATATCTCTTCTGGTGTCGATGCGACCGTAGCTAGATTTTGCTAACAATTTGCAACATCGTCTAGGTTTCGTTCCTCAACTATGGCCACATGGTGAGGCAGTTCTCACGGCACCATGGTAAGAGCAAGGCTTTTCGATGTTGGATGACGGTACAGTTTCAGTTCCATCAACAAGGCTTCTCAATGATCGTGACAAGCCGATCCGAAGTATACTCACGTGCCAATGTTCGTCGAAGTGTTGGATTTCCCTCTACGCAACATCTCAATCTTAGTGGTGAGAGCAGTAGCATTTTCAATGGAGCTTCGGTGCTGGCGATGTAACCAACCTGCAGGACACCGACGTGTTTCGTATGAAAAGAGATGCTTACGGTGAAGTGTCACTCTTCGAAGTTTACTCATCCATCGATTCGTCGAACTGTTGTGAGTGCAATAGTGAATCAATTTCACTTCATGAGGGTCTCGTAGAATTATATTTCAAATCTACTCAGTCAATCGGATCCGGCTTATAATATCTGGTTAATGTCACGACGACTACAGTAGGTTACACAAAGCTGAGATATGTAAGCCAGAACTTTTAATCCGAGAATGTTCGGATCCGAGGGATAGATTTCAAGGGCAAAAATTTGTTTGATATGTTGTGTACATAGCTGCACTATCGAATGTTCATGGTCCCTTTCCTTTGCATGCTCAGTAAATGTGCAACGCTTTTCAAATAGTCTTTTCTCATATCGAGGGACGCATTCGTAATCTACTTTCTAGCACAATCATATTTCTTCGACAGTCACTATTCAGTATCGATTTTGTTGAGCGAGACCAGAAGGAGAGAAAACCAACAAAAATCGGGTTTTGATCAATTTCAGAGCAGGAGAACCGAAGAAGATCGGGGTAACCGCTCCTACGGATTCAAACCACAAACCAAAAACCTCATTCATAATTTCAAAATAATTTTCTGAGTTTCACAAGAACCACGAGGTTCATTGAAGACAAATCATTTCGGTTTTTCTTACATAGAGAAGTTTCGTTCAAGTGTTAAAAATGTTAGACGAGGAGAGGGGACACGAGCGCGGACACAAGCGAACGGTCGGATCTGAGGAAACATTATACGGTTCAAATACATCGCATACATATTCTGTAGAGAGAGTGCATACTGGTAGCACTTATAAGAGTAATATCAGCGGTCACAAGTTTGAAGAACCAGGAAATCTCTCCGACATAGCCCTAGTTAATTATCCAAAGGCATGGACTCTGCAACCTCCTTCGATCCAATAGGCTAACTGAATGTAGACAAGTAATGAACTGAACGATGTTCCCGCACAAACCAAGCCAAGTGATGCACTATTTCCAGAAACCGATTTAAATGCAGGCATTATTGGTTGGGATAGTCAGGACGATCCAAATAATCCTCAAAATTTTCCTCCGAGTCGAAAATGGCTTCTTCTAGGACTAATATCAAGCATCACTGTCGTCAGTCCTCTAGCATCTTCGATGGTTGCTCCCGGTGTTCCTTATATCGAAGAAACATTTAAAAATCACAACGAAACATTAAGTACCTTTACCGTCACTGTCTTCCTTTTAGGCATTGTATTCGGACCTCTTTTTTTATCCCCATTGTCGGAAATTTATGGAAGACGACCGGTACTTTGCGCATCCAACATCGTTTTCTGTTTATTCCAGATAGGCTGCGCTCTTGCTCCTAATCTTACCGCACTCATAATATTTCGTTTCTTTGCAGGCATTGGCGGTTCGGGATGTTTGGCACTCGGTGGTGGTGTTATTGCTGATCTCTTTCGACGCGAGCAACGTGGAGCAGCCTCAGCGGCTTACACAATCGGCCCTTTATTTGGACCTGTGATAGGCCCAATCTGTGGAGGTTTCATAGCGGAGAGAGTTGGTTGGCATTGGATTTTCTGGGTTATATTCTGTGCTGGCACAGTAACGACAATTGGCATTGAAATATTCAACCGCGAAACTTATCCTCCAGTTTTAATCCGAAGAAAAACTCAGAAGCTTCGTATAGAGCTTAATCGCCCTGATTTAATGTCCTGCTATGATCTTGGAAGCGATCCTAGCACTAGGACTGTTCTGATCAATGGCCTCATTCGGCCTCTCAAAATGTTGTTCTTGTCACCAATCGTTTTCATACTTTCCCTGTACATCTGTTTCGCGTACAGTTTGTTGTACCTTTTGTTCACCACAATTACTCCAGTATTTCAAGAACAATACGGATGGAGTGTAGGACTTTGTGGTCTCGCATATATCGGCATCGGCATAGGATTCTTCTCGGGACTAGCCCTCGTGACAAAAATCTCCGACGCAACCGTAATCAAGATGACAGCCGACAATAAAGGTGTCTTCGAACCAGAAATGCGTTTACCAGCCTGTCTTTTCTTCTCATTATTCATCCCCATCACCTTTTTCTGGTATGGATGGTCAACGGATAAACACACTCACTGGATCATACCCGTCATCGGACTTATCCCATTTGGATTCGGTATGATGGGGGTTTTTATCCCGATTCAGACGTATATTATTGATAGTTTCCCCTTATACGCAGCAAGTGCCACGGCGGCAATGACGGCTAGTAGGAGTCTTTTTGGAGCTGTGTTGCCTTTGGCTGCGCCGAGTATTTATGCGAAATTGGGTTTGGGTTGGGGAAATACTATGTTGGGTTTTATTGCTGTAGCGATGATTCCGGCCACGGGCTTGATTTATAGGTATGGCGGGAGGATTAGGAAGAGATATCCGCTTAATCTTTGAGAGATGGATGGATGTTTGTGTGTAGGTTGGTATGGGGGTTGGTGTACTGAGATGGGGATGGGAATGGAGGTGGAAATGGGGTTTCATAGAAAATCTGGGAGTTGAGAGTTGGGAATTGGGAATTTGGAATTGGGCAAAAAGGGTGTTTGTAACTTTTATATGTATTATGTATAACTTTTGAAGGACCGATAGATAGATAGATGATACTTGATGAACTAGCTATATTTTATTTTTATTATTATTATTATTATTATTATTGTATCAAGAGAGGGTAGGAAAGACTAAATGTTTTATAAGATCTTACTTGATTGATATAAATGATATCTAGTAACAAGGCTATGACAATAGAGTACCAATATATCCAACAATTTTTTGAATATAAAATCAAAATCACAAGGTGCAATCACCGGATCTTATAAGATAGACTCTTAGTTTAAGCTGGGGTTGAAATCTGGTATTTGCTAGTGTATTTTTAAGGGGAGAGAAAAAGTAAAGGGAAGAAAAGAGAGATTAAAGACTGGAAAGGAGGGGATAGAAAGTAATAAGTTTAATAGATAATATATATTATAAAGTTATTTATTATTATTATTATTATTATTATTATTATTATTATTATTATTATTATTATTATTATTATTATTATTATTATTATTATTATTTTTTGTTGTTGTTGTTGTTGTTTTTATTTTCTTGTTTTTTAAGTTATATTATTAAAATTGAAATAAAATTCTCTGACTTCAGTATTAACATCTCTTGAAAATAATGTCTTCGGCTTCGGCTTCAATAATTCCTGGTTAAATCGATCTGCAAACTCCTAAAACCCCTTCACAGCTCGCTGGGAAACACTTGGGCGAATCCTCTTCAGTGCCTCCGCAAAGTGCCTCGGCTCTAGCTTCAGCTCCCTTTTTACTGTTTGTTTACTCCCCGTCTCCTCTCCGTTTTCGTCGGGAGTAGGAATCATCTTGACCTGCTCAATCGCACAAATCATGGTTGCCTCGGCACATAAATCCTTAAGATCAGATCCGGAGTACCCCTCTGTCAGCTCCGCCAAAGTAGCAACATCAATATTTTCGTCCAGGTCCTCCGCCATCAAAAACAGCTTTAGGACTTTGGCTCGAGGGCCTTCTTCAGGGAGCTGGAAAAGAATCTTTGAGGAGGCGACGAAAGAAAGCCTCATCAAGGTCAGCGGGCCTATTCGTCGCAGCGAGCACGAAGGGGGTTCCCTCCTGTTTTGACAAGCCGTCCATTTCAGAGAGGAACTTTACCCATTTCTTCCCAGCGTTGGAGCAGCTCCATGCCCAAGTTGCTAACGTCTGCCTCTTCACCCATCCATGCTAGAGTAGTATCGGCTGCTTGATATATCTCTGCCATCTTTCTCACTTGGATTCCTTTTTCCTCATTGTCTTCCTGGTTAATGCAAAGTTCATCAATCCATAGGTTCACCACTTTTGTCGTATGACGTAAGCTTCGAAACACATAAAAGAGATTTGGTGTAACAGAGACGGTCTCTCCGTTAACTGAGATTGTTTGTTGTGGATTCGGATTCCACAGACATATTATAGCGCCGAATTTGTTCCCGGTTCATGGATTTGGTGTATCAGGTAGCAACATATTTCTTTATCGGCATCTTCGCCCGGAAGAAGACGTACGATTCAAATTTCTCCCTCTGGAAGCGGTGAGTAGAGCATCATCGTAAACTTGGATACAACGTGTATCTCTGCTAGAGCATGGTAGTAGCACCGATCGGGAATCCAAGAAGCTCAAGTGATCATAGATTGGGAAAGTGGATTTACTATATCATATTATCTAGTTGAACTACAAAATAGTAAAAGTTCAACTATAATGTTTATAACCTGAAGAAGCGGGGAAATGGAATTATTTTGCAACGTCGACGGCCGTGCGGATGCATGGATTTGTATCCGAATATCGTTGATCTATGGCTGAATGGTTGATATAGCATAGGATATATTGTGCGCATATCGCATCTGCAGACAACACATCCTGCGGCGATCAGACCAACCTGTGTTTGGTTCTTGCCATTTCATCAGCATCATGATAGTGCAGATTCGAGGTCCCAATCCTTGCCTTGGCCCCGAAATAAAGGTGCCGGAAGAATAGACTCGACGTGATACGAGTAGTACTTGCATAATGAAGGTTTGAGTGTGGTGGTAGTAGTAGCAGTAATGTATAGATAAATCTCGTAGAATTATCTAGTCCGAAGACCTCAAAAACCTTGATCTCTCCTTTTTACAAGAGGGTACTACTTTCATTTATCATCATTTTCAAGTCGCAAATCAAGGACGACACGCTTTCATCTTTAAATCAAATCAAATCTCAGTGGAACTTTGCTGGCATTCCTTTTTCATAGAGAAACCTTGCTTCCTAATCTGCTCTAGGCTCTATTTGATCCTATGTAGGCGCAAAGAAATTTGAAGACGCATCAGTTCCACTGAGCACAATGCATCAATAATATATCAAGTAACCGCCAAAGTAGTCATGATAGGACGGAACTGAATATTCTCTTTCGGATTTTCTCTCTTTTTTAAACAGTTAACTCTCATAAATTATCGAGATTTGAAATATTCACACCCGGAATTTTGTCTACTGCATGAGTGTTAGTAGTATAATTTAGTCAAAGCTGAAATATTAATTTCACCCCTATTATACTCGCCAATATCGATATCTTTAGCGAGTAACACAGGAAGCTAGTTGATATCAATAGACCTAATAAACAAATTAAACGAAATAATGGTCACCCACACTGCACCAGTCTCTCGATTTTATCTGGAGAGTAGAGGAAGCTGTAGCAAAGATAGCGAAAGAGTTTGAAGGGGCAGGAAAGAGGAATAATAACACAAGAATTTATTTTGGTGGTGAAAAATCTAGGATGCTGAGGACCTACTCACTGTTGTTTAAACGAAGAAAAAGAAAATAACACCATCGCATAGCAGAAAGAATTTTAACGAATTAACCGTTAGAACTTTTATTTGGAAGTATAGCTTCGATTTACATGATCTAAAAAGTTCCTGATAACTATATACTTTGATCGACTGGAAAATCAGAGCATCGAGTCCTACATTGTCCGTATTCATCGAATATTTCTATTCCAAAATGATGGTCATCCTCGGTATCTGAATGAATGTTGAGTAAAACTTCTACACTCATATCATGTAGACGCCCGAATAATCCACTGAATAAATGTTTCATTCAAGCTCATCTAGCTATGGAAACTTCTTTCCTATGTTTTAAGTGTTAAAATCTTATTAATCTTGCCTTGAAATGATGAAGAAAAGACTTAAAAAATAAAATTTTCTTATACTAATACTTATTATTCTTTTATTTTATTTTAAAAAAGTAAATAAAAAATCAAATGATAATAAAAAACAAAAAATATAAATATAAATAATAATTTATAACAATTATAATAATAAAAATAATAATAAATTATTTTATTTTAAAGTATTGAATTTATTATTTTGTTTTTTAAATTTAAATTTAAATATGAATTTGAATTTGAAATAAATAGATATAAATATATATATATATAACAAAAATAAACAATCAAAAAATCTTCCACTTAAAAAAAAATATATATATATATAATATAATATAAATATAATTAACAGTACAGTATATACAGAAGATACTCAGATAATTTATTACAAGTCTTAATTTGTAAGAAGTAAGAAACGAATTACGAAATACATATATGGTATACTCGTATATAAAAGCCATATCACACCATACCACCGATATTGAGGCGATAGAAAATTTGCCACCTACAAAAAGACAACACATCATATCATATTATATCATATCATATCATTCAGCACCCCTCATGTTCATGCCCGACACCGGTTCAATTTACCCCTCACCCCTTACGTTACGAGCCAGCACACTCAATCAGGTCAGATCAACTCAGATCAACTCAGAGCAACGAACTCAGCTCAGCTAACCTCGGTGATCTACTTCTCTCATTTGATCATCATGCTTTAAGGCAGTGCAGTACAAGCTCCGTCGAGATAGATAGATAGACAGCAAGAAAGACCCTCACAGACTCACAATGACAATCTCCAACCCACCAACCAATCCACCAACATCCCCACCTTATCGATCAACCCCTCAACATCCCAAAAATTTCTTATCATCACGCTCCTTCCGCAAAAAACCCTAAAAGTATTCAAATACATATCGAACGCAGGAATGCGGGGTACCTTTGTACATATACATACTAGGTGAATAAATATGCATTGCCATCTCAGAAGCGCATCAACCATTATCCATTTAGTTGCACTTTGCGTTTACGTTTACATTTACATCTACGGAGTACACTTGCACTTGCACTTGCGTCTGCATTTGCAGTATGCATACATAATCCATACGTACATACGTACATACATGACTCTATTGATAAAAGCAATCCATTTATCTATCTCATGATTCTCATCATCCACCTTGAAAATCAGCTACCCTAATCCCAATCCCACCTCACACTTACGAATCTACGATTCATGAACGCGTTACCGAAATCCGCCGATATGTATGCACATACATACATACTCCGTACGAGTACATACTGCATACATACATACATACGCATGTGTGCCTCAATCATGGCGCCGGCGCCGGCGCCAAATCTGCAATGCACTGCACCGCATTGCAGCGTACAGTAATGCATATCATGACATCGAGCACTTGCACTTAACATTTATTATTACACTTGTAAACAATTCATAGAGTATCCGTTCATTCATTCCTTGACCCGGTTGGTCACGATAAGAAAAATCACTGATGGACGAACGGGATTTACGGAATCATCAGCCTAGCTTCCTTCCAGAAGATCCAAACAAACGTTGACACAAATAATCTCATCACCATCCATATCCATGATAATGATAGTGATGATACAATGATCATCAGGAAAATCAGCCAGATCGCTTTTGACCCTTTCCACTATCTTACGTATGTTCCATCCAAGCCTTTAAGTCAGTCTTCAATCAATCAATCTAAGATTTAAATCCTTTTTTGTTTTTCGTTACCCCAAAAAATTCAAAAAATTCTCAAGGTCCGTTCAGCGTTGTTCCTCCAACGCAAATTATTCATCTCCACTACCCCTCGGGTTTCCGCAGCGACGAAACGATACGATACGATCGGTCAGATAATCATCAGTCTTTGGATGATCAGACAGGCAGCAGAGAAAATAGTCACGTAAGTAGTAAGTAAATAAATTAAAAAAAAAAGGGGTATATCAGGGTTGGCGATGAGCATCGTGGAACTTTTAAATCCGCTCTCCAATCCAAAGCCTAGTAAAGTACGTACGTACAGAGTAATAAGTACCAAAGCAAAAGCATTGAAGCTCAAAGCCAAAGCCCTAAAGAAACGTTCAAATGAAGATTTTATGAATGGGTGGATAAAAAAGGTCTGGTGCGTGTAGCGAAATGAAATGAAATAATGGAACCTTTGAAATATTTATATCGCCGGTTTCCCCAGAGACTGTTGGTGTTGGCGTTGGTGTTGGGTGGGATGGATGGATGTGGGATGTGGAACTTGAAATTTTCCAATATATTGGATGGATTGGTTCTTGGGTGCTGTGTAGGGAGTACTCAAATAATAGCTATCATGCAGAACCAAACCCAGATAGATAACATTCATCCGATAGACAAATAATGATGATACAATTGTCCCAAAAGATGTCCAAGTTTCATCATTTTATCCAAGCAGATCAAGTACATCAAGTAGATCGAATTGAAATAAACATGAAGCCGCATCGACAGATAGATATAATAGACTAGACAACTTATAACTCTGAAGCAAAACAGCCCCAAAAATATATATCAAGATCTTACGCAACGAAAAACCCCCTCACGAACCATTCATCACGAGCCATTTGTCACCACTTCGGCCATACCCACCGATATAACAAAGATCTTCTTGTTGACCCCAGACTCTCATGGGTCTCAAACATCCTCTGGATACATACTAGCCTACTAGGCATGTTCGGCAAAAATAGGACAAGAGAAAAAAAGAAAAAGAAAAATCTTCTCTACCACAGCAACGGTGTTGAAAGATAGATCCACCTGTACCGACTGATTGTCGACCGAGCTTAAGAAACTTCTTTTTTATTTTTCCCAAAGTGGAACCTGGAGGACTTAGTGGAACCGGTGGATTCAACGGATAAGTAAGAATAACCGTTTCGAAACATAAGTTATAACTCAGGGTCCAATGTCCATCTAAAAATTGACATTGGTGTAGCTCGAGCATTCTACCGAAAGTTAAGTCTTGAAACGATTCGATTTATGAAAACGGGTACAGCACCACAATTTTATTCTCTTTCCGTTTCTAGATCATGATTCATGATCTGAGCTTTTGCAAGCGGGGCAAACTAGAGCTTCAGCAATAGCAGTAGGGTCGGGTAGGGGAGGTGCCGCACGGTGCCGGAAGGGAAGGAAGACCATAGCTTCTAGTGCAGAGTATGAATTGAAGGGTCTACAACCGTTCGTATGCTCCTTCCGGAACATCTATAGGAAACTAAATCAATCACAAACAAGGCAAGAATGTGTAGCTACACAGGACCCTTGCCAAGCTTTCGTCCGCCGCGGACTTGGATGCTCGCTCACTCACTCACTAGGAATAGTGACTTGCTGTCCGTACAGTTACTACAGTACCTAGGTATTATTTATCTACTGTGCGACTGACTGCATGATATGCTT